CTCTTCTTTCTGGCTCTGATTTTCAATGTTTGTCTTCGTTGACTGATTGTGAGATTTTGGCCCATTAAAGTGCAGGCTAAAAATATTTGTTCCCATCGCATTCGTAGCATTTGCAGTCATGGTCCCGGTCAATTGGACCAATAGCACCCTAAAGAATTCAAATTTAGTTTTCAGCAACATAGATGAGCTCTCTATTTCAAACGTTCCTGTTGGATCAAGTAGGTATGCAATACATTCTTCACTAATCTCTAATATTGCACAACTTTTTATTTATTTATAAGTTTTGCTATTTTTTCCTCAAGTGTGCGCAGGAAGTGTATGTGTGTGTTCAACTTTTAGTTATGAACTTCTTAGTTTGTCTTAATTGAGAAGAATTAGCTTTTAAACTAATATGCAAATATTAATGTGAACCTGCCTAGTTTCTGCCAATCAAAATAAGATAAAAATAATGAAGCTCTCTCAAAGGAATTACTGTTTTTCCCCTGAATTTCAGAAATGGATTACACAAAGAAACTCTGTCAAATAATTATTAAAATATTGATCTGTGTACATTTTCATGAATTGAGTATGAAAATCCAACTTCAGATGATTATTTACATTTGATGCAGACTTGGTACTCAGTTAGATGTTACTGTGCACCGAAACATGTTTAAAATCCAAGGATTTCACCTTCTGATGATTATTTAACTTTTGATACAGATTTTGGACTCATTTAGTAATGGCTTATGCTTTTACATTGTGGACATGCTATGTATTGAAAAGGGAGTATGAGAAGGTTGCATCAATGAGGTTGCATTTTCTTGCATCAGACCATAGGCGCGCTGATCAGTTCACAGTAAGATCAACTTGATGTATTCTTAAGCTTACTTATATGATAAATAAATTGACATTGAAGCCTAATATTGAGGACCTACTAGGGCGGGCTGGGGTCAAGGGGTTAAATTTATATGTTAAATTGAACTTGAAGTCAGTCTTATCATGTAAGTTTCTACTTGAACTTAATTTCTTTATGCTGTTTCAAGACATAAATTATGAGTTGATATTACCAGGAGTTATAAGTATTCGGTATATTTGCATACAAAAGTCTTGTTTTCCCTTTTTACTCATCAATTTAGACCAACATTTCCTCTGTATTTGTACAGACTATGATCTTTACTTTTGTCTACCCATGTCATCACTACATGATATATATCCTTACTGCTATGTACTATCCAGTTAGACTATTTTGAGTGGGAATTCTATCAAATTGGTGTGCTTTAAACATTTCTTTTTACTTTTCTTGATCTTAAATGTTGTGAAATATATAAATTTGGTAGGTACTGGTTAGAAACGTGCCACCAGATCCTGATGAAACAGTTAGTCAGCTTGTGGAACATTTTTTTCTGGTCAACCATCCAGACCACTATCTCACTCATCAGGTTTGATCCTACTGCTTTCCCGTACATCCATAAATACTATACTTACATTACACTAGCCACTTACACAACCTTCTCTTCTTCCATGTTTCTGGTTTTGTTTTTAATTTTTTGTATTTGCATGCAGGTTGTTTACAATGCAAACAAACTTTCTAAATTAGTCAATGAGAAGAAGAAGTTACAGAATTGGCTTGACTACTATCAACTTAAATTGTCTAGAAATCCATCCAAAAGACCATCTAAGAAGGTAATGCATTCTTCTTTTTCTTTCCTTTCCTTTTCTTTTCATCATGCTATTTCTCATGTCCATTAACAATGTCTTGTGAGCAGACTGGATTTCTTGGTCTTTGGGGTAATCGGGTGGATGCTATTGATTTCTATACATCTGAGATTGAGAGGCTATTAAAAGAAGTAAGTAGCACTTAAACTATTTTGAAAATGATTCCACCTCACTTGCTCTATGTTGTACTGAAGACAAGGAAAGTTCCGGAGTGAGCTCAACTCCTGATTTGCTACTTATTGTTCTTTCTGTCATTGTGCGTACTTCAGTTATTCCTTTGGTCTTCTTCGGAGGCTTTTTTATTAGATTTTCGATTTTAATTTTGTTCCTCTAGCATATTCCCTTGTACTTTAAAGCCATTTCTTTAATAGATCAATTATTTTAAAAACCATTTTATTGCACAAATATCAGACTAGAGAGGCTTTTCAGCCCACATAGTGCTTGCTCCTAGCATTTTTAGTGGAATGCGGGGGTTGAATTGTGAATTTACTGAAGCATGTGATTACTCACGTTCTTTCTTTTTCAAATTTACTTTTGACAGATATCTTCAGAGAGAGATACGATTACAAGCAACCCTAAATCAATCATGCCAGCAGCATTTGTGTCCTTCAGAACTCGATGGAATGCTGCTGTTTGTGCACAAACTCAACAATCCAGAAACCCAACTCTATGGTTGACTGAGTGGGCTCCGGAACCCCGTGATATATGTTGGGATAACCTGGCAATCCCCTATGTTTCATTGACAATCAGGAGGCTTGTAGTTGCCGTTGCTTTCTTCTTCCTCACCTTCTTTTTTATGATACCCATCGCATTTGTACAATCCCTTGCAAACATTGAGGGTATTGAGAAAGCAGTCCCCTTCCTAAAGCCCGTTATTGAAGTGTAAGTATTGCTCAACACTTAATTACTTTTCCTACCATCAGCATGCACTAACAGCATCCTGTTTGTCACGCAGGAAATTTATAAAATCATTTATCCAAGGTTTCCTACCTGGAATTGCTTTGAAGATTTTTCTCATATTCCTTCCTACTATTTTGATGATAATGTCCAAATTTGAAGGATTTAATAGCATATCAGCTCTAGAGAGGAGATCGGCTACTAGATATTATATTTTCCAATTTGTCAACGTATTTCTTGGGAGCATAATCACTGGAACTGCGTTTCAACAACTAGATAAATTCATCCACCAATCTGCTAATGAGTATGTTCTTGTATCTGCATCTTTACTTATTTTAGTTTGATGTACTATGAGGGATACTTACTTATAATATAAGAAAGCTTTTTTTTTCTTTTCATAAATACAAAGTCCTATAAGAAGCTATACAATTTTTGACATATTGATCCAGCTTATTGGGTCTACAATGAATAAAACCTTCATCTGCTCTGTATCCGATGTTGAGATTGGTGCTTTGATACAAAAAGTTCTGATATATTATTAATTGGCTATTTGTGCAGGATCCCAAAGACAATTGGTGTTTCAATTCCAATGAAGGCAACTTTCTTTATAACTTATATAATGGTCGATGGGTGGGCCGGAGTTGCTGGGGAGATTCTAAGGTTGAAACCTTTGATTATTTATCACTTGAAAAATTTCTTCTTGGTGAAGACTGAAAAGGATAGGGAAGACGCCATGGATCCAGGAACCCTTGGTTTCAACACCGGTGAACCTCAAATACAACTCTATTTCTTACTTGGCCTTGTTTATGCTGTGGTGTCGCCAATCCTACTTCCATTCATAATAGTATTCTTTGGCCTGGCATATGTTGTTTATCGTCATCAGGTAAGTTTTGTTGGTCAAATAATAAGAATTCATTTATGCAATCCCTTAGTAATTCTGCTAAATTATAATGAAGTTGTTTTCCAATATTTCTAGATTATAAATGTCTATAATCAAGAGTATGAAAGCGCTGCAGCATTCTGGCCTGATGTCCATGGGCGCATCATAACGGCACTTATCATCTCACAACTGCTACTGATGGGGTTGTTAAGCACTAAAGAAGCTGCTCAGTCAACGCCACTGCTTATCACACTCCCAGTGTTGACCATATGGTTCCATAGATTTTGCAAAGGCTGTTACGAACCTGCCTTCATCAGATATCCATTACAGGTTTGTTAGATTCGCTATTGGGAGACCCGGTTCTTTGTATTGGTTTCTGGTGCTTAAACATCTGCTGTGTTCTGATGAATTCGTTTAATTCAGTTTTCTTTTAAGGCATTTGAGTTTGTATTATGCTGATGCTGATGTTTTTCTATGGTGAATTGCAGGAAGCAATGATGAAAGATACATTAGAACGTGCAACAGAGCCAAATCTGAACTTGAAAAGCTTCCTTCAAAATGCATACATCCACCCAGTTTTCAAGGGTGAAGATGACAGTGAGAATGAAGCAGCCGCCGAAGAATGCGAGAAGGAGCCTGCAGTTGTGCCAACGAAACGCCAGTCTCGAAGGAATACACCATTGCCCAGCAAATATAGTGGTTCTTCATCATCATCCCTACCCGATGACACTCAGAAGATGCTCCGGCCTTAAGAGTCTGTACTCTTATGTTTTCTGTACATTTTTGGCTTAGGAGGTTGACATTTCTAAAGTTCAAGGGCATTGTAAATGGAAAAAGGAATTGTAGAGAGAGAGAAAGTGCTATAAGATGTTTCACTGTGTGGAGCAAAACAAATAGGTATATGATTCTTGGAAGATTTTGTAGTTGCTGCAATTAGGAGATTTGTTTTCTTGTTCTTATTATAGGAGAACAATTTCTTAATAGGTCCTTGTACTTTTACACTTTGTCCTCTTGCATGGTGAGTAGAATTTCTTGGTCATGCAAATAACTTTGCTTCTTCCTTAGAGAAACCCAAATTCCAAATTACTTTACTTCTTGCTTCTTACCAAATCCACCGCATTTTGAGCCCAAATTTTTTTTTCTTGTTGAAAAAACAAAAACAATGTTAGGCACATTTGTATATGACCTTGTGTGCGAAATTCTGTAGTGAGGGTGTCGTATATAAATTCACTTTTTTTAAACGGGTGGTACACAAAATGATATACCAAATGATAGGACAAGATGACATAGGCCCACGTGTGCGCCCTACTCTTTTCTCAATTGGGCGGTGCATTTTTTAATATTTCAAGGAAGTAAAAATCAAAACAGACAATTCATTCCAACTCATCTATGATTGGTGCGTTGAACTCAGCTGGTGGCCCCAGGCGACTCATACTCCTCCCCTTCCCTCTTTCCTTTCCTGGTTCTACAGTCTTTAAGTCTAAGAGAACAGCAATTAATTAATTGGAAGTGAAAAACGGACGAGGTGATGACGGCCGCGGATGCGACGACGTCGTCTTCACCGTCGATGACTGCAACGATCCCGTCGAACCTCCCTCTCATCGCTGCGTTCCTCGCCTGCGCTCTCGCTCAGTTCCTCAAGCTCTTCACCTCCTGGTCCGTACAGTTTCTCATTCCTCCAATTTCAATTTTTTCCGCAGCTGAACTTTTCATTTTGAAAAATAAATTTGAAATTTTAGAGTCAAAAGGGCGTGAAAATTGAGTGTTTTGGGTTGCTGCTCTCAGGTACAAAGAAAGGAGATGGGATTCGAAGCGAATGCTCGATTCCGGCGGAATGCCGTCGTCGCATTCGGCCACAGTGACGGCTCTGGCGGTCGCCATTGGCCTTCAAGATGGCGTCGGAGGACCCGCTTTCGCCATTGCTCTGGTCTTAGCATGCATTGTATGTAGAAAAATTTACCTTTTTTTTTCCCTTCATATCATGTTTAGTCAAAACGATATCGTGTATTTACATGTTGTATTTTCCAGGTGATGTATGATGCCTCCGGAGTGAGACTTTTTTTTTCCCTTCATATCATGTTTAGTCAAAACGATACCGTGTATTTACATATTGTATTTTCCAGGTGATGTATGATGCCTCCGGAGTGAGACTTCATGCTGGTCGGCAAGCCGAGGTAACATCTCCTTGTATGAGCTTAGATGTTTAAAATTATGAGCTTGTTTTATATAGAAATGGGAATCTGTTTTTGTGTACATGTTATGTTGATAGACTTTCAATTTTAGATGATCTAGTTTGAAATTTGACAACATATTGGGTGTTTGGTAAGAGAAGATTATCGTGAGTGTTTTTTGATATGATTAATTTATCACATTGATGGGTGTTGCAGTTGCTGAACCAAATTGTGTACGAGCTTCCTCCGGAGCATCCTTTGTCCAGTGTTAGACCTCTGCGCGATTCACTTGGACATACTCCCTTGCAGGTCTGTTGCACTACTCTTGCTTGCTGCACATCACTTGAGTAAATCGGAAAATTAGCTCACCATGTTATTAGAAAATTATGTTGTCTTAATATTCATGTTTTGATTTTAAGCTCATTGTGGTTGCCGTGAAGCAGGGCAATTAGTAATCCCATTCTGCAGATGGTCCTTAGCTAATTAAATTAGAAAAGGAAATTTTCTTTGTCCCCATAATTCATTTCCTAGCCAGAGTAGTAAATCGTGTGAACATGTTCATTAACCAGTGACATTTTGTTGCAAAGTAGCTGGCCAGTGATGCTTCTTGTTTGCTTGTATAGTTAGCAAATGCAATACTCTTACTCTGTCATGCTGGCTCCACTGGACAAAGCTAGAATGTTATTCATCCACCATTGTTATTATGGATCGACCACGTCATTGTTATCATCATGAAGTAATTACAAGGTTTAGCTTCAGAGAAATACAGGTTTAGACATACATGCATTGTAACTTATTTATCTTGTACGGTAACCATTATTATAGCTTTGTTGAGGGGGAACTTTTTGAGTAAGATATTCATAATCTTAATCTTCAAGTATCAATGACATTTTTTATTTGGTTTGACATCAGGTTGTTGCTGGTGCCGTGTTGGGATGCATAGTGGCATATCTAATGAGTAACAGCAAATAAGATATCTTATGACCGATACCTGATTCTTTGAGCTTCATACTGATTAGCCGTTGACTAGAGGCCGTAGTTTTGGCAAGTGCAAGGGCAGCGAAAGAGCTGATGTAGGATGAGTTCCTAATTGTTGAAAGCATGCAAAGGTGTTTACAGAATAGGGGCCTCCACCTAGATGCTGGGGCGGGGGACTATTTTTTTGATGGATTTGAACATTGTTGCTGTGTATACAGAAGTTACCTTGACTTAATAAAAGACAACCCTTTGTGAAACTCTTGATGTTCCAGATTGTATTCTTCTTTTTACTCGCGCACACTGTCAGTTTTTCTGTAATTTGCTGACATGATTAACGGGTCGCTCTTCTTTAATATGATTTTTAAGCTATGAGAATAAAGCCAGAAGTGCATCTTCAAGTCTATACAGTTGCTGAGTTTCTGATTATGATAATTGTAACGGATATTAATTTGGTTATTTAAGCCTAATTCATGCTGCTAGAGTTTGCCAAAAACTAAATTAAAGAAAGAAATAATAAAATAAAAAGAAGAGGCTTTAAGATTGAAAAATGGTTTTTAAATGAGAAGGGGACGTGTTTCATTGTCACTGGGTTCTTAACAAATAACAGACTTGGAGAAACAGAAATGCAAAGTGCAGTTTCAGCTTTCATTATTAATTAACTCTTCAATCCACAAGCACCTTCAAACATCGAAGTTGAAAACGGTTCCTTCAACTCTCTCTCTCTCTCATATACACAGAGGCACTTGCAAAGAAATAGTGAGAACATAACTAACCATGACAAAGAAGAGAGCTTCATCACCCATGCGCCAACTTTTGAGGTTGGTTTCAGGTCTCATCATCATTGTCAGTATCTTTCTATGTCTATTGGCTTTTCTTAGAGTGCTCCATTCTCAGTCCAAACTCCCACCATCATTCTTCAAGTCTCGGAGGTCTCATGCTTTCATTCATGAAGATCAGTTTAAAGGCCTTCCGAAAGTTGCCTTCCTCTTCCTCGTTCGTCAGGATCTACCTCTTGATTTTCTCTGGGACACCTTCTTCAAGGTTTGCTTGCTAGCAAAAATAAAAGTGAAATCGGTTGTGAACAGAACCATAACATGGAGAGACGTTTTGATATGCTTTCTTGTGAGCTTTGCAGAATGGCGATGTGGCAAAGTTCTCGATTTATATTCATTTAGAGCCTGGTTTTGCATTTGATGAATCAACCACAAGTTCTGCTTTCTTTTACGGTCGACAGCTGAACAACAGCATTCAGGTGTTCTTTTAGCTTCTTTGAACAAGAACAGCTTCAATTTGTTCATATTTTACTTGGTTCCGTTGCTTCGTTTCTTAGTAAGATTGACTGGCAATTATGCTGCAGGTAGTATGGGGAGAATCAAGTATGATAGAAGCAGAGCGCTTACTACTTGAAGAAGCTCTGTATGATCCAGCCAATCAAATATTTGTCCTTCTCTCAGATAGGTAGGTCTCGTCACCTCTTATATATGCAAGTGACCTCTTCCAACTGTATCAAAAACAAACTAATTTGCACTTTTTGTGTCTATTTCTTCATTCTGCAGCTGTGTGCCTCTGTACAACTTCAGTTACATTTACAACTATGTAATGTCTTCTCCAAGAAGCTTTGTGGACAGGTATTTGATATCAGCAATAACCAGAATGAATGTTTTTTAGAAGTGCTGGTCAAATTTTTGTGTTTCCTACACATATGGAAGAAACAGTGAAGCTGAACTTTTTGTAGTCTCTGCATTATAGCTTCATTGATGTTAAAGGATTTCGTTATGATCCGTAGATGTCACCTACTATACCTGAGGAGAGATGGCGAAAAGGATCCCAGGTTTTATATCTTCCATGTATATTTGCTGCATTGAGATGGAATAAATAGTTCAACTGACACAATTCTGCCTTTCTTTTCTTTTCTTTTTCAAGATATTGATTCCTCCTATTGATGTAACGTCATGTTGATCTCATTCTCAGTGGATAACTTTGGTTAGAAGACATGCAGAAATTGTTGTGGATGACCATACGGTTTTCCCCGTCTTCAGGAAATTCTGTAAGGTATACAGGGAGGCTTTATCTGGTCCCATTTCCATCTGCCTGAAAGTTTCTTTTGACATCTTGAAATGTTGCTCAATTTTCAGCGGCAGCCACCCATAGACCTGAGTTTGAGGAGGCAACTTCTTGTAAGGAAATACTGTCTTTTAAACTTTACATGAAAAAGAAGGAAGAAAAAAGGGTTTGCCCCTGGCCTTCAAAGAGTATATAAATACATGTGATGTGCTCGTTCTTGTCCACAGGAACATGATTTCGATTTCATGTTTTTAATGCAGACAGTTCCGAAGTATCGGAATTTTATCCCAGATGAACATTACGTGCAGAGACTACTTGCAGTAAGCAGATGCTTTCTGTTCTTTCCTATATTAATAAACAAATGTTTTTAAGATGTGTTTTGTTTTGGAAAGTTTATAGGGAATTTCATTCAAATTCTGCATTTGTGTGTTGTGATAAGATAAGTGGACTTGAGGACGAACTTGAATGAAGAACATTGACCTACACATCATGGAATCAGACAACGATACTAAGGAAAAGAAGGTCTTGGCATCCTATAACGTTTGATTATGCAGATGCAAGCCCTTGGAAGATGAGAGAAATTAAGGTGAGTAGTTCTTATGTCCCACATAAGAAACAAAGTCTATAAAACTTGTCCTGCTTGCGTTGCATACATAACTTGATCAATTTAAATGGCCTAGGCTATCTTGTTTTCCTTCTGTGGATTGGATCCAAACACCAAACTTCATGTGGCCTAAGATATATCAGTCTGCTTTTTTTTACTTTTTGATCATATTTGTTTTTTACAGGATATCGACCATGCATACTATGAGTACGAACAACACACTGAGTTCTGCCATACCGGTTCCAAAATCACTTCATGTTACTTGTTTGCAAGAAAATTCACTGTCGGAGCTGCCATGCTCATTCTGAGAGAAGGTTTGATTGGTCCTTATGATGTTACTGCAATACCAAACATGTGACTGTTACTGCAATACCAGATATAAGGAGGCCTCTACGAAAGGAAAAAGAGATGGGACACAACTCTTGCATCACAAGTAGTGGCCAATAGAATGCAATTGTACAAAGCAAAACACATTAACTATTTAAATGGTTGTAGTTGCTCACTACTTTGTTCATTTGAAATTCCTTTATTTTGATTTTGAATAGTAGAAAACCAAAAGTCAGTTTTGGCTACCAAATTCAATAAAACCATGAAGCTCTAAAACACCTAACCTTAAAGAACCCTATTGATTCTCATCACTTAAAACCTTCAGCTACTGAAGTAGTTAGAGCAAAATGTAAAGAAATGAAAGTTTTACACAATTTTACTTTTAGGACTAATAAACAGTCATCACATTGCACATGTATCGCGTATGTGAACCGTCTAATTTTATTATTGTAACATCCACGATAAAATGTTGGAAAAATATGTAAATTAATAGTTTTTGCAAAGTAAATTTTTTATTTTTGTTGGGTAATATTCAGGAAATAAAGATTGATGCACAAAATGGATGGTCATAGTATTGTATGTATGATAAGCACCATAACAAATCTCTAACGTCAAAACCCCACAAAAATTTCAAACACAAAGTGGAGGGAAAACCTCTTCGTCCCATCAGTTCCCATCTCAACTCTCCCATTCTCATACTTTCCCCAATTCAATTTTTCGATTACAATGGCCGATACCCTAAGCCCTAACCCAACGGCCCAGAAGCAGAGGCTCCCGATGGCCGCTCGTCTCCAGTCTCCAACCAGCCCCTTCTTCCTCGGCTCCAACGACGACCACCTCGAGCGTGCACAAGCACGTGCGGCACGCGCAGCCGCGATTCGCAGAAAGTCCATTGCGCTCAATTTACCGCCACTGGATGCGGATACTGATCCCTGCCTCGGCAAGGAGCAGATTCTCGAGCTGTTCCAGAATTGCATCAAACTGGCTAGCGAAAATGTCAGCACTTATCTCTCTCTCTCTCTCTCTCGCTCTCTGTGTTAGTTTAGCATTCAAAGTTTTGAAATGAATTTGATTTAACAAAAAGTTAGAAGTTTATAGCAATCTGTTTGTCAATATGAGTGTGAATTTTGAAGTATTTCATTTTTTAAGACTTAATGATGATTGAAACAAAAGGGTCTTCTGTGGTTGAATTTTGATAACCCTTTGTACTGTATTAGATTTTGAGTTTTATCTATTGGGTGCAGAAAATTAATCAAAAGAACACATGGGAGCTCAATCTGATAGACCATTTGACGGAAATTATTAAGGTTGAAGAGGAAAATGACGCTGAGACGAATTTTCAAAAGGTAAGCTGTGCCTTTTGATGGTATGATATATATATAAAGGGTTTGTTTTTAAGTATTGTTCGTCGTTTGTGGATATTTCGGATTAGTTTTGGAACTTGAAATCTATCAGGACCGAAATTTGGTAAATTTTTTTTTGTTTTTGAAGTGTGGCCCGAAGTTCATTCTTTCAATGGAATATGCTGTGTTCAATTAAGTATGTATCACTTTTCTACCTGTGCAGGCAAGCTGCACTCTTGAAGCTGGAGTCAAAATTTACTCATTAAGGGTGGATTCAGTACACTCTGAGGCATATAAGGTCCTTGGTGGAATGAATAGAGCAGGCCAAGAAGACGAACAAGGTTTGGTTCACTATATTTTGTTCTTTCGTTTCTTGTTCAAGTCTTTTACTTGAAATTCTTGGCTGGAACAATTTAATTGTTAACGGTTTGTAGGAGTGATTACCATGTTGTATAGTTATCTTTAATCAGCTCATCTATAGTTTGAAATTTAACTGTCAATTTGTAAAGTTGTATAGTTCTCTTGATGCTGTGTTGCAATGTTAGATACTAGTCCGGATGATGCCGCTGTTGACAATGGACAAGATGTGGCGCATTCCAAGAAAGAGATGGAGAAAAAGGTTGATAGTTCTCTGGCTCACTCGAATGATTTAATAAACTCTGTATGCCAAGTACTGACGTAAATCCATAAATGCAGTCACCTTTATCAACGCTGGAGTCGTCTTTTGAGGCTCTAAATGTAAAAAAGTTTGATGGTGAGCACACATCCTTGCTATCCGTATAAATAGTTTTAAAGTGTGAAATACGAGGTCAAATTTGTAATATTAATTTGTCTGTATTTTTCAGTTGCATTTGCAGTTGATCCACTCTATCATCAGACATCTGCACAATTTGATGAAGGTGGGGCTAGGGGTCTTTTAATGAATAATCTTGGAGTATTTGGTAGATGCAGAGTTCTCTTTGACTCGTCGGAAGTACCAGCGAAGTGCATGTCATGCGATAATCAACATGATAAATCAGATACCATCGATCTTTCTTTTGCTAGTGGTGAGTTGCATTTTTGGTAATGTATTGTTTTCTTGGTAACTCTTGTCTTCCCATAATTTTTTTTAATCAAATGAGAATATTCAGTTTTAATAATAGTCACGTTTTCTTGTTCTTTTATAGAGTATGTTGAACAAATGGTATTGAACATGCGAATGAAAGATGAAATTTCACCAACTCTCAGGAATATAGTCAATCGATTTGATGAAGATAACAGAAGGCCAGCAGATATATATTCCTGTTCTCAGGAATCAGCAGAACAAGTAGACGCAGCCCATAATAATGAAGTTGAATTTGATGGTGATGTACCTGAGAACTTTGGGAACTGGGATTATGAACATGATGACCAAACAAGCATGGTAGATGAGGGCCTTAACTGTGAAAATTCAACTTTTACTAGTTATGACGAGGTTTTTTGAACAAACTATCCCTATAATTGGTCTTGATTGTATATATTTGTTCAGTTGTTTTCTCTCTAGTTGTGTGTATGAGTGAAGAATCACTTTATTCCCTGATAATCTCTTAAATTTGTAGGAAAATGAACCGGGTGCTTTTGATGAGCGTGATAGCGAGGAGAGACTTAAGGACGTTGATGAGTATTTGTTCTTAAGTCTTGGATTAACTTCAAAACAAAATGCATGGGCAGGTCCTGATCATTGGAAGTATCAAAAAACTAAAGGTCTGGTTCAGTGGTTATATCATCAACCAGTATGTGTATGTGTATTTCTTGTGCTCCAGTAGTATGGTCACATAGTGCAACAATATGTTTTTTCAGTTTCCGAGATTGATCCTTCTGGAGAACAACCAGTAGCGGTTAAACGACACAGGAAAAAAGTACAGCCTGATCTTGATTTCACGAAAGCCTTGGAAGAAGAAATGCCAGATATTTTTGCTCCTCCAAAAAATCCGAAATCCTTACTGCTGCCAGCAAATAGAGCACCCTGTAATACAAAGCTTCCTGAGGATTGCCACTATCAACCAGAGGATCTTATCAAGCTATTTCTGATACCTAATGTAAAGGTAATGTGTTGCAACAATCATACGATATATGTATTTCCATCGAAATGGTGTACGCTCTTGCTTTTTCATGAAATGCTTTTCTTTTTTTTTCTTTTTTGTGCTGCAGTTCCTTGGAAGGAGAGGCAAGAAGTCCTCAGGTAAGAAAGTTCTTTCTCGTTGGTTGGTAATAAATAAGGATAACCAATAATTAACATTTTTTCTGGATCCTTTTTTTAATTTTTAATTTTTATTAATGATGAAATGTGCAATTAATATATAGAGTACTTGTTGTGACATTAGATGAATCGAGGCAACAGTCTGATGATTATGGGCAATTGCCATTCGACGATGATGATAATGTATTTGGTGGCCAATATGATGACGGAATTAGCCATAGTGATGTGGAGGACTTTAGCACACTTGTTTCTCAGCCTCGCCAGGTTGGTTTCTAACTTTTCAGCTTGATATAATTTGAGACCCCTTGCAGTTGACCACAAGTCTGAGAGTGAGTGTTAGGTAGCCTATGACTTGGAGAGTTATGGTGGTTTACAAACCTGATTTCATCTCAAGTATTTTACAAGGTTTCTTATTTTTTATTTTATGAAGTAAGGAAGAACTTTGTATTTTATTTCTCCCTTTGTCTTCCAAGTATTTTACAAGTTTATAATTCGATTATGTCTAGTTTTATAGATATTCATCATGGAGATGATGAGGGCTGCAATCTTGGGAATAGTTTTAGTCTGTAATTCAAAGCTCATTAAAACAAATCTGTAGTTTTTGCTTATGCTTTCTTCCTACATCTAAACAATACAGGTAAACAAAATTGAAGTCCACTATGACAAGACTTCCAAACAAGTTGATGTCCAGGTTCTGAAAGAAACCCTTTGGGGCCATGTACAAGAATCTGTTCACATGTCGACACAGGTGCGCTAAGTTTTCTCTTTCTGCGTATAATTTTTTGTGCAGTTTTCCTTAGGCTATATAGTATATAGCATATGGAATGAGTTTTTACATAAAAAAAAAGTTAGAAGACATATGAAAGCTTGATTCGGGATTTTATTTCTATACTAATACGAGCTATCGATTATTGATGTATTATTCCAATTGATTGAAGACTATTTTCCTTTTTATATTCATGCTGGCAATCAATCTGTCTGTTGGAACGTACTGGTTACCAGTAATGGCCTTTGGTGTGATCGGCCAACAGAAATGCATAAGTACCTCTGTCTTGCATGAGAAACATTTGTGTGCAATGAGGATAACATTGTTTTGCTATTCCTAGCCAATCAAACTATACCATGTGTGATAACTTTTTCACTTGGTATAGCTTGATTGGCCGAAAATAGCAAAGCAATACTATTCCCGTTTCATAAAAGTTTTTCTAGTCTTGTATTTGGATACAATTATATTAACAGAACAGAAGATCAACACTGAACCATATTTAGGAATAGGAACTGCTATCTCCACATGTCTTCTTTAGTTGCCGTCCTTCATTTGTTTTACAAAAAGGAAAGCCAGAAAATTTATGCTTCTACCATCCAACTGTTTCATTTATGATATACATTATTTTGAGAAGGTAAATTCTGATTGTTGATATTTCTGATTTTGGAAAGGGTCAAGAACAACTGGCATCCTTCAAGCAAATCTTGGCCAGCTTCCCAAGTGACTGCAGAGCTGCTGGAACTATCAATGAAATCTCCCCTCATCTGTGTTTCATATGCCTTTTACATTTAGCCAATGAGCATGGCTTGAGCATCCTTGGCAACACCAATTTGGATGATCTCAGCATACACCTTCCTTAGCTCTCTGTTTATGATTGAAAAGGAAATGAAATGAAAAGTGTGTTTAAACGTGTACTTTACAACTCATATTTATTTATAATAATATCCTGCTGTTCCTATCAATATTTTATTTTAAATTGGTCTTGAAGACAAGGATGTCAAACTAAAAATATAATGTGTCTCATTAAAAGCAATGTTATTTTTTAATCAATAGCAAGAAATATTATTCAAAAATAACAAAACCGTAGACTATTTACTCAATCAATCAAATGACAAGGCAGGCAAATGTGGCCCTTGAAAAGTACCGCCAAAAATAGGGAGTTTCACTAAAACACCCAAAATGGGGGTTGAAATTATAAAAAAACCCAAGCACTATTTAAACATATAAACACACCCCAAAACCCATCATTACACACACTCAAAACCCATTTATAGACACACCCAAAAAGTTGACTTTGGAGTTGATTTTGGGTGTGTTTCTATGTTTAAATAGTGCTTAGGTTTTTTTATAAATACATGTCTAGGATTGGGTTTATTTATAAATTTGTACCAAAAATATCAATTGAAACAGACCCCACGTTTCGTTCAGAAAGGTAGGACATGTGCACACACAGCCCTATCCTGATCACAATCAATCCTGATCACAATAAAATCTTCTCATTCAATTACAAGATAAATAAACAGTGACTTCAATGAGCTGTGATGCATTTGTTTGTGGCAAGATTCTCAACGAGTTGCATGCTGCTCATTTATTTTTGCGTTGAACGCATATCATGTGCTAATTATTTAGAGTTTTAAGTTTGCAAGAGACAGATAATCATGGTGGCCTTAATCAACTCTGTAGACACGTGGCTTAGCCAACTTCGTTAGAATTGATATGCTCCTCACTCTGCATCTGAGTTCAAATCCATTTTCTTCATGTTTCCTTATATCCTTGAACATGAAAAAGGAACTTAAAACTCGTATTTCAGTCGTTATAAAAAGTGCGAAGTTATTAATATACCTGAACCATACATATGTGAGTTTTTTTAAAGCGACAAACATCTTTTATTTGTCCCCTTTTTTTGGATACAGATTTTCAGATGAATTTTTCACGTTTTTTGTGTGTCAAAAGTAGCCGAGAAAGACTACAGAGCATTTATAACTAAAGCTCTTACCTTTAACCTCACAACTACAGAAGTAGCAAAACCACAAACATCTCTCCACTTCACAACACAAAATCTCAAAATCTCAAAAACCCAAAACAAAATTAAAAATTTATATAAAAAAACCCATGTCTTTCATGATGAGCATGACGCCTGGCATCCCATCATCATCCTCATCCTCATCACCCTCACCACCATCATCACCACCGCTCTCTTCACCGCCAGTATCACTTCCGGTCCGTACGATCCCCGGAGGCTACGGCTGGCCGCTTCTGGGGCCCATCTCTGACCGCCTGGACTACTTCTGGTTCCAAGGCCCTGAAACCTTCTTCAAAAAACGCACTGACAAGTACAAGAGCACTGTGTTCCGTACAAATGTCCCTCCGAGCTTTCCCCTGTTTCTCAACGTCAACCCCAACGTTGTGGCTGTTCTGGACTGCAAGTCCTTCTCGTACCTCTTCGACATGGACTTGGTCGAGAAGAAGAATACTCTTGTTGGTGACTTCATGCCCAGTGTTAACTTTACAGGGGGCTTGAGGACCTGTGCTTACCTTGATACCACTGAACCACAACACGCTAAGGTATGCTCTTACATGAACTCATGTGGATACTTTTCTGTTTTTGTTTTTGTTTATGAAAATGTTCAGATCCGGAAATGTTCTTTCCCAAATATAGTGTCTAGCAACACAAATATTTTATATTTATTATATCTGACGACATAAGCATTTATCTAACAACATAAAATCTGGCAAGAAAACATTACTCGATCGCACTTATAGATTCGGGTTCATTTACTGGTCCGTTGGTTTACCGGTTTATTAGTTGCCATATTTTAAGAAGAAGAGAACAATTGTGTCGAGCAATTGAAGATACTGTGGCTTGTTTATGTCTGTTGCTGAACTAGAAGTAGATTCTTTCATCAGAGTAATGGATGAGAGACTTGTTGGATATGTTTTCCTGGAGAATGAGGTTGCTGAAAAGTCCCAAAATGGTCCAAATGTGTCAACACACTGGTTTGTCTTTTGTCATATGTTTAGGCTGTGAGTCAAGCCAATCTAAAATTTGTACCAAGAAAATTGTGAGTTCTGCAGGACCCCTACTCCTGGGACCATTTCAACAATTGTTGGTGGTCCTAACGTCCAGTTGAATGTGAGATAGATAATCTTAAATTTTGAGTGGACTAAGATTAACAGATTGCTCAGTAAATTGGGATTAATTTTCCACGGGTTTGGTCAATGGTCTCTCTGTGTTTTTGGAGAAACACTTGTGTGAAACGGGAATAGCACTATTTTGCTATATTTGGCCAATCACGGCATGCCACACGTGATAACTTTTCCACGTGACAGCATGTGATTTGTTGAGGATAGCAAAACAGTGCAATTCCTGTTTCATACAAGTTTTTCTGCTATTTCTCAGTACTCTCTTTTTTTTTATATGTATAAAATGAACTACTACCGTTTCATCTAAAGTTACCATGGTGATTAAAGTATCATCTTGTTGTTATATGCTTGTTTTTTGTTAAGCTAATTACAATCTTAATATCTTCTTCACAGATCAAGAACTTTGCCATGGACATCTTGAAAAGAAGCTCCAAGGTTTGGGTACCTGAGCTCACTGCTAACCTCTCCACCATGTTTGACACAATAGAAGCAGAAGTGTCCAAGGATGGGAGTGGCAGCTACTTGATCCCACTCCAGAAATTCATTTTCAATTTCCTCACAAAATGCTTAGTTGGTGCTGACACAGCAAGCTCACCCAAGATAGCTGAGTCCGGTTACGCCATGCTCGACCGGTGGCTCGCCCTCCAGCTCCTCCCCACTGTCAAGATTGGTTTGCTTCAGCCTCTGGAGGAGATTCTCCTCCATTCTTTTGCATACCCATCTTTTCTTGTGAGTGGAGACTACAACAAGCTTTACCAATTTGTTAAGGAACAAGGTATGTTACCAACAAACTGTTTCTACTTACATTTAGTAGCATATTGTAGATTACATCTTTAGGGAAATGTTCTCTTGACATATTGTTTATGGACCACTAATCGAGTTGATTATTATGTGAATATGTTGTCCAGATTTAACATAAACATTTATCTGCTGACATAAGCTTGACAAGAGAATATTACCATACATCTTCTTAGTACACACATATAATATAGGCTATTAGAGATATGTTCTATAACTTGGTCGATAAATCCGGTACAAATGACATTCCTCAACAAATTTAAGCTTGTACTTGTGCCATGAACACAAATTATGGAATTGTTTACAGGTAAAGAAGTAGTGAAGAGAGGTGAAACCGAGTTTGGACTGAGCCAAGAAGAAGTAATTCACAACCTTCTGTTTGTACTTGGTTTCAACGCGTTTGGTGGGTTCTCTGTCTTTCTACCATCGTTAATAAGCACAATAGCTAGTGACACCACCGGCTTACAAGACAAAATAGTCAAAGAAGTCAGAGAAAAGGCCGGTTCAACTTTGACTTTCGACTCAGTTAAAAATTTGCCACTGGTTCAGTCTGTAGTATATGAAACACTCCGGTGCAACCCGCCAGTTCCTCTCCAATACGCCCGGGCCAGGAAGGACTTTCAACTGAGTTCATATGACTCGGTTTTTGACATCAAGAAGGGTGAGTTGCTTTGTGGGTATCAACCACAGGTGATGAAGGATGAGAAAGTTTTTGATGAACCAGAGACTTTTCAACCGGACCGGTTCTTGAAAAATAAGGAGTTACTGAACTACTTGTACTGGTCCAATGGACCGCAGACCGGCTCACCAAGCCAGTACAACAAACAGTGTCCTGGAAGGGACACTGTGACCCTCACGGCTTGCTTGTTTGTTGCTTATGTGTTTCAAAGATATGATTCAATCACTGGGACCGCAACTTCAATCACAGCCCTTGAGAAGGCCAAGTAAGAGAGCAATGTGAGTGATCACAGTCGTTGAAATGGGGATGTGATGGATGATGAAATAATGTATTTTTGTCTGTTTTTGTAAATTTGGTGTCGTTCGGGGTTTGTGGTCGATTAAAGCGGACAGATACTTGAGGGAAAAGGACAAGTTGGGTGTGCCCAGTTTCATTAAATAAAAGTGAACAAAATGTTAAAAAGGGTTTATTGTGGTGGGGTGGATCAAAGGTAGCCCCACTCCACTTGAACTTCTTTGGCTCCGTTTGGTATGATTTGACAAATTGACACAAATGAGTTCACATTCCTTTCAAAAAGCATTCATGCCCTCTTGTAGCAAAATTTCCTTTCGTACACCTATGTGCTAGGTACATAGGTAGTATCCACTGTTGGATGAGCTTTAAAAGCATTGAATGATTAGGTTCCTCCCAAACCAAGATTATTAGGATGGCCAACATGATCTTGCCCCTCATTTTTCGCAATATTTTGTCTATGGATCTTGTAGCTTTTTCACAAGAAATTCTTGTATACTTGCAATCTTTGTATGTAACTTTTCACTCGCAGAACATGATTAGCAAAACTGTCACATTCTAAGGATTGATAAGTTGCATTGTATACTATAGTCTCGGTGTGACAACTTTTCATTTTTTATCAAGGAAAGGAGGAAGAATTCGAACTTGAAATTGCTTCTAAGAAGCGAAGTACCACTAAACTGAAAAAGTAACGCGTCACTAAGTTTGATAATCTTTCCACTTCTCTAGTTTAAGAGTTCTTCCTTGCAACCCCGAAAAAAAATGAAAAAATGAAAAGGTTTCTTCCCATATTGAATCCCATCTCACCTATTGCTGGTCTTTGGACTCTCATAAGTCCCACTTGCCCACAAGCTGGGCTTTGCTTCCCTAATTAACCCAAGGACGTCATGGATGGCTGGCCAGCCGAGGTATTGGGACAGCCCAGTTTTGTATATGCCAAAACAATAATTTCAGCCTATGTTAAGTGTCTACTTAGAATCCTCTCAAGAAGTGAAGCTTCCCTACATGTTTCCCACCACTCATGCCCAATATTGTTAGTTTGGATCAATAGCAGCTAGCAGCCCCCACCACCTCTTATCAGATCTATGGAGATTTTTAGACCAAATACAAAAAGAATTCAACATTCCTTAATCAATGAAGCCAGGATTTAGACAACCATCCATACTGATATTTAATGAAGAATTCCTGCTTTCAGTCTTACGTGTGGAACATTCAACTATAATTGGGTGGAGAATTGAGATGATCAGGGTTCTTGACAACATTCATTGCTTTTGAAATGCTAGATAACAACTATGTTCTCTATACTTTTAACTGTAAATACAAATAATTCAGTCTGGTAAATATAATTGATTGCATATCATGCCCCATTTAAGTTGAAGAAGAGTGTCCTAATAAGAGTTTATCACTAACCAAGAGAGGAAGTACCATGTTGAAGAAGATTAGCCTTTGGCTGTTCCATAATTGCCACAGAGGGTTTCTACACAGTCTGAACGTTTCCTTGCGTCTGAGTATTAGACTTTGTAACCCCTTCTTTCCATCCTCTTTGACGAGCCCTAAGCTCCCATGTTGCTGTCAGTTTCCTCTGTGCCTCTAATGTTGCTTCAGCTTTCTCCCTTGCTTCTTCACATGTTTCCATCCCTGAATTGCACTTGTCTGCTTCCTTCTGATACTGGGATGCAATCTTCTTAGCCTCCAGCAGAGCCATATCAGCTCGTTGTTGATTTTCTAAAGCTTCAGCTTCCCGAAGCTTCAACTCTTCAGTCAAAAGATCCACAAAATTTTTCTCGGTGTCCTCACTCACCTCTGGATCATGCTTTGCACAATCTGCATAATATGTGCCAAAGACATAAATACACAGTGGAAGCTTCTAAGGATTGAATGAAATCTGAAACCTTCAGCCCTACCTAAATTCTAAAAACCAAACTTTTGAAAACCACAACCTTGTAATTTGAGATGCAACTTAACCTCCATAATTCAAGGTAATAAGTATTTGAATTATTTAGATGATCGTTCAACCAAAATAAGAATGAAACGGATAAGCATCAAAGACGCAAATCCATCCTTCAAGTAAAATCAGCAATTTTAAAAAGCGAGTTAAGATTGACAAAAAGAGAGAGGGCACAGGAAAAAGAAAAGGCCAGAATTCAGTTATGGTCCAATGAACGAAATCTACTAGGCTGGGAGCTCTTGATGCAGTCTTAACTGCAAAATGTGTAGTGTGGAGAAACCACACACATTCTACAGAATCATCTAGATGATGTTGAGAGACAGAATTTGAGAAAAAAAAAGTGAGCAGGAAAGTTTGCAATACTGCAAGACTTCACAATTCTTCTAGAAAAATTTGTCTATTGGAGAGTGGGATCTGAAAGTGAAAACTTTGCGACGATGATACTGGATTGAATGATACTTGCTACAATATCAGTCCTTAAAAGGACCTCAGGGAAAATGAATTATCTAACATAAACAGGGGACAATTACTTGTTTTATGGCAAGGAGAAGATACTAAGTAGTCAGTTATATCACAAAGCAATCAATCTAGAACATCATACATGCAGAACAAGTTAATTTGCTGTGAAGAGACTAACCTGCAAATGAAATGTTGCTGAGTCCTGCAGAACAAGAACAAAGCAAGATGAGTACACATCTGATAGTGATGACAATCAACTAATAATACAATAAAATCAGCTGAATGAAGTAACGCAATTGATTAAAAAAATCCCAAATTGATCACAACCAATAAAAGCTACCAACTTTAGATATGAAAAATAATGGAATGAATCAGTGAACCCAAATGGGATTTTGAGCTCATTGGCATCAAATCAGTACAAAATGTGCTAAACTCAACAAAATAAAAAACATAAAAATAAAAGAGATCCAATCAGATCTAGCCAAAATGGATCATGGGCAAGTGAAAGAAGAACAAACAAGAGCAAATTACCAATGGGGATGGAGAGGAGAGGCTGAGAAGAGCAATCACAGGTGCAAGGAGGGCAAGAAGATAAGGAAGAAGAAGATGAAGAGTGGGAGACGGCAGCTAAGCCCTCCATGAAGTGCCAGTAGAGAGGTGGGCCCACTATGTACCCGGCTATGCAGACCCCAACTATCACCAGCCCCGCCTTCAACACTGCCGGACTCATCCCCATCTCTCTCTCTCTCTCTCTCTCTCTCTCTCTCTCTCTCTCTTCCAATCTGGGTTCTTCCTCAGCTTGTGAAATCGAATCGAAAGTCCCGAGCTTTGGAGCAGGCAACGTCGATTCTTAACGGTTTTTCACGGCCCGACTGCCGTATAGTTTTAGTTGGGACTTGTGAAGATCAAAGATGGCTTCTTTACATCTGCGAAAGCCTGTGCGACTGTGACCGTGTTTTTATCCTTTTTTTATTAATTTGAGAGTGAGAGACTTTTGCCAGTTGGTCCATTTCCATTTTCATTTCCCAGTTTATTATTTTGTGTTAATAGTCAAATTCATTTTTTGGTTTTGTGTTATCACTAATAATTAACTCTTACATATTTTTTTTGGTAAAAATTAATTCAGACATTTTCAACCTTTATTATTATTTGTTTTTAACAAATTTAATAATTAAAGTAATTATTTTTGTTATTTTTTAACCAGTGTGACATAAGTTAATGTTGAGTTATTTGACATGATTAGTTGAAATATACATTTGTTCCACACAAAAGCAATGTTGTTTTAATGATTTTTTAGCCTTTTAGTTTGAAATAAGTTATAATAAAATAATTTAAGTATGTTACGAGTTTATAGTCTCTATTTTGGTTTAATAAAGCATGCTAACACATTTACATTGGCCCTTCGTAGAAAGACATTTTTTTAGATGTTGTTGTTGATGTAGCATTTTAAAGTTATATTGACTCTTTGTAGGTGGATTATAGATGCAATTTCAAATATTTAAAAATAAAATAAAAAAAGATTTTGATTTGCATATCAAAGTCTCAAGTTCGAATCTCATGAAATCTTGTAGTGATGTGAAAAAAGGACTTTGACGGAATATCACTTATCTATATATATAAATCAAAATGTAGAAAATGATGAAACATTCAAAATACTAGAAAATACAATTGGTTAATGCAAACATTAAAAATTGAAATTATTAACTAAATGAGAATAATATGATAAATTCATACTTTTTCATATTAAAAAAATTAAAATTAAAAGATAAATCAGATAATTGATCTTATTTTTATACGGAACACAATTACCCATTATATTTTTTAATTCTAAAATAAATTTAAATTAAAAAAAAACAATAATAAGTCTCTCACAAGCGCGAAAGCATGTGCGTAGAGATTAGTATTTAAAAAAAAGCAAAATAAGAATACATAGCTGAATTTAAATTTTATTTATTTATTTATTTTCAGAATTACCACCGTATCCCGAGTGAACAGAGAGAGAATTCAACAGAAACTGGTGGGAAGTAATACTATGCGATCTAGTAACTCTGTGCCCCCTCAGTCACTGAATCACCGCCCTATCCCAAACCCAGAGAGAGAGAGAGGGAGAGACCAGCAAGCCTGAAAATGGCGATGGAAATCCCGTCGGATATGATAAAGGAGGTGCAGATCTCGCTTCGGAGAGAAGCGAAGATGTCGTCGTATGACCCAGACGACACGCCGTTGCCAAATCTACCATCCGTCGAAGAAACCATAGCGGATTTGGATCCATCCCCGCCGTATCTACGGTGCAAGCATTGCAAGGGCAGATTGCTGAGGGGCGTTCAGTCACTTATTTGCGTCTTCTGTGGCAGAGAACATTGCAAGGACCTCCCTCCTGACCCCATCAATTTTCGCGATACTTTTGGCTACCGGTGGTTGCTCAAGTCCCTGAGCTTGGATGGATCGGTATGCGACTTAATTTTGTATGTTTTGTTTGGTTGATGAGAAAATTGAGGTTAGGAGAGAAAAAAAGGGGTTCTTGTTGTGTTTGGTTGAAGGGTAAACGAGAAAGAAATGAAATTTAGATTCCCTAATTGCTTTTCTGGAATGAAGTTATTTTTATTTCAGGGGAAATTAGAAGAAAAAAAAACAGGAAATTTAAGAAATTATATCATCTCGCTTCTAGATGATGAAAAAGATTGAAGCTTTGAATGTTTTCGTTTACTAATTTGTTTTACGAGCTCTTTTTAGAAGCCCGGCGGAGTGATGAAGTTGATTTCACATTTCCTATTTGAAGCTATTTGTGTTATCATGTAGTGTATAAAAAAAACAAAAAGCTTGAAGCCAATTTTGGGATTATGCAGAAATTTAGGATAGTACATTGTTATGATTTTTGTATCACAGTCTACTTGGCACTAAAGATTATGAACAGATCACACTCAGAACTTTCTTAGGTGCCACAGATTTTTGTCCATTTATTCTAAACTCATATCACATATGTCAGAAATTATAGTTTTGTTTGCTAAATATGAGGAGTATTGTTCTGTCATCAACGTAGGCTGTGTACTTTAAATAGAGAAGACTTAGTGAAGTTTGAGACTTTGGTATGCAGGAGATAGTAGAATTACCCACTGGAGCAGATGAGTTCAACAGAGGACAGACTGCACGGAAGGATGATTTAAGTCTGTCTGATCTTTTGAATCTTGAAATAAAATGGACCTCTAAGCCAGAGAAAGTTGAGACTGATTTCTCAAATGAGACACCTACTCAGCCCAAAAGCTTACCAGATTTGGCTGGAGTCAATCTCGACAACTTTTTTTCTGAAGGAAAAAGAGATGCTGCAGCTAATATTTCTGACGAGCAGCTGTTTGAGTCTAGCACACAGACTTCCAGTGAAGAAATTAATGCTTTCGAAGTTCGTGAAACTCTTAGTTTGTTTGAGAATGTACAGCCTTTCGAGACAGTTGTGCAGTCTACTGAAGGAGAGAGTGGTGATTCTTTTTCTGGTTGGGCGGCAAATTTTCAGTCTGCTGCTTCTGAAACCCTTCCTCGTGCTTCTGAAACTCTTCCTCATGCTTCTGAAAACCTTCATCAAGCTTCTGAAAACATTCCCCCAGAATCAAAAGTAATTGACCCCTTTGTGGGTTCCACGGTGGATCTTTCAGCCCACATAGACACAGTATTCAGATCTGCAGTAGACTCAACTGATGAAAAATCAAACCATAGTATGACTGGGTCTGCACCCTTGACAACTGACTGGTTTCAAGATGATCTATTGGGTGTTTCCAACTCTGGGTTTGCTGGAGGTCCTGAACAGTTTGAAACTCTTGCTGAGGTGAAGGGTATAACTGAGAATGTGAATAACTCTTTTCCTGCTGATGTTGATTTTGTTCAAGACAATCAATTACAGACCACTAGCAACAAGGCCCCTGATAATAAAACTACTGATGAGGATGAGGATTCATTTGATGCTTGGAATGATTTTGCGAGCTCGAATAGTGCACCAAATCTTGCTGATAGTTCTTTAAAACAAAGTATTAATCAGACGACACCTGTTGACCAGACATCTGTAGTGGATTTGTTCAGCACAGCTAGCAACTCCGGGGACTTGAATTTTGATAGCTTATCGCAACCGGATTTCTCAGCAGGAGCATTTAACAGTTCCAATGTTTCAACTGTAGTGGATATGAAGCAGGCAGACTCTTCTGTTCTGGACAGGTGCGTGCTTGAGCCTACCTATTTGGTTGTTATTATAGCTTCAGAATCCTGGTTTGAACTACCGTGAAACTTATTTGAATGTTCAATGTTTGCATTTGTGAATGTAGTACATGAAACTTGATGGAAAGGCTTTGATCCGTACTTTGAACAACCTGTCTTAACCATATTTTCTGTTGCATGTTTAGTTTGGCTGATCTGAGCACAAAAGTTGATAAAAAATCTGAAGATGTTGCGGAGGGTGGAGATGTTTCTGGTGCAAGAGCAGGGTCAAAATCTGAAGATGCGGAGAGAATAATGTCACAGATGCATGATCTCTCTTTTATGCTTGAAAGCAGTCTTTCAATTCCTCCCAAGCGAGATGAATTACATTCGCATTCCCAAGATTGAGACCCAATTTGTTTGAGTTTCTATCAATGCAATTTTTGCTGTTCATGCTGTATTCTAGATCTATTTGTTCCATTTATTCACAATTTTGTATTTATTATTTTGTGTTTTATAATCTTATGTAGAAATGGTAAGCCAGATTAGAAAGAAATGAGAATTGGTTGAATGCCCACTTACCCTTACTTCAATTATATTTTTTATGGTTCAAAATACTAATTTGCCATAGCAATTTTGTTGAGGAAGAAAGTGAATTTATAAAATAAGTATGGAAGAAAAGAAGATTTGGGGTTTGGGGGGTGTCTGTCAGACAACCGTGTGACCACCCCAGCCAGCTTGATCAGCGGCCAAGAACGATCATCTACTGCCACAATGATCGGAGACCACGAAGCTGCTAATCACGCTCTGATCACAACGGTCATGGTTCATCCACCAGACTTTGGTTCCTGTCTCCTTAGTAATCAAGGATACAGATGTACAACCTATAGAACAGATCCTGTCCAAGTAAGGTCGTGCACTTTCAAGCACGAGTGAGCATTATGAACAGCACTTATCTCTGTCCAGCGTCGATGTGGGACAATGTTGCGCTTATCCCTGCATACATGTGATTCACAAAGACAATGGCTAAATCCCATTGCACCTTTCTTAAAATCAAACACTGATTCTAATTCATGCTAAAAGCATTCAGAAACAAAGCAATTAACATTAAAAACTAACAGTCTACAGTTGCATTTAGTCTAAAACTTGATACACGAGAATTACAACGAGAAAGAAAGTACGACTATATTCTTCATTCTGTGTGGATGGTATTCCTTCTGTGGTGGTGGTGCCTGATCAGCATGGATGGATACCATGGTTTGCCATTCAGCCTTTAGCCACGCGGCCATTTGACTCGGTGCCTGATCCTCCATTAGGCTTCCTCCCTGCTGCAACGTTGCAATACAGGCGCTTCAGATACGACATGGCTACTGGGTCTTCCTGGAAAATAGAAGTGATGTCTCAGTATGAATCTTAGGGTTTTGATGTGAAACTCAGATATCTTAAATACCTCTCGGCAATGGGAAAAAAAAAATTATGAACCGGGTTTAATTAATCCACCATTATAGAAGTGTTCAAAGTATGTCAAGAACTTACAGAGACGAGGTTAATGACTCTAGAATCCCTCAAGCTCCTAGGGAGACATAGGCTTAAGCTGTCAACGTCCCCGCTGTGAAAATTTCAAACACCAAAGTTGCTTATAATCAAACAAATGAAAGTAATGCCAATATCTCTGGACCCTTAAGAATAACTTAATTACTAACGTTAGACCATCTGAGAGCCTGAGAAAGCAGTGAATGATGAGCTTGAGCAGCCGGTGGGAGGGTTCTTCGGGAAGCTTATCGAGCATCCTGCTAAGAACTTGAGTGATGACATAGAATCTATCCGCGAAAGTGATGCAGTACTTCATTCCCTGATCACTGATCAGAATTCTTTCAATTATGAATGTGGCCACCTGTACATTCAAAGGCACATCAATCTTAAGCCTTATGATCAAACAAGGAGACAGAGATACAAAAAGGGTGCAATTCAACTTGTGATTTCCCTTTGTACAATAAAAAATAATAATAATAAAAAAGCGAGGGAGTTGTATCTCAAGTGGTTAAAAGCATTTGATCCTACATCATCCGAGGTCCTAGGTTTGATTTATCCCCTAGTATCGCTTGTATAAAAAAATGTGATTTCCCTATTCCAGGCAGAAAATTCCTGTTATCTGTGTGTTTTGTTTCCAATTTACTAAATTCAAGTGAAAATTGCTACATAAATTACCATACAGAAATTCCCAAATTACAGCCATGAGTTTTGGAAGAATTATATGTATAAACTTCCTTGTTACTTACAGTTCTTGACAGTATAGTGCCAACTTCAATGCAGCGGATGCAGTAGCAGAACACTTGAGTTTGGAGAAGGAAAGTGATGATGTCTTCATCATTATCCTGAACAAGGAGGAAAAGGGGGTCCAAATTATCATTATTTCATTAAGTTAAAGAAGATTAAATTGTTCAAAAATAGAAGGGAATGAAAATGGGATTGAAGGCATAAACATAATTTCATACATATACCTTCACAAGGGCACCAATAACACCCAAGCTGGACAGCCTCAGATATTCATAAGGTTTTTCCTTGCTCTTAGTGCCGAGGAAAGGGTAGATATACATTGGAATGTTGGCTGCACACAGCATGCATACAATTTAATTATATGCATTGCATGACTACAAAACTCAAACTATAACTTCCTCTTGTTACTTTATAGGAAGCCCTCTTCTAGTAAGATACGTCCCAAAAGTAAATGAAGTCCTCATACCTGGGGCTCGTCTGGTGTCTAGTACTGAATTTGATAGGATAACTCCCTATATTTAAAGCATGTTTTGACGAAGAAACGAAATTTTTTTGACCAATTTGAAGGCTTAGAAGATGGATGACTCATAAAGAAAACTTGTCTCATCTATAATCCCTAGTAAATAGTAGGATAATAACATTTTATAACTTATATCCTTCCTAATCCCCCCAAAATGAAAAATTATTCACCTCTACCTTCATTTCCTCTTTCAATATACCTTAAATTTAGTGACTTATCCAATCCATTCCAATCGTAGGAACTAAACGAGCCCATTATTTTAACAAACTTACCTTTGACAAATAGATTTCTTGTCTCTGGATGAGCAGCTACGCACTGTAAAAACAAAATAATAAACATATTAAATGCCATTTACTTGTACAAAAGAAACATGACAATTTAAGCTTACTTTCGTAGGTAATAATTCATTACAAGAATAAAGAATTCATAAAAACCATCATTATCATTAATTCCTAAAATGTATGTGATCAAAAGTTCTCTTGAATTAAAGTACGAAGAGACTGACATGAGAATTAAAGAGAAAACAAAAATGATAGAGCGAGTACATATAGGTAGGTAGATATAACCTGATATAGAGAGAGTGTGTTGCATGCTCGATTTGATGCCTCCTGGGTAAGAAGATGTGGAGATGTGACCATTGGGTACACCTCAAGTATTTCCTAAAATCATGAAAATATAAATAAATCATCATGAATGTCAATCTCGAAAATTAAGAAATTTGCAATGAGAAACATCATAATATATATATATATATAGGGAACAAAATCTTATATAGCTAACTCAATTATCCAAGTTGTCTGTCATTTAGTTTTTCTGCGTTTAGGGGTTAATCCCACTCATTTCACCGACAAAAAAAGATTCCAAGTTACGCGCCATACCTTTAACAATGTATATGTGGTGCCAAAGGAATGCCACAGCAATGGAGCCAAGTCCTCACGAATTTCCCTGATCTGTATATTGAGGAACACAAACAATTAATAAAAATTCAAATAAAGAGAAACAAAAAAGTACCCAGTAATATATATGCATGTGGCTAAAATTTTATTTATTATTTTTTATACAAGTAATATTCTAAATTACAAGACAGGAGATTGGAAGAGTCGGAGCACATCCCTCTAACCAACTTGACTAATCTCATTTCTGCATATGTGACTAAACTAACCACAGAGATTTGCTCGTACAAAGCACGTGGCAGATATAGACTGGGAACATGACATGCAAATACATTTTTTTATCTTGAAAAAATATAGAGCTAATACTATGAAATCGTTTTGAGCGACATGAATCATATACAAAAATATACCAAGAAATATATGCATATGAAATTAGATAAGAAAATGATAAATGTATATAATGATCATGATCACCTTAGAGAGGCGTTGCAGCGCGTTTTCTCGGGTACGTCTATCGCGAAGCTCAAGAATCCACTGCTCCACATTCACCTTTTTGAACGGGTCAGCATCATTAGGCCGGGTCGACTCTGAGTTGTTTTGACCCGATGTAGCTTCCGGTGGCGGTGATGATGATTGATCGCCGATAAAAGACTCAGTGATGATAGCCATTAATTATTGGAGAAATGAATTAACAATGCCAAACAATAAAAGAGAAGAAAATTCCTTGGTCTCTTCAGATCTCCATTTTCTTGTTTAGTGTGTGTAGTGAGGGAGGAGAGTGAGAGGATTGGTATGGAGGCGTTTGGTTGGGACTTGGACTCCTTCAAGAAGGCCTCTTATTGAGTTTTTATAGCCTGGCAAAAGTGGCCTTTTGGTATTTATTTTACTTTCTTTCCTTGTTATTGGATATAGGTTTTTTTAAATTTTTTAAATTTAAATTTGGTAATTTTCAGAATATTTATTGTGTGCGCCTTGCATACTCCGCTGGACTTTCACTCGTAAAATACATGGGGCCCCAATGTTTTTCTTGAGTTTTCTTAACTGTGGGTGAGAAAGCGCGTTGGATTGAAAGAGAATTCCTTAAATCTCATAGCTTGAATGCTACTTAATTATGATGCAGCACATTTACATGTGTCATTCATTGGTCTCTCGTCCGTAATTAGAATCTAATTGTAATTAGTGGGAGTCAAAATTCTTAATTTTTGTTGTATTTAGTCAATTTTGGTTGGAATTAGTCATAAATGCGTATTGTTATTTTACAGCTTTTTTAGGGTTTAAGGTTTTTTAATAACATGTGTGGATAGTTGTAGTTTTGTATTATAATAACCATTTTATTGGTTAATTAAGGCATAATGGAAGTTTCTATAATTCTCTTTTCCCAAATATTAACTACAAAAAGGAACTTCACTATATGAATAATGAATTTGCCTTGTACAAGGGTATATTATTATTTATAAGTAAAATATGAACATTTATTTAGGGCCGGTTTGGCGTTGTTGTGCTGTAAAAATAATCACTGTTAGATTTGCTGTGAAAGAAAGTAGTTTGGCGTTTGGTAAACTTTTTGTTAGAAGTGCGGTTGGTAAAAAAAACCACAGGGTTATTTTTGGAATTTTGAAAGTTTCATTAAACTTAGTGCCTCTTCAAAACTGGTTCCTGCATAATCAAAAAATGAAAACAGCTCATCACCTGCTTTCCCTAATTGCTTTCTCTCACAACAATTATTTAGAATAAGTGATTTTATTATCTTTTACCAAACATGTTGGACTTTCAAAATTTTCAAAATAATCACTTATAGCCCCAAATAAGCAATGCCAAACGGACACTTAGAGTGCTGCTAAACAAACTTTAAAATTAATTGAGTACACCCTACTAACAAACTATTTATTGAATTACTAATTTACTTTAATATAAAATGACCAAAATGATATATTGAATTGTGAAACAAATTATTTTAATAAGTACATCATATTCCCTATATTCAACCCTAATCAAATGTAAGGGAATGCCATGGAATTATTTGTTTGATATAGATCTTGATCATTGGTGGTAGATAACACTCTAGCGGATACATGCTCCATGGAGTCCACTCCGATAGGTTCTTTAAGGGTTGTGTATGATTCATACGAGGAGGAAAAATAAATAAATAATTTATTGGATGAAAGTTGAGTCTTTCAAACATAGAACATTCCCTTGGTTTCTTTTTTATTTTTTTTCTATTTATTATTTGGTTCTGGAACTACAAAAAGGAAGAAGGAAGAGTAATTAAAAATAGGGACCTACGGAAGCAGATTTAGACGACCAATATGAGCATTGGCTGCCTATGTAGAAATTTTGAAGGGTAGTAGGTTAATTTTAAATTCATCCAGTAATAACTAGAGATTGGAAAACAAATCTAAAACAACTTACAATGGATGTAACATCTTCAACAAAATCGTCTCCAGCTGCGGAGGAGGCATTGGGTTTGGTGTTGTGTGATAGGGTATAGAGGTATTTTTGGTAATTAAATATGGTGTGCTTAGTTAATTTTATATTTTGATTTAAATATTAAGATGTACTTAGATTATATGATGTATTTAGTCAATTTTAGAGTTCGTCTAGCAACACTACTTATTTATTACATAAGCTGACAAGAAAAGGATTTAAAAAAATAGTACATTAGTTAGGTTAATTGCCCTAGTTCCATATGCTGCCAATCAAGCTAGGCTAGCTTTTGTCCCCTTTTCCTACGTCCCTCAAGCCTACACCAAACATTTACTAAACCCAATAAGCTGTTTGGATGATACAAAATAACTTAAATTTTGTATATAATATTTGAATGATACAAAATAACTTAAATTTAACAAAATCTAAAAACATCATAAAAATAGTGAATAATTAAGGAAAAGGGGTTGATGTCAATTCTATTGTTCATGTTAATCTTCATAATTATTCAAAAGATACTGCTTACCTCATTCCCTCAAAGGAGATACTTCTCTTTCTTACGAATCATAATTTAACACATATGCAAAAATAATTCATCAAAAACATATAAAGAAAAACTTATGCACACACGTCATACTCCTATTGATAGTAATATAGAAGCTGCTATTTACATGATAAGGAGGAAAGTATTTTCCTTATTCAAACAAAATACAATTAGGAAAAACAATAACAACAAGGGAAAATTTATCATATAGCCCATCCAGGAGGAACTATAGTCCATCAGCGGCGCAGTGGCAGAGGGATCCTTCCACAGAAGTGCATGAAAAGCAAGGCCAAGGCAGCTGATTTGAATATAGTAGGCATTGGAATTCCATATTTGCCCTTCCCAAACAACCCTTTGAGAAATGGCCAAAAACATAGCACCACCCAAGCACAGCACATCATCTCACCTAGCCCCGCCCCATCCGCACCATGAGCCGGTGGTTGCATCCCAAACAAGCCCATGGCTAGGGCTGTGAAGTGCACAAACAAGAGGGTTGTGGCCGGCACATATATTGGAGACTCATCAAAAGTGAACCTACCAGCATTGGCATCATCTTCTTGGTCATCACTTGAAGAGGAATATTGGTCCTTTTGTGTGACTTCAAATGCCACCTCAGATATACCCAAAAGCTTGAATACCACGCTTACAACTCCAAATAGCGATGAAGTTACATAGGGTATTTTCCCCGATGGCCCCATTCTCACATGGTTCCACCATTGCTTGATTGATAGGCCAAATCCCAGGTAAAAACGTAGGGTGTACAAAATCTTCATTAGAAACACGGCAACAAAGATTATGAGAGCCGGTTCTTTGACCTACATAAAAAATAGAATCCGAACTTAAAAACGAGATACCAATTTTTATTCACAAAATGAGGTGATAGTATTTGATTGATTTTTCAACAATGATTGTGAACGTATTTTGTGACTTTAGCATTATTGTACGGATTTGTGTTATTATAAATTAGTATATTAGTACTTCATAATTTGACAAAATTAAAATGACATGAATAGATGACTTAGTTTTACCTTGGGCAAGAAATGTGAGTTGGTAATGATACAGTACGCTGGCAGTATAGCATAGCATAGATCAGGAATGGATTTTAGGCCCCAAATTAGCACAGTCGTGTACGCCAAGCACTGCCTAAACTCCAACTTAGCATAGAGGGTAGCAAAGATGGGACTATTTTTGCTGAACAAAATTTGTAGGAGGCCTGCGACCCATCTCTTCCTTTGGGTCAACATAACATGAGAAGATGAGGGTGCAGAGCCCATAAAGCCTGGTGGGTCTGGCATGCATAAGATAGACTTCCAGCCCCTCGCATGGATCTTCATCCCAGTTAGGATATCTTCTGTGACTGACCCATAAACCCAGCCTACCTGAAATGGATGAGCCCAACTATGTAAAAATTACTTCAGAGAGAGAGAAAGAGAGAGAGAGAGAGAGAGAATCACTTAAGACTCGTTTATGAGTGATTCTGGTCACATGCTTCTCCATAAAATCATTTTTTAGGAGAAGTACCTCCCACATACTTCTTCATATAATCACTTTTAGTGATGTTAAGTGATTCTAGTGAGAAAATTATTGACATATTCAGAATCAATTACAAATGAGCCCTTAAACGAACCAAGAGTCATATAGTTAAATTTTAAAAAAAATAACAATAAGAACAGAAAACATATTTAATTGCTCAAACCTTTGTCCCCCACAATGTATTTTGCTCGTACGAAGAACCAGCAACTTGGTTGGCTGCCTCAACAGCACCGGAAAGGTCATGAGGATGATCAATTTTCTCTGATAAAGTATGAGTTGCAGATTCGATTAACTCCGTGGAATTTCCAAACCGTTCTTGATCCAATGCCACATCCCTCAGATTTCCTTGGAAGTTAGAAAATTAATCAAAGTATAGATATGAAACTACTCCACATAATTAAAGCTATATCTTTGATTAATGAGTCAACTTATAAGGAATTTTAGGCACCTTCACTATGTATCAAGTTAAAACCGTAGATGACTTTACGTCTTTGAAAACATCCGGTCCCTGCATAGACAGGTCCTTGCATCCCAGCGAACCCTGGCCAAGATGTCTACAAAAGATAGCCCAAAAGTCAATTACGGTAGGTCCCTAAACTAAATCAATGATGCATGTCTAGATCAAACGATCTAAAAATATATATTTTTTTGTTTTTATCAAAGAAAGACTTCCATTCAAACAAAAGCCAACATCAATACAAGTATAAATTCTAGCCTCGTGCTACAATGTGGTCCCGTTAAAACCCACTCATAAGTGAAATCCGATTCAGCAAATAATTAAAACATATAATAATGTGCGTGTGCGGTTGTAAATATACGCACTTTTAGAGCGAGAACCAGTTGGTTTCCAAATGGATCATCTTTCAAAGTGTCGTAGTACATTTGTGGGTACTGAACAAATGCACCTTCTTTTTCATGCTTGAAGCCAAGCAATAGGCACACTGCATACAGAACGATCTTTGAATTGTTGGCATACATATCGCAGTCGACGTTCAACATAAATGGAGCATTTGTCATCACACCAGAGACCCTGGTCTATACATAATAAAACTCAAAAATTGGTCACTTGGAAAATCAGGGTATTTCTGATAAAATTATGTTGCAATTACTAGAATAGAATTTATGCAACATGTATTTAAAACATTTAAAAAGCGAAATACTTTGGTTTTCTTTGGCTGAAAGGAAATTCTCACCAAAACATTCATGGCGCCAGCTTTGTGGTGATGTGATTGATCTGAACGCTTCTCCCTGGCTACATAAACTAAATGTGGCACCCCATTATTTGAAAGTCTTTCTTTGTTCTCCCATATTACCTGTGCAAACTTTATCCATATTAGTGATTGTAAAGACAATCTTTCGAACACAGAGAGAGAGAGAGAGAGAGCACCTTGATTATGGTGGGATGGTTTCTATTGTCTATGTCAGCAAAATCCACATAGTCTCCAGAAAAATCAAGGGTTGCCAAATTTTGGACAGCAACTTCAATTTTTTGGCAGAGCTTTTGATACTCATCCTACAAAATCCAAGATGACATACAAAGATTTGTACCATGAGCATGAGGATAGCTTAGCCAGATATCTTGAACCTTTTGGCTTCTGTTTGGTGCTTACTATGTTCGGATATATACAAATTTAAACAGGCATAAGGCCAAATTCTACCTTCATTTTTGTCCATTCTTGTAGAAACCCAATTGGATTATCACTTGGCAATTTGGAATTGCCAGAGAAGTATCTGAATGGAGCTCTAACTTGAATATTATACTTTTTGCAAAAGGGTACCCAAAACTGAGCAAATTTAGAGGCTTCAGTGAGAGAGTAGAGGGTGAGAGGTGAGCAGCCATCATCAGAAACATAGCAAGCTAGCTTGTGAGATGGATAATCTACAGCAAGAAGAGAGAGCACTGTGTTCACTGTGATGATGGGCGGCTCTAGCTCTGCATCTGATGTTGTCACAAACATGTCCACTGCAGGAAGCTCTGGCACCCTAATTAAGCATATTTATTAACATTAATTAATCAAACATGTTATCAATTTGGTCAAGAGATTAATATATATAATTGAGAAGTGACATACTGTTGCAAGAGGTTTTGAGGGTAAGTTTTGTATTCAACAGGGGTCCATTGGATGATGAGGGTGAGAACCCAATTGAAGGTAAACCAAGACTCACACAGGAAGGCAAGAAGCCAGACAAAACCATGGTCAGTGAGGGTGAGGAGACGATAAACAAGCAGACAGATGAAGAGGAACAAAATTGCAATTTCCTGGGCTCTCTGTAGTGTGTTAATTTGAAGGGGTGTTTTTTCACATAGAGGAAGAGATTGAGAATTAGCCATTTGGAAACAGATTGAGGTGTGGATGAGATTTTCAGTCTAAGGCGGCCAGTGCCAACTGAGTGGGTATATAGACACATATTGTATCAGACAGGCGTCAGCATCAATCATTGTTATCAGTTCAACATTAATAAAACTTTTGACAAACAGATGAAGGCTAGTCGACATATATGTGCTTGGTGTAGGTTTACCATCTAAGCTTGATATACATTGTTGGCTCCCTCTGTACCCGCTTAAGTTTTTTAAGATTAATCGTTGTTTGACATGGTATTATATTATAGACTTCTATGTGGTATTAAAATTTGTTATTTGTATTGTATGTATTAGTGGTATTAAAATTTGAGAGAGAGGGTTGATGTTACATTCTACTATTATGTGTTAATCTTATAAACATCCAAATACAATACAGGCAGGAAAAAATATAATAAGGGGAAAATTTATCATATAGCCCATCCAGGGGAATAATTAAAATCCATCGGCGCAGAGGCAGTGGGATCCTTCCACAGAAGTGCATGAAAATCAAGGCCAGGGCAGCTGATTTGAATATAGTAGGCATTGGAATTCTATATTTGCCCTTCCCAAACAACCCTTTGAGAAATGGCCAAAAACATAGCACCACCCAACACAGCACATCATCTCACCTAACCCCGCCCCATGCCCACCATGAGCCGGTGGTTGCATGCCTAACAAGCCGATGCCCAGGGCTGTGAAGTGCACAAACAAGAGGGTTGTGGCCGGCACAAATATTGGAGACTCATCAAAAGTGAACCTACCAGCATTGGCATCATCTTCTTGGTCATCACTTGAGTAGTAACATTGTTCCTTTTGTGTGACTTCAAATGCCACCTCAGATATACCTAAAAGCTTGAATACCACGGTTACAACTCCAAGTAGCAATGCAGTTACATAGGGTATTTTTCCCGCATGGCCCCATTCTCACATGTTTCCACCATAGCTTGATTGATAGGCCAAATCCCAGGTAAAAAGGCAGGGTGTACAAAATCTTCATTAGAAACACGGCAACAAAGATTATGAGAGCCGGTTCTTCAACCTACATGAAAAATAGCATCCGAACTTGAATACAAGAGATCAAATTTTATTCACAAAATAATGTGATAGTATTTGATTGATTTTTCAACAATGGTTGTCAACATATTTTGTGACACTAGTATTATTGTACGGATTTGTGTCATAAAATGGTATATTACTACTTCATAATTTGACCAAATTGAAATGACATAAACTAGATGACTTAGTTTTACCTTGGGCAAGAAATGTGAGTTGGTGATGATACAGTAGGCTGGCAGTATAGTATAGCACAGATCAGGAATGGAATTTAGGCTCCGAATTAGCACCGTCGTGTAGGCCAAGCACTGCCCAAACTCCAACTTAGCATAGAGGGCAGCAAAGACGGGACTATTTTTGCTGAACAAAATTTCTAGGAGTCCTGTGACCCATCTCTTCCTTTGGGTCAACATAACATGAGAAGATGAGGGTGCAGAGCCCATAAAGCCTGGTTGGTCTGGCAAGCATAAGATAGACTTCCAGCCTCTTGCATGGATCTTCATCCCAGTTAGGGTATCTTCTGTGACTGACCCATAAACCCAACCTACCTGAAATGAGTCGGCCCAACTATGTCAAAATTACTTCAAATTCCATTTTCACGAGTAATGTTTCCGTGTGACAGTCATATTGTAACAAACGTATTTACTTACTAATATTATAGTCTAGATTCATTTTATACAACTAATGAGTAACTTGTTAGTTGGTAATCTTTGCCCCCACACAACTCAATTAAACTCACATAATACAATTATGCTCCCTCATGGACAAAGTCTTAGGTCCACCAATGTTAGTACTCTTTTGCCCCCACATAACTCAATTAATGTCACATAATCCAACTATGTCCCATCATGGACAAAGTCTTTGGACCACCACCGTCCACCAAACTCACATGCTCAAAATCTTGAGTCTGTCGGTGTGACTGTAACCCTACAAATCTTTTTCATTTTCATCAGTCATGAGATGCGATAGAAATAATTGTTTCATATACACGAAGCACAAAAGGTTTTTTAAGCTAACATTACGTTGCTGTTAGCTTGTTCAAGCAAGTCTTGCCTCCCAGCTTGTCCAGTTTGGTTGGCATAAATGGAGCATTTGTCATCACTCCCAGAGACGTCTATACATAATAAAACTCAAAAGTTGGTCACTTGGAAAAATCAGGGTATTTCTGATAAACTTATATAGCCATTGCTAGAATTTATTCAACATGAAATACTATGGTATTCTTTGGCTGAAAGGAAATTCTCACCAAAGCATTCATGGCGCCAGCTTTGTAATGGTGTGAATGATTTGGACGCTTCTCCCTGGCTACATAAACTAAATGTGGCACTGGCAACCCATTAGAAAGCCTTTCTTTGTTCTCCCATATTACCTGTGCAAAATTGATCCAAATTAGTGATTGAAAAGACAATCTCTCAAACACAAAGAGAGAGAGAGAGAGAGAGAGAGAGAGAGCTTAGCTAGATATCTTGAACCTTTTGTCTGGTGCTCACTAAGTTCGGATATATACAAATTTAAACAGGCATAAGGCCGAATTCTACCTTCATTTTTGTCCATTCTTGTAGAAACCCAATTGGATTATCACTTGGCAATTTGGAATTGCCAGAGAAGTATCCGAATGGAGCTCTAACTTGAATATTATACTTTTTGCAAAAGGGTACCCAAAACTGAGCAAATTTAGAGGCTTCAGTGAGAGAGTAGAGGGTGAGAGGTGAGCAGCCGTCATCAGAAACATAGCAAGCTAGCTTGTGAGATGGATAATCTACAGCAAGAAGAGAGAGCACTGTGTTCACTGTGATGATGGGCGGCTCAGCTCTGCATCTGCTGTTGTCACAAACATGTCCACTGCAGGAAGCTCTGGCACCCTAATTAAGCATTTTATTAACATTAATTAATCAAACATGTTATCAATTTGGTCAAGAGATTAATATATATAATTGAGACTATTAATTCCATGTCACACAAGATTAGCATATATATTAATATATATATATATAATATATATGTACAAGTATAAAAAGATATACGTGACATACTGTTGCAGGAGGTTTTGAGGGTAAGTTTTGTATTCAACAGGGGTCCATTGGGTGTTGAGGGTGAGAACCCAATTGAAGGCAAACCAAGACTCACACAGGAAGGCAAGAAGCCAGACAAAACCATGGTCAGTGAGGGAGAGGAGACGATAAACAAGGAGACAGATGAAGAGGAACAAAATTGCAATTTCCTGGGCTCTCTGTAGTGTGCTAATTTTAAGGGGGGTTTTTCACATAGAGGAAGAGATTGAGAATTAGGCATTTGGAAACAGATAGAGGTGGTGTGGATGAGATTTTCAGTCCATGGTGGCCAGTGCCAACTGAGTGAGTATATATAGACATATGGTATCATATCAGGTATCAGAACCTTCAAACAGATCAAGGCTAGCTGCAGCCCAATTGACATATTGCATATACACGTGCTTGGTGCAAGTTTACCATCCAAGTTTGATATCCATTGTTGGGCCACTCTCTCACTGCTCAAGTTTTTCGAGGTTAGGAGTTTTCTGACCTCAGTTCAATTTATGAGTGACTCTCAGCTCAATTTATGTTCCCTATTTCTTTGTTGGCTTGCAAGATGTATGATAGGGCTACACCTAAAGATCGTAGGCCCTTTTGTTTATGTTTCTGATTTAGTTTTTCTCTAGGAAATTGTGTGACTTAGATCGATGTTATCAAATGCAGAACATGCTTGCCAGTTTTACAATCAGATCTCGTTATACTTATGCTTGCCAGTTTTAGTCCAAATGCATAAAGTTGAAAAACATATTGTACCCTTTGCAAAATTAACTTCTGCACAAGGTGCAGAACATGAGTGTGAGCCCAGCAGACTTAAAAATGGTGGACAAGGGAATTCCATATTTCCCAGAACCAAACAACCCTTTCAAAAATGGCCAGAGGCAGAGCACCAAGCACACACTGCCTGCAACCTCTAATCGGCCTGACCCGACCCCATCATGAGCTGGTGGCCGCAGCCCAAACAGAGCAGAAGCCAATGCGGTTAAGTGCAGCAGCAAAACGGCAGTGGGAGGCACAAACATTGGGGACTTGTCAAAGGTGAATCTGCCTGCTTCTTCTTCTTCTTCTTCAGTGCCTTTCTCAGTTGAAGAAGATTGGTCCTTTTTCGTTACTTCAAACACTGTCTCTGATATGCCTGAGAGTTTGAGGACGATACCAAAAACTCCAAATAACCAAGCACTCATTGTGGTTATTCTTCCCATTTTTTGGTTGTTCCACCATGCTCGGATTGATAGACCGCTTTGAATATACTGTGATATATTGTACATATTGGTCGTGACAAATAGAGTTATTGGTATATAGTAAGCCAGTTCTTGGCCCTGCATCAATTTTCAAGAGCTATTGATTATCTCAACTATCGCACATGACATAAAATATGAGATTACGAGATACATAGACTCTGATATATTCTACTTTGGAAAAAAGTTTGTTTATGTAGAGGGATTGAGAACCTATATATTTTTTTTTACCCTTATCAAATTTTATTGATTTTCTATGAATTCATAATTCATGCTCACCTTGGGGAAGATATGTGTGTTGGTGATGATGCTATAAGCTGGTAGAGCAGCATAGCATGTCTCAGGAAGTGACCGTAGGCCCCACGTAAAGATCCAGAGGTAGGCCAAGCACTGCCTAAATTGGAGGTGAGCAAATACAGTACCAAATATGGGGCAATTTTTACTGAGAAGCACTTCAAGCAGGCCTGTGGCCCACCTTTTCTGTTGGGTCATGGAAGCAGGCCCACCTGTTGGGGTGCAACCCAGAAAGGCAGGTTGGTCTGGTGTACAAAATATAGATTTCCAACCTCTGTTGTGGATTGAAAGCCCAGTGAGGATATCTTCAGTTGTTGATCCATACATCCACCCCACACAAAAAAAAAAAAAAAAAAAAAAAAAAAACATTTTGGACTCGTTGTCTTTTAAATTTCATTAGACTAAAAGTTAGTTGGTATTTAAAAGTGAAAAAAATATGAGCAGAGAATCCGAATTTCACACCGGCATACCTTTCTACCCCAATTGGTGCCATATTCGTATTCACAACTTGCAACTTGGTATGCAGCAGCCTCAATAGATTTCAAAAGCATGCTTGGACATTTTGTCTCCCCTCTCAAAGCATCAGCAGCTGATTTGGTGAGTTCCTTTGAATTTCCAAAGGTTTTAAGTAATTCTTGGTTGCCTAATTTTCCTGCCACAAATAAACAACCTAAGAGATATACACACACACACATGGAATGGAAGAAGGATTGGATATTTGATTTGGTTACCATTATTAGGGGACAGACCATAGATGACTTGTCTTCTGTGAAAACATCCTGTTCCAGCATAAAATATTCCTTGGATTCCTTGAATCCCATGCCCCATGTACTATAAAAAAATATATAAAAGAAAAAAGAAAAAAAAGGTAGTTCATCGTTAGTAAATAATTAGAATTAACCAGTAATTAATTAGTGATTAAGATACTAAACTAATTAGCATTTTGCTTTGAGCTGTACCTTCCAAATGACAGCCATCTGATTTCCAAAAGGGTCGTCCTTGAGCCCGTCATAGAAGATTTGTGGAAATTGAGCAAATGCAATTTCATTTTGGTTCTCATTGGATCCAAGCAGTATGCACATTGCATGAAGAACAACGCTTGGGTTGTTTGCAAACATGTCACAGTCGACGTTCAGCATGAAGGGGGCATTTGTCATTAACCCAGACACTCTGGTCTGCACCAACATATATATATATCAACAATTAATTAGTTAAAAAGATAATTAATTAATTAATTAATTAACATGATGAGAAATATATGAAATAATTCATACCAAAACATTCATGGCCCCGGCTTTGGAATGATGTGGATGCTTTGGCCGCTTTTCTCTGGATATATAAACCAAATGGGGCAGTCCATTTGAAAGACCTTCCTCCTTGTCCAGCACCACCTTCAAAAATAAATTTAAAAAATCTAGCTAATGAGCTTCTAATTAAGCTGGTTTTAGAGTGCTTAATTTTATTTTATTTTAGCGAAACAGTAGAGATTTCGATTGAAATTAAGGGAAAAACTCGGAATTCATCAGTAAGAATACAGCCCTGTATGGAGGTTCTTGCAATATATAAACTGTAAAATCATAACCAACTATGCACAAGTATTACAAGACGGTGAGAACAAATATACGTCTTGAATCCCAGTTCACATGAAATTACAGATGAGGAAGACCCAAATCCCTACAATGACCAGTACTTCAAGAAAATGAAGACAAAAAACAATCTCTCAAACATCATGGACAGAAAACACCCCAAAAGTGGAGTGCTTAATTTGTTAATTATTTTTCATGGGCTAATTATAATTAATGCTTGTTTTTGGTGGAGAGTAAAAATAACCAGTCAAATTGGTTCATGTAAGTCTTTTTGCTCTAGGACAAAACCGTACTGTACGGCTGGGGTCAGGTCAGGTTTTTTTGCTCTAGGACATTCACATTGAAATCTTATCCCGTTTCATTGAAATCTATTCACATTGAAATCTTATCCCGTTTCATTGAAATCTATTCACATTGAAATAACCAGTCAAATAATATTATCCCGTTTCATTGAAATCTTTCTTCCAACTAAAAGGTAGGTTTGAGAAGACAACTTTAAGAGAGGCTAAGAAGTGAATAATTGAGACTGCGAATCTGTCTGTACGAGTCAGTGTTTACAGTGCTTACCTTAATTATTGTTGGATGATTATTGCGTTCTATATTTGAGAAAAGTGAAAAATCTTCGCTAAGATCAAATGGAATAGATTTGCCAACAGCATCCTCAATTTTGCGGTTAAGCTGCAGATATTCATCCTACAAAACATGAAAACAAGAACATTTGTCATCGCATTACACCATTAGACCGGTTTATATATGAATGTTTGCAATGTAGAAATGTTCAAACCCTCGATATTGGATGTTCAAAACTACTGTGTACATAATGCTGCTGAGGGTTTGAAACGCGCTACAGTCTACATTGCAAACATTTGCACTTGAATATTTTTAACAAAATATTTGGTATATTTTTCAAAATAAAAATAAAAGACTGCACTATCACCTTCATCGTTTTCCATTCTTGCTTGAATTCCCCTGAGTTCTTACCGGAAGGTATGGCAGCATTATTGAAGTATCTGAAAGGAGCTCTAACTTGAACATTGTACTTTTTGCAAAATGGAACCCAAAGCTTGGCAAACTTTGATGCTTCCACAAGCGAGTAGAAGGTGAGAGGGGAACAACCATCATCCGACACATAGCAAGCTAGTTTGTCTGTTGGGTAATCCACAGCCAACAGAGAAAGCACAGTGTTTATGGTAATGATAGGTGGTTCCAGCTCTGAGTCTGCTGTGGTCACAAACATGTCCACTGGGGGAAGCTCATGCTCAGCCACCCTACACATATATAACACAAAACAGAAGTTATGACATCCAAGTTACGAAAAATGTTGTTTTATTAGACTGTCTGATAACATAAGATATTATATATGTTACAAGATTGGCTGATCACAACTTAAGATGTTTATGTTCTCAGTCAAACTGTGAATCTGAACCACAAAATGAGATGTGAAATGGTATTACGTACCGTTGTAAGAGACGGTCGGGGTATGTTTTATATTCCACAAAACTCCATTTGTTGCTGATGGTGATTACCCAGTAGAGTGTAAACCAGAGCTCACATAGGAATGCAACGAGCCAAGCAAAACCATGGTTGCTAAAAGAGAGGAGACGATAAACAAGGAGTGAAAGGAGGAGGAACAAGATTATAAACTCCATGACTTTGTGCATGGTGTTTTTGTGCTCCAACCTTTCATAGAGAGGGGAAGAGTTTGAGTTGGCCATTGGAATGTAACCTAATACAGTGAGGTGAGGGTGTTTGAGTTTTCTGCAGCCTCAACGCTTATTTTGCTGGTGAGTATTTATAGTCGTGTAGTAGGTCTAATTTGTGGTTGCTTGTTTATTCTAAACATGTATATAATCAGTCTCAACACCTGATTATATTCTAATGTGGTGAAAAGTTTCATTTTGCTACTTCTTCCCCATAAAACAATCATAAAATAAGAATTGCAGAAGAAAGGATTTATAATTACTAATTAATTTGATCCCATGTCTTTTCCTTCTCTTTTCTCTCAAGTCATGATGGATGACTGCATATGCTGACTCTGAGTATGAGGCTCTGCGCCAGCCTTAAAAAAATGATAAAGATATATAACCACTACCAATGTCCTAATTAAAAGTCTGAAATAGACCTTCCATAAAAAAAATAAATAAAGGAATGCTTTCCATATTTATCCATCTGAGCAACAAGAGATAAATAAGATGACTGATAATGGCCTGATAAACTGAGAAATTATGCATGCCCCTTACCTAATTATCTACTTAATTAATTTGTCTTTACCCATCTTGGGATAACTCTATCCAACATGTGAGGTTGGCTGGATTCTCAGTGTTCATGTTCTGACTTCTGACATGAAAAATAGATAGAGACTGATGAGAATTGCAGTGATTGATCACAAGGGAAGATATATACAGATATTGGGGAGATGAGATATATAAAATTATAAATTTACTAACAGATAAATATTATCTGTCTTCCATTTCCAACTTTTGCTGCGAAATGCAGAGATGGAGTTGGAGCTTTCGAATGCGATCAACAGTTTTATGCAAATCCAATAAGATTTTTGTTCTGCCACTCCCACTCTTTATTTTGTCTGTTTGTTTTATTTATTTCAGACTATATAAAAAAGTGTGTAGCAGACCAGAGGGAGAGCCCGACATCAGTCCTGACGTCATGATGTTATTTGATTTGAAAGAAGAGAGCGTACTTGATTTGGGCTCTGCAAATGCCTAACTGTACGTATCATTATATTATTGGTATGAAGAAATTATTGGTATATGATTGTAGTGTGTGAGATATATAACTTAACCATTAGTATTTTACCGGCGAGATTATAGTCTGTAACGACGAATATATATAAATTAATAAGAGCACTTCCACCCACAAGGGCTAAGTCTAAGGCAAGGGCAAGCAAAGGCTGCCACTATTCACGTAAATAATGTCAGCCTTCCCATTTGTAGTTTCACCCATAAGGGCTAAGTCTAGGGCAAGTCTAAGACAATTACTATTCACTTAAATTTATTTTTTATTTTTTATACTTAAAACATTGATTTTGATAAGCTTTTCGAATAAGATTTTCAATTCCTAAATGTTAATATTTATTGTAAAATCCTCACCTAAAAATCAAGATAACATTTTCGGATAAATTTTTGAAATTAAATTGGTGTGGAAAGTGAACAATATTGGTAGGTATGTATATAAAAAATTTCCAAATTTTTTTGATATTTTTTTTAAAATTTTTTTATATTTTTTTCAATTTTTTAAAGCCAAAAATTGGACAACCGTTGGATTGTGCAAGATTTTTTGATCGGAGACTCCAGGAGAAACCACATGGCTTGTAACCATTGGGCAATGTGGGCTGGTGGGTCCAAAAGTTAAAAAAAAATTTGAAAATCAGCTGCTGACGTCAGCAGCCCGAGGTTTGGTGCCCATGCAAGATTAGCCCATGGGCTTGCCCGGGCTGGTGGGTCCCATGCCTTGCTCGGGTTGGATTTCCTGCGCTAGAGGTCTCTTGGGCTCGCCAGGGCTGCCTTTCCCCCAGTTTGGGTCTGGCGCTAGAGATGCTCTAACATGTGAATATTAGGTTTTAGTTCACAACTTTTAGAGTACTTTCACCTATTTGCCATAGCAAAGGGTAAGTGCTATTACTATTTATGTGAATAGTAATAGCCATTGTAAAAGGCTTGTGGTGTTTTCACCTATTGTCATGGCAACTTAAGAGTAATCACTATTCACATGAGATATGATGAGAGGAATTTGTATAGAGTTTTGGTGTGAAAAGTGAAGAATATGATTAAGTATTTATTAAAAAAAATTATGAAATTCTTTAGTTTTTTTTCTTCTATTTTTTCAATTTTTTTTCATTGCTGACGTCATTGCTGATGTCAACAAACCCAAGCAACAGCGCATGTTATTCTTGCCTTCGTGCCTGCTCTGGCTTATAGAGCCCACCAGTTGCCGGGACTGCATTTGCGAGCTGGAACCTCTGCCTGGGGCTTGGGGTCCCACCTGCTCGGGCCACAGCCTTCTGGAAGTGCTCTTACATTTTGATCCAATTATATAACGTACTGAATATGCTATACAGGTAATTTGTATTGCCATTTTATAAGCTGAGTACTTTTAGAATGATATTATTGTTTGTGTCCTAAATTTATTTATCACGTTTTTTGTCATCAGAAAATGTGATGGAAGAGTGTCATGATGGACCATAGAATTAGTGCACCAAAAACACTTCGGGAAGAATCATGAACCGAGCAGCAATTAGGAACATCTAACACACTTCCAATAAACAGCACCATCTCCAACTGGTTTCTCTTTCAACTCAGAGATTCTCAGTGCCCACACCACTCTCAGTGACTTCGATTAACATCTTCAACTGTGTCATTTCCCTTCACTTACACAATGAAATTTAAAAAAACCCTAGCAAAGAGGGCTTAGAGAGGATGAGATGGTAGCCGCATATTTGTGCACAAAGTGTAGAACAGTAATGTGAAACCAGCAGACTTGAGTACGGTGGATAATGGAATCCCATATTTCCCAGCACCAAACAGCCCTTTCAAAAATGGCCAGAGGCACAGCACCAACCACACACTGCACACAATCTCTAATGGGCCTGACCCGAGCCCATCATGAGCTGGTGGTTGCAGCCCAAACAAAGCAGTAGCCAGGGCTGTTAACTGCACCAGCAAAATTGTAGTGGGAGGCACAAAAATTGGGGACTTGTCAAATGTGAATGTGCCTGCTTCAGTTCCTTCATCAGTTGAAGTAGATTGGTCTTTTCTTGTGACTTCAAACACTGTCTCTGATCTGCCTGAGAGTTTGAGTATGACACCAATAACTCCAAATAACCAAGCACTCATTGGGGTTATTCTTCCCATTCTTTGGTTGTTCCACCATGCCCGGATTGATAGATCGGTTTGAAGATACTCCGATAAAGTGTACACATGGTAAAGCACAAACAGAGCTATTGGTATATAGTAGGTTGGTTCCTGGCCCTGCATTGCACATTTGGAGCAGTTAGAAAGAATAGTTGTGTTAAAAATAATAGTATAACACTAACGTCTTGAAAATTTGTACCCGAATAATGTGACAACGCAGATAGTAACGTTTTACTTGATTCACAAAGTGGGCTCATATTTCAGTTATTTGATGAACAAAATTGATGATCTATGTAGTATGTAGCATATATTTAACTTGCATCAACCCTAAAGTCCAAGGATGTGGGTGTGCTCTCACCTTGGGCAAGAAATGTGTGTTGGTGATGATACTGTAAGCTGGCAGCGCAGCATAGCATAGCTCAGGAACAGAGCGTAGGGCCCAAGAAAAGATCCAGAAGTACGCTAAGAACATCCTGAATTTGAGGTTTGCAAATATAGTATGAAATACGGGACAATTTTTACTGAGCAAGATTTCAAGCAGGCCTGTGGCCCACCTCTTCTGTTGGGTCATGGAAGCAGGCCCACCAGTTGGAGCACACCCTTGAAAAGCTGGTGGGTGTGGTGAACAAATAATAGATCTCCAACCTTTCTTATGGATTGAAAGCCCAGTGAGGATATCTTCTGTTGTTGATCCATACATCCACCCCACCTACACAAGAAAAGAGATCAACAAAAACATAGACAAAATAGAAAAAAGGAACTTGCAACTTTGAAAACGCACTGTCAATTAACCTTAGGGAAACTTTTAAAAACACACCCTCGATCGGGAGGGGTATTCGAAGCAGGATTTTAAGTGCATAGATAACTGCTTTTAATCACTTGAGTTACAAATCTCTTGCTTATTCCGACTTTTTAAATCCCAACTAATGTGACAAAAATATAAGCAGACATACCTTTTTACCCCAATTGGTGCCATACTCGTACCCACAATCTCCAACTTGGTGTGCAGCCTCCATGGATTTTGAAAGCATGCCCGGATATTCTGTCTTTCCTTGCAAAGCATCATCTACTGATTTGGTGAATTCTTTTGAATTTCCAAACGTTTTAAGCAAATCTGGTTTTCCTCGCAAGAAAACTTAAAAAATTAGGATCACGCATTCGTCGAGCTTGTACTCTTACTAACAAAACAAAATTAAGAGACATTTGGGGATGGAGAGAGGGATTTGATTTACCATTAGTCATCTTGACATCATTTGGAGAGAGACCATAGATAACTTTTCGTCTATGAACACATCCTGTTCCTAAATAAAAAGGGCCTTGAATTCCTGATATTCCACGCCCGGCATACTACCATATAGTAACAAATATATTGATTAGTTCCCCAATGCATAAATTTTGATTTATGGACCGTCATATACTTTTTGATAGGAAATTAATTTGCATGAGGTGCACCTTCCACAGAACTGTCATCTGATTGCCAAACGGGTCATCCTTGAGTCCGTCGTAGAAGGTTTGTGGGAATTGAACAAATGCATTTTCCGTTTCGTTCTTGGATCCCAGCAACATGCACATTGCATGAAACATCATGTTTGGGTTGTTGACCAACATGTCACAGTCTACGTTCAGCATGAAGGGAGCATTTGTCATCAACCCTGACACTCTAGTCTACACCACATGTATAATTGATCAACAATTAATTAATTTCGTTAAGATTACTCAAAACAGATGGAATATATTACTTATAAGACGATGATGTCTCAATATCATTATCGCTAATAAAACATACTGACATGTTATCGATAAATATTTTATGCGCATATTGACATTCCCGTTTCTATATATGAAATTGATTATACCAAAACATTCATGGCCCCAGCTTTGGAATGATGTGGATGCTTTGGCCGCTTTTCTCTGGATATATAAACCAAATGTGGCAGTCCGTTTGAAGCACCTACCTCCTTCTCCCATACAACCTTCAGAACAATTGGAAAAAAAATAATCTAAATCAGTCATAGATTAATAAAGTGAATAATGACTTGTTTTTTTCTGTCTAGCTTCTCTTCCTTACTGTTTCCTCTACCTCTCCAAACCCTATTAGCCGAAAAAATAATACCAAAACCAAAACTATACTAAGCTGACTCTAATTGTGTTCAATTTCAGGACAACAAAACCAATATATTTGTGTGTCTGTCTGTCTTTGTAAAGTTGCTTTCGAGAAAAGCCACCATATATATTATATACAGAGGCAAAAGGAGCAGACAATCCAGCAATTCTTAGCTGTATACCTTGATGATTGTTGGATGATTATTGCCCTCTATATCTGAGAAAACTGCAAAGTCTCCGCTAAGATCAAATGGAATAGATTTGCCCACCGCATCCTCAACTTTGCGGCTGAGCTGCTCATACTCATCCTGCAAATTACACATGAAGACAAACAAGTTCATTTGTCATCATCTGGGGGAAATTTGTGTTCTCGTGTTAGACAGTCTGATAATATAAGATGTTTTTTCTTTTTCTTTTTCTGACAACATAAGTATGATCAAATTTGGCTAAAGGAGTATAATTAACCACCTTCAGTGTTTTCCATTCTCGCTTGAATTCGTTTGATTTATTTCCAGTAAACATGGTATTATTATTGGAGAAGTATCTAAAAGGAGCTCTAACTTGAACATCGTACTTCTTGCAAAATGGAACCCAAAGCTTGGCAAACTTTGATGCTTCCACAAGCGAGTAGAAGGTGAGAGGGGAACAACCATCATCAGACACATAGCAAGCTAGTTTGTCTGCTGGGTAATCCAAAGCCAACAGAGAAAGCACAGTGTTTATGGTAATAATAGGTGGTTCCAGCTCTGGGTCTGCTGTGGTCACAAACATGTCCACTGGGGGAAGTTCATGCTCAGCCACCCTAATAATTCAAAGCACATGATTAAACATCAAAGTGAAGAAATTATTGAACTAATAAATGGACATTAAAAAAAAAAGGGATGTGCATACATGATTGGTGTTACATACCGTTGTAAGAGGCGGTCTGGGTATGTTTTGTATTCAACAATATTCCATTTGTTGCTGATGGTGATGATCCAGTTGAAGGTAAAGGAGAGCTCACATAGAAATGCAATAAGCCAAGTGAAACCATTGTTGTTGAAAGAGAGGAGACGATAAACAAGGAGTGAGAGGAGGAGGAAGAGGATTATAAACTCCATGACTTTGTGCAAAGTGTTTTTGTGCTCGAATCTTTCATGTAGAGGGAGAGAGTTTGGGTTAGCCATTGCAAAGATGAGAAGAAAGTGAGGATGTTTTGGCTGCTCAACTAGCTCAGTGTTTATATGTAGCCACGTACGTATACTTATAGTGTGGTCTAGTTGGCTTTGCAGGTTTGCTTGGTTTTTTTGAGTACACGTGGCATAGGATTATTTTCTATTACATATTGCATGAAAAGCCGGGAGCTCTTGGTTTATATTAGAATGTGAGAATCCAACTCAAACACGTAGTAATTTCATTTTGGTCTCTCCCTTCCTTTCTTCCAAAGGAAAAAATAAACAAAATGTTGAGTTGTGTGACATGTTTCAAGGTGCGATTGAACAAGATCACATGGCCATAGCATGTGGCGTGCCGGCTACAAATTCTTTTTGGCAATTAACCATTTGCATATTCTTGAGGCATGCTTCAAATTGTATGTTCCGTGATCACATGAATCCAAACAGAAAGATACACGGCAAGGTTGCCGTATATATCATTCTAGAGAACGATGGTATCCAATTATTTGGGTGGATGACCACCATACCACTTAAGAGTCCAAACTGAAACAAACCCATCATGAAAAGGAAAGAAGAAGAAAAACGAAATATAATTTCACTCTCCACTTGGACCATTTGGACCATTTGATTCTAATTTTTATTTTAATTACCTTTGAACTTTTGGGCAACTGCAGAAGATGACTGATGTCTCACACTTCTAATACAAACAAAACGAAGTCTGGAAAGTGGATGTCTTTTCAGTGGGGATTGTGTGGATGAAAACTCCTCTTATCAGCCAGTTCATGTAAATTCCAAGTATACTCTTGTGAACTTCTAAATCATAAAGATTATGTTATGTAGCTATGAATTCTAATTTACATCAATTACACTGTAGGCTGGAATTTTCCGAATTCCAGCATGCACCATTGCTTGCCTCACAGCAGCAGCACGATCCCATCTCTCTGTCCCAGCATTAATGCTTGACAAAACCACGTATCGTCCACAATGTTGTGGCTGCAACTCAAGCAGTTTCTGCCCAACTTCATTTCCCAGCCCGGCGGTCCCATGAATATTACAAGAACCCAAAAGAGCCCCCAATACAGAAGCATCAGGCTCAAAAGGCATGCTCTTGATAAGCTCAGTTGCCTCCAAAAATAGGCCTGCTCTGCCCAGGAGGTCAACCACACACCCGTAGTGTTCCATTATCGGTTCAACCCCAAAGTCATTGGACATTGATCTAAACAACTCCAGACCAAAATTCACCAGCTTCCCACGACCACAAGCTGTAAGAACTGCGACAAATGTAACTGCAGTAGGCTGCAACCTTTCTCTCTTCATTTTTTCAAACAGGTCCAAAGCCTCCCGCACCTTACCATTCAAAGACAGAGCTGAAATCATTGCATTCCAAGTACAAACTTCTGTGACTACCATCTTCTTGAAAACATTTGCGGCACTGCTCACGTAACCCATCTTCCCATAAAGATCTATCAATGCAGTCCCCAGAAATGCAGTCAATTCAATCTCTTTTCTAATAACATACCCATGTATTTGCTTTCCCCAATAAAGAGATCCCCACCCATCCAAATTAGCACATGAAGAAAGCACAGTAACATAAGTAGCTTCATTTGGCTTTACAAAACAACCCATCAAATCCTCATGCACCATCATCTTAAAAAACTGAATCCCCTCACTGAAACTCCCATTTCTCCCGAACCCATTAATAACACTTGTCCACGAAACCACGTCCTTCTTGGGCATGCTTTGAAAGAGCGAAACAGCCGAACCCATATCCCCATTCTTCCCAAACCCATCAATCATCGCATTGTACGCTACAACACACGGTTCAGCAATTTCCTCAAACACCTTGCGAGCATCACACAAAATACCAAACTGTGCATAGAAGCTAACAAGCGAGGTTTGTATAAATGGGTCATGCATAACGCCCCGTTTCACAACTTGGGTATGAAGAGGGGCGCCCAAATTGGGGGAGGAGGAGGCAGAGGCGGCTTTGATAAGCGGAGGGAAGGTGTGGCTGTTGGGCGGGGCTTGGTGGGCAAGCATGTGGGTGAAGAGGAGGAAAGGCTTGTGGGCTTGGCTGAAACCGAGATGGGCTCTGATCAAAGTGTTGTAAAGGAGGGTCGTCATCCATTTTGAAGCTGACCTAGGGTTTGGGCTGTGGAGGAGATGACCGTGGGAGATAAGGCGGGAATGGATTTGGTTGATTTGGTTTGGGTGTTTGAGGAAGCGTTGGAGGAGTTGCAGTAAACACTCGGGAGATGACGAACGTGGCATAAGACCAATTCGTGTGTTGCATGATACTTTTACATCTGTGTCAAAAAGCAACCCAAATGTACAAAACGTCGTGGCGTGGTTTGTCGTCTTTTCTTCGTCTCTAATTTTTTTTTTTTTTTTTTTTTTTTTTTTTTTTTTTTTTTTTTGTGGTTGAAAATTTCAGTGGAGAATGTTGGCATCGGCTGCTCTTAATCTGAGATCATCATCAGCTTCCAGAACCTTCTCCAAAGCTCTTCCAACCTCCACCGCCGCTCCTTTCTCACTCGTACGGACTCTCTCTCGCTTCTCAGTCCGCTCTATGGCCGACTCTGCTGCTGCCCCATTCAAGAAAATCCAAATCCACAGAGGTGATACTGTGAGTCTTGCTTCTGCCCCATTTAGTCTTTTGCTTTTCTTTTCTTTCTTTTTTTCGAAATTCTGGTATTGGGTTTCTTTTTTCTTTCAATAGAGGCTGTATGATTCTTTCTTTTGACAATTTTGACTGATGGTAAAAGGGAATTTGATGTTTTTGAATGTATTAAGCAGGAAATGAGATGGGGTTTGTGTCGTTTTGTTAGATTTCTATGTTCGAGTGAATTGGAACTATTTCCATTTATGAAATTAATGTGATTGTGGTGGAATTGTTTATTTTATTTTAAAGAATCATACTCTTTTTTTTCTAATATGATCGGGCCTGGATTGATTATAAAATAAATTTAAAAAAATTGCCCATGTTGTGGCCTCTCGGAAAGTTGTGCATCAACTCTTTTGAGGCTTGTGCGTTCATATCTATGGTTTGTTGGTGATGTTGGCAAATGGGTAACATCCACGCTACCTTCTCTTCATGCTCTCCAACTTTGTTCTTAGATTTCACTTGTCTCTCAGTTTTGATCTTTTGACACATTCAAGCACACTAAGTCATACTGCTGAACTGCAACTATGAAGTGGATTGTCTTGACAGATTGTATTTAGAAACCATTTCATTCTTTCGTTGCAAATGAACTGAACTTTTTAATTGAATTGTTCGTGATAATACGTTTTTGTGGTTACTAGCCGCCACTAAAACTTGTTTCTGATTGTTCTTCTTCTTTTATCTAATTGACCAGGCATTTGATGCATATGTTGTTGGAAAAGAAGATGCTCCTGGGATTGTTGTACTTCAAGAGTGGTGGGGTGTGGATTTTGAAATCAAGAACCATGCTATGAAAATTTCTCAACTTGCTCCTGGTTTCAAAGCACTTATCCCAGAGTAAATTCATTAAGCTTACTTTAATATCTATTAGTATTATGTGTATGCTTATTTAATTACTTGTTGCATTTGAATGCTAAGTATCTTCTTGCTTAATTTTTCTAGCTTGTATCGGGGAAAGGTTGGTTTGGATGTTGCAGAAGCACAACATTTGATGGATGGTCTTGATTGGCAAGGTGCTGTAAAGGATATCCAAGCTTCTGCTAATTGGCTGAAAGCAAATGGTTCAAAGAAGGTGTGACGCAGTTTACTTCTTGCTTAGTTATATAATAATTGTCTTAGTAGCAATAATTTGGGGCTGGTCTGGAGTCTGGTTTGTCTTATGGTGTATATATGTTATGGAAATATGAAAAAAAAAAGAAAAAAAAACCAGGAAATACACGAAACAAGGTGTTCACTAATATAGATAAACTTTAAACAGACACTGCCAACCAGCTAACTAACAGCAAAAGTGCATTACATATCTAAGCTAAGTTATATCTTAATCGTCAATGATGCCTTATTCCTTCTGATATGTTTGTCCATATTTTATGATCTCTTTGAGACATTCAATCTTAAGCCTTGTGATGCCTAACTTTATTATACAACAAAAATAGCCACAGAACAGTTGGACGATTGTTATGTCATATTGAACAGATAGGTAAGTCAGTGCTAAAATTTGAAGTTGATCTTTCTTTTTCTCTATTAAGTGCTATAAATATTCAGGATGAGAATAACCAATGTAATGCATGACTAGAAACTGCTTTGAAATGCCATGATCCACAAAATTTAGTAAGATTCTGCTGTGTTCTGATAACCAGTCCTCCTTCGAAGTTCGCATCACTAAAAATTATGGTTATATCAATCAGTTATGATATGAAGAAGTTTAGAAGGTAAAATCATTTGCAAAATTAACCAATTGTTTAATCAAAATAGGTTGGTGTTACTGGATTTTGCTTGGGGGGTGCTCTCTCAATTGCAAGTTCTGTTTTGGTCCCTGAGGTTGATGCTGTTGTTGCATTTTACGGAGTACCGTCATCAGAGCTTGCAGACCCTGCCAAAGCTAAGGCTCCTGTTCAGGCTCATTTTGGAGAGCTTGATAATTATGTTGGCTTCTCAGATGTGGGGGTATTGATTTTTCTTTTTCTATCTTTCAGTCTTGATTATTTTTTGTTACCTTTCTTTATTTTTTTATGAATTTCTTTTTCTGGACTGAGTTGTTGACGCCTTATGATTGTGTATAATTGACGTAGCAAAATTCTAGGCCCATTCATGTTCTGGAACCCCCATTGGATCCTTGTTAGACCTTAGCCTTCAAATTTATGAAAAAAAATTACTCATGCTGAAATTGGATTTTGATTTTCAGGCTGCCAAGTCTTTGGAAGAAAAGCTGAAAGCATCAGGAATCCTGTATGAGGTGCACATTTATCCAGGCAATGGGCATGCCTTCATGAATAGATCTCAAGAAGGTGTGAAGAGGAGGAAGAACATGGGCCTGCCTGATGAGGATGAAGCTGCAGTTCAGCTGGCTTGGTCTCGCTTCGAGTCGTGGATGACTCGTTATCTTTCTGCTTAAGTTTTACTAGTCTAGTTTTATATATCCAACATATGCTCTACTTACTGGTTGCTACTATCTCTTATCTCTAGTAGGATATATCCTATCCAGACTTGACAACTTCCCGGTTTGGCTAGCAATAATATTTAACTTCTTGTCTAATATATCTATCCTCTCCTTATATTTGAAATTTGGATGCGCCATGTCTACTTACATTTTGGTGATTTCTGGTTTCCTCAATAGTCTGATATGCTGATCAGATGATTTTCTGTGTCAATTATGTCTAAATATCTCTAAATATGCCTCAATAAACATATATAGAAATGAAAAGATTGTCCACCGTATTGCTATTGGGATGGTTACCTTTACAGTCTTTTTCCTTTGTACTCTTTTTGTCCATTTGATCTAATAAACTTTTATCGCTTTTTTTATTATTTTTAAAATGAATAGATTGTATGTGAAAGGGGTGTGCATGGGTGGATTAAATTAGGTTTAGAAAGAATGCATGTGATGTGAGCAAGTCGAGGAAAAATGTTGAATGTTGAATGTTGAATTATGGAGAACCGGACATCTTAACCAGACTTGTACCGCATACCAACTTTTGAGTTCGCCAGCGTAGGGGGGTCCGCTCCCGCCGAGCGACGCTCTTTCTTTTTTTGGCCGTGCCGTGAAGTGAAATTGTATCGTATGTTAGTTAGAGAGGTTGGCGAACTACTACGATCTATAGATTCCCCATCTATATTCAATCCCAACGAGAATAGAAGCAAGTCGCTTCCGGCTTGGGTTTGGCCTCTCGGAAATTCAAATCATAATGAAATGGACCACATCCTTTCAATTTAATTTCCTTGCAACTTGGAATTTGAGATGACCAATTGGAAATGAGTCGTAGAGAGAGGGAAAATAATGGCCTTCGCACGTGTTTCTCACGTCAATTCCATTTGAATGCTTGAAAAAGAAATGACAAGAAAAATTGGCGAGGTTTCTCCCCTCTTTGTCTGATACATCACCTTCAGCTTATGGCCTATGGCCAATAAATATACACCTTAAAATGCACAGAGAAATCAACCCATTTCTAGCCTCATTTCAATGGAGCCTTGACTTCTTCCATTTTGCTTACCAACTTCCAACTTCACTGATCAAATAATTTCCGGTCTAATTGTATTTCTTCTCTTCTCAATATTAGAAAATGTCAAAAATTCAAAGATCTCCGCCCATGTTGATAAAAAGAAAAGAAACCCCACAATCACCCCCTTCTCCACGCCCATATACCGTATACGTATGAGTTCGGGTTATGTACTTATACAACTTTACACTATTTAGTGAATTATACGAGTTCAATTTGCATACATAATAATACATAAGCTTCCATTTGCATTCCTAACTTACCCCATTCACGGGTTCAATTTTGGAGTTTGAACCTCTAGACGTCAAGTGCTTGGACATTAAATCTCTAAAAAAAAAATTATAATGTATAATGTGAATCCGATACGGCGGTGGTCCATTTGCTTAAGCAAGGCAAAATTATTGAGCAGATGAAGACTTTTTTTTATGCCATGGCATGGACCATATCTAGAACATTTTCCTTTTGTTTTATTTTGACTAGCCGAGTACCGTGAGCTCTTGTTTTCGCCAATATTATTAACAAAATTAGTTGGATTTATGGTCATACCTTGTGGCTATGACTTTGATCTAATTTCTTTCTTCTTCGTCTCGTCCTTTCAACATCAAATTAAAACTAAAGATTACAAATCTTTCTGTATATCCTAACTTTTTGGACACTTCGTCAAGGACGGATCAAAGTCTAAAAACCCAGCCGTTCATTGGGTTTGCTTGCTTTTGCAGAGAGTACACATAACGCTCATCAATTTAAAGGGCAAAGTTGAGGAAAAAAATGGGGAGAGGGGGCAAAGTTTGTTGTTAGGTTGACAATAACTTGTGGGTTTTGCCTTCTTTCATATAAAACTACTGACTCTAATGAGAAATGCACTGTCAGAGAGCAGCAGAGAGATCTATATATAGTAAATACATACAAAAAGAAGAATAATGCTTTGGGAACTGCCTTTCTGTTTCTTCTCTTATCTTTTTTTTTATCCATTTTTTTTGTTTGTTTCATTGGTCATCAAATTGGCTTTGAATCTTGAGAGAAATTTATTTGAAGTTGGAACTTTGACAAAACTGATGGATATATCATATATTATACCATTGTTGACTATCTACATTAATTAAATAAATTGATTAAATTATCTTGATAATTTAATTACATTTGGAATAGACTACTATGGTGTCATGTGGTTTGAACTTGAGACCATTGATTTGCAAGTCAAGATCCTTTTTTGCTGAGCTAGACCTCGTTTGCACATAAGTTTTGAAAAATATAAAAGCGACGCCTTAATAACTATTGTTATGGTTTGGTTTTTTCAAGCTTTATCTTTTTTCTTTTTTTTTCTGAGTTTGCACTCTTAGTTGAGATGACTATGCCAAAGTTTATTCAATCATGTGTGATCATTAGTAGAGGAGCCCCAAATTGTCTTAATTTTGATGTTAGAGCTCCGTTATTGTAATGTCCATTTGTGGCTAGTTTGTATTGGTCTTTCGTGGCTAAAGACTTTTTCAGCTGAATTATAAATGCAATCCTGAAATTTCTATTAAAAAAAAAATAACTTTGTGGCATAAATGCATACACGTTTGTCCCTCGTTTGCAACATGATATTAATATCAAATTAAATCTGCTAGCTGTGTGAAAATATCCATCACTTTAATATACAGTTCTAGGTTCTATGGTCCGCAGTGCTTACCTAGCTCCATTATGAATATTTATTTTAATCATATTTAAGAAAATGAAATAATTATTTTATATTTGTTTAATTCAATTTTAATACATGATCTTTGATTTTGAGTATCCACGCTGCACCATTATCAGGTTTGTCAAATCTCTGCAAAGGGTGATAGATGCACGCATAACCTCATCATCAGTCTAAGTCTTCTCCAGCAGCCCAGCTAACCCAATAATTTATGATCTTGAAATAATAAAATTATGTTCCTTAATTAATAAATTTATGATCCAACACACACATTTTGAAATATATATAGTTCTATTTTATTGAGGAATTTCTCAAACAATTTATTTGAGCGACACCTTTTAGAGGCTGCTAATTTTGAACAAACCATATGTCGGCAGTCAAATAAACCTTTATCAAAACGTTCTTTCTGTATAATTTAATTAATTAATTAATCTAATTCTTGGGGTGGTAGTTTTGCTTGAAGTACAAGACAACAAGAACGAGCCGCAATCACTGAAATAATCGTATCGGTTGCCAAATAAATGTGTTTATAAATGTATGTAAAACTTCAAATGAAGTAGGTTTGGGTTTATAAAGCAATTCGTCACTCAATTACTTAGTACTTTGTCTTACCTAAGTTTGCCGTTTAAAAAGACACAACTAGTTAATTAATCTACCCAATTAGTTAATTAATCAAGAGCTAACTCCGCTAACTTTGTTGGTGTATTGATCTTTTGAGTAATTTAAATGGGTTTGCGGAGTGGTTATAAGAGATAATATGTTGTTAAACCAACAATACTCGAAAACAATTTTAGAAAGTTACACTAAGTTTGAGAATTGAGTATTGTAGTATTCAACAATTGTCGTTTATAAGATTAATCCACCATATGCATGCATGAGATTTCAAATATATGTTTAACCGACCATATAACAGCAAAAGTAGCCTAGCACTAAACTAAACCAGTTCATGAAGTAATTATTCAAAAAGCGATTCTGAAGTTGCGCTTTGAACCCAAGAGGAAAAAAATGTACACGAGACATTAATAAAAGCAATTGCATGAACTTTTGAGAACCCTAGCAGCCTGTAGTAGGCCGATATTGCCCTCCACACTTGCTTTTTTTTATTCAATTCCATAATTGTTGCCCATATCTGTCCCCACTCATAAGCATGCACGTTTTTCCCTATTGCCAGCTAAATTTGTAGTCAATCATTTATTGTATACAAGAAAAGAAAATAGGCTCCATAACATAATCAATGAGCTCATTTGACCATAAACAAAAAACCAATGAGCTCAACTCTTTTCCAACTTACATAAGAAAATACCAGACGAGTCCAACGCATAGTGAGCCGTTGATGCATATGAGTGATGTGTGTGAACAACCGACTATGACATAATTTGTCACATTCCTGAATTGGCTCTGCCGTAACACGATATTGTCTGCTTTGGGCCCCCTTCTTTGTCCTAACGGTTTTGTTTTTGGAAACTCACGAGCAACTTACCAGTAAGTCACCTATCTTGGGATTGCTTTAACCCCAACTCGCTTAACTTCGGAGTTCCCATGACTCCGAAGCCAGTGAGCTCCCAAAAGACCTCGTGCTAGATGGAGGTGGGCATGTACATATAAGGCACATCATCACCTCTCCGTTGGTCGATGTGAGATATTACATAATTATTTTCATAATCAAAACTATTCACTAGTAGTGACTTCTGAACTGCAAAATGAACTATAAATTGAACATGAAATAGATGGAGATATATACTATTTCAACTTCCGAGTGACAAAAAGGACTCGATTAATTGAATCACGTTTTATTCCTGAAATATGCCTTGCAAAAAATACAAATGTTTTTTAATCATCCTTTTGAACCACATATAATATTAATGCCGCCACCTTTCTATTATCTTTTTCAAACTAAATAAATATTGTAGTGTCCTTTCGCACATCCTTTGCCTTAGCTTGCACAAAAAGTATGCACGAAAAAAATAATATTCATATGCAAATTTAATTACTACATGTGGATGGAACTTTATTCGAAAGGAGTCTGGTTTCCAATTTGGTTCCGCGCACAGGACACGGTTTACTTTTGAGTTGAGGAAATTATAAAAAGCTACCTTTGATTTCCTTATATTGCTTGCAGGTCACATGACTCACGTCCAAGTAGGCAGAGTTGAATAAATGAAGAGGATTGCAGCTGGTAGAGGAAAAAGAAAGACGACCCATTTGCTCTTTTTTGACGACTTTATATTTGCCCTTTCAAATAATGCGGCCCCTTTCGTTGACTACAATTGGAAAGCCAATGTATGTGCGTGATCATGCTAGAGAAAAGGCAAAATTAATGGGAACAAAAAAAATCACCATCATCGATTTGGGTTAGTTAAACATGATTAGTATAAAACCTGGTCGAGTTTGTTATCAAATAGTAGAAAATTAACAAGAAACTCGAAAAAAGGCAAATTAAATTTTGTTTGCTCAAATAGGATAATTCGAAATTAGCGTCGTCGTAGTTTATCAGCAAGTACTAGAGAAAATAATGACTAGCTAAGTAGTTCATTATGCGACACTTATTTTGTTATATACCAATTGAACCCTAATTTCTGGAAAAATCTATCCATTTTTCTACCTACCACTACACTTGTTTAACTTTGCTTTCAATAGGTTCCTTGGATCCTCTAGTTTTAGACTACTTTTACTTTCATCTTCTATCTCTTAACCCATAATTGTAGCTTTCCTTTTCTTATAAAAACTACCATGAAAGAGATACCTTTGCCTTCATTTTTATTATTTATTTAATACAGTTATATTAATTTTCCTTTATTAAATACTGGAGTGATTTTCAAGATAATAATTACACCGTCACGCGGTGTCACTTGTGACACGCATATTTATTTTCTTAGTAACATACCTTAGATTCATGACTTACCAATCAATAACGTCGTTCATTTATATTTTAATATGTGAATTAGTCTCACTACGTGACGTAATGACGGTAACACTAAATTTTTTTTCAAGAATTTCACATGCGTGTGCAGACACTAGATGGTCTAATACAAGAAGCCAAACATACACTTGCGTATTTGACATGCAAGAAATCTTTTGCAATAATCTTCACTCATTTGATTTCAAATTTTAAAGCGACGCCCATGATTTGCACCACATAAAACCATTATATCATTGTCTCTTTTAATAAGGGAAAAATAACTAAAGGAACAAAGCATAGTCAAGGGGCACGACTGATGGATGGACCATTATTTCAATTTTAGTATTTATATTAATTATCATTTTTGTTTTCTTCTTTAGCATTTTATTCCTGGATCTGGTATCTATATAATAAAACACAAGATTGGGTCCATTCCAGTGGACGGGGTCAACCCGTCAGCCTCGGTCCGAATACAACCATACGGTGGTACGTGTCCTAAGTCCGAGTGGGCCCCTCCCCCAAAAGAAGCCAATCGGCAACCTCCTTATGGGACCCGCCGCAGGTTCATATAAGAACCGTTGACTCAAACTAGACTTTCCACGAGCGAAAGACGCCGGGCCAATCGGGAGCCGCGAACGCGTCAATCTATCTCGACATCAGACCCAGATCGAACGACTGCCCTTGCGCTGGACCCACATGATGTGGGGCCCAACTAACTGCCTCCTCCCTCATAAATCTGTGCTCCTCGCACTGCTACACTGCGAGTCTGTGATTTAAGTAATATTACCACCATTGAGATTAAGAAAGGCTCTAGGCGTATGAAGACGATGGACACATCCCAATCACTGATTTATTTTTAAGTTCATTTGAAATTTTCCATTCCAAAATAAAATAAATAATTCAATCAAGACAAGAGTTTAGGTGGGTATAATTTTTTTTCCACTTTCTTCTTCTTCTATTGTGTACAAAATTGAGGTCAAACCTATCTTCTTAGAAAAGATATTGCATTTAGTTAAGTAAAATCTTGATTTCCATCATATTTAGATTTGAATTTGAAACCCAATAGTTCAAAAAGAGTCACCATCTTTCAATCTTTTCATATTGTTACCTAAAGTTTTACAATATTATCAATTCCGACATTCATCTTGTCTGATAGTACGTTTATTCGTTAAGAGCATTTTTGGAAAAAATCCTTTCTCCGTACAGTTTTGGTGTTACACAAAGCTCACCTTATAAAGCAACCTAACCCTTAATAGGATATAACTCCACATCACCATCTTAGATCAAAATTAGACAGAGAAATTTTTTCTTCAAAATTAGTTTTATTGTATTTTAGAAGTGGGCCCACACTTCCCATGTAAATAATTAACGAAAGAACATACCGTCAAACAAACGAAATGTTGAAATCGATAATATTTTAAAAGTCTGGGTCGCGACGTGAAATTTTGAAAGATGATGACCTTCTTCGAAAATCACCAAGACTTTTAGTTGTGTAATTTGTAAATAAGCTCAAAGTTTTATTATTACTAATAAACTTTCCATATTCTTTAAAAATAAAAAAATTTCCATGAAGATGAACCCAAAAGTCAGATCCTTGTTAATGACCTAGGCTTTACTCATGTGACCATATATATAAAGTGTATTTAGTCATCCCTCATGTGATATTTAAAGCAATATCCCAAGTAGCTACAAAGAGCATTAACTCCCCTTCCTTTATTTTTATTTTTACTTTCCAATTTGATCATCCTCTTCATCCCTATCTTATCATTTTCACAACCTCCTCCCTCCCCCTCATTTCTCTCCAATCCAAATCCAACAATCCCAAACCTAATGTTCAACAGAGAACACAACACCACCACCAGTCACCAGTTGTTGCTGCTACTCTCTTGCTGATCAAAATTTGGTATTGGGTCTTCTTCTCTAGTCCAAGCCCCCCTTTTATTGCCGAGTCCATTGCACTCTCTTTCTCCCCCTCCGCTCACACACACACTTCCACCTACGCACACACACACACACACTCTCTCTCTTCTCTTCTCTCTCCACAGTTTTCTTGGGTTTTTATGGCCAAGGGAAGTGGACTCTCCATTGATTCAGATCCATTTGGGTTCTCTCTCCACAATCCCATAGTCCTCAACTCCTTTCAACAAGACCAATATAACCACCATCAACCCTGCAGGACCAAGAAGCAGCAGCAGCAGCAGCTTCATCACTCCTCACTCAACATGGACATGGACGCCTCCACAATTCACCCGACGTCTCCTCCTCCCCCTCCTCTTCCTCCTCCAACTCTGCAATTCTCAGTCAACCTCAACTGCACCCATGAAGATGTTGATAATCATCATCATCATCATCATCATCACCACCATCAGCACTCTCCTGAACCACCCTCCAATGAAAAACGTAAAGTCATCGACGAGAGGGACTTCTTCGCCGATAACAAGAGCCATGTTGATCAAGACAAGTCTGCCTCCGCCGACCCTGCTGATAAAATGGACTTACATGGCCCGACGGATATGGAATTCAACGTAAATGTAAGCGACCCTTTTCACCATTTTGCTTCATCTTCATTGTTATTATTGATTTCTCGGCGTTCTTAATTCAACAACTGTCGTCCATGAGATTTTAATGAAGTCGGAACCTTTTCGACAAACAGTCATCATCATTTTCTTATTGTTTTTAGTTTTTGTTTATGTGTTTTATAGACTGGCTTGAATCTTCTCCTTACAAACACTAGCAGTGAGCAATCAGTGGTGGATGATGGCATTTCGTCGAACATAGAAGATAAAAGAGCTAAAAGTGAGGTACAGATACAAAATTTAGCTTTTGCATTTATTTAATTTGTGCTGAATTTTGGACCTGATTCTTGGGTTATTGCTAATTTGCTATATTTAATATATATGTTGGTATCACTTTTTGTTTTCTCAGCTGGCTGTTCTTCAAGCTGAGTTTGAGCGAATGAACGCGGAGAATCAACGTTTGAGAGGCATGCTTAATCAGGTGACTACCAATTACAACGCTCTTCAGGTGCATTTGCTGACTTTGATGCAAAGCCAGAAGGCTGAGCAGAACAGTAGCGCTGCTGAAGGCCATGGAGTGTTTGATGGGAACAACAAAATGGTGGTGGAAGAAAAGAAGCTCATTAATGGCAATGGATCGCCAGTAGTGGTCCCTAGGCAGTTTATGGATCTCGGGTTGGCTGCCAATAATGCTGACACTGATGAGCCTTCACAGTCTTCATCTGAGGAAAGAAGCCGCGAACGGTCTGGATCGCTTGGAGAGAATGTGAAGGTTGCAGGGCATAGTGATGATCAGGAGAAGAAGGAATTTGGAAGAGGGATTGGGAGAGAGGAGAGCCCAGATCAGCCATCACAGAGTTGGGCCCCTAACAAAGTTCCAAGGCTCAATTCTCCCAAAGAGGTTGATCAAACTGAGGCTACCATGAGGAAGGCAAGAGTTTCGGTCAGAGCTCGATCAGAGGCACCTATGGTATGTATTTTGGACTATGTTGGAGTTTTATATATATGACGCATCAGATTTTGTACCAACATGTTTGCTAATTTGATAAATTTTGTTGGGTTTATAGATCACTGATGGATGTCAATGGCGAAAGTATGGACAAAAGATGGCAAAGGGAAACCCGTGTCCTCGAGCTTATTATCGATGCACCATGGCTGCTGGTTGCCCAGTTCGTAAACAAGTAAGCTCGCTTGCTTAGGGTAACATTCTCTTATTAGATATGCGACATGTTATTTTGTCAGATTGTTTCCATTTTCGGTTATGATTCACAACATGTTAATCTTCGATCTTTGTACTAATTTTAATTGCTACTATGATCAAACAGGTACAAAGATGTGCAGAAGATAGGACAATCCTAATTACTACATATGAAGGCAATCACAACCACCCATTGCCTCCAGCAGCCATGGCAATGGCATCAACTACTTCATCCGCGGCACGAATGCTACTCTCGGGGTCTATGCCGAGTGCAGATGGCCTAATGGACTCAAACTTCCTCACCAGGACAATCCTCCCATGCTCCTCTAGCATGGCCACCATCTCAGCCTCAGCACCATTCCCTACTGTTACATTGGACTTAACACAATCACCAAACCCTTTACAGCTCCAAAGGCCACCAGGCCAATTCAACATCCCATTCCCAAACCCATCTCAGAATTTCACCAATGGACCCGTCTCATTGCTGCCTCAGATTTTTGGTCAAGCACTCTATAACCAGTCAAAATTCTCTGGCCTGCAAATGTCACAAGACATGGAGCGTGCCCAACTGGGTCACCAACAGCAACCAGGGCACCAAGGGCAGCAGCAGAACTCATTGGCTGACACTGTCACTGCAGCCACTGCTGCCATTGCAGCTGATCCAAACTTCACTGCAGCACTGGCAGCAGCCATCACCTCCATTATTGGCAATGCTCATCCAAACAACAATAGTAACAACGGCACCAACCCTGCAACCAACTCAAACAACAACAATGGCAATGGCAACGGCAACGCCACCAGCAACAACAATAAACTTAGCAATTCAAGTTTTCCAGCCAACTAAAGCAAGCTTCTTCTTCTTTTCTTTTTTAGTTGTCCTTTTTAGGATTTTCTTTTTCTTTATATGGGCTGGGAGAAAACAAAGTGAGAATATACATGTTTTTTTTTCTTCTTCTTTCTTTTTTTGGGTGGAGAGGGATTAATTAAACATAGATTTTTATATTCTTTGTCATTCGAATAACATCGTCAATATGTTCAAATTGTATGTCAGTACAAAGTCCCATTAAATTGAAGAAAACAAAGGAAGAGGAAAGAATGCAAATTGGTTTTCCTTTTTTGGATGCATCCGGAAATGGAGAGGTTGGTGTTTTGTCATCCATCTCCTCTTTTGGTTTTTTTTTAATGTCAATGTTACATGTTTTTCCAATGCACCAAACAAAAAGTTACATGGAAAAGAAAAGAACAAAGGAAAAGATAAAGCAAAATGACAATGTGGGGAAGGAGAATAAAGGGATTTGGTTTTTTCTTGGAGTTATGTGTATCAACTGGCAGTCAAGGGAAGGAGTCAACAAAACCGTCTCGGAGTTATTCAAAAGACTGGAGATTAGTTTGACACGTAAAGAGAGAGAGTAAAGGGAGAAAGAGACTTTTCGGTTTTTGCTCCACTCTTTTCTTTTGGGATTCATTTGGACTTTACCCGATTTCCTGTCCCCATTCTCTTGGTTATATTCTTTTTGCATTGCACCAATGGCTTTGATTTGAATTGTTTGATTGTGGGTGTGGTGGATGAAGTACTGTATGTGAGTTGTGGAAGATTAAGATGAAGTTGATAGAATGTTTGAGATGAGAGTTGAGATAAGTACCCTTTTAGGCAGCAACAAAGTTAGAAAAGGCTTCTCATCTTACAATCATCAAATCGACATGTTCCACAATTTTGATATTTTCATTTACTTTTAAAATCACTCATAAACATTTTATCAAACATCTTAATGTCATTATTGCATTAAGATGAAGATTAGCGAAAGATGAGAAAAAGTTAATGGGGTTGCTTGATGTGCTCATAAATTCGACATTTATCTATGACATTTCTCCATGTTTACACCTTTGTTTTACTCTTTTATATAGGTTTTACATTCTTTTATTATCTTTTTAGGTAATCACAAGCGAATGGTGGAAAATGAGCTAAAAAAAGAAAGTTGAGTTTGAAAGGTTTGTGCAGATCAGTCAAGTTCACGGATTATACTGTGCTGACTCAGGAAGAACCAGAAGCTGAGCCACATATGCTTGGAAAGCTACGGATGTATATTTTCTGGGGAATTTTACGGTTCGTGAATATCATTTTTCTAGAGGAAGTTATGGTGGTTTTAGTACAGGTAGTTCAGTCTGCGCGGGAACCTGCAATCTTTTATGAAGTCCAAGTTTTGAAGCCCAAATCACATCAATTAGGCCAATGAGGAATATTCCTATGTCCCAAGGGTTTATATGTCAAAATAAAAAATATGTAAGGTTTTAGAAACGTGGAGAATACAAGGAGCAACAAAACTTTTTTGGGAAGAAAAGAAAAGGCGGCTTCTGTGTTAAAGGGGAGCCGATTTTTGAGTCGAAAAAATAGAAAAAAGAAAGGAGAAGAAGAGGGCAGCCACACCATCCCATTCTCCTCCATCCTTCAAGGTTCCAAGATTTGAAAGGCTTAGGAAGCAAGGAGGAACGTCAAGGCGTCATCCAATCACTCTGGCTAACCAACACATCATCAAAGAGCTATCTTCTTCCTCTTTTTATTTTCTGTTTTGTATGTGCTTGCTGTCCATTTAAATTATGGGTAACTAAGTTGAAAATACCTGCAGGATGACTGAAAAAGCCTAGAGGGGGTGAATAGGTCAATTTAAGATTATAATCAATAAACAAAAAATAAACTTTGGTAGTAGGATTGATATGGCTTATCAATCTTGAAATGTGCTGAACGTAAAATAAAGAAATATGCAGAGAATTATTTTATGTGGTAAAACCCCACATCTGGGGAAAATCCACGGGACTCCTCAGTCCAACTCAAATCTACTATAGAACGATGATTACAAGAAGTACTCACACACTTATCCTAGACACATTTTAGATAATGTTTACCGACTTCTTCGAAACTCAACTTCTATCACGGGATGATCTTCAACGCTCCTTATGTTGAATGCAATACTGGTCACGATTACTTCAAGCTCTCCGGAGGAAAACTGCTTTGGTGCCTTCAACTGTATGAGTCACCAAACAATGCAAATGAATGCAATATGAATGATAAAAGTGTTTGATAAACCACCAAGTAAATGTGGAACACTTGATGATTTATCTCAAATATATGCACAGAAGCTTTCATAGGAATTTTAGATGCTCAAAAACAAATATGTCGAAAGCCACTTGTATGAAAAGAAACGCACATCTTTTATACAAAGCTGGTTCTTCCTAGTCAAAGATAAGCACAGGAACACACCAATCATATCCTATCATGAATATTAGATTGTTATTCACTTTGGATTCTAAGTGAAGTCGTCAACTAATGCAAGAAGTGAGGAAACCTAAATGACTTCCACTAAAACCAATCTTTTAAGGGAGAAACAATATCTACCTAAACAAATTAATTAGACCAATCAAGTAGGAGCTTATTTCAACATGCAAGTCATAATAGGAAAAAATAATATTTTAACTTAAATCAAAATAGAGTCCAACTAGGAGAGTAATCTCAAGAGATAAAATCTAATCTTATTAAAAATAGGACTGACATAAAAGTGCTTGAGTGAAAATAACTCCAACTAATAATCCTATAATGAATGCATGATTATGTCATGATTTACCTAAAATCAAGTTCCTCATATCGATCAAGTCATACTTCGAAAATCCGAGATTGAATGTGTTGCGCCAAACCTTCCAGTAAAATATATTCACACACTAATTCCTAACCTATGCTAGAGTCTAGGAAATGACAATACAATTTTCATACTAACATAATTACTTTAGTTAGGGCTCGATTGAAGCCCTAATCATGTTTCTTTAAGGATTTCGATATGGATTTGCTGTAAACTACTTTTGTGATGCTTAATTGATTAATTTCATATTATATTTTACTCTTTACATGCGTGATGTTATGCTTGATCACCATACGTATGTTGTGTATTGAGTTTGTTACGTAGGTAAATTTAGATGACCGAGTCTTGTGCCTATGAAAGTAACAAAAGAACTAGTTATAAGTTCTTGAAATTAATCATCATGAATAACTAGAATAGATACCATGTTCTAGGAGTTGTGCGTTTGTCAATTTCCATTGTGTTATGCTTTCTTAAAGTGCAACTTAGTAGATACCATGCTAAACACTTTAAGAATGAGAAGAGTTAGCGTAGATACCCATGTCTAACTTGTTGCTTAGGAAAATTAATAATTTAAAGAGTAGATATCTTGCCTTTAGGTTGACAAACATGAGCATCTAAAATCTGTTTTGTAGCATTGTGCATGTCGTTTGCTTAAGGAAGAAGATTAGCGGTGAACATCGAATCCCTAACTAGTTTTCTTATTGTTTTTTTTAACCTCAATCAAATTATAATTTTAATATTTTGTTTTGAAATTTTTAGTTTTCAAAATCATCTTAAAACCATCCTTTTGAACACCTTGTCTACACCGAGTGCCTTTGTGTATTGCTTAACTTTGATTAGAAATCTTAGGGTTTTGAAATAAGGTTTTTTTTAGGGTTTTCTTTCACTTTTGCATTCATAGTTTGTGCCATTTAGTTAGTAGTTCTAGGAAATTAATTTTAAACACATATTAATCCAATCATTGTGGGAATGATCTCGTATTTGCTTTCTATACTATTTGTTTGATCTTGTGCACTAGCGAGTTAAAACGCGCATATAGTTGCTTAATTTTTAGGTTGCTATTTGTACAACATTGCTTGACCCCTCGTCGTGCCTTTTGTAACTCTGTTATAAAATGAGCACGGACATTTTACATGAGTGTAAATATAGGCGAATTTACTTGATAAGTGTGGCTTATAGATGATTTCATGTATATGATATTCATCTTGAGACTTGTTCACAATTGTAGGGTGAGTCTTAGAGATTTTCTTTGTTATCGAAGAGAGTTAAGATAAAAGTTGAGTTAGCTAAAAGGGTCGAGATTTGAGTTGGGAACGTACTTGATGAATACTAACATTTTACAAAGCCAGCCCCAAAACTAAAGGGCTCTAATTCAAAATGGCCCACCCAAAAGTGTAAGCTCATCAAACTCCACCGGATGAACGATTATTTTGGGCCTGTTTATGGGCCTTAACCTTGTGACTGTGACTCCCATAAAGGCGCCGCTATCTAAAGTTTCAAAACAAGACTGGTAGTTGAGCAAAGAATAACTCTAATTTTCGGCTGGTTCGACTAGTTAACTGTCAAATTACAGACAACCAATTATGCTACGACACATCAGCAAATCTTGGACCCACAACAATTGCAACCAATTTTGACCGGTTCGATAAAGCTGCTTTGGTTGCATCGCTGGTTAGTAACATGAATTAATCTACTACAAATTTATAAATAAACCCAATTCTAGACATGTATTTATAAAAAAACCCAAGCACTATTTAAACATAGAAACACACCCAAAATCAACCCTAAAGTCAACTTTTTGGGTGTGTTTATAAATGGGTTTTGAGTGTGTAATGATGGGTTTTGGGTGTGTTTATATGTTTAAATAGTGCTTGGGTTTTTTTATAATTTCAACTCCCATTTTGGGTGTTTTAGTGAAACTCCCTTAATCTACTCCGCAAAGCAGACGAACTTGCCTCTCTTCTTTTAAATCGTCTGACTTGAGTTTCCTCATTCTTTCAGTTTTCACCTGCTACTTCATAGTTCGTAGTCGTACTCAGAAATGTAAGTAATATTTTTTTTATTTTCAGAATTGATTTTCTGTTTCAAAATTAAGTTCCTGATAATTTGATTCTCAACCAGATGCTTTTTGAATCGGTTATTTTTGTACATGCTTTAGATTGTGATCGTTTAAACTATAAAGTTTACACCTTTATTGCTGGCTGAGTACCCCTAGGGTTGTTAAGCTCCGTTTGGTTCCTGAGAAAATATTACTAAAAGGTCAAAAGGAACGAAATTTTAATTGCCATTATGTAATTGTTTGCTTTCCTGGTAGTTTCTCAGTAACCAAACACATAGACCGTGTTAGTATGTTTTGTCAAAGCTTTTTCAGTACTTTCTAAGAGTGATCTTTGAGCGACAAGTTTGCACACTTTGTTTTGCAGTTCTCAAAATGGGTACCAAATTTGGAGCCAGTTTGGTCACTCCCTTTCTCTTTCTGCTTCTGTCTCATGTGGTGTTTTCCACAACAAATGATGGGTTGGTCAGAATTGGACTGAAAAAGATGAAAATAGATCAAAAATGTCATATGAATAGAAGAAGTAATACTATTGAGCAAGAAGAAACACCGGGAGGTCCTATTAGGAAGTATCATCTGCGTGGTAATCTTGGGGATTCTGAGGACACTGATATTGTTGCACTAAAGAACTATATGGATGCTCAGTATTTTGGTGAGATTGGCATTGGAAGTCCTGCTCAGAAGTTCACTGTGATATTTGACACTGGAAGTTCTAATCTTTGGGTGCCCTCAGCCAAGTGTTATTTCTCGGTAAGCTTATGAAGTCTTTTCCTTCATTATTTTGAGTTATTTTTATATCAAAACTATTAATTCAAATGAAGTTATCTTAAAAATTCGTATCTTTCGAATTTGGTTGCAGGTTGCTTGCTTTTTTCACTCCAAGTATAAGTCTAGCCAATCAAGTACATACACAAAGAACGGTATGTTCCTATTCACTGGTTCAAGGCATTCACATCCTGATAAGTTATGACTGCCCTAGGTTGGGATGAGCAAACCCTTGATTCTTGATCAAGGTGTCCCAAATGTTCCACAATACAGAGCTAACCATAGCATTAACTGATACTGTTTTAAACTTCATGGAAAGGGGAAAGCACTGACATTCTTTAAAGAACAATGTATAAACTAAATGTCAAAACTGTGTGTTTCCATTTTCCAATGTAGGAAAATCTGCGGCAATCCAGTATGGGACCGGCGCAATTGCAGGCTTCTTCAGCCAGGACCATGTCACTGTTGGCAATCTTGTTGTTAAGGATCAGGTAAGTTTTGACAGAACCTAGATTTGGTGAATTTCAGTGTTGTGGACTTTACCCTTACTATGATTACTGGTTATTAGGACTTTATTGAGGCAACCAAAGAGCCTGGCATCACATTCGTCGCAGCTAAGTTTGATGGTATACTTGGACTTGGATTTCAAGAGATCTCAGTTGGAAATGCTGTTCCTGTCTGGTATGTCAATGCCACTTAGTTCTTAAGTATACTAATTACTCGATTCAATTTGTACACTTAATATCATAATAATATACTAGTTTCTTTCTTCCATATTAATGGGCTAAATGTTTTTTAAAACACTCCAAATTGTGTCAGCTGTGATTATCATTATACTTCCATTCCCCCACTTGTAAGTTGTAAGTCCTCAATGCTAATCTGTTTGACATTAAATTGACCATTATAACAGGTATAATTTGGTCAATCAAGGTCTTGTTACAGAACCAGTTTTCTCATTTTGGTTAAATCGCAATACTGAAGGGGAAGAAGGGGGTGAGATTGTATTTGGTGGGGTTGATTCTAATCATTACAAGGGTGAGCATACATATGTTCCTGTGACTCAGAAAGGCTATTGGCAGGTTGGCAATCCAAGATATTACCATCTTTTGCAGATTTTCTACTTGATAGTTGATAGTTGATATTTGATTTTTTTTTTTTTTTTTTGGTTTCTCTTATTTGTTTTGATATGGGTGATGTCTTAATTGGTGGCGAATCATCTGGTAATGATAAAATTCCTATGTTGAGACAGTAGATACTTTCTATAATTTTTTTGTTATGGTATTGAAAGATTATCATGTCACTTTCCAGGATTCTGTGCTAGTGGCTGTTCAGCAATTGCCGATTCAGGAACCTCCCTATTGGCTGGGCCAACAGTATGTATTCTAGCCAACCATTTCCATATTTGTATTTCTTTGTATCCAGTTATCAATATATCAAGAAGCGCTGCACAAGACATACACATATCATGCTATCTAAGGCATATCTGTTGAATATAAAAAGCCCACATCACTGTGATCTGCTATCAGGGTTTATTTGATAGTTTTAGCAACTTCTAATTAATATTATTGTCTAATCTCACTTTTTCAGACTGTTATCACTCAAATCAATCATGCCATTGGAGCCTCTGGTGTTGTAAGCCAAGAATGTAAGACAGTGGTTGAACAATATGGGAAAACTATAATAGAAATGTTGCTAGCTCAGGTATACATTTTTTTGTTTTTTGTTTTTTTCCAGTGCATTTTAATTAAAGTTTACTGTTCTTCCATCATTTTAATGATATATGAAGACAATATTTATATTGGTACTTTTCTCTTTGATTCAATTTGCCGGAAAACTCCCTGCAGTGAATTGATTTTTACTTTTACTGGCATGTTTTCTAGGCACAACCCAAAAAAATTTGCTCCCAAATTGGTTTCTGCACTTTTGATGGAACTCATGGTGTGAGGTCAGATGCAGATCAATCTATTTTCTTAAAGGTTTTTTTAGAAAGGATAGTGGTAATAATGAGTTTCTTAGATCATTTTGATTTAAATGTGTTAACATATTTGCAGTATGGGCATTGAAAGTATGGTGAATGAGAAACTAGAAATGACATCTGACGGCGTGCATGATGCTGCATGTACTGCTTGTGAGATGGCAGTGGTATGGATGCAGAATCGGCTAAGGCTAAATGAGACAGAGGATCAGATCTTGAATTATGTCAATGAGGTAAATTAAACTTCCTTTTCATGTGTCTGTGAAACGTTCCTTGCAGCAAGCTCATGCTGGAATTTTCACTTGCAGCTCTGTGAACGACTTCCCAGTCCCAGTGGAGAATCAGTGGTTCAGTGTGGTGCTCTATCCTCCTTACCCAGTGTATCATTTACCATTGGTGGTAAAGTATTTGACCTTGCTCCAGAGCAGGTATGGTCGTCATGGCATTAAAACCCTAAATTATTTCATCTTTCATCTGAGTACATGAGTAGGCTGCTTCTCAATTGTATTCACATGCCCAATTGTGAATAAAGATCTCCAACTTAAGAAAGAACTCATAGAACTGCGTTAATATACTTAAGAAAGACTTACAACTTCAAGTTTTCATAACCAGTTCTCTGCATGAAACTGGTTTGTAGTACATCTTAGCATTTATTACTATGCAGTGCATTTAGTTAGAGCCAGATTAGCTGCAAGTTGTTCTACTCTCTCTCTCTCTCTCACATCTAGATAATTGTATGTCTAATAGGCATTATTGCCACTGTTGATAAAAGTAGTTTTCTTTCCTTTTTATCCAATATTTAATTGTTCATTTTATGTATTAATTATCACCCCACATATATTGTTTATTCTTCTGAACATTGGTTTGTTGGATCAGTACGTTCTCAAAGTCGGGGAGGGAGTTGCAGCTCAATGCATCAGTGGGTTTATCGCTTTAGATGTCGCTCCTCCTCGAGGACCACTCTGGTATTTAACTCTTCCCATAATTGCTTATAGCATCTTTTGAACTTGTACATTCTCTTCAGCAATGGCACACACAAACCGTTTACATCGGATTGCTAAAAATGGTGAAAATCTGATGCAGGATTTTGGGGGATATTTTCATGGGTCGGTATCACACCGTGTTCGACTATGGGAACTCGTCAGTTGGATTTGCAGAAGCAGCTTAGTTCTATATATATTTTCTGTTTCCCCTGCTTATGTAAATAATCTCTGCAGACATCAGACAAAGAGTTGTGACGATAGAACTTATTTATGTGATGGACCATGGACATAACGAACCTTTACAATCTTGTATCCGTGAATAAATCAAGGCAAGATTGTTTGTATCTGCACAAGAAAACTTGGTTTCTAATATACATGGGCTTGAAGTTTACGTATATTTGCCATACCTAAATTCTCTTGGCACAAATTTAAAAGAGTGTCACAATGACTTCAAGCTGACATAGCCACCAACAATCTTGTGGACAGGTGGCCACTACAAATCCTTTCTGCGAGAAACTGATATCATTGGTTTGAACTTTGAGCTCACAAATCACACCTATAATGTTCTAGAAGCGATAAAAGATGCAATTTCGTTTTCGTTGTGGATTTCGTCATGTACGTGGTTGAAGCAGAAAGAGTCACACTATTGAAAGCACTTTTAGCTCTCAAAGTCTCTAACTAACAAATTAAAAAGTGACACATAAACAAACTTGTTACGTGTTGCCGCGCTCTTTATGATTCTTCTATCTGTAAATGGCCACCACAGAGAGGGAGAGAGAGAGAGAGAGAGAGAGAGAGAGAGAGAGAGAGAGAGAGAGTTTCTATAACGGCACGTCCAAGCAAGCAAAATCCATCCATCTCTACTCATTGAAATGCCGGCTAACAACCCTATCATGCTAAACCAAAGCAACACTCATTTATTTTTCCAACTACGCAAAAACTAAACAACAATCTAAAACTCAAATCCCCAAAGCAACCAGAAAAAAACAAACCAAAACTCCCAAGTTTTCTTTGTTATAAGCGATATTAGAGGAGAGGGATTTGAACACATGACCTCGGATGCAGGGGTAACTGCTAGATAAATTTAAATGATCTACGTATGAACAAATAAAACACTCTCACAACTCATCATTTTAATCTGAAATTCCGAAATTAGGGAACTTATGTTGGTGTATCATTACACTCAACACAAAATGTCTCCATGCCATTTGCATGACTAGCTCTCTTGTTGCTTCTTACCTCTCAGTTAGTCCTTACTTCAGCTCATCTCAATGCTTTGCGTTGAAAATTAGCTAAGATAAGTGGGCTGGGAACTTTATAAATTAAAAGCAATTTTCTTTCCCCCAAAATATACCAACTCAAGCATTCATCTTTACATTATAGGGCAATAATGGTATAATAATAAAAAATCAAGGTAGGACCAAAGGCGTGCATTCATCTTCACATTCAGTACAAATGTTTTATTATTAGAAAAAGCTAGCAAATTGATGGCAGGCTCACACAGCTATATCATTAAATTTACAACAAAAAGCATACTGCAATTTCCTTATCCTCTGCCGGAAGGGGAAGGCCAGGCATAAATGAAAAGAAGCCACCCTATGAACAGTGTTCAAAGGACCACACCAACTCTTTTTTTCAATTTCAATGGCATCCAAACGCACGTAAACCTTGTCACTTCCACAAGCACACACATTTAAAACGTGCCCTTTGATGTCCCTCCACACCAACGTGTTCACTTTCCTATGGTTCTTTTGTTTAGCCCCAGTTTCGTAAGTAATGAATTGCTTATGAAAAATGAACAAGAATATCATATTATATGTGCATTGTGTGAATCTTACAAGCCACGCATGGGATTTGAGAAAAGCGTTGGTTTACATTTGCCCTCACTTTGGTCCAACAACTAACTGAACAAGTTTGACAGAAATTAGATGGTGGGGTGGGTAAGCGTACGAGTGTCTCAGTGAGGCGAGAAATTTTTCGATATGACTTTAACATTATCATGTGATGTTAACAACTCACTTATGTTATAATATGTTTCGTATTTCTTAATATTATATTATGAATATAAACTCGTTATCCATCCATATTATAGCACCCGAGATAATAATATTATCCACACACAAAAAAAAAAATCTTCTGAGTGAGACAGCCATTGGGAGATTCTTAATTAGGGTTGTTGTTGGCATTTTACTTTTATAAGTCATATAACCCAACAACAACTAACCCCACCTGCCGATTTACTGTGGTATTGTTTGGTCAATTGGAATCGGTCACAACCCCTACCATTTGTTTTTGTGCCTTTTTGCCTCTTTGAATTGATTCCTCTCTTTAACTCTCTTGCAAAAGTTCCAAACCACCATACCCTTTTTAGCTTTTATTGGTTCATCAAAAGCTTATCTACCATATGTTGTGCGCTATTAATTATGAGGAAGTTGGAGAAAGAAGTTTAATATTTTCTAAATTAAACATCTAAAAGACCACATCAACAATATGAGGCTTCAAGCAACAAAACGTAGCACATGAATTCATCAAATAAAAAATATATTTTTTAGTGCTTAATTTAATGGTTCCAATGCAATTAATGACACTTTTTGGTATAAGATTATGGCCCTTTTAAGATTAGCATGGCAGATTAATTATATTTACACTCATCATGGTAGTTTTCTTTTGAGGTGTGTTTGTTGCATACCATACATAGTGGATAATCGTTTTTCCTTTGTATACAATCTAGACATGAAAATTTGGGGGGTGATTATTTTAGTGGAGTGCCCACGGGCCACGTCCAAGACGGCATCACCAATCATGATTGCTTTACTTAGGAGACACAAATCCTCTTATTAACAAACAAATAAACTTTCTAACAGGTTGCATATTGTGCATGATAAAATATATTTTAGGAGTGAGTTAAAAAAATCTAGTAGCCTGATACACATGGTTCATCCTTACTCGTTTAAGTTTTCGAAAACCAGTATTTGTCGACAATATACTAGTTTTAGCTTGATACTATGCTAGTCAATACTTATCCAAAGTATTTTACCAAATTTTTGCCACCATTCAATCAATGAAGACAAATACATGGAATCAGGAGACATTGTTTTTACCTGAATCAAGGGGGGAGGGATTGTTTGGCCATACAGTTATAATGAGCTCAAGTAAAGCACATTCTTTGAATTTTGGATGTGTTTTGTTTGTGACTAGTCAAGTCACAAATTTTCAGCAAAAGATGGTGGTGAAGCAATATCAATTTTGGTCAATCAAAAACAATGGCTTAAATTGACAAAAAGGTATATTAGGTGCTGATTCCTAACCAGAAAAAAAAACAAAACTATCAACATCCTCATGGCAAAGCTTCCACTGATCATATAGCTAGGGTCCCAAAATCATTATATATATATTTAAAAAAAAGTTGCATGGTGTAGTGTAAATTGGTCAAAGCCCACAGACAAAAAGAAAAAAACAAGTATTAGCTTAACCCCCCTTTTCTTCTTTTACTTTTGGTAAATACCCAGAAACTTGTACTTTTTCTCAACAAAAAAAAACTTGAAATCTTGACCAACCAGATATTTTTATCCAATAGCACATGCCTGAATTCAACCAATATACCAAAACCCAAATTGAAAGTGATACTAGAAATCAACCCCGTTTTGGTGGTTCAACGCACCCCCTAACACCTCACCCATAAGTTGCCAATTTTAATTTCCAAACTCCCCACGTCCTTACAAATTAGAGCATCCCATTTAGGATTTTTATCCATCCATCCAACCCAACCCCCTCCCCATCACTTGCACGGTTGCACCAAACCAAAACCAGTTTGCACGCTCTTAAACCTCAATCCTTGACACGTGCCAACGTTCCATTTTGCCAAATCACAGCCGTATAGGAGGCCACCCCCGTCAACCCCGCCCGAATTTTGACACGTGGTCGACTAGTTTTAAAGGAATTGTCAACCCTTCTGGTTGTAGATGGAGAGAGAGAGAGAGAGAGAGAGACCAACCAACCAATTAAATTATCCCACTTATTATATTTTGCAAGTGAGGAAGTCCATATATAAAGGCAGAGGCACAATAGGCATCTTAACCAACACAAAAAGGTTTTCTACATTCTATTCTTAGCTCATCACCAAATGGACTGGACTAGAGGCCACACCATTGGCCATGGCTCATCAGCCACCGTCTCCCTAGCCACCTCCTGCTTCTCCGGCGACCTGTTCGCCGTCAAGTCAGCGGAGATGTCCCAGTCCGAGTTCTTGCAAAGGGAGCAGAAAATTCTCTCTGCTTTGAGCAGTCCACATATAGTAAGCTACATGGGGCATGACATGACTAGTGAGAGCAACAAGCTCATGTACAATCTCTTCATGGAGTACATGCCCCGCGGTACGATCATCGATGAAATTTGCAACCACGGAGGCCAAATTGACGAGTCACTGATCAGAGATTACACAAGGGACATTGTGAAAGGGCTAGAGTACTTGCATTCACATGGGTTGGTACATTGTGACATCAAAGGCAGGAACATCTTGGTTGGTGACGATGGTCCAAAAATTGCTGATTTTGGATGTGCCAGGTGGGCTAATCCGGCGGGGGAAGTGGCGGTGCCAATTGGCGGCACACCAATGTTTATGGCTCCGGAGGTGGCGCGTGGGGAAGAGCAGGGGTTTCCTTGTGATGTATGGGCTCTTGGGTGCACAATTATTGAAATGGCTACTGGGGGATCAGTGCCATGGCCTAATGCAGCTAACCCAGTAAGTGTTCTTTATCAAATTGCGTACTCCGGTGAACTGCCTGAGATTCCAAGCTTCCTCTCAGATCAAGCAAAGGAATTTTTGGGAAAGTGTTTGAGGAGGGACCCAACAGAGCGTTGGACGGCTAGTCAACTTCTAAAGCATTCATTTCTTGAGGAAAAGGAAGAACTTATAATTACTTCTGGTGCAAAGCAGGTTCAAGAATCCACTTCATTTTCTCCAACAAGTATTCTTGATCAAGGCATATGGAACTCTTTAGAAGAATCAGAAACTTTGGGCAATCTTGTTCAGTTCCCAAGTTTTGAAAATTCCTCCTCTGATCACAGGATCAGACGGTTGTCCTTGTCTTCAGGGAATCCCAGGTGGGCTTTGGAAGAGACTTGGATCACAGTTAGAGGGAATGATTGTGAGGAAAGCAACAGTATTGGTATTGCCAATGATGCTGAAGCTGAAGATGATGTTGATGTGTTTGGTGGGTTGGCAAGGGTTTTAGTTAATCGTGATGTGCAACAACTGGAAAGCCCTGAAGCTGTAGGTAGTGAGGAGGAGGAGGAGGAGGAGGAGGAGTTAAATTTCTTAGATAGCAATAATAGCTGTAGAATTAATTTGGATATTTTAGGGGCCTGCAAAAAAAACATGAATAACAGGAGTGTTGGTTTGAGCAATTTGATTTTTGAGAGAGACAGAGACAGTCTGTTATTTCCTTCAATATCAAGTTTTTAGTAATCATAAATTCCATATTTTTCTCTATTATTTTGTTTTACTGTTATAAAGTGGATGGTGAGCCCTCTCAATTGCTAGTAGGCCCCATATGTGTTTGGTGGGTCTGTTTTTGTTTGTGTTTTTTATTTATTTGCCAAATTTAGAAATAGAATGGGAGTTTACTTACACACACCGCGAAAGTGTCATGTAGATTCGAACATGAAATCATTGGTTTACAAGTCAAAATCATTTTCCACTAGGTTCGATCCTATTAGCGTTAGTTTGGTTTAATTCCCATGAGTCATGACACAGTGAAGTCATAATTCTTGGTATCAAAGATTAAAAACCCATAATCCTTTCTGCTTAGTTTCTTTGTTTGGTAGGTAAAGAAGGGTGCCAAACATTGGTGTTTTTAATTCCATTCCGCCAACTGCTGCTTAAATTGGGTGTAGTTCCTCGAATGCAAGTGGCTAGGAAACTGAGATTTCAAGTCATTATTTACTGTTGAAGCAACTGTCTCAGAAGAATAGATGTCCTAGTTAAGTCGGCATTTGGTAAGCCAGAACCCAACATTTACAACTCGAACCAGATTTCTGTTCTCTGTGTTGGAATAAATATAATTGACAATACTCTCCTTCAAAGAACATGGAACAACATCGATCGTTTATACTATTAAGATTCGCATAACACATAACAAATATTTGGGTGGATAGAGTTCTTCCAAGTGGAAGTGGCCTAAAGTTTTCTATGTGGCCAGAGGAAGAGTCTGAAAGCACCAGAACTTTCCAATTCAATACTAATCTACCATCCATTTGTTAATGCTTTAAAGTTTCTGATTATAAAATCTGCAAACATCCCCATCACTTGCATTACCTCATTGCCACTTCCAAGCAAGAAGCCCAAGATGGATTTGTTTGGGCCAATTGTAAAAGTAGAGTGGGTTCTATTTGGGCCAAAAAGGAAAGTCTACTATTTTTTCTGACTTTTAGCTTACGAAAAAGACTTTTATTCAACGGGGCACTTTTGTTATCACTGGCTATTGATGCAATGAAATATAGTTTTTTCACGTGTCATTGTGTTATTGGTCGGGAATAACAAAATAGTGCTATACCCGTTACAAATAAATTTTTCTGTCTGGCTAGAGGTATGAGCATGGCTATAGCTTACAGGCAACATTGATGAATAATAAACATGGGTCTTCAATGCCATTAGTGGAGAGCAACAAAATTGAGCAGCAAAAAGAGAAGGTTTTAAAGTTCTCAATTAATTTTCTGCAAGAAAACTAGTAAAACATTAATACAAGATAATTGTTGAAATTAAACTACTCTGTTTTTATTCTTATGAGTACTTTATTGGTAGGCTTTGCAGATAACTGAACACAGATGGACCCAGCAGCATATATCTCCAGCCTCAAGGGTTTCTGATACAAAGAAGAGCATGTTGGTCTAGTAGTGTTTCACCGTAACGTTGCATCGTATAACTGCGTATGAGTTTGGAATGTCCACGGAAATCGTTTCGAAAGTAATATATCCTCTAACAAATCGAAATTTTCCAGTACCTGAAACCACTGATAATTCTCTAACTGGCTCGAATTGCTTATCAATCCCTTGTATCTGTAGAGTGCTACCATTGTACTTCTTGTTTGTGAACACAATGGAAAACAAGACATGAGCATTAAGTCCATCCAATGCTGATGTCATGGACGTGCCTTGTACCCGGCCAACGGATGCTGAGTTTGGGTGTGAGCCTTCCGTTACAGGGTCATCAATGGCATAAAGTGTGGCAAATTGAGTGAAGGTCCAAGCCTTGCCGGAAATACCTGCAAATGGTATGTCTGTGGCATTCGGACCGGCGAAGATGTCTTGAAAGTAGAAGGAAAGTTGGGTTTCTTTGACCTCATGACTGGCTAGGACCAAAGATGTAGTCACGGCTAGAACCATTAACAACATTGTGGATAGAGCATTGAGATTTGGTATGAAGGCTAATGCCATTGGTTGATGGGAGCTAATTGAGCAACCAAGAAAAGAGGTTAAGAAGAAAAGGAGCTAACTTTTGAAATTGCTTTGTGATGTTGAGTTGTGGTTTTCAATTTATATTATGAAAAAGGAGAAATCATTGATGCTATATCAACCATTTAGCTTCTGTTTTACTTCCTTGTTACTTCCTTTCTAGTTGAGAATTGTTTAAGCAATAATGCACCACGCCTGCAACAGACCCTAATATAAATATATTTGTGTAAAGACCAAAATAAATTAGTTCCAAGATGGATTTTGTCGGGGCCAATTGTAGGATGTGCTCAATCAAAGAGACTAGAAGAAGAAGTCTGAGTTCTGCTTTGGCTAAAAAGGAAGGTCCAATATTATTTCTATGAGACACTGAAAAAAGATGTTCATCAATTTCTTGCATGCTCAGAGCTAAAATACAATCATTTCTCAAAGTGACTGCAACTATTGACTGTTTGGAAGCAACCTAACGGTGCATCGAATGATCGAGTAGGAGGTCTTATTGTCATAGAAAACTGTCTCAAGAGTAGCATATCCCCTTGCATATCTGAATGATCCAGTGCCTGAAACCACTGAGACCTCTTTATACCTCTCAAACTGGCGGCTGATGCCTTGTATCTCAAGGCTGCTACCGTTGTACTCCACATTGGTGAATGCAAGTGACATTGAAACATGCACATTGGAGCCAGACAAGGATGAGGCCACTAGGATGCCTTGAGCTCGACCGATTTGGGCTGATACTTTATCCGGGGTTTCTGTGATGATATCGTCAACGGCAAAAATGGTGCCAAATGAGGTGAAAGATTGAGGCTTGCCCTGGATGCCAGTGATTGGGACAACAGTGGCATCTGGCCCAGATGCCAAGTCTTGCAAGTATAACACTATGGTGGTTTCTCTAGGACTTTGAGGCTTGGCCAGAGGCATGAGCATGGCTAGTAGAAGCAATATTGATGAAAAGGACATGAGTTTGGTGGGTCTTGAAAATGGATTCAATGCCATGAATGCAGAACAACAAAATTGAGCAAGCAGAAAGAATTGAGTGAATTAAATTTTCTTTGTGCAACTGGGTTGGTTCATGCAATGGTCTTAATTTATGGAGGAGAAGGAGACGGTTAAAGTTGTCAAATTTCTGCTGGAAAACCGACGTTATAGTAAAACAATGATTGAATTTGAACACAAGATTCATGTTATTATCTGGGTTTGGTTTATGAGAACGTTATAAAGTGATGATGAGTGTTTCATGTGAGGTTGTTCTGATTATTCAATACAAGATAATTTGCTGAGATTAGATTCCTCTGTTTTATTCTTTTGAGTATTTCATTGGTAAAGCTGAGACCATCATAGATCTCAAAGATTAAGGGTTAGAGTTAATCGAAATCGACTTGATAAAATACTTTGATTAGTTTACTTATTTATAAAACTTTTTCTACTTACGCAAACTACTAATCAAACTAAATAATTATTTTCAAGTTCTTATTATTGTTAAAACAAAAACAAAATATTAAATAGTTAATTAATGAAAATATGTCAAACATGAATTTATTTATTAATATCCATTGAATTGTCGGATTGGCAAAATCAACGAAAAGATGACATGTATTTACCAAAAAAGCATAAACAAATAAGTAACAATGTAGCAAAACACCTAGTCCCACTAGTGTAGTGGTTTGGAGTAATTGCTCCACCAGACAAGAGTTTGAGTGTAGTGTATGTGAGTTTAGTATATTATCGCCCCTTTCTCAATAGGTAAGTTCTTTAAAAAAATGTATCAATGTAGGAATGCAAATGTTCCATGTACACATAGGAGCTTTTGAAATTGCTTTGTGAATTGTGAAGTTCATTGAGTTATGGTTATGGTTTGTATTTGTCATGTGAACAAAGAGCAATGTTTCTACTAAAAGAACCCAAATTCTATCAACTCAATTGTTGCATCATTTGGGTACCTTTACGTACAAATATTGGTCCAATTGCACAAGTGCACTCATTTTCTTCTCTGCCTACTATAGCATCCTCAAAGAGGTATATACAAAAAGTTAAGAAGAAAAAAAGTAACTAACTCCCTTACAAGTTCTTTTTGTCATTAGGGTGTGATGTGCTTTGCTTGGTGAATCTCTGTTCAACCAATTTCGACTGATTCCGAAAATTTTGGTTGTCCGCGAGCAATCGATCATATTCTTTTAAGAATCCTTCAGATTCCTGTCTTAGGGCCTCTGCCTCGGCTCTTGCCTTGTTTGCCTCGTTTGCTTCGCTCTCGCATTCAGATTCCAGATACTTGAGCTTTGTCCTCAATGTATCCTTCTCTTGTACCATGGTATTAAGCTTCTGTACACTTTCGGTTTTCTCCTTTCGAAAACTTTGGTTTTGTGTTTTTGCAGCCTCCATGGCCATCACGAGTGAAGGAAGCCCTTTTATGTAATGGTGCAAGCTATCTATCATCAGTACAAGAAACAGCACAATCCCTGCATTTCGAACAAGGTTGAAAATCAATTTTTGAGGGAAACAAAATTCACAAATGGTTATTTAAGAAAAATCAGAGAACAAAATTCACATATATACTGTACGCAAAATGCACTGTGATATAGATCAATACCATAAAGCACAAACTTATCTATAAAGCTGAGATGGCCAAAGGTTTTGTCTAGCAAAAAGGAGGCAGAGAGTTCCATAAAACTAGAAGTAGATGATTAATAACGTAGCACAATACCAAACTCATGCTGAGTAAACACAGAGCTTGCATATGATCAGAAGGTGTTTGTCAAATGTCCCCAGTCAAAACTGATAACATTTGATTGAATATTCCAAATTAGCAGAACCAAAATCGAAACTTTAAAACTGATTGACGTAAACAAAGGAAAACCCCAAAAAGAACAATAACAAAATCCACACAAGAGACCCAGTAAAATTCGAAAAGAAAAATTACCAATTAGAGAAATTTGGAGTACGTTCATGGACTTGAGAACCTCCTCTGTTGGGTTTAGCCCACTGCCCTCGTTGGTTCGGTTCTTCATAGTTATGCGGAGGAGACTGTAGAAATTGGCTATTAAAACCAAAAACAGAGTTCCAGTGACAATCTTCACAATCAATAGACCCTTTCCTTGGTTTAGCTTCAAACTATCCAACTCCATGATCACAGTTTTCGTCATCGGAGCATCAAACAGCAGCGTCATAATCAGCACCATTTCGCTGAAAATCAGTGCGTAGAGCAGATAAACCAACCCCTGCCCTAAAATCAAAAGCAGCTGCACCATCCTTTTGCCTTTACGCTTACACCCAAAATCTAAAATCTCGGGCAAGAGAGAGCCTGAGGTCGGAGACTGAAATTGAAAATCTGCGTGATTTTATAGAAGCAGAGGACTTTTATGAATTTTCCCAAAATTGCAATTTTACCCTTCAACAAAAAAGAAAGAAAAAACCTTTCGATAACTCATTTCATTTTAGCTTTGTGATAAGGGGGATCCACATGTAACATTTTGAAATGGGTTCAATGCTTTGAGCAATCTTCACATTAGCAGAACTAAAAGAATTCGAAACTACACAAATTCCTTGCGTCAATTCCTACACTCTATATACATATGGGTGCACTTATCTTCTTTTCTCTGCCTCAATCCCACATCTAAAAAGCCCTCGCATATACATATGAATAAAATTTGCTAATGTAATCGCTTCCTTGCGTGTTTCGTTTTGTCATCATAGCTTAGATCCACCCATTCTAGCTGGCTACGAAGAATTTGGTTGTCTTCCTGCACGCGATCAATTTCTGCAAGGAGTCCTTCATATTGCTTTCTCAAGGCATATGCCTTGGTTTTTTCCAGCTTTGCCCCCTTCGCTTTCGTCTCATATTCAGTTTCTGTATTCATGATGTTTGTTCTCAATTTAGCAATCTCTTGTCCCAAGATCTTAAGCTCCATGGCTCTTCCGTTTTTCTCCTCTTGAAAAGTTTGGTTCTCTCTTTGTGCAGCCTCCATTTCAGTCCTGAGTAAAGAAACTTCTCTCGTGTAATGATGCAGTCTATCCAAAATAACTGAAAGAAACAGCAAGAATCCTGCATTCGATAACGTGGAAATCAATTTGAAGGAACAAACTAAGCAAACAATCAATCAATTAAGAAAGCATACATTGTGATGTACCATTACCAATAGCACACAACCACAAAACAAACTAAGATTGTAAATAGAAAATGCAGAAGGATATCTTATCGCCCCACACACAAGATGGCATTTTTCTTAGAGAAGGAGAGAGAGAGAGAAAAGTTCATAAAACTAGAAGAAATTCCTCTGAATTATAGTGCACGCTGCACTTTGTCCCTGGAAAGGAAATAAAATACTCTCAATACCCCTTTGAACTTTGGAAAATTTGAAATGCACTGTCCACTTTTCTGTTAAATTTTGACATTCGATGTGCACATACCCCTTTCAAGGGAAATTTTGTAAATATCTTCTCTCTCTCATTTCTCTCTTCCTTCTCTCTCCTCTGCGAATGCCCCAAATCCCAGCTCTAGTCAGAGGCTAAGAGAGTTACACGTACAGAATCCCATTCCAAGTGAAATGGGTTCCCTATCATGTTTCCTAAGCTAAATCCTGCTATCAATTTCTCTATAGAATACTAGAGAGCCTGCTTCAAGTTCTTGACTTTCCCTATAATTTGATTTCCTAAGCTTCATATCATCAATTTCTGAAAATTTAATCTTTAAAAAAAAATAATAATAATTAAAAAGGAAAAATAAGTTACCGGTAAGAGAAATCTGGAGCATGTTCATGAGAACACTCGGATTGAGCATGGTGGTTCGTTTGATGATGTTGATCGTACCATAGACCCTGGCCACTAGCACAAGCAACCCCGAACCAGCGATGATCCTCACAACGAGTGGGCCCCTCCCTCGTTTCAAGCGATCTACCGCTATCATCACCGGCTCCGCCAGTTTGATCTCCAACAGCAGCGCTAGAATCAGCGCTATTTCGCCCAAGATCGCCGCGCAAAGCAGCAGCTGGAACATCCCTTTAACTTTTAGCGCCAAACGGCCAAAACCCTAGAATTAAAAGGACGACCCAAACAAAGAAATATGAAATTCAATTTAGGAAAGATTTAAATCGCACCGACTCTGTGGTGTGTTGGCGCCCGTTTGGGCCGTTTGGTGGTTCGTTTCGGTACTCTGTATATCTTGGTGTTTTCAATTATTATTATTATTATTTTTTCTCTTTTGAGTTATTTACCCTCTTGCGGTTTTCCATTTTTTCACAAAATTCTAATGAAGTGATTTTGTGAAAACAATTTGAAACCTCATAAAGTGTTCGTGTAATTTTTGAAATATCGGGAAGTTTGTGAAAGCACTTGAAAACTCTGGAGATGTTAGTATAAATAACTTTTTTCTTTTTATGTATAAAATATGTTTCGAACGTAGCGTATCCCCTAGCGAATCGAAATTTTCCGTTACCAGATACTACTGCCACCTCTCTAACTTGATCAAATTGCTTGCTGTTTCCCTGTAGCTCTAGTGTGCTGCCATTGTACTCCTGGTTTGTGAACACAAGTGACGCCAAGACAAGGGCATTGCGTCCATTCAGGGCTGCTGCCAGTGCCACAGTTATGCCTTGGGCCCGGCCTATGGAGGCGGAGTTTGGTTCCGGGCCTGCGGTTAATGGGTCGTCGGTGACATAAACTGTCCCAAATTGAGTGAAGGTCCAAAGCTTAGCTTGTGGCATTTGGACCAGCAGAGACGTTGTCTTGGAAGTACAAGACCAATTGGGTTTCTTTGAGCTCACTGGATTGGCCTAAAAATGGCGCCATGGCTAGAACCAATAGTAGTGAAAAGAAGTCACTGAGGTTTGGTATGAAGTTTGATGCCATTGCTAGATAAACAAGAAGCTTCTGAAAATTGGGCAATCAAGAATTAGGCTATTGGAAGATAAGGTGCTTTTGGGATAGGTTTGTGATTTTGAGAGAGGGTATTGGTTTCCATTTATAATATGAACACAGAGAAATAATTGATTCTTAGTCAACCATGCATATGGACTATGGAGCACTAAAACCATAATTACAAGTTTTAGCTTTGAGGTTTATACTGGATATCAACATAATTAAGTCATGTGCCGTATAGAATCTTTAATCTCCTCTAAGATTATATTTCCTTTTGGGCTTATAATATGTTTATGACTACATTTAACTCTTGCACTCTATTGACTTTGTAGTGGGTGTGGATTGTGTGGTTGTTTTTTTTTGTTTTTTTAGAACAAGCAAAATTTCATTAATAAAAGGGTAAATACAAAGAAGAACACATCCCAAATGGAGGTTCTTGCATACAATAAATCAGGAAAAATAAATGCAACAAGACATTGAGTAATAACTACTAAAAATTCAAGCTATGCTCACTCATAGTTGACAGATAGAGGATCAAGAAGACTCCTTACAGCGCCAGTGCTACAGAGAGACCATGAGAACAATTGATTATGCATGAACAGGCAACTATAAGCACCAAAAGTAAAAGGGCCTTACCGCTCAACATCCACTTGAGCAACGAAGGCCACAACACCTCCAGTATCTCATATGATCTCACAATACCCAGTGTGAAAGATCCATCTAGATTTAGCAACTCTACCTCATTAGCATAAAGGATTTTAAAAGCCAGTCCAAAAGAACTGGGGAGAACCAAAACTCATCATAAAATTGCTGAAAAGTCGCCCGATTTATTAGCCAAAGGGGTTGGTTCCAGGGAAAAATCCCTGAAATCAAAGGGGGTTGCAATAAAGGAATTTTTTGGTCAACAAAATAAAAAGAAACTATATATAATGGGCAGGACATGACTAATCAACTAAAATGGAGTCTATGCTGCTGAATCTTCTACTGGTGCAGGGACAACTGTATGGACTGACAGGCTTATTAGTCTTTATCGTTACAAAAGTCGATGCTACCACATCGAGCATTCTGTCTCATATTTGGTGAGCATATCAACGTTGGAATTTGACTAAGTTTGATAACAGTCGCACATACTGCAATTTACACATCCTGCTAAAACTATAAATTACGAGGCTGGACAAATGCATACATCTAGTTTGAATACTTCCCAACTCACAAGCGACACAAAAATGCATCAATTAAATTATGCCCCTATATTGGTATCTCAAGGGTTGACCAGCAAATTACAAGAACAAGAACTGCAACTAATCATTTATTAAGTTTGCCATATATTTCCAACCAAGGATCATAGACATGATCTTCTAATAATGTTGCACTGTAACGTTCCATTTTACAACTGAGTAGCCAATTGGATTGTCTAAGAAATACTTCTCAAGCGTAGCAAATTTCCCAGTACCTGATACCACTGCAACCTCTTTAACTGGCTCCAGCTGCTTACTGTTTCCTTGTAGCCCAAGTGTGCTGCAATTGCACTTGTTGTTAGTGCACACAATCGATAAGGCCACTATTGGAGCGGAAAATTTCGGGTCATCCAACAAGTAATCTTGTAGTTAATATTGAGAAATCGAACACCGTTTCGATTGCTGTCAATGAGGAAGGAGGAGGGTACCTGCAAGAAAACACTTGCTCGAGTTCGTAGGAGTTCAAGATAATTGCAGGAGAGTTAGAATAGTATTGTTACCTGATTTTTCCCTTCGAGTTTTGGGCTCCATGTTCCATGTTCCATAGTTTTCTTCATGATCCACAATCACCCCATCATGGGCATGGTAGTGGGTGATCATGTGGGCTTTGCCATATGACATGAACATGCTAGCCCTTGATCTTGAGCATAGGACATGTTTGCCTTGGTAGGCCTTGCCCATCAAGTCCCACTAATCCCATGATTTCATTTATGTGTGATCAAGGATGGTCCTACGTACAATCTAGGTGACTTGATTTTTTATAGCCAACCAAAGTTAATAGGCAGCCTAAGTGACTTTATTTTTTACACCCCACACGGACACACACCACCACCATCCCACCCACAAAAAATCTCATATTTTTTTCTTTAGTTAACTAACCCCACAAATCTGATAGAAAGAAAAACATAAACTAACCTCACACATGTGACACATACCCTTTTTCAGAAAACACCCATTTCATTCCCTCAAAAAATCCATTACCTTGGCTTGAATACCTTCTTTTCAATTTTATTTTCCAAGTTGGCTTGAATGGCTAGATGCACTAAAATGGTTCAAAATTTTTCTTCTTCTTTTGTAAAGGATTAAACTTTCAATTTTTCTCATTTAAGGAGAAGTTTATGTGTAATTGCTCTAATTGACCTTAAAATTCATACTTCAATTTTTCTATGTTTTACATAGGTTTAATTTTTTTAAATTAGAAATTTGGAACTTCTTATCAATGAAATTCACTTGTACCGTAGAGTTTTCTATCTTTCAATAGGTTTGTGTGTAAGGTAAATTTAGTCTATCTTATTTTCAAATATTGAGTTTGTAAATGTTTGTGACGATGGATAGATGATAGGAAAACATGTCTCTTGATTGTCACTTCTCCAAGTTTAGGGTGCTAATGAATAATATCTTGATGAGTAATTTTTGCTTTCACAGATATGTTGCGACCGTCTAGCCTTGGCCGTGGTCAACGGTGGCTGCGTCCCGGTGTGGCCCAGCAGTTATAACTTTTGGCACTACTGCCCTTGTACCAGGGGCGAATCTTAAGCCAGGGCAGGGTAGGCTACTGCCTACCCAAAAATATTTCACTAAAAAAAAACCTATATATAAGCTATGTAATTGATATCCATTCCATGTGTTGGTATACACTCTTGCCTACCCAATCCATATAAAACCCACAACACAAGCCCACTAACTTTAAAAAACTGAAGAAAAAAAATTATAACCAGCTAGCCCATGTTATGAATGGCCCAGTCAAACTTTAATAAAAGAAAGAATATAACTTAAGCAGCCAAATAGTGGTCGTGCAGTGCAATTCCAGACAGAGTCGGGAGAGCTTCTTCTCAACGCAAGTCTTGGCTGTGCTGTGCAATCGTGGACACTGGACAACCTCTTCTCTTCTCTTCTCATATACAAGGAAACAAGTATTCTTCTTAATCTCTTCTCTTTAATTATCTTCTTCTATTGGGTTATTCCATTGGGTCGAGTTTTTAAGGTAAGTTTCGCCTACCTGACTTTTGAATCCTAGATCCGCCACTGCTTTGTACTTACTTGATGCTACAGTTCAAAGACAACTTTAGGGTTGCCTCTATTTTTTCAGGTTTTCTCAAGTAACACTAATTTGACCAAACTATTTTTCTCTTGTTTTTTTTTATAAACGAAACGACCAAACTTTTTTTTTAAGACTCGAGTAGTTTCAAACTAGGGTTTGAACCGACTAATTTATTCGACTTATTAACCCTCACCAAAAACACGTAAGGATTGGAAACGAGGAACTAGATGTCACTGTCAGTGTCAAAATCGTCACCCTCTCTATGATATCCCTCTCATTTGACAGGAAAAAACACAAGTTTAAGCAATTTTATTCGAATCCAAATTCATGTGGGGGATTACAGGTAAACAAAGAGTCAGAGACCTACAATCTGCAAATTATAAATCACCACCAGAGCATCCATACAAACACGAACAGCTCCATATTTGTTGATTATTTACCCCATTTTCTAAACCTACAAACAAACATCATCTTCTAGTAGTGTTGCACTGTAACGTTGCACCTCTCCACGGAGTAGAAAGTTGCCGGATCCCAAAGATACGTCTCGAACGTCGCGTATCCCCTGGCGAACCGAAACTGTCCGGTACCGGACACCACTGAAACCTCTCTGACTTTCTCGAACTGCTTGCTGGTTCCTTGTATTTCCAGTGTGCTGCCATTGTACTTCTTGTTGGTGAACACAATGGATATCAAGACATGGGTGTTACGTCCATCCAGCCCTGACGTCACATAAATGCCTTGGCCTCTCCCAACTATGGGTGCGTTTCGATCAGGGGTCTCGGTTAGAGGATCGTCTGTCACAAAAACTGTTCCAAACTGATCGAAGGTCCAGAGCTTGCCCGCGATACCGGCAACTGGAATTAGTGTGAAATTTGGACCGGCGGCTATGTCATGGAAGAACAAGGACATATGGGTTTCTTTGAGTTCGAGCTCACTTCTTCTAGCTCCGGCTGAAAAAGCAGCAAAGGCTAGAACTAATAGTAGCTTTGGTATGAAGTTTAATGCCATTGGTGGATATCGCAGCTAGTTGGGCAACCAAGAAGTAGGCTAGGGAGAAGAAGAGCTTGTAAGATGAACTGCTTTGTGAGCTTCTATTTATAATGTGTTATAATGTGATCAAAGAGAAAAAAGTAGGTGCCTGATCAACCCGCATAACTTTTAATTGACAAATTGAGTCCCATATGGCGGTCCTACAGTAAGGGCAAGGTAGGCAGCTGCCTGCCCCAACAAGTGTTCTTCCTGAGTCTAGACGTTCTCTTTTGGCACAACAAGTATTCTTCTTCTTTTCTCCTCTTTAATTATCTTCTTCTATTGGCTTTTTCCTAAAATAAATGTATGCATCTTAAGTTTTTTAATAGTTTAATTTAGTTTTAGATTTAAATAGTTTAGTTTTGTGTTGCATTGCATTAATTTGTTTTTTTAGTTTTTAGTGTTTTTTTAAAAGCTTTTATTTGTATAGAGATGCATATTTGAGGGTAAAGCTCATTATGTCTTCCTTAACTAGGTGTATCTTTCTTTTTTTTATGAATGAAATTCACTCGTACCATCGAGTTTTTAAGGTAAGTTTCGCCTACCTGACTTTTGAATCATGGATCCGCCACTTGCATCATAGTCAACTTTCAAGTTCAACAGTACATAATTTAAGAGGTAGTCAGTCATGGATGCATTGTTCATTCAACGCAAGCATGTATAAATTAAGGGCCCATAAATTAATCAGGTGAAGTGAACTTAAAATCTCAATTGAATACACCTCCCCCTAAGTGCCCGTTTGGTATTGCTTATTTGGGATGATAAGTGATTTTAAAAAAAATTGGAAAGCCTAGCCCGTTTGGTAAACTATGATAAAATCACTTATTGTTAAAAATTGTTGTGAGAACAAGTTTGCAAATCTGACAGCAATTATTTTCACAACACAGTAATGCCAAATTAGCCCTGAGTCTAGCTAGCAGTTGTTGATTATTGACTCAAGATTGCACCCACGTTCAAAGTGTTGTCGGCTACTTAAATTTGATATTTGGAATTGGCTTCTGCAAATGGTGGTTGGCTTTGGCAAAAATAGGACAGCAACATATAGGGAGCCAAAGTGGTGGCTAGCATTGATGGCCTACTTTGACTTCATTGTTGGCCTCATAATTGAAGTAGTTGACATTCACCCACTGGCATCTCCATAAATGGAGAAGCATGACAGCAGCACCAAGTGGATTGAGCCGCACCAAAGATTGAGAGAGAGAAGTGAGAGAGGAAAAATAAAGAGTTGGGCAGCAAAACAATTGTTGTTGTCAATTGTTTTTTTTTCCTTTTTCTCTAAATTTGTAATATCCCACATCAACCAACGGAGAGGGGGTGATGTGCCTTATATGTACATGCCCACCTCCATTTAGCACGAGGCCTTTTGGGAGCTCACTGGCTTCGAAGTCATGGGAACTCCGAAATTAAGTGAGTTGGGGTTAGAGCAATCCCAGGATGGGTGACCCACTAGGAAGTTGCTCGTGAGTTCCCAGAAACAAAACCGTGAGGGCAGAGAGAAAGAGGGGGGCCCAAAGTGAACAATATCGTGCTACAGCAGAGTCGATCCCGGGATGTGACAAAATTGTACTCAATTTGTGTTCCCTTTATATTCTTGAGTGTGTGAGCTTGGGTATATTTGGGGCTTGGGTTTTCTGAGTGTTAAACGCTATTGTATTCTCTCATTTTGATTATTGTGGAATACCCCGTCGTCTCCAAACTGGATGTAGGCATTGCTGAACCAGTATAAATCTTGGTGTTCTTATTGGTGTTGTTTTATTCCTTTTATCTATTACCAGTTGTTGTTCATTTTTCACTCATAGTTGGTTGACGCTTCCGCACAACAAGTGGTATCAGAGTTCCAGTTTTCGATTGGGGTTTCGTATGAGTGAAAAATTTGCTGGAGCTACAGTGACGTGAATAGTGATGTGCTATAGTTCGTGAATAGTGTCGGCGCTGCAGTCCCATGAATATTAGTTGTGCTATAATAGCCGTGAATAGTGCCGAGTGGATTTGATGGCTGGAGATAAAGACAAATATGTGAACAAGAAGGAGTCGGCATCGTCTTTATCGGCACCTAATAAACATCCAATTGCTACTACAAGGTTAGAGGTTGATAAATTCAATGGCTCTAATAATTTTGGTAAGCGGCAATGTGAAGTTATGGATGTGTTGTATCAACAAGAGTTGGATATGGTTATGGAGGATAAACCTGAAGATATTGATGACAAGCAATGGACGCGAATTAATCTTCATGTTTGTGCTGCTATTCGATCGTTCCTTGATAAGGAGTTGAAATACCCGTATATGAAGGAAACTTCTACTAAGGAGTTATGGAAGAAATTGAAGGAGAAGTATATGACCAAAAGCGCATAAAATCGTCTCTTCTTGAAGAAACGACTCTTCCGATTTCAGTATCATTCAGGTATTTCTATGCACGAACACCTCAATGCTTTTAATAAACTACTTGCTGATTTAGCAAACCTTGATGTGGAAATTCTTGATGAGGATAAGGCATTATGTTCGTTAAATTCATTGCCTGATGATTATGATAATTTGACAACTACTTTGTTGTATGGAAAATCCGAGGTAAAACTTGATGAGGTGTCTGTGGCATTGGTGAATCATAAGTGTCATAAGAAGGAACATAATACTCACAATTCACAAATCGAGGCACTTGTTGCAAGGCGGATAAAGGAAAGAAAATATGGGAAACAGGGAAAATCTCGTTCAAAGTCACGAGGGAAGTTTCCTGGTAAAGATGAATGTGCCTTTTGTCGCCAAAAGGGTCATTGGAAGAAAGACTGCCCCAAATTGAAGAACAAAGAAAATGAGACAGTGGGTTCTGAAGCAAATATTGTAAAACCTGGAGATGATGATTTCGAGTTTGCTTTGGCTAGTTCATCTGCTGATGGCCATTCCAAGAAGTGGATTTTGGATTCAGGTTGCACCTATCATATGTGTCCCATTTAGGAATGGTTTTCTAGCTTCGAAGAGCTAGATGGTGGAGTTGTTTTGATAGGTAATAATAATGCATGCAAAACACAAGGGATAGGAAAAATTTGTTTGAAGATGCATGATTGAACAGTCAGAGAATTAAGTGATGTTCGGTATGTGCCGGATATGAAGAAGAATCTTATTTCATTGGGTGCTTTGGAATCCAAGGGTCTCAAAATCAACATGGAGGGTGGAGTTCTTAAAGCTGTGTACGGGGCACTAGTGGTGATGAAAGGTACAAGACGAAATAACTTGTATTTCTTGCAAGGGAGTACAATTATTGGTGGAGCAGCTGTCACTGAAGCTACTGATGCAAATAGCACAGACATCACAAGGTTATGGCATATGCGTCTTGGGCCTACTGGTGAAAAAGGGTTGCAAGGATTGGTGAAGCAAGGCTTATTGAAAGGTGCGAAGGCATGCAAATTGGAATTTTGTGAACACTGAGTGCTGGGTATGCAAACTATAGTGAAATTTGGCGTTGCTATTCACCACACTAAAGGCATTCTAGATTATGTTCGCACTAATGTTTGGGAACCTTCTAAGAATGCATCTTGGGGAGGTAGCCATTATTTTGTCTCCTTTGTTGATGACTTTTGTAGAAGAATATGGGTGTACACCGAGAAGCGTAAAGATGAAGTCTTGAAGATATTCCTGAAGTAGAAAAAGATGATTGAAACGCAAAGCGGTCGAAAGATCAAGACTCTCATATCAGACAATGGTGGTGAATATAAGTCTGATTCTTTCTTGAAAGTTTGTCAAGATGAGGGTATTGTGAGGCACTTCACAATTAAGGAGACACCGCAACAGAATGGGGTGACGGAGCTCATGAACTGTACTTTGCTTGAGAAAGTTTGGTGTATGTTGTCTAATGCTGGTTTAGGCAAGGCGTTTTGGGCTAAGGCGATTACTTATGCAAGTCATCTCATTAATCGGTTGCCTCCTGCTGCGAATGAGGGCAAAACGCCCATGGGGGGTATGGTATGGTAAACCTTGTACTAATTACAAGTATTTACACATATTTAGTTGTCCTGCTTACTATCATGTCAAGAAAAGCAAGTTGAATCCAAGAGCAAAGAAAGCTCTATTTATGGGGTTTAGCACTGGCGTGAAGCGATACCGACTCTGGTGTTCAAATGAGAAGAAATTTGTTGTGAGCAGAGATGTGACTTTTGATGAGGCTGCAATGGTAAATTAGAACAAGCATGAAGGTGAAACTGAAGCGACCAAAACCATAAGTAGTTCAAAGCATGTAGAGTTACTGAAGACTCCAATTGTTCCAGTAAGGTATGATGTTACATACACTAGTCCTACAATTGATTCTAATGATGAATATGAGGCATCTACCCAAGAGTCTCCACAGCAACAAGATTTTATTGCAACCAGAAGATCGAGTTTGAAAGCCTGCTCGGTTTACTGATATTGTGGCATATGCACTTCCCGTTATTGAAGATCATATTCCATCCGCCTATAAAGAAGCCGTCAAAAGTTCAGAGAGCGTGGAATGGAAGAAATCTATGGATGAGGAGATGAAATCTCTTCATAAAAATGAGACTTGGAAGCTGGTTCAGTTACCAAAGGGGAAGAAAGCAATTGGTTGCAAATGGGTGTATATGGAATCTTTGGAAAAAGATAATATAAGATTCAAAGCCAGATTGATAGCCAAAAGTTATGCTCATAATGAAGGTATTGACTACAACGAGGTATTTTCTCATGTAGTAAAACATTCTTCTATTCGTATTTTGTTGGCTTTGGTTGCGCAATTTGACCTTGAGTTGGCTCAAATTGATGTCAAAACGGCATTCTTACATGGTGATTTGGAGAAAGAGATTTATATGTCTCAGCCAGAAGGTTTCAAAGTTGCTAGAAAAGAAAATTGGGTATGCAAATTGCAAAAATCATTGTACGGCTTGAAGCAGTCTCCCAGACAATGGTACAAGCGATTTGATAGGTTTATGATCGGGCATAAGTACATAAGAAGTCATTATGACCATTGTGTATACTTTCGCAAGCTACAAGATGGAACCTTCATTTATCTGCTTTTATATGTTGATGATATGCTTATAGCATGTAAAAGTAAAGTGGAGATTGAAAGGTTGAAAACTCAACTGAGTAATGAATTTGAGATGAAGGACTTGGGAGAAGCTCGGAAGATATTAGGTGTGGAAATTGAAAGAGATAGAGCAAAGGGCAAGATTGGTTTGTGTCAAAAGCAGTATTTGAAGAAGGTACTATAATGTTTCGGGATGAATGAAAATTCAAAACCGGTTAGTACCCCTCTTGCCCCTCATTTCAAACTTAGTGCTTCTATGTCTCCTAAAACTGGTGAAGAGAGTCATTACGTGGCTCAAATTCCATATGCAAGTGCTATTGGTAGTTTGATGTATGTTATGGTGTGTACAAGGCCTGATATTTCACAAGCTGTTAGTATTGTCAGTAGATATATGCATAATCCAGGAAAAGGACATTGGCAAGCTGTGAGATGGATTCTACTGTATATTATAGGTACTGTGGATGTTGGTTTATTGTTTCAGCAGGATAAAGTTACTGGTCAATGTGTTGTTGGATATGTGGATTATGATTACGCAGGTGATTTGGACAAGCGAAGGTCCACTACAGGTTTTGTATTCACTCTTGCTGAAGGTCTAGTGAGTTGGAGGTCGACTTTGCAATCTATAGTTGCTTTGTCGACTACTGAGGCAGAATACATGGCGGTAACAGAAGCTATAAAGGAAGCCATCTGGCTTCAAGAGTTGCTTGATGACTTAGGGGTTCAACAGGACCATGTGGATGTTCATTGCGATAGTCAGAGTGCTATTTATTTAGCAAAGCATCAAGTTCATCATGCACGTACGAAACACATTGACATGAGGTTCCATTTTGTTCATGAGATTATTGACGAGGGAGACATTCTTCTTTAAAAGATTGGGACCACCGACAATCTTGCGGAGTGTTAACAAAGCCAGTTTCGTTGCTAAAGTTTAAGCATTGCCTGTACTTGATTGGCATTTGTAAAATTTGTTAATTGCCCCGTAGGGGATTTGGAGACGACCACTGGGAGTATTACTACTACGGTTTGGTGCAATTTTGAGTCAAGGTGGAGATTGTTGATTATTGACTCAAGATTGCACCCACGTGCAAAGTGTTGTCGGCTACTTAAATTTGATATTTGGAATTGGCTTTTGCAAATGGTGGTTGGCTTTGGCAGAAAGGGGACAACAGCATGTGGGGAGACAAAGTGGTGGCTAGCATTGATGGCTTACTTTGACTTCATTGCTGGCCTCATAACTGAAGTAGTCGTCATTCACCCGTTGGCTTCTCTATAAATGGAGAAGCATGGTAGCAACACCAAGTAGATTGAGCCGCACCAAAGACTGAGAGAGAGAAGTGAGAAAGGAAAAATAAAGGGTAAACTACAGTAAACCCCCAACCTATAGGGTCATTTACAAGTTCATACCCGATTTTGGGAACATTTACGAGTACATACTCAACGTCACAAAAAACCTACAAATTGCCGCCTCCGTTAGCGAGATCGTCAGAAAATCCGTTATCTGCCTAAGTGGCATTTGTGGGACCCATTTTTAATTGACGTGGAGTTCCACGTGGACAAAAAATAATAATAAAATGTATTTTTAAAATTATTTTAATAAATTAAACATATTAAATATAAATAAAAAAACCCTACCCAAATTCTCTCTCTCTCTCTCTCTCCCGATCTCCTCTCCTCCTAGCCCCCAGCCACCCAATCCACCACCCAAGCTTACTCAGGCCATCTATCCCAACCTTAACACCTCTCTTGTTCCAGCCCAACCCATCACCTCCCTCATGCCACAGATCTTATCGTTTTCCCCAAAACCACAAACCCCAAAACGATGATCGTTTTCTCCAAACCACAAATCCACAAATTTGATCGTTCTCCCTCGCATCCACCATCTTCCCCACAGAAAGAAGCTTGGCGTCGGGTTGTAATGAAGTTTAAGTTCTTTTTGAAAATTCTCTGTCTCTTAGGTTTGGTAATATTTGGATCATTCATTTTGCTTGTTGAAATTTAAGAAGAAGGAAATGTGTCATTCTTCTATGAAGTCTGAAAACAAAGATTCCCTTAAAGTGGAACAGCATAAGATGATGCTCATGTTATATAGAGGAATTACACTAACAGTTTTAATATGGGCAAGATGATCTCTGGGCAGGGAAGGAGGTTAAGAATGGCATTAGATGGGCAAGATGATCTCCGACGTAGCGAACCCAAACCCCACAACGTCATCCGGCACTGGTGGAGTCGTCCTCGCTCATAGGCCCTCGCAATTCCACCGCTGCCCCTCTCGAATCGATCTTCCCCAGTAGGCAGCGTGCGACACCGTCCACTCGCCGTCTCTTCCTCCCCAGCAACTTAGGCTGCTTGCAAAAGTGGGTTGCGATGGCTCGGAGGGTGTGGGGAGGGTGGGCTGGAAGGGAGGGGATGGAATGGGGTTGTTTGCGTCTTTTTACATTTTTCTATTTATTATTATTTCTTTCTTTCTTTGTTTTAATTTGATTTTTTTATTATTTTAAAGATAATTTTTTATTATTTATTTGTCCACTTGTAAGTCCACCTCATTAAAAAATGGAACCAACATCCCCACGTTAGCATTTAACAGATTCACTAACGGTTTGGCTAACGGATGGGGCAAATTGTAGGTTTTCTATGACGTTGAGTATGTACTGGTAAATGTCCCCAAAATAGGGTATGAACTCGTAAATGACCCTATAGGTTGGGGGGTTTACTGTAGTTTGTCCAAAAATGAAGAGTTGGGCAGCAAAACAATTGTTGTTGTCAGTTGTTATTTTTCCCTTTCTCTAAATTGTACTCAGTTTGTATTCCCTTTCTCTAAATTGTACTCAATTTGTATTCCCTTTCTATTCTTGAGTGTCTGAGTTTGGGTACATTTGGGGCTTGGGTTTTCTGAGTGTTAAACACTATTGTATTCTCTCATTTTGATTATAGTGGAATACCCCGTCATCTCCAAATTAGATGTAGGCATTGTCAAACTAGTATGAATCTTGGTGTTCTTGTTGGTATTGTTTTATTCTTTTTATCTCCTACCAGCTGTTTATTTTTCATTCACAGTTGGTTGACGCTTCTGCACAACAGCAGTAATAGCTAACATGACAGAAACTCACTTCAGCGAGTCAGACTGCTAGGATGGGGGGGAACTTAAGCTGTCCCGGAGAGTGTGTACCGAGGAATTATATATACCCAGGTGTATGCAAGTTTTTCTCGCTACAATGAGGGATGAAAGTCTGCGAAAACGTCGGAGGCAAAAAGATAATGTAGGGCAAGGCTTCCGGAGACAAAAAGTCTGAAAGATAAAAGTAACTGCATATTGGTTTGGGAAGTTATTGGGTTGGTTTCAATACAGCCAGTGGGTCTGGACTTAGGGATTTTGTCCATAGAATCAGTCTACTTCAGCGGTTTCACAAGTTGAGTTCTGAAAATATAGTTTGAGCTTATGCTCTGCCCCATCCAGTCACCCACCTGGAAGATTATGCGGATGATAATAGCATGTCGCCTATTTAAAACGCATATCACAAAGCAATCTTTATCTAAGAGAACCAAAAATTTAACAAAATTCTTGCATCATTTGACTATATATAAGTATTGGTCCCATTTCATAACTGCAGTCATATTCTTTTCTGTTTCAATCCCAGAACTAAAGTACCCTCATAGAGCTAGATATTGACAAAGATGACTGAATTTTTACCAAGTAACCACTCCCTTATGTGTTCTTTTTGTCATCAGAGTGGGATGTGCTTTGCTCAATCGATGTTAACTGGCTCCGGAGGTTTTGGTTGTCTGCCAGCAAGCGGTCATATTCCATAAGGAGTCCTTCAGATTGCTTTCTTAGGGCCTCCACCTCACTTCCCGCCGCCTTTGCCTTCTTTGCTTTTGTCTCATATTCAGATTCCAGATTCTTGATCTTTGTCCTCAATGTGTCATTCTCTTGTGCCAAGGTCTTAAGTTGCTCTGAACTTCCATTTTTCTCCTCTTGAATACTTTGGCTTTGTTTTTTTGCAGCATCCATGGCCTTCCTGAGGAATCGAAGTTCTCTTATGTAATGGTGCAATCTATCTAACATCAGTGAAAGAAACAGAAAAAACCCTGCATTTGATAAGATTGAAGTCAGTTTTGAAGGATATGAATGGCTATCAAACAAATAATAAAATAAAATACAATGAGCAGTATGATAGCTAATATACCATTACCCTAAACAGAAATCACTCAGATTATAAATAACATGAGAAAAAACTTTGGTAATCTGATGTGGGGGCCATTAAGATATCTTAATAGCCATTGAATCAGATAACCAAAAGTTTGCCTAACAAAAAGGAGGGGAAGACAGTTCATAAAGTTAGAAGAAGCAAATCTATAATGTTGAACAATATTGGCAAACAAGCAACCAAAACTTCTGCTGTTTGAGAGCCAACTCAACTTCATAACTGGTTGAACCAATATGTTTCATGCTCAAGCTGATGAAAGTCAAACACTAAGGGCAAAGCAGATCAGATGCTTCATATGCTAGCTATGAACTCTCCATACGAATAATCAAATCCATTTCTTCCCAGTTTCATGAAATATGCGCTCAACCATCAAGAGAGCACCAACTTGTCACATGATATACACTTAACAGTTAAAGAGAGAACTCATAACAAGTACACCTGATTCCAATAACTAAAAAACAGAAGAAGAAGAAGATGAAAACCTAGATTCGCAATATATAAGCCAGATTCCAGTTTTTGAAAACTAATCTTAAAAGTTTAAGAAAAATACCCATGAGAGAAATTTCAAGCATTTTCACGGACATGAGAACCTCGTCCGTAGGGTTGAGCACACCAGACTCAATGGTTCGGTTCTTGATGTCAACCAGATTGTAGACGCCGGCCAGGAGAACAACAAATACAGTCCCAGCGACTGTCTTCACCATCACTGGGCCCTTCCCTCGCTTCATCTTATCCAAGGCCAGGATCACTAGCTTCCTCAGAGGGCTCTTAAACAACAAGGTCAAAATCAGGAACATTTCCCCGAAAATGACTCCGTATAGCAGCTGCAACATCTTCACTCCAAACTCTAGAGCTGAAACACTGAACAAATTGAGGTACTTTTAGTAAAAATATCGGTTTGTTTCATTGAACAGATTGAGGTGCTGTAGTGCTTGTTATCAGTAAGCCACGAATGTAATAATACGAACAAGGAGTAAGAATGAGAACAGAAGGTAACTTAGATAAGCACTCTGTTCAATAAAAATAACAATACCGAAGCATTGAACCAACTCATTAAGCTTGTTTCCAAATATCATAATATATTAGTACAAAAGTTGAAGCATCTCAATATAAACAGATTGCAAACTAGATGACGTCATTCCGAAAGATCTACCATTTTGCATAAATTTGTGGTTTTGATAACATGAATTTATCGCATCTTACCCTTCGGTCTTCAGATTTCAACTCAAGCATAGAAACAGAGAGCTATAGATAGAGAGAATTTCACGAAATACGAGCAAAGAACGTTGCGTTTCTCAACTCTTTGGATAAATTTTTCTAAATAATCTCTTAAATGAAATCAAAATAAAAAATTTACACAACAGCATGGATCAAGAAAGAAAATTAAACAAAATAAATGGATTCAAATATCAAGAAAAACACAATCAAACATCACAGATCATAAATCAAGATCAAGGAAAGCAACATATGAAACATTCATAAAATAAAATAAAAATTGCAAACCCTTACCAAGAAGTGAAGCCCAAACTTTGGGAGAGAAAATGTGAAACAAAGAGGCAGTGCAGTTGAGAGTGGGTGTGAGAGTGTTAGCAGGGGTGGAGTCTAGGTCTTCTTGAAGGGCAGCTAGAGTGGAGAGAGAGAGAGAGAGAGAGAGAACAAATGACATTTAAAGAAGAAAATGAACCGCCCCAATCAAGAAATGAACAGGTGGCGGTGTTTGGTTCAATTCAATTCAATGAACCTTTATTTTTGGTTTGGTTCAAAATATAGTCGGTGTTCGTTTTCTTTTTTCTTTTAAAAACTAGGTATATTGTTCATAATAAATAAGGGATATTTTTCAATAAGTATTTAAATTAAGGATTGATTATATACTTTTAATTTTAGCCGTTGAATTGCATTTACAAGACTACCAAAACATTTAATGAATGCAATCCAACGACCAAAATTAGAAGTATGTCACCAATCCTTAATATAAAATCTCCATACTCTTACCACATTTGTATACCACATTCTCGTACCACCTTATGTGGCAGCTAAAGTGGACAGCCACATCAATTAAAATGATTTAATATTTTCTTTTCTTTTATGGTTTATTTCAGTATTTGTTTTTCTAATTGCCTTAATTAAAATGCACTTCATTGATTTAATTGATGTGGCATATAAAATGGACATGCCACATCATGTGGTATAGAAATGTGGGATAAAAATGTGGTAAGTGTAGCATTACTCTTTCTTTTTAGATAATAGTACTTGAATTCTGAATTGAAAATTTATTTTGAGAGTGAGCTTCAAATTTGAGAAATCATGAAGAGAAACACTTCTAAATACCATTTTTAGCTGGTTGGTTGTATACTTAACATTTTTATTGTAAATTTTCCATACGAAGCATGATAAGCTTTTTTTTTTTTTATTTATTAAAATACATAATATTTGTTTGTATATTTGTTTTTTTAAACAATATATTTCCTTATTATCTATCTATATATCCTAGCCCCTTGGCACATGCGTGAGCATGTGCCAATTGGTTTTCTTTTTTTCTTTTTATTTTATTTTTAAAATTAAGAAAAAATGTCATGAGTAGTTATATTCCATAAAAGTATGACCTATTATCTAATTTTGTTTTGAATTTTAATTTTTTTAAATATTAAAAAATATGAATTTACCATATTATCCTCATTTAATTAATCATTTCAATTCTTAGTGCCCGTTTGGCATTGCTTATTTGGGACGATAAGTGATTTTTTAAAAATTTTGAGAAGCCCAACCTGTTTGGTAAACTATGAGAAAATCACTTATTATTAAAAATTGATGTGAGAGAAAGCTATAAGGGAAAGCAGCTAATGAGGTGATTTTATTTTCTGATTATGCAAGAATCAGTTTCGAAGAGGCGCTGGGTTTAATGATTATGCGGCAATCATTTTCTGATTATGTGTAAAATCAATACCAACAACACTTTTAACAAAATTTTACCAAACGCCAAACTACTTTCTCTCACAGCTAATTTCTTTCACAGCAAATCTGACAGCGATTATTTTCACAGCACAGCAATGTCAAACTGGGCCTTAATGTTTGCATTAACCAATGGTATTTTCTGGTATTTTGAATGTAAACATTAAGAATTGAAATTATTAATTAAATAAGAATAACATGGTAAATTCACATTTTTTAATATTAAAAAATTTTAAAATTAAAAACAATATCATATTATAGGTCCTACTTTTATGGAATATAACTACCCATGATATCTTTTCTTAATTTTAAATATAAAATAAAAAGAAAAAAAGAAAACCAATTTGCACATGTATGACCTAGTATATAGATAAATATAGATAAATCAAAAGGCAGAGAATGATGAAATATTCAAATACTAAAAAATAGCATTGGTTAATTCAAGCATTAATAATTGAAATTATTAATTAAATGAGGATAACTACCCATGTTAACATGGGTAAATTCACTTTTTTTCATATTAAAACCATTAAAATAAAAAACAAAATCAGATAATAGTTCTTACTTTTATGGAACATAACTACCCATGTTATCTTTTCTTAATTCTAAAAATAAAATATAAAATAAAAAATAAAACCAATTGGCACATGGGTGAGCATGTGCCAAGTGCTAGTATAAATTATATGTGAGGGCTTCAACATCTACATTCTACATTCATAGCATAAGTTCAACTTTTGCCTTCCCTTCCCTTGAATAAAAAAGAATATGGATTTCTCTTTATATAAAATCTGAATATAGGTTAGACCTATTATGCTACCATTCATCCACTAACTTTAAATTCACAAGTGATAAATTTTTTGGACATAAAGGATTAAATCTTATAAAGATTAAGAGCATGTTTGGGAGTGCTTGGAAGAGATAATAACAATTTCTGATATGAAAAAACTCTTCTTATAGCGTTTGACAAAAAAATTTAAAAGTGTTTATAAGTTATAGAAGCAATTTTTAGAGAAGTAACTGCCATGTGCTTTGTCAATAACCATTCCCAAATACTTTTTCAAGATGCACTTGAATTTCATATAAAAATTTCAAAATTGTTATAATAAAAATTCTTTTGCTATAATTGCATATGATATGAGTATAAGTACTTTTGAGAGAAGCAATTTTGAACGAGCCTTAACAAGTGGGTTAGGCCAACTAGTAAACCCTTCAATCCTATAATTTAGAATCATTTAAACTACAACTTATATAAAAAAAACAAGAAGAATAGTGGTGTTACTGTTAGTAGCAAATAGTATAGTAACATTTTATTAGTGGATTTTATTTGATTGTTGTTAAGCATAAGCCAAAGAAAAAGAAAAAGAAAAAAGAAAAATAGAAGGATGGAAACGCACGTTAGATGGTCGGCGTGAAAGCCGCTAGAAGCGCATACCATTCTCCGTTTGGAATTTTTACTTTCCTTCCTCTCCATTCTTCTTCTTCTTCTTCTTTTTTGTTTCTGTATTTTTAGCATTTGGATCCCTACTTCGCTCTCAGCTACCAGGTAACAGTTACTCTTCTCTCTCAATCATTGTATATAGATGAAAAAAGATGTATGATTTTGGACGGAGTATTAACAAATATGTCGATGAATTTGTTATAATTCTTCCAAAAAGTTTGGATTTTTAGGTTTAGATGATCGTGTTCATATGACATCGATGAATTTCAATCTCAATCTCAGTCTTCCATTTCAACCCATTATTTACCTGCTCAAAGATTTAGTCTCATAGCTTAATCCAAGCATTTATTTTATTTTATTGAAATACAGTTGCGATTTCAGTTACCTGGTGCTGATTTGTCAAAAATTGGAATCTTTCAGGTCGGGTTCTGAAGAATTGAAGAACAATGATTTGGGGGACTATTCGCCGTAAAGTAGCTTCGGTATGCAATCGAACTGTCGTCATTTTGCCATCAATTGCTATATTTTGCTCCAAATGTGCTTGCTTTGTGTAGTTCTAGTTTCACTTTTTTCTTTGCTCTGTGTTTCAATACTTGAAGGTTATGTTCTAGTTTGGTATTTGATTATGCATGTTTCAATGCACAGTCTCAGGTGTTGGGACAAGCGTGGAAGGTTAGGCATGGAGCGTCCACACAGAGCTGTTATCGGACTGTACCAAAAGAGGTACTTAAAAAAATGAGCTTCTGTTGCTCTTTTTCATTTTTGTAAATAAAAATGGGTTCCTTGATGAGGTATTTGAATGATGGCATTGCATATAACCATATTTCCTTGATTTTGTAGAAAATTTTCGTTGTACATTAGTATTCGTAGTTTTTTTGGAGAATCACCTAATAGCTTTTAACCTACAACAGGCTTTGTTTATTGGGAAAGGATTTGAGTGTGTTCAGAGCTCAAGCTACCACATTCTTTTAGGTATGAGTAAAATTCCTGTGTTTTTGGGGCTCCTTTTACCTGTGTGTTTCTTTTCATTTTTTCTTTGGGGTGGTGTTATTGATTTGTTCAAATTCCTACTCTGCAGGCGATCATGTTTCAAAGACAAGCAGGTTCTTTATTTTAATATTAAATTTACTCCCCCCTCTTCCTGCAGTTGACTTCCTTAATCTAGATTGAGAATCAGAATTTTGGCCCTAGCCTGAACCAAATTACATGTGCAATTTTTGTTCTGAGTTTTGTTTTTCTAATGATGTTCTATTATTTATTTGTTGCAGGGAAGCTACTTCACTATATCAAACAGAATCTTTTATCCGATTGAGAAATAGATCATTTTCCTCAGACAGTGGTATATAGATACTGTCCATTATCATCTAATGGTCTTAACATTTTACGTGCTTTTTGGTTCTGTATAGTCCATATTATACATATAAGACATGTTTTAACTTTTAACTGTTAAATTATGCAGGAGACTTGGTAGAAGCTGTTGTTCCTTTCATGGGTGAATCTATTACCGATGGCACTTTGGCAACATTCCTAAAGAGTATGTTACTGGAGCTGTCTTGTGATACTTTAACCCCATTAGTTCTTTTTTCTTTCATCTCTATCTGTGTATTTAATACACATGAAGCGACTTTTGAGACTCATTCTGATGATACCTTAGGTGGAACACCTTTGTGTGTGTGTGTGTATTATACTGTATACATAATTTGAATTCCTTGGAGACTCATGCTTATGATACTTGTGCAGAACCCGGCGACAAAGTTGCAATTGACGAGCCTATAGCCCAAATTGAAACTGATAAGGTAGTTTTTCAAAACAAATTTTTTTCCTGTTTGTAAATAGAGAAATTCTTAAGTACCGAGAAGGGTTTTCACTAAATCGATGTATTGACTTATATGTATATTTCTCGTTTACCACTAGGTGACAATTGATGTAGTTAGTCCTCAAGCTGGTGTCATTCAAAAGGTAATATTTTAGCAACATCACAGTATAAATTCCTTGAAAGATTATCACTATAATCACTACTTACAATCAGTTGTTCTGGTTTTAGTATACTGATCTTTAATTTTTACCTTGAACATGTACTTGTTAGTAGTTTGTGGCTAAGGAAGGTGAGACTGTTGAGCCAGGCGTCAAGATTGCAATCATTTCAAAATCAGGTGAAGGTATAGAACAAGTTGCCCCGTCTGATGCTCAGCCAGAACCTCCTAAAGAGAAGGAAAGTGCAGAAAAGCAAGTTCCCAAAGCAGAACCTGCCCCTGCCAAGGGGACAACAGCACAACCCAAACCTAGAGCACCTTCTCCACCACCATCACCTAAACGTGTTGCTTCAGAACCCCAGCTTCCTCCTAAGGGACAGAGAGAAAGTACGTAGTTACTAAGTACTTTTGTTTTTTTTTTTTTTTTTTTTTTTATCGGATGAGAAAGGAATTTAAATAAGTATAAACTTGTCTTCTCGTCTATAGGTTCCTATGACAAGACTTAGGAAGCGGGTGGCAACACGCTTGAAAGATTCTCAGAATACATTTGCTTTGTTAACCACATTTAACGAGGTTGACATGTAAGTTCAAATACCTCAACCATAGTGGCTACCCCCTGTATCATTACTTTCAAAGTGGCCAGAGTTACCCCTCCCTCATCTGTTGAGTTAAAAAAAAAACAATATTATGTAATTGCTCTCATTGTTGGCCGACTGACATTCTGTATAATGCAGGACTAATTTGATGAAGCTCCGTTCAGACTACAAAGACGCTTTTGTTGAAAAACATGGTGTGAAATTGGGATTTATGTCCGGCTTTGTGAAAGTATGTTGCTTTAGCATGTTGTTGTGTAAAGTAATGTCATTAATTGCCAAATGAAAATAGAAGTGCAAAGTGCTATTAAATTATTGGAAATCTTTTATTACTAAGCCTTCTGTGCACGTGTCTCATTCATAACTTTTCTACCAATTTGTTTTAGGCTGCTGTCAGTGCACTTGAGCACTTACCCATTGTCAATGCTGTCATTGATGGGGATGATATCATATACAGAGATTACATTGATATCAGCATTGCTGTTGGGACACCAAAGGTATGCTATTATTCTGTTTTTTAACAGACTGCAGTTGATAATTTTCTGCCATTCATTGTTTGGCAAGACGAATTGCATAACCACATGGGAACTAACCACAGTCAAATTCTTTAATTCCAGGGCCTTGTTGTTCCAGTCGTCCGCAATGCTGGTGGTATGAACTTTGCTGAGATAGAGAAGGAGATCAATACTCTGGCTAAGAAGGCAGCTGATGGTTCCATATCAATTGATGAAATGGCTGGAGGCACATTCACAATATCAAATGGTGGTGTATATGGAAGCCTTTTGAGCACACCAATCATCAACCCTCCACAGGTATTGCCCTACTCTTTCTTTTCTTTTTCTCTTTCTTTTTTTTAGGGGCAAGTTTCCTTCATAGCGGAACCTTACAGCCAAGATAATTTATTTATTTACTTATTCCTTTCGCAGTCGGCAATTTTGGGTATGCACTCAATAGTGAACCGTCCCATGGTCGTTGGGGGTAATGTTGTACCAAGGCCAATGATGTACGTTGCATTGACATACGATCACCGTCTCATTGATGGAAGAGAGGCTGTTCTTTTCTTGCGCCGTATAAAAGATGTCGTGGAAGACCCTCGCAGACTCCTTCTTGATGTGTAAAGGAGCGACCGGTGAATCCTGTTTTTGAACTAAATGTAGAACGCAATATATCCACCTTTTGAACTAAAGGTAGAACGCAATATGTCCACCGTGTCTGTTCATTCTGAAGCCGATATGGTTGGCAAAGTGTGTTTGCCCATGTTTTTTTAATTATTGGAGAGTTGGAAATACTCTACAGGACAGGGTGATCGATGATCCAAAAATATAATTTCTCTTGCGCCACAGTTAGTTACTTTGGCTTCGTTGACTGGGATTTTAATAAAAAGTTCATTTATTAACCCAAGGGTGTATGTCCGGATTTTACTGATGTATAATTAGACCTGTAAATGGATTCGGATCAGATATGCCTCAATTTAAATTCGAATCTATGTATAATTAGATTATCGAATTCATGTCGTATTTGGATTATTGGATTGCATCTATCAATTCATATCCGTTAGGAATCGGATTTGGATTGGATTTATTTTGAGACGTACAAAATATCAAAATTTCATTAGTAGTCTAAATTCTTTTAGGGAGCTGATTTTCTCACTTCTTTTTTCTCCATTTACACTCCCTTTTACTTTTTAATTAATATTGTTTTTTTTTGTTCTTTCTCTTTCTAATTCTACCTTTACTCTACATTAAGGTTTTCATAACTAAAATTAAGAAAAGTTAACATAAAATAAAACTAAAACAAAATTAAATTTTAGAAATGGATAGAAATGTAAGTATTTGTGAGCCAAATTCTTTGTGTTTTTTACCACGTATGTGAGTACTATTTATCTTTGTTGTAGTTAATAGTTAATAAATTTTTTGGGCTAACATGTTTACACTTCAAAAACCAAATAATGCTATATTTTCTTATTAAAGGGAATTGTAAGGTAAGGGTAGAATAGGAAAGAGAGAACAAGAAATAACAAAAATTGATTAAAAAGTATTAAAAAACAAAAGGGAGTTTAAGTGGAGAAAATAGGAGTGGGAAAATCACCTCCCTTCTTTTATTGTATTTATCTCTTTTTTATATCAAATTTTGATTCATCTCTTTTTTATATCAAATTTTGATATTTTATCATAAAAATTAGCATTAAGTATACTCAGTGCATATAAAATTAAAATTACTCATTCACACAAAATATGGGTGCTGATTCTCTCTTTTTTTGTCCATTTACACTCTTTGTTGAAAATTGTATGTTCCTACTTCTTTTTTGTCCGCTTACATTTCCTTGGGAATGAAAAAATCAACACCCTAAAATATTAATATAAATAAAGTATAGAAAAACTAAATTATACTTCATATTAAGTCGGATTAAATCAACTATAATCTATATCCGGATTCATTTATAATTGAAATACCGAATTCATATTGTAATTGAATTATCGGATTGAGAAATCCAATTCATTTCCTATTAATTACACCAGATTCGGATCGGATCGGATTTGGATCAAAACCGATCCATTGACAGGTCTATGTATAATAGCTAAAACTCCGAAATCAGTTCTTCCAAAACTGTTACATTTCTATTCCAATTAATTACAAGTTAATTGTACATCGGCTTAAGTGACAAAGAGGAATTTCAAGTCAGCCTCCGTCAGCTTTCCGAGGGCATCTGAAGAACCACCGATAGTACTACAGAAGGCACAGAAGACAGCGTTAGATCACACTATCTGTAAAACCAGTAAACTTAGACAATCCAAAAGAAGAAACAAAGGCACAAATCAGGCTTACCCCTCGAACACTAGTTCCTTTTTCTCCTGTAGCTTTAGAATCCTCTCCTCAATTGTGTTCTCGATTACAAATCTCACAATTCTGTCACGTAGATGAAAATATTAAACCTCTTAAAAGAAAGGGAGAAAACCCAGGTTTTATGAACACTGCATCCGTAAAATGTGCACCTGATGGGTTTGTACTGGCCTATTCGGTGGATTCTATCTTGCGCTTGCTGCTCAACAGCCGGGTTCCACCACGGGTCCATCAAAAATACCTAGTTTAAAACATAACTTTCAGTGATCTCTTTGAATCACTTGATCCTCTTATGTGTCTATCTTAATTCAAAATAAATCACACATGACAGCCGAATGTAAAAACCGTGAAAGAAGACATTACTCACATGTGATGCAACTGTAAGATTAAGAGCAACACCTCCGGCCTTCAAGCTCATTAAGAAAATCCTGCAATCTGGATCCTCGGTAAATGTCTTTATAGCATTATCCCTTGCGGACATTGTCATGCTTCCAACTAACTGGACACACTTGATACCAGACTGCAACGGTTTCTTGAAATTAGTACCGGTACTTTCTTACAGCACAAACAGAAAACTGATGCAAGATTGAAGAATAAGAAAATACTGGAACTATATGATAATAGTTTTACCTTTTGCAAGGAGTAGTTAATGAGATCCAAGAATGCCGTGAACTGGCTGAAAACAATTCCTTTTGCAGAGCCATCCTTTTCAACCATGCATCTGATTTCTTCCCTCTAGAGCAATATAATGCAGTCAGCAGTGAAGAAAGCATATAAGCAAGTTGAGAAAGATAATGTGCACACTAGGATATGTGTGTGTGCTTGTGTAAAGTAAATAAATAGGATGCCTCTGGGAATTATCTATACTCTATTGTTCTTTTAGCCAGTAACCCAAACAATACTACAAACGCTGAAAGCAATGGCACAAAAATGGTAAACCAATGATTCCATATTTTTTGGCTAAGTGAAAAATGTGCGAACTAGCATAGGAAAGAACAGTGAATTGCCAACACATGACTTGACAAGCGACTTAGTGGACACAACAATAGTCACCACCGGCCAGACCCAAAATTCATAGTATACCACCAAAATAATCATCAGTAGACAGGAGGATCCTCACGGACCAACCTGAGACATGAGTCATGTAAAACCCTCGCAGGCCTCAAGAACAACCTCTCAATAAGGGCCCTAACAGCATTGATGCACCCCATGGTCACATATAATTCCTATTTCGGTGGCCTTATCACCAGCATAGCAATGATTGAAAAATAAGAAAATGGTGATATATGATGTGAATCAAATGACGTACCAAAGCCTCAATTTTTGTACTAGTCTGAAAGTTGTCAAGCTGAATTCTGTTCATAATGCTTGAGGATCTAAACCCCTTAATGGTAGTTTTGGTGGTCGGATTAGCAGCACCTAGGTTTGTAATTAAATCAACAGTAAGTACTTTTGAGCATGTAGGGCATGTAGGGCATGTAGGGCATGAGCCTTGTCCCAAAGAAGCAGAAAAATCAATCAAGCAAGCCTTGCAAAAGGCATGTTGACAAGCAGTAACCTGGAACATCAAAAGAAACTTTTAGAAGGAAATCAATAACAAAGCAGAAGAATTTAAAATACACGCAGGATACTCACTACTAAGCATTTAACTGGCCACTGAAAGCAAAAAGTAACAAATAATAAATAACTTTATTCAAGGAATTAAACTAAAGTATCATATCCCCTATTTCAGATCAAAAGTATGTTTTGCTGTTATCCCACTTAATCAAGCATTTAAACTCTTGAAATCTAGGACAATACAGACTTTGGATTATTTACTTCCCTAATACCTAGCAGTTGTAGGTAATACAAAAATCAATTTAACAATAAATGAAGAAAACTCTCCTCTTAGGAGCACTGCAAAAGTAAAAAATCCAGAACATAGACATGAAGAGCAAAAACACATTCTGACAAATCTACAAGAATGGTGACCAGATTGACATATCCTATAATCACGAAAATGTCCAAAGCACAACAAAAGAAAGAAAGAAAAAGCAATTTAGCAAGACAAAGCCATTCATTAGTCTTGAAGAAAAGATCAACTAACCACTGCATCTTCTGCTGGTTCATGACAAATGCCACATACTTGCTCATTGATATCATTATTAACCCTGCCTTCGTTTCTCAGTGCAGCAGTTGCAGAATACACCACAAGGTAAGGATGATCAACAGACTGTACAGAGTAAAACAAGAATGAGACATGTACAGTACTAATGGGCCAAAAAGAACTATGTCAAAAAAAATGTAACAGAAGGAGACAGAGTTAAGTTTGTAACTGAGAAAGCATACTTTACATTCAATAATTACACACCTGCCGCAAGCGTGTGAGAAGATCAAATATGTGAGCATAATTGTTCATCACAGTTCCATCATTGACATATCTGTAAGGAAGAAACATATTATACACCAATGCAATCAGTAGCAAATCCAACAACTATAAATGGATATTAGCACGCCAACATAGGCAAAGCATTGTCCTGGGACGTTGTACAGGCCAAAGTAGTAGAACACAGTTCAATTCAACAAACAAGTTGTCACCATAATTAGAATTTCCAAGGACATGAAAATTGAACATATTTAAACATGAGGAATTCCAAAAACAATAAGAGAAGGAGCTAAAAATATTTACAACATGGAGGATAAAAAATTAGTCGCCACTTTAAAATTGCAAGTTGCAATTCGCATGCAAGTTCAAAATGAGTACTAAAGCAGAAATCTCATTTTATCAAATGGGGAAGGAAAGCATAGGAAGAAAAAGGGTGACATACGTGTTAAATAGTGCCTGACTATCATTATATAGTGACTCGTAATAATCTTGTTCTTTGATATCCAAGGTGTCCCTCCTCAATGAAACCTATAGGTAGCAGAATGGAAAAGGAACATAAGAAATCTAGACTTCAGAAATGCAGACATTGTCATGTTGAAACAAAACTTACAATTCTAGGAGGAAGAGCAAGATCAGCAGCCCTGCCCCTTTTAGTTCGTCGCAGGACTATGTTCTTTAAAATTTTCTGTTTTAGCAATAGCATTGCCCTTTTTCCTCGGAATTGATTTCCATATAACTGTATTGGCGTCGCCACATACTTGAAAGGTTCAAGGGTTACAACACAAGTAAGCACAATTATTTCTGTAAATAAATCAATATATAAGGAAATAACAAGAGAAAAGAATAACAAATTGCAAACTCACTTTATTCCACCAACAAAAATGTCTGACTGAATTATGAGGGCAATTTGAACATTGTGTTGAGGAACTGCATCAGGGTCACAAGTATGTAATATGTATTACAGTAGAAATATTTAAGCACTTAAGACAGAAAATAACTCAAATAAAAACTTAATGGTTATGAGGAATGGGAAAAAGGATAAAATAAGTGACAAGAGCTAGAAGTTAATTGTTTATTTACAAGGATCCAGCACTAATTATTGACAGAAGTCCCTTGTCATATATGCCTAACAAGGAAAAATGTATCCAACAATGTAGGAGCGCAAGTTATAACTACATGTATTCTTTAGATCATACCTATGATCAAGAGTTATGCAATCACAGTCTTTGCACAAGTAATACGAGTAGGGGACTAATTGCAAGAACCGCACCTGTGCAAATGCAATTGCAAATATATAAGCTAGATGGCCAGAAAAAAGCCAGACTATATAGTCAATATATCTAAAATAAAGTACACCTTACCAAAGAATACAGTTCTCCAACACGGTTCTGAAGGGGTGTGCCACTTAGAGCCCATTTGTACGAAGACTCTAAGGCAAGAACAGCTCTTGCAGTATTACAACGCCTAGATTTTATATAATGCGCCTAAGTTTGAACAAGAAGTTAGAGACATTTGTTTCAAAAGAACACTGATCAAATAAGTAAAGAACAGTATCAGTAAAAAAAGGAAAAAAAAAAAAAAAAAAAGGATCTAAGAAAAACACAGAACAAAAAAGGATCAGAAAAAAAAAAAAGGATATTAATATAAATTTTAGCGAAAGCAACTTTCACCAATAATTAGCTGAAAGATACTGATTGTTATTTCTTTATTTCAAGATAATCATAGCAACAATTTTTTCACCAATACCCTACTACAACTAAATTAAGTCAACGCACCTCATCCAAAATAATGCGGTTCCACTTCACAGCATGCAAAACCGACTTTGCTCTGCTGAAGCCTTGTCCAACATCTTCTGAATCCATATCATTATCCTTGTGCAGCTTTGATCTCTTCCTGGAACCTCCATGCTTCTTGTCTTTAACAGGCTCAAATGTCTTCTGTGGTATTGATTGTAGATGCTTTTTCCTTTGTTGCTTAGACTGCTTCTCAGTTCTAAATGCATGAGGCCCACAAAAATATTTCAAGTGAACGGACAGTCTCTTCTCATGAAACAACTTTCCGCAATAATGGCATTTCTGTTTGGGAGGCATCACGTTCTTCCTGTAATCGGCCTCAACAATGGAGTATGTAGTAATGACAAAATCATATTCCGAGAACTGTTTAGAACTCTTCTCTCTATTGGCCCCATGATAAACCAGAACCTTTGTGCTTCCTTTTGAAGTAAACCTCTCTATCTCATTTACCCATTGGCTCACGGCAACCACAGGACAGACTACGAGGGTGCCTTTGATTCCAGGAAAGCTTGTGGAGGAACCTGGTTCATTAAATGTCCAATTAATTTCACGTTTAGCAAGGACAAGAGCAATCGCTTGTATAGTCTTGCCCATTCCCATCTCATCTGCGAGGATTCCTCCTCTGGTTTCAGACTCTTCTTGTTTGAGGGCCCAGGCCAACCATTCCTTTTGGTACCTTAGTAAAGGCATAATTAGATCAGATGGTGCCTCAGAAACTTCACTTATCACATTATTCTGATTTTCCAGATCAAAATCCTCAGTTACATTGTCATCAATCCATTTATCATGCTCCTCTTCCCAGATATTCCACTTCAAGCGCTGCTTTGCCTCCCTATCTTTAGAACTCTTTTTCTTTTTTTTCTTGTGCAACCCAAAATAGTCAATTTCGACTGGTTGCTGAGTCAATTTGTGTGCTTTCTCTTCGTAAATTGGTTCTCCTCTGACCTTCTTTCGCCCCACCTTCCCATTTTTGGGTATAGGGATTATAACACTTGGTTTATCATTTAAGTCAACATTATATCGATGCTCTTCACCTACGTGCATCAATATATCAATGTATGTCAGTAAAACATGTAAGCCAGCAAGAAAACAGACTCCAGCCTTCCATTAAACGGACATTGCTCATTTCAAAGGAAAATATCAAAATAAAGAAGTGTGGGAGGGGGCATAACCAGAATAAAAGTACTATTCTGCCAAAGGAAATAACATTTGGGAAAATTATTCACCCAAAGAAGTAGTCATAGAAAACAGAACAAAAATCTAAATCCCTCAGACCCCCAAAATCAAATTCAAGTAAATCCTTTTCGAAACTTCTTATGCATTTCTAGTAGTTACGAAAGATTAATTTTACCTTCTTCGCTATCAGAAGCAGAAGACGCAGACGGTAAATAAGTATCTTCATCAGAGCTTTCGGTGCCCTGGATTATATCTTCCTCTTCCTGATGTTTCTCATTTCCTGCTTTCAGAATAAACGCCAAACCAATATGGACAGTTGTATTTAAGTTATAGCATCATGCTCGTGAATAGATAGACAACAATCTGTAACAAAATTCATATCCCTCTCAATCCCCAGGAAGAAAATTCAAATAATTTTCCCACTGTACCTATACACTTTCTCAGTAACCAAACATGACAAATCCTAAACGAAACAACACAGGGAAAAGGTAATCGAGTGTGAAGCTTTACCATCGGTAGAAGGCCCGGCGACTCTCTTGCGAGAACGAAGCTCCATTGGTGGTGCAGAGCGAGTTAGGGTTTTGCGATCACGAGTTTCGAGGTTTAATTGAGTGAGGATATACGAGTCGAAGACAAAGCCTCTCTCTCTCTCTCTCTCTCTAGAAGGGAGCGGCGGGAAAGTGCCTCTTATTATATAGGGAGTGATGAAGCAGCGGGAATCCACGTTGGCGTCGCCTCTGGACTGCGAAACGTGTGCTACGTCTTTGGCAGCACCGTACGCGTCTTTATTTCTGACCGTCGATTTGTGGGACCCATGTGATTTTATCTTTGAATCGACGGCAGGAACTCCATCAGGTACTCGAAAGGCAAAGCGTTTTTATTGAAGCACGAGAAAACGCCTTCGTTTCTTGGAATTATTTGTTGCTTAAGAGAGAAGAGAGAAGAGAAAATTAAAAAAAGAAACTCCGAGAAATTATTCTATGCCTAATCTTCCTTTGAGGGGGTAAATGTGTCTTTGTTTTCTTTTTATTTATTTATTATTATTAATTTTGGAAAATTGTGAAGCAAGAAAAATATATCTTGAAATTGGATTATGTAGCATCTTCATTTGGGAATATATTCATTGCTCTTGTTTGTTAAATGTCTTCAACTATCTTCCTCAACACTCTTCATGCTCATTAAGGGTTTATTTGACTTTTATTGTCTTGTTTGGTTAATTCCTTCAATTCATCCCTTGATTGTATTTTTGACTTTCTAAGTTACCTTTCTTATGATTCAATAAATAAGAAAGGTTACCTTCCTTAATTGTGTTGTCTTGTTTTGTACAAATACAAACATGTGTTTTCCCAATTTGAATGTAGCATCAAATTGTCCCGCATTTCTTATAACTAACATTTTATTCGCAAAAAGCCTTGTTGCTCAAATAATTCAGAGCAGTTACATATGCACTTAAGGTCTAGTGTTCGAATTCTCCCTCTCCGAGCATCACTTGTATAAACAATATTAAGAGAAACATTGACTTCTTGAAGTTGTTACACTTGTACTACAAGTAGGTGGCCTTATTGATGAATACAATAAATAAAAAAATTGTATACAAAAAGGTTGGTTTGGCCATGGATGAAAGGCACAGTCATGATTGCATGTGGTACAGTATGGAGGTTAGGATGAACATATGACTAGTACAAAACCAGCAGGTGGTAGCCACATTATTTCTGTTCGAAAAAGATGGGTAGATGGGCTTTAAATTCCCATCCAAAAAAAATTAGAGTGATAGGTGTGGAGAAAGAAATAAGCTTGAGATTTGTAACCAGTCCCCTAGATTTCGCATGTCATGGGGCCACTATGACCTGTTCACCAGTTGAGTTGAGGTAAGGGGGTGAAAGTGATAATTTGGATGCTGAAAACATGTATTTTGTGTTTAAAATGTGAAATGAATTTCAATACTCAAAACAAAACCATCTTAAGGAACCTCAATGCGCCCTTAATTCCGTAGTTTTCTGGGAAAATTAGCTTAATTGCGTAGCTTATAAAAATTGGACTTACAATCTTCAGAAATTACAATCTGAGAACTCATATAATATTTAGTTCGGCCATGCACAAGGCAGAAGCTGCTTATAAGGTAAATGGTTTTAATTTCCACCACCTCCACCAGACCCACTTCCAGACCCTTGGCCGCTACCCGCGCCAGCTCCCACTCCAACGCCAATCCCAATTCCAATTCCGAATCCTCCACCGTGACCGCCACCACCTCCTCCTCCTGCACCGCCTCCACCTCCAATCCCTCCGCCAGCTCCACCTCCTACACCACCACCTGCACCAAATCCGCCTCCATGGCCTGAACCTCCACCTACTCCGCCACCACCACCTCCTCCTGCACCACCTCCTCCACCAACACCTCCGCCAGCTCCACCTCCTACACCACCACCAGCACCAAACCCACCTCCGTGCCCTGAGCCTCCACCAAGACCACCGCCTCCTCCTGAACCACCACCACCGCCACCTCCAAGACCACCACCTCCTCCAACGCCACCACCTACACCACCTCCAGCTCCAAAACCTCCACCATGCCCTGAACCACCACCAACTCCACCACCGCCTCCTCCACCAGCTCCACCGCCACCACCACCACCTAAACCCCCTCCAGCTCCACCACCTACGCCTCCTCCAGCTCCAAAACCTCCACCATGACCTGACCCACCTCCAACACCACCTCCTCCGCCACCACCAGAACCTCCTCCACCACCAAGACCACCCCCACCTCCAGCACCACCTCCTACACCTCCTCCAGCTCCAAAGCCTCCACCATGACCCGAACCACCTCCAAGTCCACCTCCTCCGCCACCACCAAAGCCACCGCCTCCACCAACACCCCCTCCTGCTCCACCACCTAGACCACCCCCAGCCCCTCTTCCTCCGCCATGACCTCCGCCACCACCGAAACCTCCTCCTCCGCCAATGCCGCCACCCCTACCGCCATTACCACGAGGCCCTCGACCAAACCGACCACCACATGATCGCCGGCCCCATGGACAATCATCATCATCACCCCGAAATCTAGTTTTGTCAACTTTGTCATCACCTAGAGTGCTGATTGCACTCAACTGGAGGACAATGTACAGGACAACAAGACTCAAAGAAAGCCATTTTGGAGAGATGCCCATGGCTTTGTTAGAAAAAATGCTTCACTAAATTCTCAGATTGCCGAGGTTGTGTTCTTCATTGTTGAAAAGGCGATTCTTTTATAGGCTTCACTCACTAACCAATAATACAGTACTACTGAACAGCTTTTAATGGGTGCATGTTCATGTCACGCGTTGGAACCGTTGGGAGATTTGGGGGACAATTAAATGGCAAATGGAGGAAGTCAACTCAGTCAAAACCCGACTTGGATTGGATATATAGATCAATTTCAGCTTGCGTTGACCGTTTGACTTATGTACAGTTCTTTTAGCTTCTCATTATGACATGAATTTAATTAAAAGCATGAGAATCCAAGTCCCAATTGCATGAGTAAACTGGACTGGCTATAATTTATAACCCTCTGAGCTAATCTTAAAAGGTCCCTTTCTCCAAAAGGCTGTGAGGTCGATCTGATCACTTTTTTGTTGTTGTCAAAGTTAGGAAAATAGAGGAGATTTTCTCACACATACATTGTCAAAGTACCATAAGATTTAATATGAGAATATTAATATGCAAATTAAGACCATTTTCTATTAGGTTAGACCCTTATTCGGCTTTTCACATTTGATTTATATATTTCTTCAACCGTATGCATGCTTTAAAGTTTAAAGTGCAGAGCCCAAACATAGACCTAACCAGTTATGTGAGGCTTCTCCATGCCATGCACATTGAAGTTGGTCAACCCTACCGACGCTCGACCATAAATATTACTCTTAACCAAATTAAATTACCCACCTTCCACTTTGCAATTTGCAAGCACAAGTGGATCTGCCTGGCCGATATCTCATCATATCTCTCTCTATCCCCGTATATCTCCGACACCCAGATGAATGTTCATGCAGAGCAAGTTAAGTTATCGGGAACAAGTAGGGTCGGAAAGCGCATGGCACTGAAAGTGTATCCATGCTTCGGCCAAAAAAATAATAATAGTAAGTGTATCCATTCATTGTTGATTGATTTTGGGTCGGAGTGATTTCATCTATTATCAATTGATTTTGAGTTGAGTATTTGCATGAAATCCATTAAAGTCGCATGTCCTTGTGTCATCTTCTCAGATTAGCTTCTATTTTCAATCTTCTGGCTTGAAACTATAGCAAGACATTTTGCTTCTGTCAATATTAAAAAGACATGACAGCAACCATGGAACTGTTGTTACCAGTAATATCACAACGTGCCGTGTTACACAATCGGGGGAAATATTCATAGGAACAGAGTTGGGCTTCTTTTTTTTGAGTTAAGAATAATGTGAACAAAGAATACAAAACCCATACAAATTAGATCCAATGAGTTTGATTTGGATCACACAGAAGAGAAGCAAACTAACACTAGTGAAAATGGCTTGAGTTAAGCCCTGACTACATCTTTAATTTGCAGATATATCCTCTGCTTTCCTAGTTCGCATATAATGACCCTGACAGCCTTTGGTCACAGTCTTACCTTCCAAAGATTCTGGTTTTGCTTATAGAGGCCGCGTTCGATGACCTAATGCTCGACCGCAAAGAAGAGCATTCCTTGGGATTGGATATTCATCCCTCCATGAATTTGCAGGTGAGTAGACGCGAAGATAGAATTGCTGGCCTAAGTACTGGCGAGCCCAGTTCTCGGACCTCACATTCCACATCCCCACATTGTCCAATGGCATGTAAATTGCAGTCCATGAGTTGGGATACACCTGTGATAAGAAATGGCATCTATGTTAAAAAACAATCATGAGAACATAATTGTAAGTCACATATAGTTTTTAAGGAGCTGCATTTATCGATGTACCTGAACGGTGCAACGAGAAATCGTGTCCCTCAAATTGTATCTTAATCTGCTTGCAGGTTCCCACTGTCCACCATCCATCCTGCCCATATCAGAATTACCATGGTTAAGATATATGTTCTTATTGAATTTCTCAAATTGCATAACAGTTGAAAAATGTCTGAATTTCTGAGGCAGAGAACTTACCCCACAACAAAGAAACTATGGCCATCAATGTGCCATGACTGCACAGTATCCTCAGGATTCTCGAACACTAGTTCAGCGAAGCCTCGGAAATCAGCATTCATGACAGAAGTCTGAAGATAAGCACCGCCTCCAGTGGGGTTGTCTTGGATGCTTCCAATGGAGAACACCCCTGAGATATTGAAGTAGTCGGCAAGTTTAAGTGGTGTGTCGGGTTGGATGAAGGACACACTATTCACAGCATATCTCTGCTTGCCATCAATAATTGGAGCAGAACTTGTTAGCCTGATTGTACGTGTGGTGTTGATCAATCCATAATGATATGAGCCTTGGGGGTTAGGTCTTGGACCACTTGCTGTCAAATTCCGCCTGGTTTTAACATGTCATTCATTCAAAATAATATGAGAAGTGGTGTATAATAGGCCTAGTATATTGAAATAGTTCATCTTTTTGTGCATATCATGTTCAATGATATGATTTCTTAAAAGAAAATGTTAGTGCAAACAACATGATCATTTTGTATGCCATCTCAATAGACACTCACCAAACGATTATCTATATAGCAGAATCTATGTCAACAATGAAAACTGGCACTACCATGTATAACGCATACGCTTACGAACAGAAAATAATGATAATAATAAGCACCTGAGAGATCGGGCTTGTTCAAGAGACCAGTCAATCTGAGTTGTTGGGCCACCAGGGGGAGGACCAGAAACGCTTCCTGCTGAGTTACTGTAGTGAAGAATGGAGGTTGTGCTGAGCACTTGTGAAGTGAAACGCGTAGAGACAACAATGTAGTAATCTTGTGCTGGTTGATCAGCTGTAACTAATACAGAGTAAGACTGCCCCAAATGAATGTCAAGGGAACTATAAGTGTTCTGAAGGCTGTGGGTGCCTTCCACCTCAACCAGCAACATCTTGTGCCCCTGGATTCTGAAATTGATGGAAGTCGTAAGCCCCACATTCGATATCCTCAACCTGTAAGTCTTGCCTGCCAAGCAAGTATGACACATGAAACAAGTTACATCAATTCCATGACCACGCAGAAATGGTGCTCACAACACTTGTTGAATTGATTAATTACCTTGATCAACTGTAAATGTGAATCCGTTTGATCCACGGCCATTGATAAGGAGCCCATCAGGGAGGGGAAGATTGTTCCCACTATCTAAAATTGCTTTCAAATCCTGTAGGATTCAAAACAATCCCATCAAAATGAACTCATATCACATGCCTTCTGCTACGAATTTGACAACGATTATAAATCTTGAGTAGTGCTAGAGTGATCAGATTTTTAGACCTTGCAGTGAACAACTGCACATACTAATTGTTAACTCATAAATCATCTCTAGTTTTCTGGCACATTAAAACAAATGTGTGTGTGTGTGTGATAATTGGCATAGTCCTTAAGCATGCTACTTACAGTGTGATTTTTACTGAACCAATCTCCTGCCAATATGGTGAAGTCTCCAGCAGGAGGAGGGAAAGGTACTGGGATAACCGAGCGGCTTGCAATTTTGATGCCACCAAACCCTCCTGCAGCCTTGTGGAAGCCGAGGGAAGGAAAGTAGAAGTAACTGCCAATCTGATCTTTGACTTGGAGAACATAAGTGAAGTTCTGTCCAGGTGGAATGGGGCAATTTGTGCCAAAGACCCCATCCTGCCATGAGTTCCTTCTCTGCTGCACACCATTCCTAAACAAGAATTGCAGGACTTGATGGTTAGTCTAACTGCTAGGGCAATAAACTTGGTGATGGCATTCTGCTAATAAAAGGGTTACTTTGGCCTCTGCTTATCAATCCATCCATTGGAAAGTCAACAGGAGAAAACCCTTTTTTTTTTCATTTTGGTTTTTTTTACAGTACAATTTTGAACAGACCAATCATTTTTCAAGATTTTCACTTTTTGCCACTTGAACAAAGTGACTAAAACGTGTGCTTATTCAAATAGGTGCTTTTGTAATAACAACTGTTAAAAAAGATAATATCACTTCCCAGTAATGATTGAATCTCATTTCTAAGTATTAGAGTTGCAGTCCAAAATTACAAGTACAAAAACTTATTATTATTTTTTTAAGAACAGAGGAATTACTAACCAAGAGAGGAGAAAAGGTTCGTCCAAGCTATTGAAAACGTTGATAATGAGGTTATCATTGGTGACTGATTCGATCTGCGGCCCTGGAAATTGCCCATTTATCAATATCCCCTGCATTTTTGTTTGAAACCTCATTTTAGCAACCGGTCATTGCAATTTTTCATCAACAACAAAACTGCCTAGAACAGAGAAACTGAACAAACAAAAAAAGTGCTTGTTTATGTGTCTGTGAGAGAGAGAGAGAGAGAGAGAGAGAGAGAGAGAGAGAGAGAAATGATAAACGTACCCTTTGTTTCAGCCCAAGGGGATAGATATCACCATAGGTGACATTCCAGTTGTAGAACCTGTAAGGATCTTCCCCACTTGTGCAGGTCACAGTAAGCAGAGCAACCAATATGACACAACACACACTTGTGTGCAATCCCATGTTCCTCTCTGGATCTTCGAGAGCAAACAATGGAGAAATGGGACTGAAATGCAAAATAAAAGCCTCCCAGAAGATAAAGATTCAGTCTTTATCTTTCCCTCTGGAAAGATCCTCACTTCCTCTGCTTTTTCTATTGGTTCTGTTCTCCTTTTTCTTTGAATGCTTTTTAGAGGATTCTGTAGAAGTGCTTTTCTGTTAGATCTCCTTTGAAGATTTGCTTCTTTATTTGTAGTAGGCCAATAGTTTGAGTGAGTGTCTATGAGCTGTCTGCAAGCAGAGAAATAAGTTCTCAGAGTCATTGATCAGTCCACACCGCGTACCTAGGGTCAAGTGAAGAAATCCCATCCAAGTCCCCAATTTTATGGCATAAAAATAAAATATTTTATTTATCTAATGGTAAAAACAAATTAACTGCAGAATAAAAAGCCATTTGCTTGGTTGATTGCTTTCTGTTTAAGCAGATGATTGGAGTAAAAAGAGATAAAATTTACTGTGTTCGTTTGTTTTCTCTCAGTTTAGGCTCATCTGCACTGCATGAGTAACATGTCCAGTTGCAGTCAAAAAGGAGATCTTGATTGAAGTAGTGATGGTGGCATGTTAGATTAATTAGCATGAGCCTTTGTCTGTGATTGGCAGACAATAAAATTAGTGATTGGTTGCTCCTTTTGACTTGAAATAATGAATTCAGAGCTAAAAAAAGGAAATTAGGTTTTGATTTGCATTAAATATGGATAGCAAATCCTACTGACTATGGAAGACTCTGGCTCCAAACATTTATAACAACAAGCTGAACTTATCTTATTATTTTATTTACTTAAGTCCTTCTATATCTTAGTTTTTTGGTTTTTTGGTTTTTTCTTTTAAAAAAACCCACCGACAAAGGTAATGATACATCACTGAAGCAAAGGGCTAAGCTTAAACCTCAGAATATGAATACTAAGATTCATTAGTGCTGGATGAGAATCAATCATAGTAGCATAATTTTACAAGAGGATTCAGAGGTTTCTCTTCCTGAATCTTGATCCAGATATCATAATTGATCTTATAATACAAAAGAATTGACAATTATTAGTTTCACGTTTTCTTCTGTCATTGGCATGATGGCTTCCATGTGCCACTATTTTGCTACCCAGCTCCACCTAAAGCAGTCAATGAAAGATTGTCCGGCGCGACCGTAACATAGTTACATAGTGTTATTGATCTACGTATTATAATGTGTGGACGGACAATAAATTTATGTTTTAAGATATATTATCAATAAAAAACTCGTGACGTATTAAAATTTATATGTTATATCATGTGTAGGTTGATAACACCAATTTATGGTCGCGCCCAAAAAAACAAGCGGTTCAGAACTAGGGGTGGTGGGCTTTCAATTATCCTCTTTCCAGTTTTGGGTTTTCGGGCCAAGTGGTCATTTAGAGGAAGATATACTAGCCCAAGCTATTGAAGAAGGTTTGGTTGAATACATCCGAGCTCAACGTGGCGACGAAATTGCACATGAGTCTACGACTACGCAACTCTTAACGCTTTTGGGAAAACGACAACGACATCCTATTCTACTGAGGTAATCAAGAGTGTTTGGTTATGAAAATATGTTATAATCAATCATAATCACGTGATTATATTGATGAAGAGAAAAGTATTAGATTCCGTCTTGAGGGACGGATTTGAAAGAAAATTTTGAATTTGTTTGACAACAAAGTTAAATTTAATACAAAATTAAAAATTTACATTAATTTGAATGTATTTGAAATAAACTAGATTTAGTACATATGAAATGAATTTGAAATGACTACGTGTAAGGAATCAATTGAAATCCATTTGTTTTCTTTATTTCTTTCTTATGCAAATTTTGGCATGCATGCCAACAGAGTCTAGCCCCATGGAAAATAATATTGACTTGTAGACAAATGGTCTAAAGTTTGAACTCCCATAGCACTTTGGTAGTGTGCATGATAAACTCTCCTATTATAGTTTAAACTATCACTTGTACGCCATAAAAAAAAATATGCAAAGAATTTTATCTTATAATGTCACTAATAATGGAGACCTTAGTGTTAAGCATTAGACATTTTTCACAACCTGTATAGTCCTCAAAGACTCAAGATTTAATTTTGTATTTTTCATGAGTAAGACTTGAAGCAAATGGCATTACAGTAATTACATAATTACCGAACACGAACGCAGGTATGTCATCCAAATCATTAACTATTAAAAAAATGTTACGTTTAGCTCGTGTTCTTCGCCCTTTTTGGGTAGGTAGCAAGTGGGGGAAGAATAATTGGTGGAAATGGTTTTCTGATGCCAAAAGGTGCCATCTACCTACTGATGTGGTCTGTTTGTTTCTAGGATTTTAGCTTACATGTTGTTCTCCAACATTGGTAGGCCACACCGCATTTATATATTCCCCAAAAAAAGTAGACCAAACAGCACCTAAGGCCGTTAGGATCATTAAGCTAAAACTCTGGTTTTACATGTGTAGTTAGGAGAGGTGAGGCAGAGAAAGCAAAAGAAGAAGATAAGATGGGGGTGATCAAGGCAGCTCTAGGAGATGCAGTTCTGACTTCCCTGTGGGTTTTCAGCGCACCGAGTATGGGGGTTTTCACAGTCATCATCGCCTCGTTTCTTGGCATTCAAGCTAGGTCTTTGCTAGGCCTCTTCATCACCACCATAGTTGCCACAACTCTGGTCCTAGCTTTCAGCTTGATAGGCAAGGTTTTGGGTGGTGCCAGCTTCAACCCCTCCACCACTGCAAGTTTCTACGCTGCAGGCCTCACCCCCGGCACATCTCTTGTCTCCATGGCGGTCCGGTTCCCGGCTCAGGCGGCCGGTGGAGTAGGAGGTGCCAAGGCAATTCTGCAGGTGATGCCAAAGCAGTACAAGCATATGCTTAAAGGGCCTTTTTTGAAAGTGGATTTGTACACTGGTGTCATAGCTGAGGGGCTGTTGACTTTTGTTCTCTGCTTTTCTCTGCTTGTGATTATTCTCAGAGGTCCTAGAAATCCAATACTGAAGATATGGCTGCTTTCAATTGCTACAGTGGGATTGGTTGTTGCAGGTGGTGGGTACACAGGGCCTTCCATGAACCCAGCAAATGCTTTTGCCTGGGCTTATGTGAATAATTGGCACAACACTTGGGAGCTGTTCTTGGTTTATTGGATTGGCCCCTTCATAGGAGCAACTTTGGCTGCTTCGGTTTTCAAGACTTTGCTTCCCCCACCAATAGCAAAGGAAAAGAAAGCCTAATTAAGATTCAATAGCAGATAGATAGCTTTGGTGTTTATGCATCTCTTCTCTTCTTTGTGTATGAATGATTCTCATTGGTGAAGTTTAAGACTCAGCTTCAATATTGCTAATTAAGCACTGCAGAAATCTTAAAACCATTTGCCTTTTGTTTGGAAGCAAAGAAAATAAAATGAACTTTCTACGAACAATGTAGTGCTAATTGTCTTCTTTCAGCTTTATCACTATCTAAAGCAGCCGCATGAATTTGTTCTGGGTTTTCTTTAGGAAGAAGTGATCTGGCTTCCTTTCTCTTTGCATCCATGTGAGCTAAAAGTGTTTGCCAAAAATGAGGCCTCTCTTCAAACAGAGGCCCAAGGCTTGCTCGAGTAGAAATCGCCAATACAAACACAGATTTATAAGCTTCTGCCTGCTTGACCGTCATCGAACACGCCCCCTCCTCCATATGTAGCTCAAACGGTTAAAAATATTCACCCATATACATAATGTCTCTAATTCCCTTCTCCCAAATTTTGCTTGTGTAAGTCTTTTTTTTGGGGGTCAAGAGCTTGTGTTAGTCTACGCCGCGAAAAATGATACTTTTTCAACGCCTAAGCAAGGTCAAAGTTCAGAATCAGAACAAGCAATGGACTTGTTGTTTTGGACTTAGTTTTTCCTTGTTTTGTGCTATTTCTCTACAGAAGCCCTTGTTGTGATGGTTTTCTTTTGGGGTAGCTTGCCAGAATATGGTTCAATATTCGTTTATATGGTGGGCAAGTTGGCCAGAATATGGTTCAATATTCGTTTATGGGCAAGTTGGCCAGAATATGAATCTGGTCCTGAAATTTTTGTGCAAGAAGCATAATTAATCAATTCAAAATCCAATGCCACGCCCAGAGTGAGGAGGGTTTAGTGATGCTAAACACCTGTTAAACCCCTAGTATGAGTTCGTTGCTCGCGTAAGGGCGATCCATCTTGAAGACAAATTCCACGATAACGAGATGTAGAAATTAATCATCGTTAGTTTCTCCCGAGGGTGAATTTGTTTCTTCGTCTTTACAAAAAATAAATAAAAATAAAAATAAGAGTAATTAATTGTGACACATTCACTAAAAAAAAAATAAAAAATCCTTTTGTAGCGACTCATTTTTGTGTAAGAAGCATTATTAATCAATTCAAAATCCAGTGCCACGCCCAGAGTGAGAAGGGTTTAGTGATGCTAGTAGCTACCATAAAACCCCTGTTAAACCCTTGAATCAAACTCCCAGATCATCATCAACACTCTAAATATATTTCGAATGTTGCAAATGAGAGATTAGTGGAAGCAATATACTGAGATAGATAGAATATTTATGAGTACAAACTGCAGGAATTTCAGAACTCAAAAGGAAAGCTGTCTGACTTAAACATTGGAATTAGAAAGTACACAAATATATTATGCAAATTATTAAAGCATGAAATCAAACTGATCAATCTTGCTCACAAAAGCCATAACATGATAGGAAATATACAAGACTGCCACCACATTTGCTAGGAAAATTAGGGGCAGACTGTGTGATCAGGTGCATTAACAAGACACACATGATCGCCAAAGACTTGAAGTTGCAAAGGGGAACTCTTCAGTGGAACATAGTAACTCTTTAAGAGATCCTTGTGTTCCACACCAGAAGATCCATGGGACTTTGATCATGATCTTCATCATCATCATCATCATAGAGGACATCAACAGAAGCCATCAAGTACAGATCATTATCGGTGTGGGCCCTTTCGGAAGAGTGTTTGATGGGTATGCAGGTGTGGTGTTCGACGAAAAGCTGCTGAGAATAGAATCCAAGCAGCAACTCTTGCTTCGCATGTGCTCATCATCAGAAGTGCCTGCCTTCTGTCCTTCAGCCAAAGCCTATTTTATTATCAAAATGAAAAACCAAATATTTGATTAATCCATGGGATCCAAGTACTACATATGATATTATTTGGCCAAGAACTATCTTACCTGGCAAATGTGGCACCAAATATTAAAGCACACAACAAGCCATGGTGCACATGGGTTCTCCAACTTGACATATCCTGTTTTTAGCCCACCCTCCATGACCTTAATTACCTCCTCCAACCACCACCTCCACCACCACCTCCGCCGCCACCGCCCTTCCCATTCACGCTGACAGAACAAGAGGAGCATAATATTGCATGGCTTGAATGTTGCAGTCGAGAGAAGTTCCCCAGAACAATAATGCAAGCTAACTGCAGGCACATCCATGGCTTGAACTACTTGAAGGAAGTTCAAATATTGGTGCATTTCTTGGCCACCTATGTTTGCTTTTCGGTTCCATTCCATGATCACTAGGCTGCCAATTGCCCCATCCAAGCCTTGAAATGAAGCCACATTCAAGTCCTCATCCAATAGAAGGCTACCAGAATTCGGGTACGAGATCTTGGACAGGGAAACCATTTTGTTCAAACTCAATCAAAGTGACATCCTCAGCTCCACTGAACAAAACAAGATGCATATATATATTTGCAATCAAACTGATGATCACATTGTGACAAATATTTCTACAAATTACCTCTTGGCAATGTTTAAAAAACATGGCATAATAAACAACTCAAAATGTAAAATAAATGACAACAAAGGAACAAAATATTGCAGTTTATTAAAACCAGAACTAGTTGGCTTCTAATATAAATAAGCAAATAAATAAATAAGAGTGGTGATTTCTCCACTCTAATTTTATCCGCTTACACTCCATTTTATAACTAAAAAATGAGTAAATAAATAAATATTATTAAGACAGATCTTCAAAGTAACATTCCACTGATAGGCTAACACGTACACAGATCTTCTCTTCCATTGGCGCAATCCGAATGTGAGATCACATAAAACACGAGAAAACAACTAAACCCAGATGGAATAATGTGCACTTAAAGACAAAACCCAACAAGAAAATCCACTGGCATGAATATTTATATATGCAGCAAGAAAACCAAATGAAAGAGAAAGGAAATTAAAATATTAAATTAACAGTCCGTACGTACCATGGAGCTCAAGGAAAGAGGTTGAAGATGAAGATGGCGAGGGAGTTATAAAGAGCATAAGGCAAAGTAACAGTTCCAGAACGAGAAGCTTCAGCCGAGGCCATGATCATGAACAGTGCTCTAAAACCCTCTCGCATATAAAGAGCATGGGCAAAGTAACAGTTTGTGACGTGTAATCCGACCATGAACAAGGTTTAAATAATAATCAGCACCAAAAAAGAAAGTAGGTCACGTTTTCAGGTTCATTGAACCTGGCCTTATTCGGTGGAGACTCTTTGCTACTTTACACTTGAGATTCTGTTTGGTTTATGAAACGGATTTGAGGGAAAATTATTTCTCATGTCATTTCACATGTTTGGTAATCTTGTGAAAGTAACCGAGAAATACCACTTTATTTCCTTTCACATGTTTGGTTTGTGTATGAATGTAAAATGAAGTTTGTTTAATTTTTCAATTATACTCATATGAAATCTAATAAATAAATAAAAAGAATGCATTTAATGCTATATTGTAATTCTAAATTGTTAATGAGGACAATATGGTCATGAAAAATGTGTATTTAATGTTGGCTTATTTTTCCAAACTTTTTCATGAGGAGGAAAACAAAACTCAAGGGGGAGGAGGGCTTCACTTTCTCCCCTACTTTCCCATGTGTAAGACAACGATTTCCCATGTCTTGACTTACCAAACATGGGAAAGCAAATGATTTTCTATCCTCAAACCTCATTTCCCATGAATCAAACGGAGCCTTAAGTAGAAGGAATATTTATAGACACGTTGATAATCCCAACCATGCATGTCTCGTAATGTTATATTGTCCCTTGTTTTAAATACTAAAAAAGATTATTACATATTGGATCAGTGTTATCGAACACAAGATCTCGAGTGCATAATATTCTCTTCCTTATACTTAAAGATTGTTTAAAGCAATTATAAATCATAAAAGTGTACTTCTTATAAATGCATTTCCAAACAAACCCATATGAATGACACTAAAACACGAGGAATATAATGATTTCATTCCCATCATCATAACCTTTAAAATGTAAAATTCAAAGGGAGTCATATGGGTCCTATTTTATAAAAGTGAGCAGTACAAATAACCTAACAAATTGTTGAATATTTTGTTTTGTTTTGTTTTTTTTCTGTGACGATTTTGAATGTTTGGAAAGGGATGGACTGTATCTGCCCAGAAGTATAGTCTCTATTCGAATAGGATGAAATTTGTTTAATTGAGCATAACATTATTTTCAAGAAAGGGACAAGACCACATTACAGAATCTAATTTAGGGTTAGAAATAGCATGGATGTTTGTGGGTCGTGGGGTCCCCTCAGTAAAGCGACAAACAATAATTTAAAGATATATTTAATTATACATCTATTTATCACTAATGATATAAATAAATCCTACACTATTTAATTTCTATAAATAAAACAAACAAAAAACCCAAAAAATGACAACTGGCTCGGGCCCTATTGAATTTAATTTTACTTATTAAATTACTTTGATACTCTATTGAATGTTTTAGGGGTTTTTTATATGAGGTTTTGGGATTGAGCTTGTTTTAAGAAATCAATGACAGTTTTGTAATTTAGAAGGAGTTAAAAGCCTCATTATTATATTGTAAATGAGCTTTGAGTGTGTTTCTAAAGTCCATTTCATATAAGAATTTTTTTATAATTTAGGCCCTTATATTATATACAATAATAAATCTCCCAAATTTAAACTAAGGAAGTCTATGAAACCAAATTGACACCTGGTATTTGTATTGTATATATAAGGTTGCCTCAATTATTGTGAATGGATTTTGAACAGCCCTCATACTTCTCTCTGTTCTCTCAACTTTTTGTTGGATTTTTGCTTTTTCTTTACATTTTAAATTCTTTTCAAGCTTGCTTGACCCAAAAACCAGCATGCTTCTTGTTCATAGAGCCCGCAAACTTGAAAATCTATTCAACGAGGCGTCGGCTGCTTTTGACTGTTCGATAATTCCTCCCTTTCAGCGAAGTTACCAGGCCAAAAGAACACAAAGGACACATAGTGACATAGCGATACAATCAAGTTTTATTAGAAAAATTTGGATTCTTAGCTCCCTATCCCTCTAAATTGAACCCAATTACACATTTGTTTTTAGGAGAAAGTTTTCGGTGAGACATGACAACTCACTATTATTAAAATCACTTAATTACACGAACAACACAAGCGTAATAGATAGATGTAAAGAAAAAGCCATGTGACTCAAAAAGGCTTTTTGTTAAATTTAATTCAAGAGAAATATGATGAAAAAGAAGTAACACAGTCAAATAGCACCCATAATAATACAGATAAAATAATAATGAAATAACACAGTCAAGGTGGAAACAGAATCTTAATTATGATGACTTAAGCTGTGAAGGCCAGGTGAAGCAGCCCAATAGGCCATCGCATGTGGTTTTGTGAAAAGCGGCATCATCAATTATGGCATTGGCACCCAACAGCAAAAGCTAAAGGCAGACTTTTCCTTCTTTTTGCTTTTTTTCAGTTCAAGAGAATCTACCAAGATGAAGACACCACCATTCCGTCACTTCTTGTCATTTTATTTTTTATGCGACATTCTTAGTTTTGAAAAATAACCTTCCATCCAAGTGGGTTTGGTCTAGTGGAAAATTGAACGTGCTAGGCCATACATGTTGGGCGAATGTGATTGGACTCCTCAATGAGGTCCCAATTCGATCCTCCGCATGTGTAATGAACCTCTTAGGAAAAGCTTTTCCCTAATTTGTACCCGGCTCGGAGAGATGACACTCTTGCCACTTTTTTGTAACAAAAAAAAAAAAAAAAAAAAAAAAAAAAAAACCTCCACCTCTTCTTTTTCTTTTTTTAAAATTTCTTTTTTTATAAAAATTTATTTAAAAAAGCGACCTAATTTTCTCAAATTCCTTTTCTCAACTTACACTTTTTTTTTTCCGCTTTTTAATACTTTTTAATTAATTGTGTTGATTTGTACAAAGGAAAAGTTTCAGCACACTGATTTCTTATTTCTTATTTGTATTATTTCAGTTGAATATCCACGTGGAAAAAATGTGACTGATCAATATAATATGCAGGCCATGCGTGCCTCGTTGTGTATAAACAAGGCCTCCAGAAAAGTACCCAACAGATTCTGTGCAGAAGCCCAGGTCTCTGAGTCCTTGAGTGATGCTGCTGCTGTCCCATACTATCCATTTATCTTAAAACAAAACTTTTCTTACTTTTCTTATTGTTAAGTTTATCTTAACAAATACTTAAATTACAGTTTTAAACAAAGTTTGATCATTCTGAGGGTTTGAGAGGTAATTCTGGCTGATTGTAAGATGTTTATCTGATTTGAATGAAGTTCATTTGCTTTCGATAAAAAAGGAAGAAGAGGTTATTGGTTCTTGGAATAATTGGATCTCTTGCAAGTACCAGGAGACGAAATGTTATCAGAGTCATCCTGTATAAGCCATGGAGTAGCAAAAAAGTTGGAATCACTCATTAGCAGTTCTCTGAATTGCATAAAACAATTATAGAAACTGATTGTATGTCTACATTGCATCCTAGTTCCATAAAAAGCATCTTCAAACTCATCTCATGGAACAATTTCGCAGTTTCGCAGTTACGGTAGGCCTTGATTGCAGCATTCTTCCTCAGTGAATGCACCTGGTATCCCCTGCATCACTACTAATACAACCAAGTTTTGACAGCAGCAATTCCATTGATCTTTTATTTTATTTTATTTTTTCTGGAAGGCACAATCACACCTTGAATGATATCCTGAACTTTGAACCATCATGAGGAGTAGCAGACAAATCAGATGCAGTTAAACGGTCCTGCAATCGCGAAACTTGTCAAATAGAGGAAGGTTTTTGAGAAATAACTCAAACAAGGCACACAATAGGTAAAATACAATACTGAATTTCCACACTCACACAAAACAAGCTGATTTAAGAAGCTCATATCTATATAAAATCCATGGTATGATTATAAAGTTAACAAAGAAGTGTAAACATGTTGCAGGAAGAAAACCCACTTGGGAAACAGCTCAAATCCATATGCAATGTCTTGGAAACATTGTGCTCCATCTGATTTGCAACCTCTGCAATTCAGAACGATTAAGAGATAGGCCTCATCTAAGGGCCTTAGATAACGCCTTCACTATAAAATTCTACCTGCAGGTCATTGGCTGGCATGGAAGGCTTCTTGTCCTCTCCACAGACCTTACTCCAGAGAACCGGTGAGCCCAGGAGCCCATTAAAACAAACCCATTTGTTCACTTTCTCCAAGCAATCCACCCGATTCAAAGCCAACCCAGATGGCCCAGACCGCAAATCTCCCAGACCCAATTGAGAAACAGTACCCGCTCACTTGACATCCATTAGAAAGTTACAAACTTTGATGTTTTGCGAATGCCAGAACCATCTGAAACCAAATGTTTCACTCAAATGTTGGAAGGTGTTTTGGAAAGCAGGGGAATTTATGTGTCTGACAAGACAGATTAGGTACTGTACGTTTTACTATATACTGAGATGCCAAGAAAGTTGAGGCCTTGAAGCTGGACTACAGTGACAGCTGTGACATTGGACCCAACAGAGCTCAGTGTGGTGCCATGCCAGCAAAAATATGAAGCCCACTAATCCAGAGGTCATCAGCCTCACCCAGCCATTATGTGGTCTTTGCAGGCTCACTGTCACTTTCACTCCCCCTTCCAAGACATACAGAAAATTACTTACACAAGAAGAACTCAAGCAAAATTAAAGTATTTGTTGCTTGTAAAACCCAAACAGAACAAGTACAGAGAATCTAAGCCATACAGAAGAGCATAAGTAAGTACTACTTATATAAAGTAACTAGTTTATGAATTATGTTGGGGCAGTTGCATGGTGCCTATATAATTGCTTAATTATACCTGAATTATTATGGTCTGCAATGCCAATTGCCAAAGGTGCGGCAGCTGTAATTTGCAAGTTAATGTTCTTTTTCTCTAGGCTAAACCCCGTTTTTATCTTAGTTAGTTGTGCAAAATTAGATTGGGAGAGAAGCTAGCTTGGTTTGAGGGCTGCAAAATACAACATATAACCTCTTTTATATATATATATATATATATATCCAAAGTTGACTTGACTCTGTTTTAATTTCTTAGATTTACTTGGTATTTTTCTGCACCAAATTATTTGTTGCAATTGAAGCTCATGAAGTTCCAAGTGGTCAAAATTTGATATGGCTCCATTTCTCTTCAAATTCATTTCCTTTAATACTGCACATATACCTAGGTATATATGTATTAATCATGCAGCTGTCCGTCTAGCTAACCAGTTGGGCTTACAATGAGTCAAAGTGCAGAGAATCATTTGTTCTCAGACAACCTTTTGCATAATAAATCATGGAGTTATACCTACTCACCTACCCCCCGAAAGCCTCACATACATACTTGGAGAGTTGGATTTAGCTTTAGGACTTAATTGGGTATGTGGGAGCCAAGTCATGGGAAAAGTTGAGTAGTCGGTAATCATAATTATAATCTCCTTTCATTAAACTAATTTGTAATATTGTGAATGCCTTCTAGTTGTATACATGATTTTAGATGATCTCTGAGGGTGCTTTTCAGCTTAATTGGGATTAGGGTGATTAGTTAATCCGATACATTGTGCTGCAAATTAATTGGACAAAATTAGAAAATGGGAGTCAATGACAGAAGGACAAACTTCAAAGTTTCAAACTAGCTCTACCTGACACCAATGAATTGACCTACGTGGAGGCCCTGGTGGCTTAAGGGATAACCAGAAATTAATCTCTCTCTCTCTCTCTCTCTCTCTCTCTCTCTCTCTATATATATATATGTGTGTGTGTGTGTGTATTTCCAAAGAGTTAATTGGCCTACGTACATAAACACAAAAACTGTTTCAACTTTTCAACTGGTGGTTTTGATGACCCTCGGCTTTTGCTTCCCTTTAGGCAGCAGATGATGTAGGGCGGTTGCCAAAAGCTAGCTAATAAGTCAAATCATCAGAAGAAATGCATCAAATGGGTTGGGTTGGGTTGGTTTTGTCTATAAAAGCATCTTTTGAGAGAGAGAGAGAGCAACAGAGCTGCAGATGGGTTTTTGAGCACCTGTTGTGAGGAAGAAAGAAGAGGCACACACTCATGTACAAAAAGGTCGTTGTTGCAAAGGTTGATGGAGAAAGATGTGAATATATACATAATGAAGGTATTGGCGCGCCTCAATTTGAAGGCATGGTTAATATATGGAGACCTTAGCCATGTGATTCTGATTGAGCCGCGTCAATATCTCCTTTTGCATCTCTCTCCATATTTTCATCCTTCATTTCATGGTATGTGGTTCTTGATCGATCATCCATCCCCTCCTCCACTTCTGTCAATCTTTTTTCTAATGTCTCCCTTCTTCTTTTTCTGCTCTCTCTGGGTTTTATTACAACCTTTGAATTATTAAAGTTCTCCTTTTTGTTTTTTTGTAGTTATTACTATTTCTTCAATAATTTGCATATATAGTGAAAATACTATATATACATATACATATATATATATATGTGTATATTTATATCTGGATTTAAGATACATACATGCATGCATGCTTCCTATTAGAATTTAGATCCATATACATATATAGGGAAAACCCTTCATCCAATTTTGGAGAATTTGAGATTTAGGGTAAGAAGACAAAGAATGCTCTTCTTGTTGATATATATATATATATATATATATAGCTGCAACATTATCTTGTTTTAGTCACAAGTCTGTCCCCTTAATTTTGACTAGCTTTTTTCAGGTGGGGAATCTTTACACTTGGAAGTCTTTTCTATCAACCAAGGGCCAAGAAAATGAATCAAAATTAGGAATAGAAATTATAGTCCTCCTACAGATGTAACCTCAGCTCCTCCCTGCTAGGGTTTTAGTCCAGGCTAATTAGAGAGAGAGAGAGAGAGAGAGAGAGAGAGAGAGAGAGAGAGAGAGAGAGAGAGAGAGAGAGATTATTATTTGGCAATTGTAAAGGTGAGAAAAGCATGACGATGCAGGTGATTGTCATTGAAGAGAGTAGGTAGAAAATTAAGGGCAGATTCTCTCAGGTCGGCCATCCCCCTCCTTTCCTTTCCCACTATAATTGTATATTCAATTATCTCTAGGAAATTGAAAGATCCATCCAAACTATTTAAAACTGGAAAAATAGATAACAAAACAAAACAAAAAAGCACGTTCATATTAACTTTTAACACAACGACATTTCTAAATAGCTTTTGCTTATGTATATGTTAACCTTCTAATAATAATAAAAATCCAATTGTTTAATTTGAAAACCAACTGCATGCTCTTGATAATGTTTTAATTAATTATTAATATCATCATTAGGTTGTGAGTGTGACGCCACATTAAACTGCATATATATGATCATCTAGTCAACTCAAATAGGCATCATCCTTATGCTTGGTTATGTATATATGCAGGACCAGCATAGGAAATTTGTACCCAACTTTTGCTATTACCATTGACTACAGAAATGATTTGAAATGTTAACAGATGAAAACACAGAAAACATTAAAAACGAAAGAGACCTGGAGAGAGAGAGAGAGAGAGAGAGAGAGAGAGAGAGAGAGAGAGAGAGAGAGAGAGAGAGAGAGAGAGAGAGAGAGAAAACAGACATGCAAGACTGTCAATGAAGGAATCTGGTTTTAATTGGATATGGTCCAAAGGCTAGCTTCAGATCGAGAAGCGAGCTGGTAGCGCGGGAACCATAACTGCAATGTGAGTAGGGGCGGGTGCCTACGACCCTTTGCTTTCCGTTAGTTTACTTCGCATTTAATATTTCCATCATCTCTGTCCATTACCTAGCCTAGCCCCAGCTAGCAAGTTTCTCCAACTGCTGGTCTAGGAATAAATGGGTCCTGTCACAAGGTGTCTCGCATGCGTAAAAACATGTAGATTCTTTTACAAGTTAACATGTGGTTAATTTAGAACCAAAACTTATTTATAATGGGTGAATATCTTTTCATTTCTATCCCACATTTTATACAGTTACGAATGAGTGTTATAGAAATAATCCCATTGTATATAAGATTAATTTACTCGTGATACAAGTAATTTTCTATGTTTTTCATCTTTACTCCAAGACATTGTAATTAGAAAAAAGAAAGAGGGTATGTACATAATCTTAACTTTATACATGTAATTAAATGTTTTGGATGCTCATGTTTAATGGAAGGAATAATATTTTGTTGTTCTATTTGTTATGTGTGTTTATAATTTGCTATATAGTAAAACTTGTTGGAGGGTGTATCAATTTAGATTTTAAATGATTTTAAAAGAATTATAAAGTTTGTTAATGGGTCATACTATCACTATGATCCAAGCCTATTACAGAACAACACGTGGCCATTCCATGGCTTGGTTACCCTTCTATCGACCCAATTAGATGTGATGCCCTAGGTGTTGGTGTAAGGCCTCCCAACCAAAGTTTGACGGAACAAAGGGCGAACAAGTGCTCGGACACTAAAGCACCTACCCGACTATTGTATTGTCGTGTGTGATCAGAGGTGCATTAATGATCCACAGGCATGACCAGACCCCTATTAGGTCAATCACTCCACCTATTCGGTAAGCATCATAGAAATTGGGATGGATCAGTTAATGTACTTGCCATCTAAAACCAGGTGTCGCCTTACCCATTGATCCTCGAGTAAACAGGCTGGTGATGGAGATGGATCATTTAATGTACCTCCTATTCAAAGCCACATGTCACTTTGTCACACAATCCCTGACAGATAGTATGGTGACCAGAACAAGTCATTTAATGTGGTCTAGTCCTACCAGGGGAAAGGAAGATAAATATCCCCTCATTAAGTATCTTTATCTCTCCTTCTCCCCTATAAATACCCCTCACCTACCTCTGGACAAAGGTAATAAATATTCTCACCTTGCAAACCCTACATCCATTTTCTCCATCTCCAAACCACTTCTGACTTAACCATCGGAGGGAGTTCAACTGGGGAAAACCTCAATTCACTTATGTTTTGATTGTTGTTCAAAGTGTGCAGGTATCTTCTAGAGAGCGCCTCAACTCGAAGATCTGGTATAGATCCTGACCTTAATCCAAGTCCAAGCTGTACAATATACAAGAAGGAAACACGGCTTACAAAGTTGATGGAGTTTAATTGAATTTAATTGAGTTTGACTAAATTCTACAAACTTCACATAGATTCGGACTGAATTCGTGTATAGATTTTAACTGAGTTTGTTAGAGCTTTATTATTGATCTTAATGGAGTTTATAGCACTCAAAAAACAAAATGTTTAGGGGTGATGGTGGTGGTGATGGCAATGGTGGTTTGTGGGTGATTGTGGGGAGGTAGTGGTGGAGGAGGTGGGGGTGGTGGTGGTGGTGGCGGTGGGAGTGAGGTAGTAAAGGTGGCGATGGGAGTGAGGTGGTAAAGGTGGTGGTAGGAGTGGCGGCGGCGACAGTGGCAGTGATGGTGATGATGCTGGCAATGGCTGTGGTGGTGGTGGTGACGGTGGGGGTAGTGGTAGGGGTGGTAGTAAGGGCGTAAGTGGGTGGTGGTAAAGGTGGTGGTGATGCTGGGGCTAGCGGCGATGTCGATGGTGGTGGCGGCGACAACAATGACTGCGGTGGTGGTGGTGGTGGTTGCGACAGTGGTGATAGCCATGATAATATGGTGGTAGTAGAAGTGGTGAAATCATATCTTAAGAATAAAAATAATATATCTATCAAAATCTTTGGGGAGAATCAAAGACTTTTCATGGCCTAAAATTAGTCTATAATAAAACGAAATCCACATTCCTTTAAAATCAATGAGTTTTTTATACACTCAAATTTTTATAAAATCTTTTAAAGTCGTGATTGAATACATTCAAATTTGAATTAAGTTTAAAAAGTCCTAATTGAATACACCCAGAATTGTATAGACTTCTATAAATCTAAATTGAATACACCCCCAGTGTGTATGTATAATCTCTTAATATATGACTTCAAACTTATCTCCAAATGAAACAATACGGTGTGAATGTGAACCCTTTACATGTATTTAAAAACTTTACAAAAATCAAAGGGGTCTACTTAAGTGGAAAATGTCATTAACTTGTATACTAATTAGTGGTATAATACCGTAATAGTGTGTGTGAGAGATCTCCCTTCCTTATAATTTAGACTATCGCTTGTATTTTTTATTTTTTTTTTTTTATAAAATAGATTTCACTGACTAAATAATAAAACTTATCACATTAAAGGGGCCATGCATTGATGTCACAGAAGCATCATCAATTGCATCATTGGGTGGTAGAAGAGGGGTCTTTGTGAACGTTCAATGTTGTGTGGGTAGGTGGTGGGTGGGTCAAGGAGATGCAGGCCGTAGCTGTTCGATTTATCATTTATGTGGCTGTTGACAAGGACCCATGGCCCATTTTGAATTTTTTATGATTTGATTGAATCCCACTTTTCCCTGCTCCATTTGTCCTGCCTCCTAACAAAATCAAAATCTGAGACCCACTCAGCAGATATGTTTGGATTTGCGCAAAAATCATGGCCATCTTTCACTTTTTTTAACCTTTTTATTTTCCATTTCCCTTCAAACTCTTTTCAAGTAATTTGTTTAACAAGGTTCAAAGTACCATTTCTAAACACCAACAGTCGTTTCTTCCTTTCGAAAAGCTAACTTTTGCAAGCAAACCTTTTGTTGGAGCCGTCTTGTTCATTCCAAACAAAAGATCCTTTACTTTCAATATTTCGCTAGATTTGTATATGATTTGAGGGAAATCGTTTCCTTCTAATTGGTCAACATATTAGTACTAATTGATGTTTTCACTAGATAGTTAATTGAAGATTATATGTAGTTTTAACACATGTATGTGTGCTTTTACGTGCATTATAATATAATCGGGATCCTAATGCATATAGATGTAAATAGTTCAATAACCGGAACAAGAATTTACATAAACATTTAGAACAATTATTCATTTCTTAGCAGAAGAACCGTTTTCATTTTCAAGTAATCACCAACAACTTGTGGAGTTCCCTAAATAAGTAGAACTTATTGCCCTTGCAAAAACGGTGTTATGAGGAAAGGATGCCCAAAATCTCAATATCTTCCCAACATAGGCTATAGTTCTAGTGTGAAATATTGAATCCTGACACTCCACAACATTGGTCTAATGGTAGCTCTTTCCTTCTTTTGAGGTGGCTCTCACTCACCTACTAAATACCGATCACGTTAATTCAACTTATAAGTCACTCTTTCGTGGAGTCTAATTAACCTAGTTACATGATGGAAACTATGTTTTAATACCAACTGATACGAGCCTATTTGTAGAACTTGTCCCTACAACATTGGCTTGTAAGGAAAGAGTATCCAAGAACTCATATTCCTTCTCATCACCATAGCTAACTCACGAAGAGTCAATGTGAAATTTTGGAACTGTACTACTAGCCAACTTCAAGTGGGCCAAGTAAGGCTAAGGGAATCCAAAGAGGCCAGTTCGGCTGATTTAAAACATAACTCGACATTCGCAAAGTCCAGTGTTTTATATTATAATACTATTCAGATATATAAAAAAATAAAAATAAAATAAGAATAATATTATTCTTACCACATTTGTATACCATATATTTATACCATCTTATGTGGTAGCTGAGGTGGACAACCACATCAATTAAAATTATTTAATATTTTCTTTTCTTTTATGATTTATTACAGTATTTGTTTTTCTAATTGCCTTAATTAAAATGCACTTAATTGATTTAATTGATGTGACATATAATATAGACATTTCACATCATGTGGTATAGAAATGTGGGATAAAAATGTGGTAAGTGTAGCATTACTCATAAAATAAAGCAAAGAACTTCAGTTAGTACAGGTGGCAGTTATCTGGATGGATAGATGATCCATCTCACTACGTGTCAAGGATTTATTTGTCCCCTAATAAGAAAAGTCAAAGAGTTTATCTATCTTCAAACCCTTTAGGATTCCCTGAACTGAACAACCCAAGCAAGCCAATCCCACGTGTGTTTGATCACATTGGATCAGAATTTACCGACGCCGGTGAAGCCTACCACCGCGACCGGATGACCCAGACAAGTAGGACTCTTGTTTCTGTAGATCAAGCGTTCCACAAAAGGGCACGTGTTTTTTTTTCTTTGGTCGAAACAAAGGCCACATCCCCCAAAAAAAAAGAAAAAAATAAAGGCACACCCGAATGCTGAAAAAAAAAGAGGGAAGCAAGACAAGTGAGTCGCCACTTGAGTTCCCCTCCACAAACCCCAAAAAGGGCATGAAACTATGAACATTATCCAATCCAATTTCTCCTCTTCTATCACAAAACTAAGCCTCACCTTCTTAATACCCTCTATCAGAAAAACACCAAGAAACCATGGTCATTAGCCTCTCTTCTTCTTTGTCTTTCATCAACTTAACCAATTCCAAGTCACCCATCTCTGAGTTTCCATCAAAACCCAAAACCCACCTCCCAAAATCTCTGTCTTCCACCGTATGCTGTTCGTTTTCTTCATCAGACCTTGGTTTTCAATGCAAGGAACCGTTTTTCTTTCAAAAGGGTAGGTACCCACATGGAAGAAGGTTCGAGTTCACGTCTTGTGCAATTCCCGGGTTTGATTATGGCAACTTTGAGAGTGCCCAGTCTGTGTTGGAGGCAGCTGCTGTGTTAACGGCCATAATTGTTGTTCATGAGAGTGGTCACTTCCTTGCTGCTTATCTTCAAGGCATCCATGTGAGTAAATTTGCTGTTGGTTTTGGTCCAATTTTAGTTAAATTCAATGCAAACAATGTAGAGTATTCTCTTAGAGCTTTTCCTCTAGGTGGATTTGTGGGATTTCCCGATAATGATCCAGACAGTGATATTCCAGTTGATGATAAAAATTTGCTTAAGAATAGGCCAATATTGGATAGAGCTATAGTGGTTTCAGCTGGTGTAGTTGCCAATATCATTTTTGCATACCTTATAATCTTTACTCAAGTCTTGTCAGTTGGTTTGCCTGTACAAGAGGCCTATCCAGGGGTGCTTGTGCCCGAGGTTCGACCCTTCTCAGCAGCTTCCCGAGACGGGTTGCTTCCGGGAGATGTGATCCTTGAGGTTAATGGAATTGAATTGCCAAAAGGAGGGCCTAATGGTGTTTCAGAGATTGTTGATGTAATTAAGCAGAATGCCAAAAGAAATGTGGTTCTTAAGGTTGAGAGGGGACAACAGGACTTTGAAATTGGGATCATCCCTGATGAGAATTATGATGGAACAGGCAAAATTGGAGTACAATTGTCACCAAATGTCAGGTTCACAAAAGTAAAACCCAAAAGTATTCCGGATGCTTTTAATTATACTGGGAGAGAGTTTTGGGGCTTGTCATCTAATGTTTTGGATAGCTTAAAACAGACTTTTCTCAACTTCTCTCAGACAGCTGGTAAAGTTGCAGGTCCAGTTGCCATTATTGCTGTTGGTGCAGAAGTTGCAAGGTCGAATGTCGATGGACTCTATCAGTTTGCAGCCTTGCTTAATCTTAACCTTGCAATAATTAACCTTCTCCCTCTACCTGCTTTAGATGGAGGTACCTTGGCTTTCATCCTCATAGAGGCTGCTAGGGGTGGGAGAAAGCTTCCTCTAGAAGTGGAGCAGGGGATTATGTCATCAGGGATAACGGTTGTTATTTTTGTAGGATTGTTCCTTATTGTTCGGGACACACTTAATCTTGATTTTATCAAGGACATGTTGTAAGCGTTTACAAAATCTCAGAAATTTGAATGCAACTTGGGGTTTTGGGAAAGCCCTGTGAAGCTGGCGTTGGATCATCTCATGTCTTAGAGGGGAAACAAAACAAGAAATTTGGGGACGCTTGACATATATGGTTTGCTTCGATCCACGACAATACGTTGGAGGTACTTTTGGTGCCTTCCTTTTTCAAGTTGTTTCACAAAATGTGGTTCTTTATTGTCTTCTGTAAATCATAATTTTTTATTAATCCTGTTGGCAACATTGACATATGAAAGTCCATGAATATAACTGTTATACTCAAATCCTGTGGTAAATTTTTGGTAATTGAGCTTGTGCTGTATCAGCAAATTTATGTGTTATACAGAGGAGTTATCACTGATGTGTTTGAATGCTGTAATTCAGTAGAAAAAGTGTTCTGAGTTTTAGGAAATTGCTCTTTGTGTATGAAATGAAATACACTGAAGCAAATCAGTCCAGATCATGAATGATTCTCCATTCTTTTGCGAGGGCTAGGGCTACTGTCCTGTGCTGTGAATTGAAACTAGAGATTATGGATGAAATCCAAACATTAGTTTAATGTTTAGGTCCATTGAAGGTTTATGTGATTAAGGTTTGATGGATTCGAGACCTTTATGGAGACTTAGCTTTTCAAATGTTTCTAGGAAGGAAGGAGAGTCATAGAATTCTTTTAAAAGTGACTTGCAACTGTAATTCACAGTACAATGGACATGGCTTGAGGCTGGGATCTGTGGATGGAGGTTTCTCCTCTTTTGGAGAAATCAATATAGTAAATTTTTCTGTTTTCAACACAGTGATTAGAAAGAAATGCGAAATGTCCTGGTATTTAGATTTTGTACAGACCAATAGTTGTATTTTCAGAAACGACTTTATCTGAGTGTTAGCTCTATAAGCACCGACTTTAAAAATACATTTTTCCTCATTGAAATGCAAAAGGCACCAATTTGGAGATCCTACTGTATTCTGGTACCATGTTGGCATTTGGATCTTGAAGTTAGTGTTGCAAAATTGGTGAAGCTTGATATGCTGTAAGTCATAATGCAGAATGCATGAGACTCTAGATGTGTGAAAATATCTTTGCTTTCGCCTATGTTTTTCGGTTTTGGTTTTGGTTTTCGGAAGTCAGAAGTTCGGTCCTAACCTTTTATCTTAGGTCATGTGTTAAGTCCTCTGGATGAAACAAACAGCAGGGAAGTTCATTAAGTTCTCAGATCCCTATTGGCCTACAGTGCATGACATTGATGTGGTGATGTCCTTATTTATGTATGATTGGGTTATGGTAATGGTAAAAAAAAAAAAAAAAAAAAAAAGACTAAAACCAAGCCTTCTTAGTTCTTATGCTCTGAGAGAGACCAATATACCTTTTTTTTCTCCTTTTTTGCTGCCAAAGTTAGGAAGGGGAAGGGGAACTCACATACACAGAAGTACGATGGGAGCTTGAACTTATGATCATTTGGGAGCACAATAAAGCCCTAAGTCAATCCAACTAACACCCTATCGGTCCACATATACTGTTTTCTCAATCCTATCTCAAATCACATCTCTTCTTCAAAATCGATCTTAACCAATTCCCCCCCCCACCACAAAAAAAAAAAAAAAAAAAAAAAAAAAAAAAAAAAAAACCAATTCAAAACGAAAAGTACAATAGTCTTTCTTCATGCTTAATATTGCAAACTAGTAAATGTAGTAAAGTGAATTTTATGTTTAACAATAAGTACCGATATAAATCTAGTTAAATATTGATTGAATTCAATTCTTTAGTCAAATGATGAGTTTGATGAGATGAGTAAAGTGATGGTTGAAATTCTCAGCTCAAATCCGGGTAACCAAAACAAGAAAATCGATGGGATATATATTTTTTATTTAGAAATTCTCCGCACAAGTTTTGTTATAATTAAGAGGACGAACTGCAATAGTTTAAACAAAGGATATTATTGCAGAAATTCTATTAAATATTCACTTGCATTATTTTATAATTTTAACCGAAAGCATCCATAATGGACTCTCTAAAACACCTCTTTAGATAAAATTTAGGGAGGAAGTGAGAAAACCCACATCCAACCATGCTCTCTATCCAGCTCTTAAAATAGAGAGACCGCTAGGAGCTCCTAAATCCGATGAGAGATAATGGACTCTTAGTGGCACCCTATAATTTAATGATACCTTAATGCTTACCTATTTTTTCTAGAGTGCTCCAAAAATAGCTTTTGTACATTTTTAGCTAAATTTTAACTAAAAAATAGAGAGGATGATTGTAGATGCTCAAATTTCAGCTGCACTTATACAACTCGCAACTCATTCAAACTTCTATGTGTAGCAATGTTATTAATGTTATGTATGAGCAAGTCATTTAAATAAATCTAGTAAAACTAAAATAATTACGGTCAATATATGAATCTGGATTTGAGAGGAAATACATTTATTGAATAGCAAGAAGCCAAAATCATCTGTACCAATGTGAACATCAACGAAAGAATAAAAGTTTCATACTTGAGAAGTCGATAACCACAACTAAACATAAGTATAGCTAGGTTTATATTTCCTAAATCTTTAATTTAGGGCGAAATTCGAAGAATTATATGATTGTGGTTGACCTAATTGAGCAATTAAGCTACTCAGCTTTGTATGGAAGAAGAATTACGGAGAGGACTGAGAAACGTCTAGAAACATGAAGTTCAACTATCATGGATACAGTCAAAATGCATATACAATTTAAAGGAAAGGCATTAATTATTGATAGATATAAGTTAAAAATGCATATCCTTTTATTGATGAAATGAGTTAGGAGGGAAAATTTAAGTTAAGTGTGTGCTAATCTCTTCCAATGTAATAAATAAATTTCATTATTAAGCCTAAGCAATCAGTGGCATATCACTCTCTTGAGAAATGATGTGAGTCAAATAAACTTGGCTAGTAGATTTGATGAATAAAACTATTTGTATCATATTTACAAACACTTAAGAATAAAAAAACTTCATCAAGAGCACATTACTTCTCCTGCTTACTGTTTGTGAAATTATGTTCTTTTACAATTTTTTTTTTTAAAAGAAGAAGTGAAAATAGTTGTAAAAGAATTTTGAACTGAAAATGAGTGATATCTTTATTTTCAATTTATTTTAAAAAACTTTAAATTTTTAAAGAGAATTTCTCGGGGAATGAACCGAGAACCTCGAGGCAGACGCTTTGCCATAATAAGTAAGAAGAGAATCATTTTCCATAATAATGTACGACAAATAATAATAATTTGACGGGTCCACAACTGACGCCGTCCTGGTAATAATTTTCAAAGTTGATTGGATAAGAATGCTCAGAAAGTCATCCGGCTATCCATTCCTCGTGTCGTTTTAACCTTAAAAGGTGAGAAATTCCTTCGTTATCAATTCTCGATGGACTCCACATAAATTCCATACCTTCGAGAGATTTGCGGTCAGTAACGTGGTCCGTCAATACTCAATATGGTCCAAATATGTTTATAGTATATAACACAATGTCAATTGTTTTTCTTAAAATGTACCTTTGAAGATTGACCTAGGAAGAAAAACAAGAGAAATAATGAATTCATACAATGAATTGAACTTGCAAAAATTGATAAAAAGAAAGTGAGGGAATGTCTAAAATGGTGTTCTAGAAGTGAAAGAGAGGAAGAGTGTGGTGTAATAGCAATGAAGGGTGGACATAGAAAACGCGTCCATGGACGTACCACTTAGCATGCAACCCGGACCGAAATGGAAGCTCGCACCTCTAAATAAATCCCCCCCTCCTCAATCCACCCCCCCTCTCACTCTCTCCCCAAAGCCCCCAAACTTTAGAGACCCTCTCTCTCTCTCTCTCTCTGAAATCCCTTGTCTAAAACAAAAACAAAGCTAGAATAGAGACAAGGTCTAGAGCTGGTTTCTTGTATCTGTCTCTTTTTTTCTCTCTCTCTCTAATTCTCTCCTCTCTTTCTTGCATTTCTCTCTTACACCTTGGGAGAGGAGAGAGAAACTCTTCCAAACCTCCATATCTCCCTCTCTCTCTCCCTCTCTTTGATCCAATTTCTCAAAGCACAAACCAAACACCCCATCGAACAAAGAAAACGCGTTAACAAAACACAAACTCGACAAAGAATTCAGACAAGAAACATAGGTGGTAGCTACATATCTATATATATATATTTATATAGGTAGGTAGGTAGCAATAGCTATATAGGCCTAAAATCATCATGATGCTCAACAGCAGCGGAGTGGACGGAGTTCATGAGGCGGAGGCGGCAGCTCAGAGAGGCGGGTCCCACCACAACCACCACCAGCAGCATCAGCAGCGGGGCCTGAAGAAGGGCCCGTGGACGGCGGCGGAGGACGGGATCTTGATGGAGTACGTGAAGAAGCACGGCGAGGGGAACTGGAACGCGGTGCAGAAGAATTCAGGTCTGGCAAGGTGCGGCAAGAGCTGCAGGCTCAGGTGGGCCAACCATTTGAGGCCTAATCTCAAGAAAGGCTCGCTTTCCCCCCGACGAAGAGCGCCTCATCATCGAACTTCACGCTAAATTCGGCAACAAGTGGGCTCGCATGGCTTCTCAGGTGAATTTTGGTTCCATTCTCTTTGGTTTTTTTTTTTTTTTTTTATCTATTCTTTGTGTTTTTTTCCTTCTTCTTTTTCCTTGTCCCTTGGACTATACCTTTTTATGTGATTTTTCTCTGCCATTTTGATTCTGATTGTGACCGCAGTTGCTTTCATTTCCTCTTTCTTGGTCTTCTTGGACTATCTGTCTCGATCAATTTACATGGTTTTCATTATTTTTTACATACTCATATGATTATGAAATTGCAAAAATCTTTTCTTCTTTTTTTCCGTCAATAAATTTGTAAAAAGTTTTGCTTGCTCATACCTTTTTTTCAATTTTCTTTCGATTAATAAAGAATCCCATTGTTCTTATTTTATCTGACGCTGATCTCATTTTCTGACCAGATTCCCCAACCCCCCCTTCCCTTAATTTTCGTTTGGACCTACCTATTTAATTATGCTATTTTTCTTTTTCTCTTTTATTTTATTTATTTGACCTTCTCTTCTTTCTTTTGTTGATACTCATGTATGTCTGTTTCATTTTTTTCTTTCTTTTGGATGATTTTGATCATCAGTTACCCGGAAGGACTGACAATGAAATAAAGAACTACTGGAACACCAGAATAAAGCGACGCCAGAGGGCCGGTTTACCAGTTTACCCTCACGACCTCCAGCCAGAAGCAGCAGCTGCTGCTTTCCACCACCACCAAATGAGACACTCTTCTCCTTCCTCCTCCTCTGCTTCTTCATTCTCATCCCTCCTCTCCAACTCCCAGCCTCGAAAGCCCAGCACTTATAGCCCCGCCCAGCTTTCTCTTTATGACCACATCACCACCTTCTCCTCCTCCTCAGATCATCACAACAACCACACCAACAATTACCACCGCAATGCTGCTTCTCTCTTTTCCAACCCCATCACCCAATTCAATGGCAATGGCGGTGGCTTCGCTATGCCTTTTGGGTCCTCATCTTCTTCAGCTCTCTTCAACCAGAGCCATAACATCCCAAACCCAAACCCTTTTGGGTCGTCATCTACTACGCCTCCACCGCTTCACCATCAGTACAATTCTCATGGAGGGTTTGGTGGCTACAACAATCTTAGCCTCAGCTCGATTATCATGGGGCCTCCTTCTTATGACTCAACTGCGGGTTTGGTTGCGGGGTCCAATGCAGAGCTCCCTTCGAACCAAACACCGCCAAGTATTCATGGCGACGAGGCTCCAATGGGGGCTTCTGGCAATACCAATGAAGATGATCGCTATGAAATTGCACCTGTGCCATCTCAAGGCAATAGTGGTCTCTTGGATGATGTGTTGGCCGAGGCTCATAACATTTCGAATAAGAGGTTGAAGAGTGAGGACAGTTCTGGGGTGTCTGGAAAAGAGAAAGGTGTGGTGGTGGTGGAGGAAGAGTCTAATGAGGAGGAGGAGGATGACACAGTGCAGGTCGAATCAACTTTGAAGAATAGCGGTGATAATAGTGCTGAAAACCAGAGGGATGATAGCTCGTCCCCGTCATCAATTGGTAAGATATTTCAAGCTCTTGCATTCCTCTTGTGTTTTACTTTAATTAATTCATGCAAGAGTCAATTTCATAAATAGTTTAAATTAACGATCGACAACACAAGTATTTTATATTGCGGGACAATCTGACAGGAGAGCGTTACACGCATGTTAATATCTGACTTATAAGTGAGCTCATTTAGTGAATGTTGAAGCTCCATCTACAATTTCGATGTCATTTGGTAGAAATATTACTATATATAACTTGGGATTTTGATGATCCACAGACATGAAACAAAGTGAGGATCCACTAGATGAGATGGACGATGACTTGCTGAGCTTGCTCAACTTCTCCTCTACAGTGCCAGCAGTATCTGAGACGTCGTGGTACCTGGCTGAATGCATGTTCAACAGCGGATCATCAGCAAGTGAGAATGTGGGTCTAGACACTCAGCAAAATGCCCCGTTGACATTGACGTCGGTGAAGACCACGGCAGCAGCACCCGAAGTCCAGCGCACCTTAGGAGCCTGCTACTGGAACAACATGCCTGGCATATGTTAAGCGTTGAAGCTCCCAGCTGGGAGAACATTTGCTTAAAACAGACTAGGGATAGTGAGTGTCCATATGAGTACTGATGAAGACTAGAGCTTAGTGTGCATATGGTTAACTAATGCTAGAGAGTTTTACTAGCTAGTGGATGTGGATCATGTGGGTTTTATCTTTTTAGTTAGCTAGAGGTTTCATTAGGGCTAGCTTTTCTAGCAGAAAGGAAGACTGAAAAGTCTTAGGGTTAATGAACCTTCTCTTCTATTTTAGTTCAGTGTTTATGTTGAAGTCGAGTAAGCCCAAAAACTCCCAAAAAAAACTTGTTTTATGTCATGCATGTGTTGTATATATCATCAATGTAGAACTCAGTTTTATTTTCATGGATTCTTGTTATCTTAATTTTTATATTTATGTGTTAGTTTTCCTTTCTTAATTAATAAATATCTATGGGTTGAAGTAATTTGTGAATACAAAACTTAGGGCTCGTTTGGAAGTGATTATGGATACACCAATAATCACTTCTATGGAGAATCACTTAAAAGAAGCATGTGGGAGATGTTTATCTCCAAAAGTAATTTTTGCCTATTTAGAATCATTCCCAAACGAGCCATAAGAACACTTGCACCTTTTTTGGTTACTTTGAAATGAGGTCACACCCATTTTCTCAATGGATAAGTTGTAACTTGTATCCCAACTTGTACACAGAAAAAGAAACTTTTTGAGTTTGGCCAAATAGTATATCGTCACCAAAAGGTTTTGCGGCCCTTGGCATATATAAGAAATATGACAATCACGTTTTCATGACGAATTTTCATTCATTTGTGACAATTCCCTGTTCACACAAAAATCTAATTTTCCCAGTAGTTTTCTTGCACACACCATGCCAAAATTTAAGGGCAGATTTAATAAGTATAATAAATCCAAGTGACAAGTGCACCACTTTATCACGAAACTCGCCAAAAATATAGCACTGAAAATTAGCTAAATATAGAGTTGTGCTTTGCAGCCTTGGGGAGAGCTTGGCAGGGAGGCCGTGGTGACAATGTGTCATCCTTGATCTCAACTTGTTTTTCGTTGTTGCCAAAGTTAAGAAGGGGCAGAGGAATTTTGTCACACATATTGTCACGGTGTCATGAGAAATTAATCTGCAAATTGACCAACTTGGATTGGCCTATTGTTATTTGTGTGAAACGTCTTTAATAATTTTAGTGCAAAAAGAAAACAAAGGGAAAAAAGAAGGGCTCACGCATACCTCTTTCCCTATTCATCGCCCAATTCCCTCACAAATGTTTGTAATAAATGCGAGGAAACATAGGAGTTGCTGGTTTTGATTATGGAGTGACAATGCACGCAAACATTTTTCTCGTTCTATCCAAATTTCTTTTTCTTGCTTCATGATGAATATATATATCTGCAGAATTTGTACTAAAATTCTAGAAAACATTTTTCCGTCTGCAAGACCAGTCGGTGAGTACTGAGGGGAGGAAAAGTGGTCAGTGGGTCTCTTTAAATCAGCCAGTTTTTAAAATGAGAAATTTGCCAAATGGTAAACAATGTTTTACCAATACATCTGGTGTCGGTTACACATTGTAATTAATTAAATTGACTATTTTCAGTTTTTTGGTTCGAAATCTTGTCCTTGCTCACTTGAGTTGCAAAAAGGACAAACACATACTTCACCACTGGGCAGGCTCGGTGTTCCAAGTACCAAGATATATATATATATATATATATATATGCGTCCGTTTCATAGTTGACTCTTTTTTTCTTCATTTTCCTATTCATTTAGTGGAGGGTTGAGTTATAGCTTATAGTGATTGAAATAAGTACTCTATCACTAAAGTTTTAGTCGTGACTCATTCAACTCATTAATTTAAACACGACAACATCGTAATTAAGATAGAGAGGTTCTGCGGGGGGATTGAGGGGTGGGTTGAAGGTTTGTGGTTTGGGAGGGGAAAGGAGGGAATGGAAGGTAAGGCGTGAATTAATGTACACAACATTGGCACATTTGTGATAGGTGCCGATGGATTTTTGGGGACATAGAAATTGCATGAGCAAAAGATTGGTGGCATTGATACTTGTCCTTGTGGCTCATGTACAAAGGTAAGGCATTTTCCACACGACCCCGTTTCTAGCCATTGAATCCTCCCCCTACAAACCTTGTGTGCCTAATTTCTTAAAATAATCTCTACTTCTCCTATGCATGAATCTATGATGCATCTTACAAGTCTGGCTTCTTTTATCTGCTCTCATAGATTAATTAATTACTCCTAAACCTATATATTATTATCACTTAACTTGGATTACTACTTTTCCAATGTTGCAGCTGGTGAATAGAGATCCTCTAAACTCTCCAAGAATTTATCAATTCCATGGAAGATTTTGAGCTTAGAACCAATCTTGCCTTGCTTTAGGTGGCCCTCCATATCCTTTGCAAAATTAATCCCCAAAACGATCCATGTATGAGCCCAGCATGAACCCTTGCATATGCACCTCCTTGCCGACTAAATTCAGCAGATTCCTCAACCCCTCTCTCTCAGTCCAAACCTGCACAAATTTGATGACCTTCGCAATTGAGAAAACAGACAGACATAGGCACATGCATACATTATGCATATATAAAATATTCGGTAACATATGTTTTTTTATGCATGTCAACTTCCGTCATGCTTACACAATCATCATTAATTTATTATGAATAAATGACACCATTTACCTTATTGTACTCAACTCAGATATCATGCCACAAAGAGGGATCTTTGCATGCTTGTTGACAAGGTTGAGAACAGCCTCAAGCATTCTACCGCCAACATTGTCAAGGTATACATCAATTCCATTTGGGAAATACCTGTAAATTGTAAAGGAAAAAACTTTTGAGTCTTCATATATACCTAGATATGATTCTCAAAATCATACAGTAATTACTTGCTCAAAGCAGCATCAAAATCTTTCTCTTTGTGATAGTTGAATGTATCATCATATTCAAATTCCTCCTTCATAAGCCTTACCTAAGAACCATAAATTATCAACAATTGAAACAGAATGTTAATCTGTAAGAGTTAAACAAGTATATATATATATATATATATATATATATATTGCAAGTTAAGGAGGATTACATGATTGCAATTGAATGCATCATTCTATCCAATATCTAAAGGAATTTGTGATTAAATATTCAGCTTTCTAATTGAAAAACAATATAGGAGTGTAAATGTTTAAAGTAACTCCAAACTTAAACGTTTGCATACATATGAAAACATAGTGACTCCAAAAGTGAATCCTAATAGAAATATTTTCAATGAAAACAATACATGATCAAAATGTTGTCGCAACCTCAACCGGTAATTTGTCGCAACCTCAACCGATATTTTGTCGTTCGCATAATTTTTCACGGCGGTATTGAATTATGCAGCCAAGCTTTTCTAGATTCTAATTCATACTTGGCCGAAGCGCCGATTCCAAACTTTGCATCACCTTCATATTTATTGGTTTATCACGTTGATTACCAAAAAAGCATACATTTCATTATTTTTTGTACCAAGATAATAAGTAATTTAATTGGTCATTCTCAAAAGCAAACACAATTTGTTCGTCAATGCATCTTCTCAAGCAATTTGATAGGAAACCAAGATGCCCATAGATAGTTATGTTTGGCCCATGAACTGACAAGTGAGCCCAAACAGGAGGCCCATAACATAGTAGCTTGGTTGTGGACGATCAAACACTTTGGTACATGTGATGAGTTGGATTTATAAGTACTTAGGACCCGTTCGGTATCATTTTCAAGGGCCATTTTCTGTTTTTGTTTTCTGTTTTCACGTGAAAACGTGTTCGGTGGGTTATTTTGAGAAACAAGCTGAAATTGTTTTCTGAGAATGCAAATGAAAGTATGAATAAATGTTGAAAACGCTAGAAAGTCGTTTTCGTTTTCGGCGTTTTTGTTGTCAGTCTCTCTGAATCAAAGCCAACTCTCATTCGTCACTTGAGCAAACAATCCAATCAAATTATATCCAAAACAATCAAATCTCCTCCTTCCAACCATAATCAGCCCCAAAATTTCAAGAAAAAAAAAACTCATAATCACACAAATATGCAACAAAGAAAAGAAAGACAGAGAGAAAAAAAAAAAAAAAAAAAAAAAAAGAAGAAGAAGAAGAAAGAATCAGAAAGAGAGAGAGAGAGAGAGAGAGAGAGAGAGTTGCAGAGGGAGAGATGAGAGAAACCAGCCACCACATACCCAGCTTAACCACTATCACCACCCAGTCTAACCACCATAACCATTAATTAGTGGAACCGGAGAGGTGGGTTGATGGGATTCATGTAATGGAAGGAAGGAGGAGTGAAGGTGAAAAAGAGGGAAGGAAGAAGAAAAGAGAAAGTAGAGAAGAAGAAGGAAAGACAAAGGAACGGTCTGGGAAGGAAAGAGGAAGAAAGAAAGAAAAGGAGAACAAGGAGAAAAGAAAAAAGAAAAAAGAAAAAAGGAAGGAGATAAAAGATAGTTTTATCTTTTAAAAAACAATAGAATTTTTCATTTGTTAAATTATACATTTTTAAAAATATTTCTCAAAACAGAAATTAGCAAAAACACCCTTGAAAAATAATTCACATAATATTATTCTCAATTTTTACTACCAGACATATTTTCATTGTTTATAATAATTTTAGCCTCTAAAAATATCAGAATTTAAAAATAAAAAAAAAGAACTGAAATTAGCAAAAATACACATGAAAAACAATTGTACTACCAAACACGTTTTCATTGTTTTTGTTTTCTAAAAGTGTTTTCTAATTATCTACCAGACGCATTTTCATTTCCTGAAAATGCAAATTTATTTTCTTGTTTTCATTCTTTGAAAATATTTTCAGAAAACATTCTCCGAAAAAGTTACCAGACGGACCCTTACTTTCTCATATGAGCCGGTGCTCCCTATCACCCTGCAGCCTTTTAGCTTGGCCAACTGCCCCGCATACATGCCAACGCCCCCAGCTGCAGCTGAAATGAACACATTGGACCCTGGTTTTGGGTCTGCTATCACCTCAATTCCCATCCATGCTGCAAACCCAGGTACCCCAACATTATACATATATAATCATGTCAGAGTTGAATTTAAGTAAAATAACAAATAAGCTCGTTTGGTGCTTAGAATTGGCTTGTATTTGATCATATTTAAGGTATATTGAAAGAAGAAATGAAGAAATGCTGTCTAAGTTGAAGGTAACCGTAAGATGGATTACTAATATTCAAGAAAACTTATCCCATGCAATTCCCACAAAATGATAAGATATCAAATTACTATTGAGATTAAATGGTTATTGCTTTTTCATGATATTACAGGTTATTGTAGCATTTGGGATTGGAAGGGTAATTAAGTCGAACAATACCAACTACAGCGAAGGTGACATAGTGATCAGCCCTGTCACACCTTTGGCGGAATATTGTGCGGTATCATCTCAATCTATAGCAAGAAAGATTGATCCAGATTCTGGGATTTCAATGCCTGAATATATTAGCTTGCTAGGTAAATTTCTCTATACTCCAAATTCTAGCTCGTTTGGTGTTTAGAATTGGATTAGATTGGATAATTTACTAAATTTAAGATATGTTGAAGGAGGAAATAAAGGTATATGTGAAGTATTTTTCACTTTTTGGATCCTACCATTTTATGGGAATTGCATGGGATAAGTTTTCTTGAATATTAGTAATCCATCTTAAGGTTACCTTCAACTTGGACAACATTTCTTCATTTCTTCTTTCAATGTACCTTAAATATGATCAAATCCAAGCCAATTATAAGCACCAAACGAGCTTATATGTTATTTTACTTAAAATCAACTATGACATGATTTTATATGTATAATGTAGGGGAACCTGGGTTTGCAGCATGGGTAGGAATTGAGGTGCTAGCAGACCCAAAAGCAGGGTCCAATGTGTTCATTTCAGCCGCAGCTGGGGGCATTGGCATGTATGCCGGGCAGTTGGCCAAGCTAAAAGGCTGCAGGGTGGTAGGGAGCATCAGATAATATGAGAAAGTAAGTACGGGAGATGCTATAGTGAGGAGTTTAAAGTGAGGAGGCTATTTGATGAGGTCAATCCCACTATCAAAACATTTAAAATGTTTAAAAATGTTTAAGTCCCATGATTTCTTTACATTTGTTGATGGTGAGATTGACCTCCTCAAATAACCTCCTCACTTTAAACTCCTTATTATAGCCTCCTCGAAGAAAGTACCGAAGTGTTTGATCGTCCATAACCAAGCTACTATGTTATGGGCCTCCAGTTTGGGCTCACTTGTCAGTTCATGGGCCAAACATAACTATCTATAGGCATCTTGGTTTCTTATCAAATTGCTTGAGATGCATTGACGAACAAATTGTGTTTGCTTTTGTGAATGACCAATTAAATTACTTATTCATGCATTTTTGGTAATCAACGTGACAAACCAATAAATATGAAGGTGATGCAAAGTTTGGAATCGGCGCTTCGGCCAAGTATGAATTAGAAAATCTAGAAAAGCTTAGCTGCATAATTCAATACCGCCGGATGTGACAAATAATGCGAACGACAAAATATTGGTTGAGGTTGCGACAACATTTTGATCATGTATTGTTTTCATTGAAAATATTTCTATTATGATTCACTTTGGAGTTACTATGTTTTCGTCTATTGTTTTCTATTATGCAAACGTTTAAGTTTGGAGTTACTTTAAACATTTGCACTCCTGTATTGTTTTTCAATTAGAAAGAGCTTAATTTAATCACAAATTCCTTTAGATATTGGATAGAATGATGCATTCAATTACAATCATGTAAACCCCCTTAACTTGCAATATATATATATATATATATATATCTCTACTTGTTTAACTCTTACAGATTAACATTTTGTTTCAATTGTTGATAATTTATGGTTCTTAGGTAAGGCTCATAAAGGAGGAATTTGGATATGATGATGCATTCAACTATCACAAAGAGAAAGATTTTGATGCTGCTTTGAGCAAGTAATTACTGTATGATTTTGAGAATCATATCCGGGTATATATGAAGACTCAAAAGTTTTTTCCTTACAATTTACAGGTATTTCCCAAATGGAATTGATGTATACCTTGACAATGTTGGCGGTAGAATGCTTGAGGCTGTTCTCAACCATGTCAACAAGCATGCAAAGATCCCTCTTTGTGGCATGATATCTGAGTACAATAAGGTAAATGGTGTCATTTATTCATAATAAATTAATGATGATTGTGTAAGCATGATGGAAGTTGACATGCATAAAAAAACATATGTTACTGAATATTTTATATATGCATAATGCATGCATGATGCATGTGCCTATGTTTGTCCGTTTTCTCAATTGCGACGGTCATCAAATTTGTGCAGGTTTGGAGAGAGGGGGGGGGGGGGGGGGGGTGTGGTTGAGGAATTTGCTGAATTTAGTCAGCAAGGAGGTGCATATGCAAGGGTTCATGCTGGGCTCATACATGGATCGTTTTGGGGATTTTGCAAAGGAGATGGAGGGTCACCTAAAGCAAGGCAAGATTGGTTCTAAGCTCAAAATCTTCCATGGAATTGATAAATTCTTGGAGAGTTTAGAAGTAATTAATTAATCTATGAGAGCAGATTAATTAATTATGGGAATTGGTTCAACTGCCTCAAGGATGTTGACCTATAGGGTGCAAATGGATTTACAAAACTAAAAGGGATTCCAAGGGTCTCATTGACAGATACAATGCTAGGTTGGTTGCAAAAGGATTCACACATCAGGCAAAAGTTGATTACAATGAGACATTTTCTCCAGTCTCTACAAAGGACTCTTTTAGAGTCATGATGGCTTTGGTAGCTCATTTCAATCTCTACCTCTATCAAATGGATGTAAAGACTACGTTCTTGAATGGAGACCTCTATGAAGAGATCTACATGTAGCAACCTGAGGGTTTCATTCAAGAACAGAGAGAAGATCAGGTTTGCAAATTAAGGAAATCCATTTATGGATTGAAACAAGGTTCTAGACAATGGTATTTGAAATTTGATGAAGTGGTGAGGTCTCATGGTTTCAGTGAAAGCCCTGTGGATGAATGTATATATATTAAAGCCAGTGGGAGAAATTTTATTTTTCTCATACTTTGTGGATGACATTCTCTTGGCAAGCAAAAATTTGACTTTACTACATGATACCAAAGTTTTTGATATGAAAAACCTTGGAGAAGCCTCTTATGTACTTGGTATTGAAATCAGCCGTGACAGGGAGAGAGGATTGCTTGGATTATCCCAAAAAGGTTACATAGAGAAGGTGTTGAGAAGATTTAATATGGAGAATTGCGCAGGAAGAGATGTACCCTTCTCAAAAGAAGACAAACTGAGTATGGAACAATCACCTAAAACTGAACAAGAAAAATTAGAAACGGAATTGACAAGCCCTATGCCTCACTTGTAAGAAGTTTGATGTATGCTCAAGTCTATACTAGACCAAACTTAGCTTTTGCAGTAAGTGTTTTGGGGAGATTTCAGTCCAATCCATGCCAAGCACATTGGGTGGCTGCAAAGAAAGTTTTAAGATATTTACAGAGAACCAAAAGTTACAATTTGGTTTATAGGCAAGAATCTGGAGTTAGTTGGTTATGCAGATGCAGATTTGGGAGGATGTGTGGATTCTTTGAAGTCCACTTCTGCTAATGTATTCATTTTTTGAGGAGGAGCTGTCTCGTGGAAGAGTGTGAAGCAAACACACACTACAACTATGTAGTATGAATACATTGCATGTTATGAAGCTGCAAGTCAGCTATTTGGCTCAAGAATCTTATCACAAGTTTGAGGGTTGTTGACTCAATTGAAAGACCAGTTCAGATTTGGAATAATAATAGTGCTGCAGTGTTCTTCACCAAAAGCTACAAAAGATCATCATGCACTAGACCTTTGAAGTTTAAATATCTATCAATTAGAGAAAATGTTAGGGATGGTCTTGTGAAGCTCGATCATATTGGTACACATTCCATGATTGTTGATCCATTAACTAAGGGTCTGCCAAATGTTGTGTTTCATGGACATGTTAGAAGCATGGGATTGGTGTCCAGTTTTGGTAGGGAGGACTAGTGGGAGTCTGTTTTAGAATCTAGTCTTCATTTGGTAGCTTACATTTCTATTATTTAAAAACCTTGTTTGAGTTCCAGTTAAAGTGTAGTTTTCTTATTATTTGATTATGTGTTTAATTTTGTTTAAACAAGTGATTTCAGTTGGTATCAAGTGTAGACAAGCTAGCCTCAATAACTACACTAGATATTACTCATGAAAGAGTTATTTTGGAAAGGGAGATCTTGTAATCTCAATTAGAAGTGAACATACATATGGTGACATGTAAAGCATTTTTTTTTCTTTTTTTTTTTTTTTTTTTTTTTTTTTTTATAAAGAAAAGTCATGTTCATCTTGTGTTCTAATCTTGACGGAAGCTTTATGTGGCTATGCAGATAGGTATATGTGATTATAAAGGTCCTGGATGTTTTATATTCAAGGCACCTTAATGATCTGATGCTTGTTTTCATAGTTGACCAAGAGCTTGTTTAGGAATACAATTTAATTGATTTCCATGGCCATAAAGTAGTCGAAACATGGTTTTGTTTATTATTGACTAAGTGAGAGAATGTAAGATTTTTATTTCTTAAATCTCACTCAAGTGGTCTGCTAATCAACATAGAGTTCCAAACCGATGTGGAGACTAGGAATTTGATTATAACTGGACTTGTAAGTCTTGGAGAGAAGTGTTTCAGTTTGAGTCCAAGATTGCTAAGGTTCCTAATTCATAGTGGATTAGAACTCCTAATTCTAATGCAATAAGGAGAGGTTGAGGACTCCTTGATGGGCAAGGAGTTCCGACTAATGCATATAAATACATAGTCCATGCTCATATCGAATCACCCATACTCTAGAGAGCTCATACCCTATCTGTGAGAGAGTATACAAAAATCGATATTGAGGAGAAGTGTTGTGTGTCAAGTTGCTCTTTCGATCATTCCAATGGCTATAGAACAATGTAGTGTTCTCTTATATGCAATCTATTTGGTTTACAGAAACTTGATTTGAGCACTAGAAGATGCAAATCGGGCAGAACATGTTTTACCAAGACATTGTTGGGCAAGAAGAATTGAGCATTGGATTCCACATTTATCCAAATGATGCCAATTTTGGATATGTTGTAGTAGACATCCTAATGAACAAGTTTCATGATGGATGAAACTTTATTTGAGGATTGGAAGATGCAAATCGGGCTCACTCCATTTGACTGCAGCAAAACATACTTAGCCATTTTTTGGCCATTTTTATGTTCATAAGACATTATCTTCCATTTTAGGCAAAAATGTCATTTTTGGTACAAACAACTTCCCTACCAATGTTTCATTGCTCCATTCTTTCTATCTCTCTCCTCATTTGAAGTGACATCAGGAGAGAGATAGGAAGAAAAGAGACAATGTAACAGGTTATCGTCTTTGAGACGTGTTGACGCAGAAAAATGGTTTGGCACTTTCCCGCGCAACTTAGTGATGTTGGGCCTTCGGTATGCTATGGGCCTCGGTAGAGCGCGTGATCTGCAAGATAACAAATGCTCGGTAAGACCTAGGGCACCGGTGTGGTACCGGCCGAAGGCTTTTCGATGCTTGAGTAAGTACGGATTTAGTAAAGTTGAACTACAGATCAATAGGCAGTATGCCGTAAGTTCCGATTACCTCCATTTTGGGGAATTATGCTTCTTTTATAGACCTTGGGAGGTATGCAAGTTGCGTAGAATTTCGATGTGGGACTGTAGACATTGATTATGGGCTTGCCACGTGTCCTAGATGAGGAGGTTGCCCTAATCGTTGGATCAGTAGGCTGGGTGCCGAATAAATGTGCCGAAGGCTACCATAGACCCAATCTTGTCCATGCGTCTGATTCTCATTGGCCGCTCATTTTGGTATAAACAAGACGATTAGTAATCATCCCAAACAAACCATCAATTTTGACTGAAGAAGAAGAAAAAATTGTCATTGGTGACCAGAAAATAGAGGAAGACACAGAAGAGAGAAAAAAAAAGAGAAAGACAATATAGACAAAGAGAGAGAAGCGCACCGAGAAGAGAAAGACCAGAAAATCGGAAGCAGATTGAAAGTGTCAAGCCACGAAGGGCTCTGATACCATCTGGACAAGAAGAAGAGTTTGAGATTTAGGGATTTCAAGAGAATAAGGAAGAGAGATGTAAAAAGGAATATAGCTTTGTAATTATGTATTTCTGATTTTCTAAATCGAATAACCAAAAGCTCTGCTTCAGTACAGTACTTATATCTCCCAGTATAACGCTAACAAACTTAACAAATACATCTAACTCTCACTAACAAACTTAACAGAGAGCACGTGAGCTGCACATGATTAACTAATAGTTTCTTAAGTAACTCATAGTTAACACTGCTCACCACCCTTTCTAGCCCAACACCAACCCCAGTCCCAACCCCTTTTTGTCCATCTCTCTCTGTGGCATCGACTCAGCGGCGGAACACCAAAACCCAACCCAGTTCTCTTGCGTCGGCTAACGACGGGGCACCCCTTTCTTTGTCCCCTTTTTCTCCCAGCTCCCCATCCCTATCAGATTGATTTTTTTGTTTGTCTGATCAATATTCATTTTATCAGAGTTCTGAATTATTATTAGTATACATGGTATTGATGTGATGATAAAATGTTATGCTTGAAACTAGAAGTCAATTGACAGATAGCATCCATATATAAAGAGTAAGCTAAATCGGTGCTACTCAATATTCACACTGAAGAAGCTAAGTCCCACTTCATCCTCTTATAGATATCTTGATGTGAAAACATGATAAAGTCTTGCATTAGGGTTTATGAGGTGTGACGGAGAGAGAGAGAAGGACGAAGAGATGGAGGGGGTGTCGTCGGCATGAGCCGAAGCCAGAGAATTGGGTTTTGGTGTTTCGCCGCCGAGCCGACGCTAGAGAGAGAGAAAGAGAGACAGAAGAAGGGTTGGGGCTGGGGTTGGTGTGGGACGAGAGGGGGTGAACAGGGGCACTGGGTTTGTTGGACAGGGGAGAGGTTGGTTTTTTTTAAGTTTCTTTTTAGGGAGATTTTATTAGCACCCCATTATTTGCTTTTGCACCTTATACTAATTTTAAATATAAATAACCTATTTTACCCCTGTACATAATTACAGTTAAGGACAAAAAAATTTAAAATTTAAAATTTAAAATTAAAATTGCTCACTACACCCAACATATGTTCCTACAACCCTAGTTTGACTTTTTTCTCAAACCATGTTGTTCCTACAACTCTAACGAGATTTATACGTTTATATTGGTGAAAAAATATCTTGTATTTATTCATGAAGGGTGAGATTGAAGTTAGAGAGGCTTCGAATGAGGTATGAGTTTATTTTTTATTTAAAAAATTATGTTATTTTATCATTTTATAAAAAATAAAAAAAATTAAGAACATGTTGGTTAGTGGGTGGGTTCCACAATAGACACGTCAGCATTTAATGTCTGATTAAACGGTCAACTTAACGGAAAGTTTAAATTGGTCAAATTTGAAAATTATAAGGTGTAAAATAATGAAATTGAAACTCATGAACTCATATTGAGAATGACCCCTAAACCCTAAACCCCCAAACTTTAAGGGCATGTTTACGTATCAGTAATGGGTATGGGAGGAAAAGGAATGGTTTCCATTCCTGACTTCCCCTGCGTTTACTTGCAATTAGGAATGAAAAAATAAGTAGGCCTCATCTCAAAATCCGTATTCACATTCCCTTAGAACTAGGTATCAGATCAACTAGGGGGGAGTAGTCGATACGATTCCCATTCTTGTTTTCCCGTAATAACTTCTAAAAATACCCTTACCACTTTACCATAATTCTAAAATTAATTTGGATTTTGATTCATGCAAATTAGTAAACAATAACAATGGGAATCAATCTCATTCCTTTGCTAATTCCATATGTTTAGTAAACAGCTTAATGGGAATGATTCTTCCCATACCGATTCAGTAGTTCTCTGATTCCTAAATTCTCTTATTCCTTACTTTCTCCATTACTGATACGTAAACATGATATTAGCCCTTAAAATAATAATGTGGCATGAATTAGTTGGATTAACTATGTTTGGTATTAATTGTGTGTTAATTCGGTAGTGGCTATTATATAAAGCTACCTTTTATCTTAATTTTGTATCAAGTTAGGAACATCATCATTATCTAAAATGATCAAAAGACAAGTAGTTTCTCTCTTACCTATTATTACTCCACATAACCGTGTCCCCCACTAAAAATATTAATCTTGTATATTTTTTTTGTGGTCTGAAAAATATTAATCTTGTGCCCATCACCTTTTAGCTCCATTTCATTTGTACATAAAGGTGACTGTGTACCCCACTAATTGGCAAGTCTCTCAAACATTCATAAGATGAAATATGATATATCAAACATTCAACTCCCACGACTTTGGTGTGTATGGTAAAATACGATATGGAAAAAATGCAAATAAAATTATTGGATAAAATATGTGTATGTACATGCATAACACACATACACTATATATAAAAGGAAGAGGCCGGAAGGCATTTGTAAGACAAACACAACACAGTCCAGTCCAGAGAGAGAGAGATAGAGAGAGATGGCAGTAGTTGAAAGCAGAGAATGGTGCTTGGCCTCTTATGCACCTGAAGGTGTTCCAACTTCGGATCATCTCAAGCTCCGGACTGTCAAGCTCTCACTGGATTCGATCCCCGAACGACATGTTGTTCTTGAGACCCTCTTCATCTCCGTAGAACCATATTTGCGCAGCAGGATCACTGGCCGAGAAGACGGGCTATACGCTCCTCAGTTCAACCTTAATGAGGTTCAGTTCATATCACATATTTTACAAACACATACAAACTTTCAACATTGATGTCAAAATTACATCTCAGGACTATAATCTATATGTGTAGGTACTTTCAACATTTGGAGTCGGAAGGGTAATTCGGTCAAAAGACAGTGACTATGTTGAAGGAGACATAGTGGTCAGCCCCTTCACACCCTTTGCTGAATATGGCGTGGTGCCATCCCACTTGTTAACAAGAAAGGTTGATCCAAACGATGGGATTCCATTGCCTGAATATATCAGTCTGCTAGGCAATTCTCTTTCTTTATCTCTGTTTCCTTTTTCTTTTTTCCTCTTTTTTGAGAAATACTTCCCAACCTACATTGCATTGCTCCGTTCTTTCTATATCTCTCCTCATTTGAAGTGACATCAAGAGAGAGATAGGAAGAAAAGCGACAATGCAACGGGATTAGGTAAGTTTTTCTCTTTTTTTTATCTCCAATTCAAATCCCATTCATTGATTTTACTTAAATTAATTGATTCAGCAAAGACCAAATTAATTATGACGTGATTATATGTAAATTTGTGGTTAACGATGGTGTGTGTGTATTATAGGGGTACCTGGGTTTGCAGCTTGGGTAGGAATTGAGGTGATAGCAGACCCAAAACCAGGGTCGAATGTGTTCATATCAGCTGCAGCTGGGGCTGTTGGAATGTATGCAGGACAGTTGGCCAAGCGTAGGGGATGCAGGGTCATTGGAAGCACCGGATCAGATGAGAAAGTAAGTGTTTAGATTCCCCAGCAAACAAGAAAACATATACTTTATTGATATTTTTCAGTCCTACTATAAATCTTTTCCTGCACCAATCATCAATATTAAGAGGTTTAACTCAACATTAATTTACAGAGTCTTTAACTAATCAAATGATAATGGACCTTTTTTGATCTTCTGACGCTTTATTCGATTTTTTTCCATTTAACTAATCAAATGAAAGAGAAAGGTTGTAAAAAAATCATTGCAGAACTCTCAATTCTTAATTTGGTCACCTAACAATTAAACAGATGACTTGTGATGAATATAAAACAAATAAGAAAATAGAAATTGACACCTCGTGATGAGGTCGCTTCCAAAGAGAGGCATTGTTGGCCTTCCAAAGTCATCACTATTATTTATGAATCCATCAAGCCCATGCACCAAGGATACTTCATAAACCCATTCCATGATGGGGGGATAGGGACTTTGGGTGGGAGGCCAAGGCACAACACCTACAAAGAATCAAATCACACTACAGTTTCTTGGTACAATAATTTGTTGCCCTGATTGTTGATAATTTGTGGGTTCTTCATTAGGTGAGGCTCCTCAAGGAGGAATTTGGATACGATGACGCATTCAACTACCACACACAGACAGATTTTGATGCTGCTTTAAGCAAGTAATTATTGTTTGGCTAATAAATAAGTTAGCATTATATATGAGTTTGAGAAGCTAGCATGCATCATGGAATATTTGTTTGCAAATTATACAGCTACTTTCCCAATGGAATTGATGTGTACCTTGACAATGTTGGCGGTAAAATGCTTGAGGCAGTTCTCAACCATGTCAACAAGAATGCAAAGATCCCTCTTTGTGGCATGATATCTGGCTACAATAAGGTAAATGGTATATACTACTATTTGTCTTCTTATCACTTATACATACACACGCAAAACCTTATTTAAGGGACACTCTTGTAAGGCTCATCGTGCATTGTATTTTGATGATCAGAATCGTCTATTTTCTAAGTTTTCACATATTTGTATAAGCATGACCTAAGTTCACATGCATAAAAAGATGCGTTGTATTGACAATTTTACATATCCACATATGTATTTGTCTGTTCCTCAAATGCTGATAAGCTCACATGTATTTTTGTGCAGGTTTGGACTGAGAGAGAGGGGGTGAGAAATCTGCTGAATTTGATCGGCAAGGAGGTGAATATGCAAGGGTTCATGGTGGGTTCATACTTGCATCGTTTTGGGGATTTTGCAAAGGATATGGAGAGCCACCTAAAGCAAGGCAAGATTGGTTCTAAGCTCAAGATCTTCCATGGAATTGAAACATTCTTGGAGAGCTTAGGATCCCTCTTCACCAGCTCTAATGTTGGAAAAGTAATAGTCCAAGTCAAGTAAATAATATATAGGTAGGTTGAAATGAATCTATGTCATGGGACTTCCATGCAACATGTTAAATGCTTCATCATAGCTCTCTTATTCGGACCTACCAGACTTGAATTTTCTTTTCAGTCATAATTAAGGTGATTTCTTGTTGAGAGTGCTATGGTTCCATCAAATTGAAGTTGTTTTAAAAATTTGGGCTTGTCCAATATAGATCCCTATATTTTCTATTTCCTAGACATATACCCATCACTCTATAAATCTATGAGTAAAACCCAATTTCAAATTTAAATGACTAGTAGGATATAAGAGGTCGTAGTATTTCTATATTTTTACATCATTGCCACTAAACTTCATATTTTATTTATAATTTATTTCAAGCATTTCATTAATTGCCATAATTGTAATTAATATACTCCCTATTAATAGCATATCAATCACCCCATTTCTTTTAGTTGTCATTCCCTCTCACATCTCGCCCCCTAAAATTACAAACAAACAAAAAATCTGTAAATTACATATCCAATAATGTACCCATGAAAAATATAATATAAATATATACATATAAAATATAGGTATATTATTTACCAAAAAAAAAACAAAAACAAAGTCAGTTACTTTGTAATTGCGTATATTTTTCATAATTAAAAATAGGTACACAATAATTTATATAAAATATAGGTACATTATTTACCCACAAGTAAATTATTTTACAATGTACCTGTAAATGTGTATAGGTACATTATTTGGAATAGATAATTATGTACACTTTTCATACTAGGTAAATTATGTTTTTCATAAAACAAACAAGTAATAGGTACATTATTTTTTCAACATAATTAGTATGTAAGTTTTATTCATAAACAATTATAAAGTGGATTATTAGTCATGTATAATTCATAAAAGAAAATAACATAAACATTTTATTAAACAAACCAATTACCTAAATTTGAATTTATTGTTAAATTTTTTAAAAAAATGTTTCAAAATTAATTCCTACATCCATTACAACCATTTGTAGATCTTTCCAAATTTAACATCTGTCATTATATACAATCCAATTAAAAACTGTTTCCATATTAATTCCTACATTAATATACAAAATGCAATAATGGCTTAGTTGGGGGTATTTTTGGAATCTGAAAAGTACAATAAATCAGATTTTATGCTTAATTAGGTAACTTGCTGAGTTGGATCATAGTCATAGGTTTTTACTTATACAAATTGGGTATTATTTATAAGAACAAAAAGTGAAGGGTTTTAGGTATGACAAATTGAATTTGAAGGGTGTAAGCCAAATTTACTATAAAAATTTCTAATGAGTTATAAGACGACATACATTACGAATTAGTAGAGAGCATTTATTCTCATATTCAAAGTCAGATCTCAAATCTCCTCTTTTTTAGCCTCAATACTTGTACTAAAACTATAAGTAAGTTGTCTATCAAATTTTGTTCCACTAATTGACTTAGTCACTCAAGTCTTATCGTACTGCCAAACTCAGTAAAAAGATGATGCGAAGCTAGACATCTGAGAGAGATCAGACAATGGGTGGTGTGGGTGAAGAGATGAGAGTATTGGAAAGCAAAGAATGGTACATCGCGTCTTATGCACCTCAAGGTGTCCAAATTCTGATCATCTCAAGATTTGTACTGCCAAACTCTCACTAGCTCTTAATTCGATCCCCGAACGGCATGCCGTTCTTTTGAACCTCTTCCTCTCCGTTGATCCATACTTACGCAGCAGAATGACTGGCCTAGAAGATGGCCTATACTTGCCCCAGTTCAACCTTAACGAGGTTCACATATTCACTGTTGAACATTGAGATCAAATTACTGTTGAGATTAAATGGTTATTGTCTTTGCATGATATTACAGGTTATTATAGCATTTGGGGTTGGACGGGTAATTAAGTCAAACAATACCAACTACAGTGAAGGTGACATAGTGAGCAGCCCTGTCACACCTTTGGCTGAATATTGCGTGGTATCATCCCAATCTATAGTAAGAAAGATTGATCCACATTATGGGATTTCAACGCCTGAGTATATCAGCTTGTTAGGCAAACTTCTCTCCTAATTTCTCTCTGTTTCTTTTCCCAATTCCAAATTCTAACTCGTTTGGTGCATAGAATTGAATAAGCTAGATTGGAGAAATCACTAAATTTAAGATATGTTAACATGTGAACCTCGTTATGGTTGAACTGGGGGAAGTATAGGCCGTCTTCTCGGCCAGTCATTCTGCTGCGTAAGTATGGATCAACGGAGAGGAAGAGGGTCTCAAGAATGACATGCCGTTCAGGGATCGAATTAAGAGCTAGTGAGAGTTTGGCAGTACGAATCTTGAGATGATCAGAATTTGGAACACCTTGAGGTGCATAAGACGCAATGTACCATTCTCTGCTTTCCAATACTCTCATCTCTTCACCCACACCACCCATTGTCTGATCTCTCTCAAATGTCTAGCTTCGAATCACCTTTTTACTGAGTTTGGCAGTACGATAAGACTTGAGTGACTGAGTCAATTAGTCGAACAAAATTTGATAGAAAACTTACTAATAGTTTTAGTACAAGTATTGAGGCTAAAAAAGAGGAGAGATTTGAGATCTAGCTTTGAATACAAGAATAAATGCTCTCTATTAATTCATAACGTATGTCTTCTTATAACTCATAAGAAATTTTTAAATAAACTTCAATTTGATGGAACCATAGCACTCTCAACAAGAAATCATCTTAATTATGACTCAAAAGAAAATTCAGGTCTGGTAGGTCTAAATAAGAGAGCTCTGATGAAGCATTTAACATATTGCATAGAAGTCCCATGACATAGATAATTAGATTCACTTCAACCTACCTATATATCATTTACTTTTATATATTATTTACTTGACTTGGACTATTACTTTTCCAACATTAGAGCTGGTGAAGAGGGATCCTAAGCTCTCCAAGAATGTTTCAATTCCATGGAAGATCTTGAGCTTAGAACCAATCTTGCCTTGCTTTAGGTGGCTCTCCATATCCTTTGCAAAATCCCCAAAACGATGCAAGTATGAACCCACCATGAACCCTTGCATATTCACCTCCTTGCCGATCAAATTCAGCAGATTTCTCACCCCCTCTCTCTCAGTCCAAACCTGCACAAAAATACATGTGAGCTTATCAGCATTTGAGGAACAGACAAATACATATGTGGATATGTAAAATTGTCAATACAACGCATCTTTTTATGCATGTGAACTTAGGTCATGCTTATACAAATATGTGAAAACTTAGAAAATAGACGATTCTGATCATCAAAATACAATGCACGATGAGCCTTACAAGAGTGTCCCTTAAATAAGGTTTTGCGTGTGTATGTATAAGTGATAAGAAGACAAATAGTAGTATATACCATTTACCTTATTGTAGCCAGATATCATGCCACAAAGAGGGATCTTTGCATTCTTGTTGACATGGTTGAGAACTGCCTCAAGCATTTTACCGCCAACATTGTCAAGGTACACATCAATTCCATTGGGAAAGTAGCTGTATAATTTGCAAACAAATATTCCATGATGCATGCTAGCTTCTCAAACTCATATATAATGCTAACTTATTTATTAGCCAAACAATAATTACTTGCTTAAAGCAGCATCAAAATCTGTCTGTGTGTGGTAGTTGAATGCGTCATCGTATCCAAATTCCTCCTTGAGGAGCCTCACCTAATGAAGAACCCACAAATTATCAACAATCAGGGCAACAAATTATTGTACCAAGAAACTGTAGTGTGATTTGATTCTTTGTAGGTGTTGTGCCTTGGCCTCCCACCCAAAGTCCCTATCCCCCCATCATGGAATGGGTTTATGAAGTATCCTTGGTGCATGGGCTTGATGGATTCATAAATAATAGTGATGACTTTGGAAGGCCAACAATGCCTCTCTTTGGAAGCGACCTCATCACGAGGTGTCAATTTCTATTTTCTTATTTGTTTTATATTCATCACAAGTCATCTGTTTAATTGTTAGGTGACCAAATTAAGAATTGAGAGTTCTGCAATGATTTTTTTTACAACCTTTCTCTTTCATTTGATTAGTTAAATGGAAAAAAATCGAATAAAGCGTCAGAAGATCAAAAAGGTCCATTATCATTTGATTAGTTAAAGACTCTGTAAATTAATGTTGAGTTAAACCTCTTAATATTGATGATTGGTGCAGGAAAAGATTTATAGTAGGACTGAAAAATATCAATAAAGTATATGTTTTCTTGTTTGCTGGGGAATCTAAACACTTACTTTCTCATCTGATCCGGTGCTTCCAATGACCCTGCATCCCCTACGCTTGGCCAACTGTCCTGCATACATTCCAACAGCCCCAGCTGCAGCTGATATGAACACATTCGACCCTGGTTTTGGGTCTGCTATCACCTCAATTCCTACCCAAGCTGCAAACCCAGGTACCCCTATAATACACACACACCATCGTTAACCACAAATTTACATATAATCACGTCATAATTAATTTGGTCTTTGCTGAATCAATTAATTTAAGTAAAATCAATGAATGGGATTTGAATTGGAGATAAAAAAAAGAGAAAAACTTACCTAATCCCGTTGCATTGTCGCTTTTCTTCCTATCTCTCTCTTGATGTCACTTCAAATGAGGAGAGATATAGAAAGAACGGAGCAATGCAATGTAGGTTGGGAAGTATTTCTCAAAAAAGAGGAAAAAAGAAAAAGGAAACAGAGATAAAGAAAGAGAATTGCCTAGCAGACTGATATATTCAGGCAATGGAATCCCATCGTTTGGATCAACCTTTCTTGTTAACAAGTGGGATGGCACCACGCCATATTCAGCAAAGGGTGTGAAGGGGCTGACCACTATGTCTCCTTCAACATAGTCACTGTCTTTTGACCGAATTACCCTTCCGACTCCAAATGTTGAAAGTACCTACACATATAGATTATAGTCCTGAGATGTAATTTTGACATCAATGTTGAAAGTTTGTATGTGTTTGTAAAATATGTGATATGAACTGAACCTCATTAAGGTTGAACTGAGGAGCGTATAGCCCGTCTTCTCGGCCAGTGATCCTGCTGCGCAAATATGGTTCTACGGAGATGAAGAGGGTCTCAAGAACAACATGTCGTTCGGGGATCGAATCCAGTGAGAGCTTGACAGTCCGGAGCTTGAGATGATCCGAAGTTGGAACACCTTCAGGTGCATAAGAGGCCAAGCACCATTCTCTGCTTTCAACTACTGCCATCTCTCTCTATCTCTCTCTCTCTCTCTCTCTCTCTCTCTCTCTCTCTCTCTGTGTACTGGACTGTGTTGTGTTTGTCTTACAAATGCCTGCCGGCCTCTTCCTTTTATATATATTATGTACACATATTTTTTCGAATAATTTTATTTGTTTTTCCTGTCTCGTATTTTACTATATACACTAGGGTCCTGGAAGTTGAATATATATCATATACAGTGAGACATGTCTTGTTTTTTTTTGGTCGAAGAGACATGTCGATTAGGTGGAACGAATTAAATTTAACGTACAGAGTCACCTTCTGTGGTGTATATATGGCATTGGCATTGCCAAGATAGGCCTGTGGTAGGTAATGTTTTTTTTTGGTCAGGGCGTGGTAGGTAATGTTTGTCATCACCTTTATGTACAGATGAAATACAAATTAAATGGAGCTAAAAGGGAAGAGGGAGGTTGAATTTTTTAAAGTTTTGAATGTGGGAAACTTTTTTCTCTGTTTTAGAATTCTGGATGTAAGGCCATCTCCAACCATTGGACTCAAACCCAAAATATCCCCTCCAACCTCTCTCAACTCAAAAAAATGAAATATCCAAAATTTGGGAAAACCCAAATATGGGTCAAAGTATTGAATGGACCCTAGACCTTACGCTGAGGTGGCAGAGCCCATGTGCTTCTGAAAAATGGTGGGACCCACGCTGGTTACATGGTCTGATGGGCTTGTCTGTGGCATGGGACACGTGTCGGCACTAGGTGAGAGAGCTGTTGGGCTTTGGCTGTCTCCTGTTTATAAAAAAAAATAAAAAAATAAAATAGTATCGATTGGGCCAACATGCTGGCTGTGTTTCAATCATGTTGTGTTTTTTTTTTAATGTTGTGTGGTTACTTTTGGAATAAAATTAAATTTATGGAATTTCAATTTTTTTTAGGTCAAATTGTTCAAAAAATTAAATTATGATGTTATTTAAAAAGATTAGATGAAGAAAAGTTATCCATTAAAAAAAATAGACTTAAACAATTTAATAAAGTTGCGGACTTAAAATTTGAATCCGGAGGGTTGGGAGAAAAAATTATTTGAATCCAAGCAAAACCCAAGTAGTTACTTTTTAGAGGGGGAAAATTTGGCAGGTTGGGGAAGACCTAAGAAAAGATGCTTAATAAACTTCAAAGTGGAGGAATCAAAATTCTCCTCATAACAAACAAAGATCGAAAAAGAAATGAATCGAAAAAATTAAGAAGCGCTAGAAGGAGGGCTCGAACCTCCGACCTTGTGGTTAACAGCCACACGCTCTAGCCAACTGAGCTATTCCAGCTTTTTGTTCACATCACTGTTCAAATCAATTATAAGGTAAAGCCAAAGAAAGCGAGCCCTGTTATAGAAGCGTTTTCAAAAAATTTACCATAAGTGTCACCACAATTAAAATGAAGATATGAATCAATTAATTAAAATTAACATGTGAGGCGTGTGCCATAATCCCCAAAAATCTGCAACGTAATTTCTCAGAAACAAGTCGAGCTTTCTTGCTGTATATAAAAGGTATGAAAATATGAGTGATCAACTCCAAGTACTCGTAGCTTAAGGGCCATTGCCAGTCCTAACAAGTCACACAACTTCTCTGCGCTTTTGTTCTCACATCATCAAGGTACTGTCACTCTCTCTCTCTGTATGTGGTTGCGTTTTGTGGGTTTTCTCCATTGCAACCAAAAGATGAGGTTTGCAGCATAAATAGACAGATAGATAGATAGATAGATAGAGGCGTATATGCTGTCAAAACTGGTATACTTGTTTGGAGTTCTGTATGTTATCAAATCCATCCCTATTTCCCTGTCAAAGAAAACTAGTTGTCATATTTGGTACTATACATCATACATGACATGTTGTATAGAAGTTTAGTTTCTGATTATATGTACAAAATTTCGAATGTTGTGGTGACCAAATTGACTTTCACACGTCTAGACTATGGAATTCTTTGATGAACTTGCCACCTGGGCTGAAGAAACTATTGCCCATCACGAACCGGCTCCGGAACAACAGTATGAATACCATCAAGAGTATGAACCATATCAGGAACCACAACAATATCAGGAACCAGAACCCTATCATGAACCTGAACCCGAACAAGAACAGAATGATGAGCAGGCTGCAGAAGAGGAAGCAGAACAGAATGATGAGCAGGCTCCAGAAGAGGAAGCAGAACAGAATGAAGAGCAGCCTGCGGGAGAGGGAGAGAAAGAAGAAGGGAGGAGAAGCAGCAATAGCAAGAAGCATGTGAAAAGTGTAGTAGCAGCAGCATCAGCAGCAGCATTAGGACTTGGAAAAGCCAAGGTGGGTGCTGAGAAGGCCAAGGCAAAGATCAAGGGTAAAATCAATTGGGTCAAAGATAAGTGCCACCACAAAGACAATGTCTCCAAGTGACCTAATATATATGTCCATCTTTACAGGCTGATGAAGAGCGTGGAGTGTAGCTGGTTCCAAGTGAAGTAATTTGTTTTCCTTTTTGCCAAAAATAATGATTATTAGATGGATGAAACTCGTTTTCATTGAAAGTTTGATTCAAGCTTGGTTTACATTAACATTTCAATTCATTCGAATTCTACTGTCATTGTTAGTTTAACATTGCATCTATGTTTTATAATTTGGACACAAATTCGTCACTCGATTTTGATTTACTCATAACTCCTAATGCCGTGTTTTCCACAACATCTCACGATTCACATGTATACTCATAAACAAACTTCCAAATTTGATTCATTACTACTTTTATCAATCATAAATCAGAAAAATGAAAATATAGACGAGAATGAATGAGTATGAAATCAACTACTCCCCTAATCAATTTAATCCCTTGATTTTCAAGTATTAAATTACGAATTTTAATGTGAATTTCTCTAATATCCATATAAACACAATACTACTTTTATTCCCAATGTTACAAAAGACTCGAGTTACTTTAATCTATTCTAAACCACGGTGTAATATCCATATAAACACAATACTACTTTTATTCCCAATGTTACAAAAGACTCAAGTTACTTTAATCTATTCTAAACCACGGAAGGGAGATTCGAAGTTACTTTAATCTATTTTAAACTACGGAAAAGGAATTCGAACTCAGGTGCATAATCAGAAGCACATAGATTAAAAAGGTGTTGATTAGATGTGAATTTCAGGTTTTAGTGAAGGTAGAAATAATATCTTTATCGCTCAACGGGAATTTGTCCCAAGATTAAGAAAGGAACAGGGGACAGTGAATTAATGATCTTCATAAAAGGGCAGCCTCACCAAGAATTAGGGCAGTCATTTTATTTTCTTCAAACTAAATTTCATTTTTATTTTTGTTGAAGAGTTAAATTGGATGGCAAATTTTGCAAAGAAAAGGAAAAAAGCTTACGAGTGAATTGGGGATCTGATTACGAACACACAAAAACGCACGCATTGTCATCTACTTACAGAATATAAAGGGTCATCAATCCAAAACCAAGAACATGTCTCAGCAAATGCATCATCAAACTACTGGACAGAAAGATAATTTACAACTCCTTGAACTTGTTTTATCGTTCTGAGTTTTCAGAATGTCCCAAATGTGTTCTCCCCGCTGTAGGTCATGTAAAGGAAACCGTCTTCATCCTTATTTTCCTCGTAAATTGCAGACAGCATAGCCGCTGCAACAAAACAACAAAGTTACCTGATTATACTGTCTTAAAATATCATATATCAGTATTGGAAAAGAAGAAAAAAACCACAATAGAGACTTTTATCTCACCTGTGGGTGGTAAAATATTCTTAACAAAAATGAAAATAGCCTTCTCAGGACCGAGCTTGATCCTTTTCCGAACCACATACACGAACTGGCCAACAGTCAGATCAGCAGGCACCAGGTATCTGCATTCAAGCAAACCCGGAACAAATAATTTTATTACTTGTTATGCCAAATATTCAAAACATCTGGGAGTAACACAGGACCCTATGGATCCGCAACCATTTTCAAATTCATACTTCAAACTTTAAATAGCTTGTAGTTACTACATAGTTATGACTACAAGAACCCACGAAGGGTGCACATGGCAAATGATCACTTGGACTAGTTAGAGCGCAAAAACATCAATATAACAGACAAAATTAGCGCTATGTCTACGATATCCAGACTCCAGAGATGTCACAGATAGAAGCAAAGAAGAAAGCTGTTGTTAAAATGTATATGACATGAATAAGAAATGACTCACTTTTTCTTGTCAATTTCAGGCACGTCACTCTTCTCAGCCCTTTCCACGACCACCTGCAGCAGTCAATGAGTTACAGACCAAAATAGAAGAGAAACACACACAACTGCAATGACAACAAATAACAATCATACTGGAATTCTGTCAGGATACTTCTCTCTTATGCGAGCAGCTTCTGCTTGTCTCCTTTCTGGCATGTACAAAGAGACGAACTTTAAACTTCAATACGGATTGTTGACCCAAAAAAGCTTCAATACAGATAATTGTTTCTTAAAAGAAGTTAAATAAGTATTTAAGAAATGGAACTTGACCATAAATAAACAATCTACTCGATTGGCAATACAACGGTTCTTTCCCTAATTACTATGTAAAACTACATATACCTTAAAGAACAACATTCAAAAGAAAAGACTAAGCATGATAAGACATAATAATCAACAATTTCTAAATAGAACTTGTGACTGTTTAATTTCGCTTTTTCGACAATTTCTCAGCTACCAAATCATATACACCAAAATTCAGTGACCGTGTATTTCTACATAGAACTTGTAACTCTTTCCTATATTTATTTATATTCATGGGCAGCTAAACCATATAACAAACGTAATAGGCTCAAGAACAAAAATCAACTGCTGCGATTAAAACCCAGATGGGAAAATAGAAAATTCCAGGGTACTTGGATTTTGCTATGAAGGTTTCAAGAGCTTCATACGAACAATACAAAATTCAACACTACAATTCTGTACCTAATTTATTATTTAAGTTATCCTGCAACCACAAGAAATTAGGGATTGAAAGATAAAAAACTTTCAGGTGATTTAGGCAGAATTTCCACAGAAGCACAATGTTACAAATATAGGGCCCCTAATCATCAACAACAATTCTGAAACTAAAGGAAAACCGAAATAATAGAACGAAATTCTTTTGAAAAATTTCTTATAAAATAGAAAACGAACCGAGAGGGTGCTCCATCTTGAACGCGCTTTTGGCCATGGGAACGATTCTGCAAACCCCAAAATATCGACGAACAAGAGAAGTAGGGTTTTAATAAGTGGTGAGATCAATTAAATAAAAAATTTAATAATCAATTGAAATTTATTGGTTACCAAATTGGAGAGAGATCAATGGGTGAGCAAGCCTCCCAACCTAAAGCGTGTACAATAAACCAAAAAATTTTTTTTTTAAATAAACTACAAACAGAACAGTAAGTTCTTTCTATTTATTACTTTTTAGTTTTATCAGAATGTTACGAAAGTGTTAAAAATAGTATTACTATATATATACATGAGATGAATCAAACACGGTTGCAAAGAAACGAACACTCGTAACAGAATAACATGACTTATAAACGGTTGCAAAGGAACGACCACTCGCAACAAAATAACATGACTTATAATCAAGTCACATAACTCATGTACGCATAATATGTATTAATATCTATGTTACTCCAGTTCACATACTACACGTGATCATTCATTCAATCAACTTCACATATTTATTTGGTAGTATTATTTTTTTAGAAAAACTTCACATATTTGAAAAATGTCCTAGGAAGAAAGGAATTTTAATTATTTTTCTAGAAAAGACAAGGGGAAACTGTTGGCCCAATACAAATATGGTGAGTAACGGACTCATTGAGGTCCAGTACCTGATTACAATTGGATCAGTAATCGGCCGCGTCTTATCAAAGCTCATATATACTCCACGAGAACTTGTTCCGCACTTCAAATGGTATTAGCCCCATTACAAGAAATAAAATCTATACAAAATCTAGGACATCTTTACCAATTCTCATCCAAATATGCTTAAAATAACGTCATTGACACTCAAATAGCATGACCTCGTTAGAGGGAAACATACCAAATATGCTTAAAATTAATTAATTCATTATCAATGCAAAATTCATGCAAATTTGAGATTGGATCGAGAGTTAATTGTGATCATAAAAGGAGACCCACTTATTAGATATGATAGGTATAGATGTGGAATGGGATTTGCAATGACAGGTCAAGATGGAGTTGGGTAGGTTTGTCAATCGTATCATCACTATCTCAATATTAAAATCTTAGGTATTCCACAACATAACTCATCACAATTGACACATCTTGACTTGATAGGATGTGGTATATATATAGACACGTTAAGTTATGATGTGGTATATATATCGACAACCTACCCAACTTCATCACTATGTCAATCATTTCATCGATTTTGAATGAAATTTAACTAAGATTTTAATATTGGTTGAATCTCAGTCATCGAATATAATAAAATAAAATAAACCAACTTATTATTATGTCAAGTACAAACATGGAATTAATGACACATTAAGATGGGGATGTGATGTGAAGTGACACGTTAATATTGAATGTGGTATATACAGGCATGTTAAGATGGAATGTTATATATATAGACACGTTAAGATAGGATTTGGTATATATACTGACACGTTAAGATGGAATGCAGTGTGTAATGACACGTTAAGATGGAATGTGGTGTGAAATAACACGTTAAGATATAATGTGGCATATACCAACACATTAAGATAGAATGTAGTATATAATGACACGTTGAGATGGAATCGGTGATATCTCTCAACTGCATCACAACAAAACCTCCATCGTATCTTATCAAATCCCATATACTCATCTAGAGTACTCGTCATCCACTCTCCAAATGTCACCAACTCGTTACATAAAACATGCGAAATATAACCCCCCCTGCCTCAAGAAATCTTCATAACATAGACAGAAGCAGTGATGGATAGACATCTGAGATTGAGATGCATACTGATACGCAAACAATTTGTGGTAGACTGGTTTCGGAATCGCAGAAGTGGATCGCAAAAGACATTGTTATAGAATTGAATTCACAAAAGTTACTTAAAAAGGGTATGTTGATCTTTTCACCTTTAATTTTTAATTAAAATCATCTTCTTTTTATAAGGTTTGCTTTCAAAAGAAATCCTTGTTTGCAACTCATGTTGTTCATCCTTGTTTGCAAATTGCAACAAACCCGAAGCTAATTAAGAAGTTTCAAGGTCAGAGAAATCATTACTTTTGTCTAATTTGTCTACACTCAATATTTATTTGTTATTATTTATTTTTTTGGGGTGGCGCTTCTGGATCTTAAAAAGTTGACAGGGGCAACTCATCTTCATCAATCTTTTGGCAAGTCCTTTCCTTGCAAAGTTGCCCATAAATCTTTCCACATTGTGGACAACTTATTCCCATCTCTGACCTCTCACCTATACAATTTTGGGGTCTCACTACAAAGCCCACAGACATAGAGTCCTTGATCAAATGATGGCATTTTGACAATTAGAATTAGGTCTGCAGCTAAACAAAACGTATGGCACGTTTACATGTATAGGACTAGTAGGCGTCTAGGCAGCTCTGCCTTGTTTGGCCTACAAAGTTCATGAATGCACACATTGCATTGCAGAGAGGGAGAGGGAGAGGGAGAGGGAGAGAGATACCTTTTTCCTAAAGAATTGCAGGCAAATAACATTTGAAAACACTAAAAAAATATGCATTTGTAGGGAAAGAGTTTGAATTGAATCACACAACCTATTACCTACGAAGTGTTGCTAATAGATAGAGAGGTTCATGGGATGGGAGATGTAATGGTAAAAGGTACAACACATAACCAAACCAAACCAAAAGCTCCAAAACAAAACAAAGGTTCTCTCTGTTTGATAAAACATAACATAAATGCGGATTGAACAGAACGAACATCTCTCTTCCCCTACCCCATCATCCATAAATGCACACATTTAAAGCCCCAGATTTGTGTCCGTGAACTTTTTTTTTCCCGATTCTTGTACCTGGTTTTAAATTAATATTCTCAACTTCCTTTGTTGTGAGGTGGTTGGAAATTTTAATGCAACTTCTTCAATGCTACCACACCACTAGTGGCCAAGCCATCTCTCTTTGTTGGGCATTACCTTCTTAAAGAGACATTCACCTCTCTCTCCCTCTCTGCTGCTCTGCATTATTAATATGTTCATGTTGTTCTCCACCACCCCATGCCCATTTCCAAATTGCCTTCTTTCTCTCCTTTTTTTTCCCTCTTTTATTTGTTTTTGATAACCCAAATAAACCTTGTTGGAGTCTACTTCGATAGTTTTGTTTGGGATACATAATCTAGCCTGATATGGTTTGGAAGTGACCATTTGCTCTGTTCCTTCCAAACCATGTATTTATTTCATTTCTGCTTGCAGTCTTTTCTTTTTCTCTCCGTATTTTGTTTTGTTAGGATAAAAACGAAAAGGGTTTGTTTTGTAGCTTATTTTGTGAAAAGATTTGCTTTTTGTTCTTTTTTTGCCATCCAATTGAACCTTGTTGCTACACTTTGTTAGATTTATGGCATATAATCTAAAGCTTGATATGGTTTGGAAGTGATCGTTTCTTCTGTTTCCTTCCAAAACCATAGACTTCATTTCACTTCTGCTTACAACATTTTATTTTTTCTCTCTGTCTTTTGCTTTGTTTGTGTAAAGATGAAAAGGGTTTGTTTGTTTTGTAGCATAGTTTCTGAAAAGATACAAGGAAGCCAAAGAGGTAAGAGATGGATCGGTTTAACGGGATATTGGTCCGGTTCAATAAGAAAGCAGTGCTCTAAGTGCTTGAGCTCTGCTTTTTGATTGAGCCGTGCCAATATCACGTGCCACTGTTCCTTTATATTCTACCTTGCTGCCCCCATCATCCAGGATTTCAAGGTATATATACACTTTCTCATTCTAGCCTAGAATTTTCATTTCTGGTTATTGCATTTTGTTTGGTAAAGTTTCTCTCACTCACTGGCCTGCAGTAATTTTTAGACGTCTGATTGCTGGTTTTAACAGCAAACTTTTGACCATTTTATTGCATGTAGACAAATTTTGTTGAGTTTTCTCACATACCTTTAACCACACAAGTTTAGGTATTTTGAATCATTTGCTGTTTTCTTCATAATGGCCTTCTCCTCTTATGTTCATATCTAAGGTTTATCAAAATGATCTTGTGTGCTACTTCTAGATATTGAGATTACTGCAACTCATATTATTCTGCATCCGAAGAAGTAAAAGAAAGGCACAACCTGCTGTGCTGAAGTTTCTATGCTTTTCCTTTTGGGTTAAAATTTCCTGATAAAAACTCTGTATTTTGGACAATGTCCTAAGGATTTTCTATCTAATGAAGCTAATGGAGTTGTACCTTTTTTTTCTTTTTTTGTGGAAGATACAGCTGAGAGTTCCCATACTGTAAAATCGTTGCAAATATTCTCAGAATGTAAATGAAGTAATTTTCATTTTTCTCTGACTTTTCTTAATTAGCATCCAAGGAAAGTTTGATCTTATCTCTTTAGTCTTTATAGGGAGATAACTTGGAACTATCAATTTGAGCATATCAAAGATTCAAAGTAGCGTGAAAGCAACATTTCAAAGTTTCATCCATGCAGCAACTTACAAGTTAATTACGCCCAGTTACTTCTTAAGATTCTTTTTCATACTGGAAAAGAAAAGGAAAATGTCAGATTAGTCCTTGATGTGTCCTGTTGGTTTTATTTGAATGTTTGACTGACAACAGGAGTTACAAACTCAAAACAAGAGCGGTGGAGCCAGACTGTCAGATGAGTCACAAGAAAACTGGGAAAGAGATGAATTCAAAATAATATGTTCATCATATCATATAATTCAAATTCTTAATTTCATACAGAGGAAACAAGATTGTACAAGAAAGGCAGAAACAGCTCCCACAAAGATATGCATTTATTGTGCATTTGATGCCATAGAACTGTAACTTACAAGTTGGCTCTTCAAGCCTCAAAGAATTTTGTATGGGGGCCCTATTTTGGCTGCTTCAGTGGCCAATATCCTCTATTAAAATGGAAGATGGTCCACATAGCAAGGCTCCTCTCTCTCTCTCTCTCTCTCTCTCTAATCTCTCTATTTTGATATTGTAACTCTCTATACTTAGTACAGAAACTGGAAGAAAAAAAAAGCTAGCACACCTGCTTTTATACCGAAGCTAAAAATCTTCCTGAGGTTGGAAGAGCTCCAAGTTGCCTCTTCCTCTTAGAAAGAAGCACTCCACAAAGCGTTCTCACCTTCCCCGCACCGTCGATGGACTTCCTTGATTCTCTCAGCTGACCTACAAATCCCGCTGCAACTCCAATCAAATGAAGCAACACAGATGTTGCCCGCCTGGGCCTTCCACTCACAATCTGCAGCAAACAAGTTGAACTAAAACTTTAAATAACTGTACAATGAAACAAATTTGTGACCTTATTTTTACACCCAAATTTATTGATTTTTGTGAACTTATTCTGCTTATGAAGAATCTGAAACCTCACCACCGACCATGGGGTCCACTAAGGGGTAACACAGTCTTGGTCCCATTATTATGGTTCCAGTACCTCCACAGTATTATAGTAAATTACTTACATTACTGTACTTGACCTGTTTTTTACCCTCAGGAAAGTGAGCAGATAATATTATATCTAATTTTGATTTTTTGGTCAAATAAATCTGTCATAAAGAATATTACTTAAAGTGGAATTCACTCTGCTTGTGCAATATCTGAAACAGTATTCTTCAGCAAGACTAGTTATTGCGCCCAAACAAGACCATTTTCTTTTCAAATCATTCCTAAGTTACCAACATAATAATTTTGAATTAGACAAGACTTACCAGGTGGGGTGCCACAACACAGTCTCCTATCGTCAATATGCTGCACATCAAGTCCAATAAACCAAGCTCCCAAAGAGACATCCTCGTTAGCGTACCTGTGTAGGACATGCCTGAAAATGCATACAAAATTAGCATCACAAGTGCAAGAAGATAGAAGAAAATCTTTCAAACGGATACATGTATTTCAACATCTATCAGTGCATAAAGCTTGAAGCTTACTGGTTTATTGATATATACGTAGCCAAATCCTTTGAAATGGCATATAGCTGTCCTGTAGCATGACGGAAATACTTGTTTCCAGGTTCACCAAATTTCCAATACTCTGGTTCATGGTATCTCACTCCCCTGTATCACCAAATAGCCAGTCAAGGAGTCAGAAGTCAATTACTTTCTTAACAAATATCTGAACATCAGAGGAAACAAAAGAAAATGAAAAAACCAATTACAGGTGCGGGCTTACTTTTGTGCTAGAACAGGACCAGATTTCATGCATCCAATGTACAGGCGCTGTTTCTTTCGGTGTCTGACTAGAGTTTCTCCTAGTGTCGCTGCAAGCAAATTGAAAACAGATGGGTTTAATGAGATAGACGATTAGATAATATAGACATGAAAGTTCATGAATTGCTCTAACAAGACTAGGTACGCCGAAGTTGGCTCTCTGATAATATCTTTCACACTTAAAAGAACAGAGTCATTTTGCATAAACTACCAATTCCGTAAACCTTGTATCCATATGTTTCTTATTTCTTTTAGTTTTTATGTCATTGCGCACAAAGGTACCTTAGAAAATCTATTTGTCATGTTCAGCACAATTTTAAATTACCTATATTTACGTGGACATCATCATCAACTTTGACATAAAAATCTGCATCCCACATAGCAACAGCAGTAGCAAAATATATCTTTGTCTTGGCAGACAATTCAAGGTACCCTTCAACATGGTCCTGTGCAAGAGACATAGATAGGAAGTCACAATCTATTCTTTCAGAGTCAAAATAATGAAAATTTTATGTTCAAATAAGCTGTAAGCATACATGTGGAAAGAAGGGGACAATAACAAGATTAACTAAGACACATTACCAGCCTCAGGAGATCTCCATGCTTTCTGTCCTCTGCTTCTACAGCTCTGTCTAGAATACCTCCAGACGTGGCACTAGACAAGGAGGGAAAAAGCTTGTATAATTATACCATCCAAATAAATCCATGACCTAGGACTTTTGTGATGGTTATTAAGTTGAACCTACTATGGAGTCTCGAAATTTATTTTAATATATACAACGATATTTTGGTTTATGATTACATCTCGAAAGGACTTACTCAAAAAAAGTTCACACTTTTCATGAAAATAGAGTGTCAATGATACGGAATTGCATGAGATTGTAAACAGGGAACCACGGAATTCTTGGCTTACATCAACTACAACTGAATGGGAACCGATGCATTGATGAATAAGTATTCTACTGTCTTGCAGCCTAGCAGATTAATGGCATAATGTCTTCCTATCCAACATTAACTAGCAAGAAAAAAGATTAAACACTCACCCATGACCAATGACGAAACGAATGATGATACCCTTCTCTTCCTCTAGCCTTTTTCTTTTCTCGCCTATATTTCATGTTTTTCAGAAGCAAAAATAATCAGACAACAACTATAAACAAGCAGCCAGAATAGCATAGCTAAAATCCATTACAGAACAGCAATGAAGAAATTAGGAAATTGATTTATGAATTACCTTGTGGCATCCATGTAGCACGAACCGAATCTCTTCTTTTACGGCTGCTAAAAGCAGTATTAATTCCAACAACCATTAAATACCTTCTCTTCCTGGATGAATCAGTGGTCTTCGAGTCTCCTGATAAAGGAGAGCCGCTACGTATAGATTCCTGTGTTGCCCTTGCTGCGGCTAATTCCATCTCTAAATTTGATATAGTCTTATCTAATGTCCTAATTCAACATAACATCCAAGAATAGTTTCCAATTAGGATACTTAGAAACCAAAGTTACAAAATATCATGTGTTTGTGTGAGAGCACAACTTACTGTATAGCATTATGAGTCTTAGAAACCTCCCCAAAAATGTCCTTATTTTCGCGCTTTACCTCCTTCTGATGTAACTAAATGTACCAAATCAGATTGACACAAAAGAAAGTTTTAGATGAGGAACATGGTATAACAATCCAATATAGGTAAAGAAAGAATTTCTGATAGAACAGCTTGTTAAAAAATCTCGCAAGGATATGAAATCAAGTAAGAGATGAGACATTACAGCTTTTGGGTTGCAACCCTCTGAAACTAATTTTAATTGTTCTTCCTCCATAGCTGTTCTCCGTGTGATACCTTTATTTTCAGGAACAGTCCACATCCTGCAACCGGTATATAAATTTTCATTAAAATGTTACGAAATCTCAACAACTACATGTTTCAGCGTCAAAGTTAAGCAAAATATTTTCTAAGAAGTTGCTGAAAATAACCAGAAATACATAAGGCTTGAAAATTCAGAAACACCCAGCTAAGTAGAACATATCTAAATCTAGCATCAAAACCAAAAACGACTATTTGATCATAGATCTCAAAATAGAAAGGTACCAATAAACAGTCTTAATTGAGTTACCGCTTTAGGAAACTTGCTCAAATTCATAACAGAAAAGGCAAACAACAATTTGTACAAAGTGAAACTAAAAATTGGAGAGAATACCTATTGGTGAAGAGCATTCCAGCACAGAAGCAGCCTAAACAAAGCAAAAGGGTCCATTTTTTTGAAATAACACTTCTAGAAGATGGCTCTCCTCTGCTTTTCCAAGACATGTGCTCCCAATTCTCTTCCAACTTCCAAAGCTAGTAGCTTATTGAAGAAAAACCCATGAAGAATATGGGTTTAATTGACAAAATGGAAGAGAACCCAGAAGCAGACAAAGGCCAAGTGCTTGGAAAATGGAAGAGGAACCAGGTTTGAAAGTGAGCTTTAGGTACAAGATTTAAGGTAGAATAGGGGAAGAGAATCAGAACAGAGTGCTGTGTTTTCTTTTAACTTGTCATTTGTATGTTCCTTTCTTTATCCTTTTGCTTTGCTTTGCTCTCTCTCTCCTCTCTCTCTCTCTCCAGAAACTCTTCTTCGCAGGCAAGGGACGCTGAACAGAAGTGAGAGGAGACTAACTAACCGCCCGGTACTTAAATCTAAATTACCAAACGGTACTTGTCAGACCTTCCTTTATAAATGAGCACCGTAACAGCTCCTGAAATGACAATACTACCCTTGAGCATTTCTTCTTTCTCTCTCAATTTATTTTCAGTTCTTATTCCTCTCCCTAATATATATTGGGTAGTAGGACCATGTAGACAGCGGGCATGTTCTCGTCACTGTGTAATCACATGGGAAAAATGTGGTATTAGGTTCACGTTTCGCATTGTGACATGTCCATATATAATGGTTTCTTTTGATTTAGATGATACTATCTCAACAAACTTGTACATCTATTAAACGGTAAACCGTGAGTGTATAGTATGTTATTAAACTGTGAATGAGCCGATGAGGTCTAGCCTAATAAAAACGACATTGACTTGCAGGTAGTAATTTTGGGTTTGAACCTCGTTGGCACCTTGATAGTTTGTGTGTGTGAAACTCTCCTTCCCCTTTTAGTTTAGACTATCGTTTGTATTAAAAACAATTATGAATCAAAATAACTAAATATATGGATGAAATCATGTATGAGACTGTGGTTTTGATTCGCAATGTGTTATGCATATTTGACATAAAAATATTAGTTACAAGTGATCTATAACAAAGGGCTAAGTGCACTAACAAAATTGGATGAATCTACGCAGAAATAATTAAAATTAAATGCCGAAAATATAGAAAAACATCTCATAATGTATTTATCTAGAAAATAGATTATGCTCCTGCGAAGGTCTTAGCTATTCATTACAAAATACATATACATGCATTTCTTGACATAAGAATATCCAGTGGGCTACTTAAACTATTTCATTAGACAAATTTTAGGGAGGAATTGGAAAAATACAACTCCAACCAGACTCCCTATTCACCTCCTAAAATAAGGAGACTTATAGGAGCTCCTAAATCTTAGGAGAGAGAATGAACTATTTATTTTATACATACATATAGTCTAAACTTTTAATTAATATTAACAATTTTGTTTTATAGAGATGGATCAATCACATTAAATTAAAAATAATTATAGTATTTATGACTCTCTAAACCTTAAATTAGGGAGTATGATTGGAGTTTATGATTGGAATTCAAATTTTATAAAGAGCTCATAATATAACTTTTATGTATTTTTAGCTGCATTTTAAATAAAAAATAGGAAGCACAATTGTAGATGCTCAGTTGACATATTTGTAGGAGTGTACACGTTGACATTTTTATGTAAATGCATGTTGTCCTACTTCGTTTTTAAACCACGTAGTGTTAGTTGACTTAAACAATAAACATACGACCAATACAACGGTATAAAACAATTGGATCAATTAGCAAGTGTTTGTTAAGTAACTATTAGTAGTTAATAAACCCACATCTAGATCTCAAGCATTTGTGGTGATCATAAATATGTACACTATGTGTGAACAACTCATCGTGCAAACACAAATGATTGCCGTTTAAGGTTTTATATTGACTTTCTAATTTTTCATACCATGGTTTAGGTTTAGCATCATCTCCATCTGCATATATCCTATAATTAATCCGCCCAATTGGACAATTTCAAACTCTCCCGATGCATGTGGTTTTCAACAAGAAATGCCCATGGCGCCTCAAACATATGAGCTGATGACGTGATAAGAAAGTTGGTTTATACAAAAAGAGAAGCCCAAGCACCGAGTTAGGCTGGCCACTTGGCCTTTCATCACTACTCACTTACGGGAAAAGTAGCCACGTGCACGTGATCAGATCTAGCAGCATGTTACGTGGCAAGCTCTCATGCGAAGGCTTCCTTGGTCCTCATCCATCCTGTCCATTAATCATGTGACATGCAATGTTCTGACTCACGTGGAAACTGCAAAGTCTGCATGGTGGTGGGGCCCACGTATCACGTGTCATTATTGATTATTCCCGCGTTAGATTTTACGACTCCTCTGCCACAGGGACATCCTCTTCGCGTTTCAGGAGAGGAGGAAGATTAATTAGATGAGTTTTAATTTAATTTAATGTGTTGGGATAAAGGTTCTTGGAAACATGTACCTCGGATTTACCTCACAAAATAATTTGGATCTTGAGCCTTTTTTTTTAATGGAAAAAAAAATTTCAGATTTAAGATTCAATTTTGTGGGAAGTCTCGATATTGGTCGGTTTGGACGTATTAAGAAGCTCATCAGATCTTGGAGTTAGATATTTGTTTCATAATTAATTAGGTTTATTATTAAGTTTTATACAGATGTTAAGTTCAAGAAATACTCATTTATTACTTCATAAACAGTGAATCAATCATGTTAATAAAAGTTCTATTTTTTTTTATACGGAAATAAGTTAATTAACAAAATTTAGACTCACGAGGGCACGCATGTCTGAAATCCAAATCATAAGAGTTAACAACAGAAAGAGGTAGGCTACTGAGTGACTTGAGGATTTGCAGTTTGTTAATGAAGAAGAGAGAAAAAAATTATATTGAAGACTCATATGGTCCTATATGGCTTTAAATTAATTTCATGTGTATTGTGAATCAATTTGGTCGCTCATGAAATCTATATATAAAACAAAAGGTAGAGAATGGTAAAACCTTTAAAATACCAAAAAATGTCATTCGTTAATGTAAATATTAAGAATTGAAATTATTAATTAAATGAGGATAATATGGTAAATTCACACTTTTTTCATATTTAAAAAATTAAAATGAAAAGAAAAATCAAATAATTGATTCTATTTTTATGGAACACAACTACCCATTATCTTTTTTAATTTTAAAAAAATTTTAAAAAAATTTTAAAAAACCTATCGCAGACACGGAAGCGCGTGCAGAAAGACTAGTAGTAAGAATATATCACTTTCTTGACCCAACAAAAATAAAAGAAATTACTGTTGTGATAATGAACCTATTTGGTTCTCGAATTTCTTTCTGGTATTAGTATGAAAGTGAGATATGATAAAGTTATGTGGATCTTCAAAGTAAATGTGGGTTATTTGTTGAATTATATCTTTCAACTACTTTAAAAGTGTGAAGCTGTCCCAATGGAAAGTAGTGACTTGTTTATCACCTTGTTGAATAGATTTTCCTTTTCTTTTTTGCGTTTCCTTGGTTGGTTTTCACTTTCCATAGTTCCGACAGGATGAACTTTTTTGTCTTTAGAGATATAAGAAAGAAAAAAAAAGGGGGGAGGGGGGGAGGAATTGAGAGGTTAGTGTAAGAGTACGACATATGGACCTATTCATCAAGCACTAATATATATCATATATAAAAAAATAAAAAGGCTACCAATTCCAGCTCATTGAACATGTAGTAGTTAGAATTCTAAATTAAAAAGGTTATTGTGTTAGGTTGGTAAACTTGTACATTTTTTTCTCCAAAAAAAAAAAAAACTTGTACATTTAATCTATATTCTCAATTTTTATTTTTATGTTGTAATTCAAACAATACTCTAGACTGAAGGGGCATGGGGTTTTTCATAGAAACTCTACTAAGGTGTTATGGAAGTTCGAAGCTGAGACTACTCTGGTATGCATGTCAAGACCCTTTATAACTGAGCTACACCCCGTTGGCTATATTCTCAATTATATTCTAATAATTTTGAAACTATTCATACAATTAATTGAACCCAAGAAATTATATACAAGTATGAACCCACTTGAAACCCTACTAATAAAACTCTGCAAAGAAAAAAGAAGGAAAAATAAAAAGGTGCGGTGGAATTGGTTGGGGGCCTCTTTGCTTGTAAAATGAGTCCCTGTCGCTTTACAGCTCCACTTCTTACATTTTCCCTACTCTCTCCTACTCTAAGCAACCCAAAGCTGCCATTCCCACGAGATCATCTGTTCAATCTATTGGTTGGTGCAGGCCATTTATCAACCCAACAGAACCAGAGGGGAGTCTTTATCCTGAAGCCAAAGCCAAAGCCAAATCCAAAGGGTGTTTCTGTAATTCTGTACCATGATGAAGAAAATACTTTCTGCCATTTTCCCAATTTGCAAGCAGGGAGAGGGAGACTGGGAGAGAGAGGGATCCCATTATTTTATTATGGTCTATCTCTATGTATCATTATGATAACTCTTTTAGTACACTTGAAGGCACTTTATTCAAGGTGCTTATATTCTATTTTTTGGTCTCTTCAAGATTTGTCATTGAAGGTGCTTATGATAAGAGTATGATTGCCATTGTCTACGGCTTTTTAATCAAATCTTAACTTTTTACATGGAATGAAGAAAATCAGATTGTGCTTACCACCTAAAAGAGCTGACTACTCAAGCTTAATCAAATCGGATTTGGATTTGATGGTCGCTCATACACACTTGCATCAATAGTCGAGAATATCCAATGCATGCATGAATGACTGTCTGTTTCAAACACACTCCTCAACCGGAATTTTAGATTTCACTCTATCTCATACTTTCTAAGTTTCAAATATCAACACTGTAATTTGTCTAGGAAAAAGGGAAAATAACTCCTTACAAGAACGTTTTAGTTCCAGAAGTTTCCACCTTCCCGCAAATAGAAAAATGTCACAACCTTAGTAGTTGTGCTTTCATTGCTCTGTCTCCATTTCAAATTTTCAATGCCCCTCCATCTCTTCCAACTTCATTTTTTCCCTCTCCAATCTCCATCATGCAGGCCCAGGAAGTGGCAGCATCAATGCCCCATATTAGAGTGGGCCCATCATCTTCCAGCCATTACTTTCCCTCTGCAGGCCCATACAAACATGTGCTCTTCATGTCAAGCCATCTGCATTCTGCATGCACTCAATTCCTCCCAAGCTTTTGGTTTTGGTATCTTTAGAGCATCCACAATGATGATCTCTATTTCTTAGCTAAAATTTAGCTATAAATATAAGAAAGCTATTTTAGGAGCTCTTTAAAAAATTTCAACTCCAACCATACTCCCTAATTTGGAGAGTCATAAATGCTATAACTCTTTTTTGATTGGTCCATCTCTATTAAAAAATAAAATAAAAAATAATTAGCATTAAATAAAGATTTGAAATACTCATTAAATAAAGTAGCATTAAATTATAGGGAGTCACTAGGAGTCCTTTCTCTCTCCTTAGATTTAGGAGCTCCTAGAGGACTCCATATTTTAGGAGGTGGATAGGGAGCGTGGTTGGAGTTGTATTTTTATGATTCATCCCTAAAATTTGTCTAATGAGGTGGTTTAGGAAGCCCATTGTGGATGCTCTTAAGCATTATAATTTCAATCTGTAAAGCAAAGTGAAAATAAATAAAAATCATATGTGCGAATAATTACTTCTATGCTCTCGTTTGTTTATATGCTTTTGGGAATAGAAAGAGTAAACGGGGGAGCAGAGCAGGACTCCGGGCAGCCGAAGCCATTTATTTCAATGTCGTTTTCAAGCAATGGAATCAATTCATGGAGTCTTAAGTCTTTCAACCACTTATATTTATAACAACACAAATTGAAAAGAACATCATTTTTGTTTTATTCCCCAATGATTCTTTCTTTTTCTTTTTTCTTAAAAAAAGAAGTTATTTCATAGCATTGATTGAAAAGTTGTGGCAATATTGAAGGAGCCACTTCAACCAACCAGAGATTCAGAAATATATATAATTATAATCTATAGGAACTTTTCACATTTCTAACAAGATTGAGCCATCTAATTGTTGTAAAAAGAGAATTATAGTTCATCAAACAAAGATCATTATAAAAATAATGGTTTACCAGTGGTCTCAAGTTTGAATCCTCATGTAACCATAGCAGCGTGTGTGAGAAAAACCTCATCCCATTATCATTTGTATAAAAAATAAAAAAATAAATAATTGATTTGGTTAAAAAAAAGAAAAGAAAGGGAATTGAGTGTCCATAAATTAGTTTTGGGTTCTATGAAATTTATTCTTGGAGAAGTAGATTATTGGGCCCAATAACGTAGAGGCCTCAAAATAATAGCAAAAGCAAATTTATGCTACGAACACAAACAACCATAAGACTACGGCAACCGTTTTCGACCAAAAAAGAAAAGAAAAAACCGCAGCCGTGAATATTGAACCCGTTTCTGGTCCTAACATCTACTCTGCCTTTCATCTTTAGAGATTCCAAGTAGCCAAGTAAAGATACGAAATACAAAGTAGAAGAATTGTGCTGGTAGTGATCTCATAGCACCCTCATTTTGGCTTTTTGTTTCTCCCCATTGCACCAATTTATTAGAGATTCAATTGCTTTCTTTTTCGCCAAGAAACTGATTAGGGTTTGACTTTGGTTACATAATTTCGAAAGTCTATAGGTTGTGGTTGTTTGTACCATATCTGACCAGCCAATCAGAAAATGACACGTGGAACGAAGACTCACGAGAAAGACTCAATAAGTCTGACAATCTATCTTGTCCCACCAAGTACCATCGGCAAGTTTTTAGCCTTCAACACCATGGGTTGCCAATCGTGGCAAAAGACCACACTTTATTAGAGATTTCTCACAAGGACATGTGGGGCTTCCTCAGGCAATGCCCATAGTCAATATCGAAATCTCACTTAAGATGCACCCCTCCCAAGGTCTATAAATAGGGGCACAAGTCCCAAAACAAGGTAACTGCAACATTTGGCTATTTAGCCATCATTCTGTCCAAATCACTATTCACTCGATACTTTATTTTTATTGTTATATTGTTATATTTAAAGAGCATCGCTGCATGGCTACTCTTTGAATAGAATATTATAACAGTCTAGCCATGCGGCTATACTCTATAAATATAATATTTAAACGTATAGCCGCACAGCTATCCTCTATAAATAGAAACTTTTAACAGTATAGCCGCTCGGCTATACCCTTTGAATCATAGTATAGCCAAGCGGCTATACGCTTTAAATAGAATAATGTAAATGTATAGCCGCTTGGTATACTCTGCAAATAGAAAATTTTGTAAGTATAGCCGCTGGCTATACCCTTTAAATATAATATTTTCACAGTATAGCCGCACGGCTATATCCTATAAATGGAATATTTAAAAGAATAGCCATTTGGTATACGCTTTAATTATCAGTTATGTTTCAATTATTGTTTACGTAGTGAATAATTAGTGTTTAAATATTTTATTAAAGAATTTTTTTTTAAAAAAAATTAGCTACTATTTATTAAGTAATATGGTTATGGGGGTGATGATGAGTTTTCAATGATGACCAGTTTGGTGAAGGTTTTGTAGAGGATCAATTTGATGAAGGTTTTATAGATGATCAATTTGGTGAAGGTTTTGCAGATGATGTCTTTGATGATGATGTGAACAAATATAGTGAGTCAATTAATGTGGATGAGTTTGTAGGCATTGATGTGCAAGATGAAGATGAAGATGAAGATGAGGAAGAACACAATGTAAAAGATTATGTGTATACTCGATTCTATTAATGTTTCCTAAAAATAGAACAGCCGCGCGACAATACTTATTTTGACATGTGGGCGCCTAATCGCTAGTATAGCCTGTATTTTCCTGATTTTCTTTTTTAAAAATAGTATAGCCGCGCGGCTATACTCTATTTTATTAGTGTTTACAAATAGTATATTTAAAAAAAAATAGTATAGTCAAGAGGTTATACTCTTTATCTATACACTCGGATCCTTTTTTTTCTTTTAGATTTTTTTCCCCGATTTTTTGTTTATCGATAAGAGTAGTTTAGAGCATTATCCAGTACTATTAGGCCATAACCCAAGTCTCTATTAATTTACTGTGAAATTTCAACATTAAAAAAAATAAAATTGAACTATCAGATTGATTTACTGTGAAATTTCCCTCTCTTCAATATGTGCTTTGGATATGTTGAAACTAGTATAAAGTAATGCAACTAGGAGGGTCCTTTTTTCTTAATTGTTTTTTATTCAATAGTATAGCCGCGCGGCTATACCCTAAAAATATAAGTTATTCATAAGAAATTATGTTTTCATTTGTATAAGCAGTTTTTTTAATGCTTGTAAGCTAGTATTAGAATTTAAGTTCCTTAAGCACAGCATTGGAAAATCACTTCTAAGTTGAAATGTATACTTCAGTTTTTCTATTCATTATTTCCCTTGTGTTATATTTTGCCACTACAGTTTCTTATTTTTTCTGCCTGGATTATTGCAGGCTGTGCTTAAGATGCTTAATGAGATTGGAACTGTTGAGAACATTCCAGAGTTCATAGGGGGTATGAAGAACAGGTATTTTGTATTATATATAGTAGTTCACCAACTGCTGAAGAGGCTTCATATTGAAACAATTATTTATCATTTGTTTCCGGTTCTTACTGCGACAGATGTCAGGTTTTGGGCATCGTGTGTACAAAAACTATGATCCCAGAGCTAAGGTCATAAGGAAATTGGCAGATGAAGTGTTTTCCATTGTTGGAAGGGAGCCTCTGATTGAGGGTGTATTTCTGATCTCCATGTGAAATGCTCCCCACTCCCAAACAAACTATTGATGTGAAGTGGATGCAACTTTTATCTTATGTCGTTTGCAAGTATCATTTGATGCAATTATTGAGTTTGATGAGTGCATTTATCTTATGTCATTTTCAGGTAGCTGTTGCTTTGGAAAAAGGCTGCACTGTCTGATTAGTATTTTGTTAAGAGAAAGCTTTATCCAAATGTTGATTTCTACTCCGGGTTAATTTTCATTACTTTTCTTTGGACGTGAGATTGTGAATCCCTAGAATGGCTGGGTGGTTGGCACACTGGCGAGAATCCCTTAATGATCCTGATCCCCAACCGGTCAGTTGGGTTCGCTTGAAATAGTTTGTTTGTCTGTGCTGAACTTTTGGTGTTTCTATGATTTATTTACTTTCATTAGTAATTATATTTTAATTATTATTTACTTATTGAAATATTAGTATTAAATATTTTAATTAACTTCATAAATCATATTACTTAATCAATAGAAACTAATTTTTCTAATTTTTGTTTCTTTAATAAAATATTTAAACACTAATTATTCACTAAGTAAACAATAATTTAAACATAGCTGATAATTAAAAGCGTATAGCCGTGCGGCTATACTTTTAAACATTCCATTTATTGTCGGCTATCTTTGAAAATATTATATTTAATGGTTATAGCCGCGCGGCTATTACAAGAATCAATTTACAGACTAGAGTATAGCGATCCGGCTAGACTATGAAAATATTCTATTTAAAAGGTATTGCCGCACGGCTATAGTGTTATTATATTTAAAAAGGATAGCCGCACGGCTATACTCTATAAAATCCTCTTCCAAGAGTTTTATTCGTCGGCACAGGCCTATGCCGGCAAATATTTGCCGGATTAGACTTCTCCTGACAAAAGTTAACTTTGCCGACATAATTTCGTCAGGAGAAGTTTAATCCGGCAAATATTCGCCGCGATAGATTTGTGCCAATGAAATTGCGTCGGTAGAAGTTTTTTTTTAATTTAATATAAACTTAGTATCTTTAGGTCAATAAATTTTTATTTTTGTAATTAAATAATCTTAGCCTTATTCAATTACTTTAATTAGTAATTATGTTTTAATGAATAATTAGTAAATAAGAAAAATGGAAGGAAGAGATAACAAGCTGGAGAAAGACAACAATCCAAAAATGATAAAAAGATATTCAGAACATATCATGGAAAGAAGCTGACTGTGTGCGAAAATAGGATGATTAGCAATGGACATTTCCGCAAGTGCTTCAGTATGGAAGATAGATTTTTCTGTATTTCTCGGACCCTCTCACGTATGGATGCCTCCTCCCTAAGTTGTAACTCACGTGCCTCCTCCTTTGCAGTCCTTCCTTTATCTAGCACATCAAAATGATTGTAATGCTACTAATAAATTCATAAAGTAAAAAACTAAGAGAGATTTCCATTGGAAAAGGCACAGATGCAACAATAACCATTGGCTGGCTCTACTTTTGCAGAATGATTAGAACCACCATGGTCTTGGGAACAAAAACAAATGCAACAGCCAAAAAAACTAAAGAATAATTTTCTAAAACAATTGGTCCAAATGCATAAAAGAGAAACTGATTGGTACCGTGGAATCCTCATACATCCGAAAACGGCCCTTCGCTTGTTTCATCATGTTCTTAGCAGCGACTGACTCTGCAATATAGACACCTTGCTCACTCGAAAGCAAGCCTTCAGGAAATCTGAAACAACATAAGTGGAAAAAAGTTTGAAACAAGTTACAGAACCAAAAAAAAACATTAAGTAAACTAATATATCCTAATCAAATTACAAAACGTAAATGGAGCACAGTTATCAGGAAAATTTAAATCGCCATAGATCCTGTTACATCCCAAGAAAACCTAAAGTTAAGCAACCAGATTACTGACATTTTTCCAAAACCCAAAAGATGCAAAATGGGCCAACATATTACTTACGCAGGAACGTAGCCTAACAACAAATACAAGAAAATTTAAACAAAACAAATAATATACCCTATCTTTGCAAGCATCTAGAACAAATGAACACATCTAGAATAGAGGAGAACTGGAAGATTCAGGAACATCAAGGTTACCAAAAAAAGATCAGAATTCCACTTTATTTCTGTCTTTTACCTCTCTCTACTGTTTTTACATGTGAATTTTTATAAAAACAAACTAAATACAGAAGGATTGAACCTTCACACCGTATTGCAATTTCCAAAACAAAAAAAAATAAATGAATAAAGATCTAAATGTTCATGTCCACTTCTTGGGATTGGTATATTTTGGATTTTATAACTGTCAAAATTGTTGAGTAATCATAGCATTAGCACTGACAAGAACTTCTTATGGAGCCATTAGCCCCTCAGTCAGCTTTGAGAAGCAGTGTTTGCATCCCATTGTACTCGGGATCAAATTTCCCTAATGTGAGCAAGCGCAGATTTTGAAGATCATCGACACATTCCCCTTGTTCATAAGTTCCCACCAAAACAGCAGGATGCACAAATGGGCAGCTTCCCTTGCAAGATCAACTTGAGACATGATAAAAACTGCAAACTGCCGTACACTCTTAATCCGATCTCCACCACTTTAAAGCAGGAATGAAGTTTGAAATTTTTGCTATCAGATTGATTATAACAAAATGTCTACTAATCGATTCACAAACACCAGGATGCCTAACCTTTACGGCAACTACTATGGGCTTCACCTGTTGACCAGCTCCATGCACTTGAGCAATACTTCCAGATGTTGCTGGTTTCTCTGCAAAATTATCAAAAATCTCCGGGAGCTTGCGGCCAAACACTGGTTCGATAGTTTTCTTCGTGTAGGCAAAGCTATGTTCAGGAGCTTTGGTGTGAAGCTCTGAGAGCTTGGTGCATAAAGAAAGAGCACCAACTATAAACAATTATGCGAATTCCAGTGTATCACCACAAATTAAAGGCGATTGAATCATCAGAAGAACAAAAAAAAATATATATATCTTTTAACTCCTAACAAATATCCGACGGCAAGTTGCAGCCATCAAATAACGGTCAGAATCAGCACAATCTTAAAGATAGGAAGTTGCGCTCATCAATTTACAGAACTCATGTGATTCATGTCACAGTTTCAGCCACTTTGGCTTAACAGGTTTTTTCTCTGCAGGCTTCTTCTCTTGAACAACAGGAGGTGATGCCTCTGGTATATCGTTTCTGGTGCAGACTCAAGAGGCTCTGCATGCTTAGTGGGGAGTTCCAAACCTTTCAAAGACATGATCTCCTGAAGGAAGGGACCTGACTTAGCATCTGAAGCATCATGTGCTGGACATGACATTACAATAATCAAGCATTTCACATTAGCCATTGCTATTTACAATCAAAAGATACATATGATTACATCAGTGAAATAATTATCAAGTAAAAGTTCTGATTCCTCTGCCGTCACCACAGACGGGCAACCCCATAATCATAGAGAAGAGTGTCTCCATTGTGAATATTTCATTTTAAGTTATGAGACCAAAAAGCATGTGCTAACCTTTTGGTATATCATATGAAAAATACACAATTGCACCAGGAACAAACCCAGCAGAGTAAATGGCATCCTGTGTTATCTGATCATGATCATTCCTTTTGTTTCGAGGGGAGGGCTGTGGTTGTATGCAATAATATCTATGCCTTATCCTCCAAATTTGGGAGGCTTATTAATTAAGAAGTTCTTGTTGGTAAAAATATAAAGATAATTGCTATATTTACAGAATTTCGAAAATAAAATTTCACTATAAATTTGAAATAAATACAAGAAAATAACGACAAGGTAAATGTTAAGAATGCTTTACAAATGATCTGAGTCTAGAACTTGGTTCTATCTCCTTAAGACGAAATTGCCTCCTCACAGGTGCTTTTAGGATTTGCTTAGCAAACGTCTCCCATGATACAACGATCGACTTCTTGTTGAAGTAATACTATAATCCCCAAGAAAAGTGAACTCAAACTTGTGTATGAATTCTCTCTTACTAACTCACTATATTTTTGAAAATGTAATGCTATGAATGCTCTAAAAACTACTATTGTTGGATGACAATTGGATGCATGAAATGTTGTTGGACCTTCTCTATTTATAGGCCTCTATTCAGAAAAGATGTGACTGAAAAATATCAACAAATGTGTCTTTTCATGTTACAATCATATGCCAAGAAGTGCAATGTTTCAATTACTATGAAACAATGCAACTTAAGCCAAGAAGTGCAATATTTCAATTTTTATGAAACAAAATCAACTTTTCACATATGAAATAATGCAACTTAAGCCAAGAAGTGCAATGTTTCAATTTCTATGAAACAATACAACTTTTCACATAAAGTATTATTATTTTATTCACAAACAAAATAAATAATATTTTATTTTCCACGATTAAGAACATGATTATTCTCAATTGATACATACCAATTTGTAAAAGTTATGTACTTAAGGTCATAGATCCCACAATTTAATTTCTATTCAATTATTAAAAAATTAAATATAAACATTATAATATTCTAACAGTTCTCATTTGATTCTAGTATGTATTCTATAAGCAAAATGCAGTTGCTTTGGGGTTTGGACAACGGCAGAAGGGTTTATATGATAGGCGACCGTTTTGAAAACACTCTCAGAGTGTATGGTTCATCTGGGGAACTTGAAGTTTTGTCTTGTCTGCACTGCCATCGACCGACGTGGTGGCGATCGTCGTCAGCCTATTTGGATCACCACGTTCCGAATCGACGGCAATGAAAAAGGAGAAAGCTCTATCAAGACCTTGCATCTAGCTGTTTATGATGTGGTGGTGGACTTCAAGGACAAGTACAATTTCTATATCGATTTCAGCTTCACTCCGGAAGTTTCACTCAATACACGGGTCCTATTGAAAAATTCTTAATCATGTACCTCAACGGTTGATCCAATTCCCATTCATTGTTTATACTATTCCATTCTTCTTATTATAAGAACATAATTTCTTCTTTCCCTATAAATTCAATATACTTAGTTACTTTATATGATTTTTGATATTATTTTGTACTCAGAGATTGCGAGGATAACCAAAGTCCCAAAGGAGAAGAAGAAGAAACTGAGGTGAAAGTAACACATGCCATGAACGAATGAATAACTTCTGATAATATAACTTCACACAGGGACCACCGAAAAAGAGACGCATGCGCAAGTCTAGCAAAGCCTTGGGCCTCTGTTTGAGGAAAGGCCTCATTTTGGGCAAACCCAGATCATGTTCTCAAGTTGAATTGGAATTTGGCAATCATGCTCTCCTGACTGAAGAGGAGGTTTTACTATTTATAACTATTTTACTGCTGTCCAATAGAGAGTCTGAGAGTTTTCACCAGCTGCTTAATGAGTTTCTCCCATCATTATGTCTTGACTTGTTATATTAATTAACATCTGGATATAACTTGGGATCAGTAAATTTATGTGATTCTGAGATTGATGATGTGTTAATATAATAGCATCACCTTCCAAATTGTTGTTACAACCCTTCCAATATCCCTCAAGTACTGTGTGTGGCTAATTGAAAGCCTTTAACTACGTAATTGTTGCAGATGTCGTTAGGCTAGTTGGTTAGGGTATTATGCCGCCCCCCTTTCATTTAAGTTAGAATATTTTATAGTAGTTCAAATTATCGCTTGTATTGAGTTGCAGGCTTTCGATAAATATTCCATTACATCAAAGGCTTATACATATTTGATTATGATTATGCCCCGTGAACAATCTCTCTTATAATTCTTTAATAAACACTCAACTCAAGGATCAAAGTTCATTATAAGAGCTGTCAATTATTTATGCTAGATTGACAGAGAATACAATGGTATATATCAGATTTTAGAAAAAGGAAAAAAAAAATATAGAAATTGGGTGCCCAAAGATTACATTTGGGTGGCCATAGAACGGATCCTAATTGGAAACTACAGCCCAATCCAGTGCACCATGTCGGATTGGATGCAATTGGCCCGCCTGAGCCTGAGGCACAAAAACGAGTTGTCGTATTACTGAAAAATAAAAAGGGTCTTCCGTGTGCTGCTTTGAATATGCCACGTAAGCCCGCGGCGAGCGAAACAGAAGCAGAAGGCTGAAGCTGCCGAGCAGCAAAGACAAACAGAATCACAGAAATGGAGAAGAAAGCAAAACAGCTGAAGATACTAGTAGTTGCCCTCGCTTCTTTAACAGCTCTTTCAGTCTTCTTCCTCGCGCGAAAACGAAGACGCCGAAAGCAGAAGTGCCCCCAAAGTCGGTGTTATTTACGAGCCGACCACACCAAGCCACAGTGCGGATTCAAGCGTGTCTTAGCTGATAATACATACTCTCCGTTCAAGCATTTAAACCTCCTCAACGACCCTCAAGAAGGTATTAAGTAACACTCAGAAAATTGTTTGCTTTCGTTGAATTTTTTTTCGTTAATTTGATTTTCTTGGAAATGTTGATGGAAGTTTGAAATTTGGGTGGATAGATAAGACTTGGAATTCGCATCCATACGAGGCGGAAGTCACTGCCTTGATTGAAAGTCCTCGGCTTGAGCTTCAGTGCATTACGGTGAAGAATGTGGATTTGAAAAAACTGAGTGAGTTGTACGTTTGGGTTGAGACTGAGTCGCAGTTGAAGGAACTCGTTGAGGTTTTGAGTAAAGAGAAGGTTTTTGGCGTTGATACTGAGCAGCATAGCTTAAGATCCTTTTTGGGTTTCACAGCTTTAGTGCAGGTAAGCTAAATCATTTGACAAATGAATGTATGTCTATATGTTTGTGTACATTTCTAATTTTGGTGATACTTTGATTAGATTTCTACTGAGAAAGAAGATTATTTGGTGGACACGATTGCTCTGCGTGATTGCATGAGCCTTCTTCGGCCAGTTTTTGCGGATGCTAGTATCTGTAAGGTAATTATTTATTTATACTTTTTGTGTGTGTGTTACTGATTTGGGTGCAAGTGGTAACACTATGAATGAATTGTATTTGTAATGTATTAGCGTTAAGATGGTGGAGTTTTAATTGTATTGCCTTTTTTTGTGTGGGTATTTTATGTGACGTACGTAGGTGTTCCATGGGGCAGATAGTGATGTTCTCTGGCTACAAAGGGATTTCCATATTTATGTTGTTAATCTCTTCGATACCTCAAAGGTCAGCTGTCATTTTTGTATTATGTTGGATCAGTGTTAGATGACATGTAAACTCAATTATATAAACATGAAACTCAATTCATGTTCTTTTTAATACACTGCAGGCTTGCGAAGTGTTGTCAAAACCACAGAAATCATTGGCTTATTTACTTGAATCTTACTGTGGAGTAGTCACAAACAAATTGTTACAGGTTTGGCCATGACGCTGTCTTATTGTTGATCCTTTTGCTTGCTTCTTTCTTTAAATTTATAATTTTCTACTAAATGGTTAACTTGACTTTAGTTAGTAGTAACCCTTCCTTCTAACCAACAATTATACATAGATTTTGAAAATCTTGTTTTAAGGATTTGAGATGTAGCTACTGTGCTCATAAGAGATGTCATATTGCTTCTTATCCATTCTCATATTGATTCGTAGCGCGAAGACTGGAGGCAACGACCCTTGTCAACAGAAATGGTGCAATATGCTCGAACAGATGCACACTATTTACTGTATATTTCACGCTGTTTAATTGCTGAGCTGGAAATACTGGATAACGGTACACCTTCCTTCTTGTGTCATAGCTTCTTCTTGACATTTATTTAATGAAAAATGAAAGGATTATGGCATGGTAATCATGAACATACTATAAGCATTGAAATCCAGAACCAGTGAATGCCAGTCTTCAGTCTTCGGCATTGTATGTGCATGTCTGCACTCCTGTGATCCTTTTTGTTTCCAGAGAGTTCATAACCTGAATAAGATGAAATGATGAAAGTTTTCATATTAAGTAAAACCAGTAAATTCCAATTTTTGACATTGTATGTGTGTGTCTGCACACCTCTGAATGTTTTCTGACATGATGAAGTTAACCATTTGTGATGATACTTATCTATTAATCTTTTATGAAGCATGAACCAAGCTAAAACACAGTGCATGTGTTATATGGTAACTCTTGCTTAGCCCTGATTTCAAGTTGATAACCTTTTTCAAACTATGCCTACACCTTTCTCATAGTCACTGCATTGAAATTCTAAATATCTCACTCTATCAGAAAACTCCTGTTCCAATGACAAATTCCATTTTGTTCTCGAGGCTAGTCGGCGTTCAAACTTGATGTGTTTGCAACTGTACACTAAAGAGATAGAAGCTTCTCCTGGAGAGTCTGCTGCATCATCAATTTTTAGCCGCCATTTGAACGGACGAAGAGGAATTTCATCAGTTTCTTGTGAAATCCAGGTATGCTTCTTTTGATGTTCTTGACACTTCAAGCAGTTGAAAGTATTGCATATAATCAATAAATCACATCAATGCAAAAATGCATTTGAATCTTCTTTCCACCAATTTTTGCATTGTTCATAGCTTGGGAGCTTTTTCTTTCTTTATCTTTCCTTAGCTGGGGGGAGGAGGGATCGAGTTGGGTATTTTGGATTCAGTGAGTTCCCCTTTATTAAACTGGGACTGTAGTTTTGTTAAGAGACCCAAGAAAGCTTTGTGGATGGTGGTCCTATTGGGTATTTTTTGCTGCATTTGGGCTGATGAGAGGAACTGTAGGGCTTTTTCCGTGGTCAAGCATTCAGTCGTGGAATTGAGAGGCCAGCTCTTGTTAGAATTTCTTTTTCCTGGCCTTTCTTTCTAGATTCTTGTACGGTTCTTGTAACATTTCTAATGAACAAAGTTTCTTATTAAACCAAGTATAATTATGCAAAAGTTTGTATTTTGGTTTCAGGGTGCTGTGAGCAAATTATGCGCATGGAGAGATTTAATGGTTAGTATTACATTTTCCCAAAGTTTGGCTACGATGGATATTTTTTTTTTTTTTTTTTTTTTTTTTTTTTTTTTGGTTATGGATACATAGAGTTTAACTCTATTGTCCAGATATTTGTTTAATTTTTTCATTATTGACATTACAACTTACAGTATGGACAAAGAGTACCTACTCTCGAATCTCATGAAACTTAGACACGTACATTCTTATTTTCATGTTTTTCATCTTGTAATGTTGCACCTTAGTGTACTGAGATCGCCTTCTAGATACTTAAGCAATCACATGCCATTTACTTCCTTTCCAGGCTCGTGTACATGATGAGAGCTTGAGATATGTAATATCAGATCAAGCTATTGTTGCCCTTGCAGATACAGCTCCAACGACCCCTACAGAAATATTAGCTACCATTGCTCAAGCTGATTCTAATGTGGATTCAAGTTTGAGTTCAGGCCTCTCATCTCCATCCCCTGTTGTTTGCAGCCATTTGGATGATCTTTATCATCTGCTCCAGAACAAAATTGGCAACGCTGATGATTTCTTTCCCCTGATTCTTCAAAACTGCCTGGGTACAAATGGGAGTTGTCCACTGTCTATCTTCAATTATGCTTTGCTGATTAAGTGTAATCTGAAAATGACACAAGTTTCTAGACAAAATGGGGTCAGATACTCAAAGAAAGTTGCTCGAAAAACTTCTCGGCAGCTGTTTGTTCAAAAATTTTCCTGCAAAGCTCCAGTTTATCATAATTGCAGGATCTATGCAGATGATGGGCGGTTGCTTTGTTACTGTGACCGCAGGAAGCTTGAATGGTTGGCAATCATATCTCTTAATTAATACGTTTTTACCACAAAATGGATTGCATTTGGCATGACCAATGTTGTATCCTACTACAGGTATCTTCGTCGGGATTTGGCGAAACTTGTTGATGAAAATCCACCTGCCATTATGCTTCTTTTTGAGCCCAAAGGCCGTCCAGAAGATGAAGGCAATGATTTTTACATTCAAAGTAAGAAAAATATATGTGTTGGCTGCGGCGAAAGAAATCATTACTTACGGTACCGAATAATTCCCTCATGCTACAGAATGCACTTCCCGGAACATATGAAAAGCCACCGCTCTCATGATATTGTCCTAGTATGCGTGGACTGTCACGAAATAGCTCATGCCTCTGCTGAGAAGTACAAAAAACAGATCGCTGCAGAATATGGGATTCCACTTTTTGTTCGTAAAGTGGTTGTTTCAGAACAAGCTCAAGCTATATCTGAGTCATCCGTGCCGGCAACATCTTTTGAGGAGGAAGGTGTATCTCCTTTACAATTGCGAACTGCTGCTATGGCTCTTTTGCGCCATGGACCAAGAATGCCATCCACGCGCCGTGACGAACTGACAGAGGTACATGAGCGTATATTTAGCTCGTGATTTTTAAAAAATTATTACAATGGTATATAAGTTCATTATGGTTGGATAAAGCAAAAGGACAGTGAATGCTACAACTCTTGGTTGAACTTTAGTAAAACGGCTTCATTTTTTCTTGCATTTCATTTAGTATAAATATCCATGATTGTGAAGGGCCACGCCACAGGTTTTTTTGTGTTGATTCCGTTAATTTTGACATTACAGGTTTTTACTACTGCTAGTCTCTTGATTTTAGGAGCTTATATGAATGTGAATAAATATTTATTTGCTTTGCAGATTGTTATGAGATATTATGGAGGGAGGCAAATATCTGAGGAAGATTTAGAGAGTGCTTTACTGGTTGGCATGAGTCCTCATGAGAGAAGACGATTTGAAAAGAAGAAAGGGCTTTCTTTCAGGAAGTCTAGAGGGCGTGTTCCTTCAGATGCAGAGCAGGAGAAAAATACTGTTACCATGTCTGCATGTGCCAGTGTTAAAGTGTCAGAAGTTGACACTCTACATGAATCATGTACCAGCACAGCAGAAGCATTTACTGGAAAAGAAGATAGAGACATTATCATAGTGAAGGATGCTGTTGGTTTAGGCAGCAACTCTTTAAATTCATATTTGGGGTCTGATGACAAAGCTTCTGACGTTGTTCAGAACATGGACTCAGATATAAGTGGAGTCTCTGATACGCAGTTTGTATCTGTTGTAAATGCTGATGGTGATTGTGAGAGTAGTGCACAAAATGGATCAGTTGACGTCTACTATGCCAGAGATGATGCAATTTCCCAACCTAAACATAGATCAAAAATGTCTCTCCTAGGACATGGTCCACATGGTAAGCAAGTTGTGGAGCATCTGCTAAAGGAATATGGCGAAGATGGTATACGTCAGTTTTGTCAAAGGTGGAGACAAGTATTTGTTGAAGCTGTTCATCCTCGTTTCTTACCTTCCGGCTGGGATATTACGCACAGGTACATGCTTGTTCTCTTTCTATGCTTCCCTCGAGTTTTGATTTATATAATTATGTTTAAGTGCTGAAATTTTGTTCATCTATGCCAAGGGGCTGATAATGGGCGCTGTTTTTTCCAGTGGTAGGAGAGACTTTGGCGAATTTAGTGTTTACAATCCTACCAAGAAGGCTTCTGCTGTTGCCGAGGGTTTATGAATCAACAGTGCAGTTGCAGACGACATGTGATTCTATTTCATCTCTTATGCTATGGAGAATTTGTTTGCAGTTCCCTCAGTCATCATGTCCCTATTCCAAACGCTCCCTTGTATCTTTTCTATTTCAAGTTTTCTTTAGAATACAAATTTCTCCTCGTTTTGAAAGACTTTGTGGGGTATTTTTCTCTTTACGGAACCTCAGCAATACAAGGGAAAACTTCATTGAATTCTAGAAAAATGATGGGGTGCTCAATACATGATTAATAAGAACACCCTGACTATCAAAAGGAAGAGCCAAGGAAACCCAGAAGAAATTCATGCTACTGCTTTATCCAAAAGGAGACAGCTTCCTAGCTTATTTATACACAGCTATTGTGAGCAAGAATCTCTTCGATTTTGCGGTTTAATGTGCATGTTGTGCATTTCATTATTTCCAGTATTTCAAGTGAGTTTTCCTTTTGATTTCAGAATTTTATGCATTTGGTACTCTTAATTAAATAGTTGTCGTATTATCAAAAGTTAAGTATCTGAGTATTGCTTTCACTCATTTCTTATTTATTGCAATGAGATAGTCAGCTCATCTAATGTGATTAATTAAGGGTGTCCAAATAGTATTACCGAAGACGATATGATTCGTCAATTTTGTAATACGTTAATTTGTAGTCCATAACACATATTAATCAAATTTGATCAAATAGATGAGGCAAAAATAACAACATAAAAGAAAATCACCAAAAATAATTAGATTTTCCTTTCTGTTAAAGCAAATTGGAGAGTCATTCTTATAGATCTCTCTCTCCCACATATCTTCTTTTCTTTTTGGCCTGACTTACATCGCATATCCAGGGGATAATGGAATAAGAAACAAAACTACTCCAATATCATGTGACTGCAAGCATGCAACAAAGCTGTAAGATCAATCCTGCCTCTCTCACCAACGGGAAGGAAGTCTCCATTCAAAATGTGCCAAAAATAGCATGCAACAAAGCTGTAAGATCAAACCTTAATTTGCCCAATCCCAATTATAAAGATCATCTGCAAATGAAAACCAGAGGTTAGGTTAGAGTCTGCTCCTCAAACAGAAATTATAAATTCTAGATATGGATGTTTACCAAAGGTCAAAACTTACAGACATTTTAAATCTTCTCTGGCTTTAGAAAGTTCTATAGAGACAACAATTGAGACTTATGATCGATGCCGTTGAAGATGAAAGTCCCAGACAAGGGCACAAATTGTCTTGTTATAAGCTGTCAGTGACATGTTAAAAAAGGTAAATGTCATTTTAAATGTCAATGACCATCATTTGGGTCCCTGGTTGTAAAAATAACGGCAATCAAATGAAGCAAAGCTAGAAACACAAAAACCTTGATCACTTCCTGAGATGCAATTCCTCCAATGAAAGCAGCAACTGCATGGAGCTCGGCAGCACCAAATCGGCACATCTCGTTGATAAGATCCTCAGTTAATGTTACACCATTGCAGCCTAAATCATTAAGCAGGCCAACAGCTGTAGTTTTCAACCGAGATATGTCCTCATCCATCACACTATGAGGGAGTGAGCATGAATCAGTACAAATATTACAAGTTTGTATCATAACATGGTCATTAACAGTATCAGGCATTACCCATCAAATTGCCCAGGAAAACTGTTGTAATTGGCAGCAAACCGATCAACAGCTCTGAGCAAAATATAAAACCCACCAGCAACACTGTCATGGAAATTAAAGAAAACAGTGAATTTTAAGCAAAACAAATCCTTCTAGCTATACAACCTTCTTTTCTTTCTTTTCAGTCATAAATTCCATATCCATTAGTTTCTCTCATGTAAAGTCTAAGAAACTATATTCAAGGGTAGAAAAACCACATCATATTTATAAAAAGAAAAAATAATATACAAATCTATCAAGAAAAAACAAATCACAAGGGATATTCTACTTGACAACTGGAAACCTTCTAACAAGGGGTCTTCTACTTGACAATTGGAAACTTTCTAAATGAATAACAATAGCACACAGGCACAGCACTCACATATCAGTTTCCTTAACTGACAGGAAAAGTAACTATGCAAAAACCTTTATTGAGTCTGTTCTGCAATAATATAATCTAAAAGCAATGGTAAATCATAATGTACCTGTAATCCTCATCTGTTAGATACTTCTGCAACTCTGGTAGGACTGGAGAATTGAACTCATCTTCGACGAGGCGATACCTGCAAACCTACAAAGTAAAGATTAGTGTTCAATTGAAGTCAACTAGGCAAACATCAAGAGGCTTAAGTAAAAGAAATACTTTACAATACTAATGAAGCAATACATGTAGGTTACACATAAAGTGGAACTCAAAACGCTTACTTTGAGTTTTCTTGCATTTTTGCAGAAACTTTTTATGGTTATCTTTGAGATGCTATTTGGATCTCTACCAATTCTTTTCAGAATAGTCCTAACCCTTTGCTCAATAACAAGAAAATCAGCCTCAGCCTTGGCTTGGTAGAGTTTCTGTAAGCATACATAGTGCCTACAAGAGAGTAGATAGAGCTCTTGTGTCAACAATTTATTTTTCAAAAGCACAAAAAAGAAAGGATAGAATCCTATTATTGGAAGATCAATCACTAACTCTGTCGAAGATGTCATATCTGGTATTGATCCCTCGAGGGGTGCCTCGCCACCACCTTCATTTTCTATGAATTCCTGCAAAGAGAAGATTCTTGATTATACAACTTGAGAAATTGACAATGAAATGGATCTAGATCCCATATGATATCGGACAAGATAATTATGAGCATCTAATTTTCTCAACAATAAAATTTAATAATATTGGCAAGCTTCATACATCCACTGTAAGATGGCTGAAATCTTCATAGGAAACTAAAATGTCTGCCTGAAGCATTCAAGGGAGACAAACTCAGCATGAGAACATCTCTGAACATGAGTTGTGCATTCCCTTTGAATATGAAAACCTAGGAATCTATTGGACCCAACCTATTTATGCGAAATACGTATGGTTAACTGCCTAAACATAACACAGCCAATTATCACTGAAAAAACACTTAAAAGACAGTTTCAGTCTTGAAAATGATAGGCTTGATATGTTGTTTTTTCAGAAAAACAGAAGGGCTTGTCAATCACAAAGGATTGACAATAAAGAAAGAATCTGTTTGAGAGACTCTAGAAGATATGCATTTATGCAACAATAACTTTATCCTGAGCGCACTATATCCAGTTGTAATTGTAATTGATGCAATATTGGTTTCACAAACCTTCAATGTTGCCACCATCACCCAAAAATCAGATGAACTGGAATCAACTTCCACAAATCTATCTCCAATTAACTGTTGCAAATCTGAACCTGAGACATAAAATGAGAAGAAGAAAAATTAACACAAAAGTCAGACTGCTATTGACTCATCAATATTCAAGGCAGAAAACACAATATGATGACAAACTACAAAGAAGAATAGTGCAATACCACAAAGTTTATAAAGATGTAGAAGTCATCAAACACATGTGGAGGATGCCATTTATCTTTTTTGCCAGATTAATTATATTATGTGAATTATGTCAATATACAACAGACTCTTCTGCAAAATATACTAAAAAACTACAACCAATGTTTGAAAAATATACTCACTAATTCCACGTGGAGCAAAGACTTTGAAGGAGGCCTCAATGGCTTCTTTATAGTTATCTTCATCAAGTGCAGTCATCCTAGCTTTGATATGCTCCTAACAAATTCGAGACCACAAGGGAAAAAAAATCATATTGCTAGAGAGCAAATGTAAGAATAAAACGAACAGAAAATGTATGAATCAAGCAGGCAAACCTTGAACTCTTTTTTCTCTTCCCTAGTTGATGGAAGTTTACCATCATGACTTTTGGACCACTCCTCTGCCATCTTGACAAGAATGAGAACATATGGTATGTGCTTGTGGGCAACAGGATCTGTCACATCTAGATCAATGGTTTCTGCAAACCTATCATCAATAAATAATAGATTGAAAATCAGGTTTCTGAAAACTAAACTCATGGTGTCAGGAAACACACCCATATGGGCTAAGAAACCAGAATGCCAATCATCAGCTTATATAGGCCAAAACCAAATAACATAAAGACAACATACAAATACTTAATATCAGAAATCCAAAAAAGTATCATGGACAATGTCTCAGATAAAAACATATTAAAAAATAGAATTCTGTACCCTCTAAGCTCAGGCCATGGATTATTTAAACGAAGGTCATCCAGAAAATGTTCAGGCTTCGACTCAATCACAGTATGTTCCTGCCCCAAAAAAACATAGAGAAAATGGAGAAAAGCACTATTTAGGTTCAAATAGAAATATTTATAATCATAACTTTCTAAGATCCATTTTTCACCTTTACGTCTAGATATCCATATAAGCAAGTTCCAAAGCAAGTTCCTTTTCTTATGAAGTAATCAATCAGAAAAAAGCCTCTGATCATTAAACTATCAAGCTTCAAAATAGGACACAGCTCTGGAGGAACATCAATTCTCATTCCTCACAATTTCCATTACTCTCTTCAATTGTAGTACAAAAGCTAAATCCTCAAGTTCCAGAATACCAAGACAGAGAAAACATCTCCAACAACAAACTTAAACGCATTACCTTCAGACTGATACGAACCAGCCCAGTGAGGCCATAAGAGCGAGCAAAGACCAATATCACATTTGCCTCCCTGCAGATTCTATCAAGCTTTACCATTGAATCTTCCACTAGCTGATGGTAAAATTAGAAAACCGCAGTCAAAGATATTTCTATTAACAACTCCGACTCTAGAAATCACAAAATAGAAATATGTACTGAACCATACTCTATGCAAAGACATTGGCATCAGCAGCCCATACCTGAGTGGCTACAACTAAGGTAAACTGAGAAAAGAATGATGGGTTTGTCTCAATCAAAGCCTCTGGATACTCTTCTATAAACTTGGCCTTAACAGCATCGTTCAGCTCTTGAAGAAACTGACAAACACATTTCGCTTTCGATTTGCCAACGCTTGATTCATCAACTACCAAAATATCCAATCAATATGAGAGGAAAGGACACTCAAAAGGGGCAATCAAACGCAGCAACAACTAGAGAAAACATACCCATGAAGTTATTTCCAAGGTCACCCAATTCAACTTTGGATCCATCAATGACGGTGATGCTTCCAACCCCACCAAGAACAAGGTTCTTCAAGGTTTCGGAACCAGTAGGACCGCAATTCAGTAAGCATATGCTGGCTTTCTCTAGGGCTGTCTGTCCTTGCTCGCCCCAGATTCTGCAATTTCAATTAAGCGTAAGCACATAGAAGCCAGTGACCCAAAAGAAAAACAAAACAAAACAAAACAAACAGAAGCTAATAGCTAGAGCGAAAAAACTTGAACGAGCTGAGAGTGGAGAGTGGAGCTCACGGAATTAGTGAAATGGTGGAGGAGGGGAAAGCGGTAAAGTGGGGAAGAGAGAGAGAGAGAGAGAGAGAAACAGTACCTAAGCTGGCGATCGTATTTGGTTTTGGGTTCAGCCATTGATGCTTGCTTTTTTCTCTCTGTGACTTCACAAACGTCTAATAATTCGCTTAGTAGTTACGCAGAGCTGCACGCAGCACACTGATCAGGGACAACAACCCGAGCAAAGCAAGGACTATTACCAGTATACGGTGTCGTTTTCCATTCTGTTACCTTTTTCTTTTTTCTTTTTAATTTTCTTTAGTTTAGTGGTGCGGAGGGAAACGAAATTGAAATGGTAATACAATTCATGAAGAAAATTAAAAAGAGGCTGCGTGCTTGACTTGAGAAGTTGAGAGTTGTTGGACCCGTGGCTCTCTGCTGGTTCATAGACTCCACCCAGTCGAGGCTCGTTAGTGGATCAACCAACCCTAGTAGAATGATTGGTCTTGGACTTGGACCTTAAGTTTGAACCCAACTCAGCTTTACGAGCCAATCTATTTATCCAGTTTGTGACGGTGTCGGCTTTTGGGCCAAAACGTGTTGTGACGTTAATTTTGACGGGATTCAAACTTGGATGAAGTCAGTGAACTAATCGAGCGTGTATTTTAGGGATAATCGAGCATTAGGGATACTCATCATTGGCATGATCCATTAGAATTTTTTTCTGCTTTGGTTTCAGTTTTCATAATAATCAATTTGCTTACAAGGATGGGCCCAAATATATTTCCAGTCTGGTACGACACCTAATTAGGGAAGAAGCCCGACTTGGGTATGCAAGAGTTCGTCGTGCGCGTTTGCACGAGTTATGGTCCACGTGCCACGCCAAGCAAATACGTAACCCACCACGCAGAAAGGTCGTGACAAGCCTGTAAAATTACTAGCTCTATGAACCCGTGCTTATTATCCCGTCAAGAGCCATTTTGGTCCAGCCATAGCCCTTTACAATACGGCAAAGCTCGAGCACAAGCATGCCAAATAACACGCAACACTAAGCGGAAAATCTTTATTTTTGCACCAAGCCACGCTACAAGAATAAGTGGGCCCAAGCCACACAAATGCTTGGGGCTTGTTGAGTGAGTTGTGGTACGGATGGTTATGGGCATTCACAATCCCATTGATGAGCCAATAAGTGGAAGTTTTGAGCTGTTTGAGAGCACCAAAAGTCGAGCCCATTTCTTAAGCTCAAACATATGGGTAAGCATGAAAGAGAGAAAAGTAGCTCATCACCCTAGTAAAAGTGGCCCATAACCTTAGTAAAAGTGGCTCATCACCTTATGAAGTGGTCCAATAACTTGAAAAAGTTCTCAAGAAACCTCCAGCACATGACTAAAGCCAAATCTAAGACAAACCATCTTTAAAACCAAAGGATATTCATGTGTGCAGGCTGCTGGGAGTAAAACACCCTTCAAACTAGCGCCTTTATCTATTTCTTTCCCCAACCAACTCGTGCCAGAAAATAATGAAGGAAAGAATGAGAGAGTGTTGCCAGAGATAGGAAGGTGCCATAAAGACAGTTGCGGGATGACTTTAGAGCTCCAAAAAATCTTGTCCTAGTATGTTTGTGTTAACTCCTCAAACTATTGTAGTGAGCCGAGCCTATCACATGTCACCACATGGTCGTAATTTGTCCCGATTTAACTGAGCACCAACCCAACCAAACAAAGTGTGCCAAGTAAACCAACGCTCAGCTCAAACTGATACCAAGCCGATCACTATAGAACAATATATGACCAGAAGTACTCGGACAAACTTGACCAGATACTTGTCAGATCAGTCACTCCATCTGCCTAATAAAACAGCCTGGCAAGCAAAGGGATCAGTTATTGCTTTTCCCATCTGAAGCCATATGTCACCCTGCCCTTCACTCTCCGTTCTTACATGCTGATGATGGGAATTGATCATTTAATACACATCCCATCCTCGTTCACCTGTCACTTCACCACCAAACCCCTGTCCAAGAAGCATGGTAACCATTTAATGAAATCCAGGCGTAAAGATAAAGAAAAAGAGATCTCTTCATAATATCTGGGTCTCTCTTTCCCTATAAACACCCTCCACTAATCTCTGGACAAAGGTAATAACTACTCTCACAAAGTAAACCCTACATACATTATCCTCACCCTATTACCTTACTAACTTCACCATCGGAAGGGGTTTTACTGGGATCATCCCCAGTTTGCTCCTATCCTAATAGTTGTTCTTAGTGTGCAGGTCCTCCACAAAATACATCCCAACCTTAAGGGAACGACACGTCATCTAGGGAAGGATACTTGGTTTACAATTTGGATTGAGGAGATTTCATATAATAAAAAGGTTGAATCAAAGAAAGAGAAGAGAAATTGAGGAGAAGACTTGGCAGATTTGGGGAGAACCATCTAGGGTTTCTTGGAAAGAATGAGCTTCCAGCGCCTATAAAAGAGGGCATATCCTACCCAGTAGATCATCACATCCAAAGTGAGCAAGCATCCTCACTCAAGCCAAGCCAAAATATTGATCTTTAAGCAGCTGCCTGTTTTGTTGGTAAAAGAAACCAAAGTGCTTCCTAAGGCTTCGCGAACCTGTCGAAGCACTTTTAGGGCATGATTCTTGAACTCAGACACATGAGCAACTCCACCCATTTGCTCTTTACAGCAACCCAAGCTCATCTGCAGCTGCTAGAACAAAAAAGCCCCTACACAATATTCCAAATTTAACATGCTTCCCTTTTTTCAAGTTAAATTTGAGCTAAAAAGACTAGTGAATAAGCGTCACTGCCCCTCCTCCCCCTCATCTCTTCTCAACTTTTCCTTTTAGGTTAGTGAATAAGTCCACATGGGCCGTTTTGAATAAAAAGCCCCTTATGGTGGTTTCTTCTAAGCTATGGTTAGATTGAAGTTCCCCATCACATCACCCTTTTTGGTCTATGTTTTTAATCAAATCTTACTCCCTAACACCGCCCATGTTCTTTAAATTTGATTCTTCATCATCTTTGATGGAGGTTGCTACAAATCACCCAATTGTTCTTTGGCAAAGTTGTTGTTTTCATTTATTTGTTCGCTCTTATGTGCAGGTAGATCGCTGGAAATCATATTTTTCCCATATCTGTTACGGATGCAGTGATGGGTGTGGCCGCGACGGCGCTTCTTCATATGGTGGTGGTAAGGTTCGTTTAGGCTGATGGGTTGATTTAAGATTTAGTTATGTTTGGTTTGTGGGCTTTGTTTGGGCTTGTGACTAATTGTGGTGATGTAAGCTAGTAGTTTTAGTTCGGCTTTTGTGTTAGTTTTGCTTTTAGCATGTTAGTTTGTTACTCTCTTAGGATTGGTATCTTAGATATCTTGTTGATGTCTTTAATTGTACCGTTAAAATTTATCTAATGAAGTTTTTATTTAATAATAAATAATAATAATAAATTAAACTAGGATACAGCTGTAAATGTTAATACAGTGAAACCACAATTAAAGAAACAATGCCATGGGCAAAGACAACATCTAGGGATGAAGTGCCAAGATGTGCCAAGAACTGAATAACAGAAAAGAGGAATTACTTCAACTTTGTTCCAGTTCTCAAGATGCACCAAAAGAATAGCAGCAGTTACATATGAAGTGCCAAGAACAGAATAAATGATATTTAAAACTATCACAATGGTAGGCAAAGAATAGCAGCAGTTACATATACATGAATGAACAGGAACATGGAAAAGAACATGAGCAAAGCCTTCTTTCTTTATCAGTAGCTCCAGTACTACCTATTTGGACTGCTACAATAATTCGACTTGCGGCTTAAACGAAAGATGAACAATTAAGAAGTAAAAAAAAAATCACAATTAAAGTAATTTTCACATAACATCGTGAGCCCATCACAATTGAATGACACAAACGCAATGAGTTCTATACACCAAACAGTTCAAGCAGATCAATGTAGTACCAAATCAGAACTTAAAGTCTGCAATAAAGGGAAGACGTTGATGGGCAGAGTTTGCAACAGTTTTTCCCTCTCCAGTCTTTCTCTTTTTGCAAGCAACCAAATCAGAACAAACCTAGTTCCTAGTGGACTTAAATCACATTGCACACAACAAACACGTGAGCTACAACTACCAAGGACGCAAACTACATCACCAAGCAAGAAAACATAACAAGTGAAAAACATGTAGTGATGTAAATGAGCTGCCATCATACCAAAGAATCCTCCTTTCTTTATCAGTACTACCAATTCAATTGTTTCCCAGCGAAACCCATCTATGGAAAACAGGGCACATTACTCAACTCTAACAATTGTTCAATCTGAGGGCGCAAACAAAATGAACAATTAAGCCGCCAAACACTACTGACATTATGAAACTATCACAGTTGAATGACAAACACCGATGAGTTCATAATATCCAACACACAAGACACATTTACGGCGCAAACAAGATGAATAATTAAGCAGCCAAACACCACTCCTTTTTTGACATAACATTATGAACCTATCACAATTGAATGACAACACCAATGAGTTCATAATATCAAACAGGCAAGACACATTGTTCATCTTTGATTATCCCAAGCAATAATTCGACTTACGGGCGCAAACAAGATGAATAATTAAGCAGCCAAACACCACTCCTTTTTGGACATAACATGACGAACCTATCACAATTGAATGACAACACCGATGAGTTCATAATATCAAACAAACAAGACACGCTGTTCTCCTTTGATTATCCCATGCAACAATTCGATTTACGGCGCAAACAAGTTGAATAATTAAGCAGCCAAACAACACTACTAGTTCACAACATCAAACGGTTAAAGCATCCCAAATTAGTACCAAAATCATAAATCAACCACTGGAAAACGCATCTGTTATGGAACTTTTCGGTAAATTTTATTAATAATCTCAATTGTGTGTAAACAATTCTCTACCAAAGTACCACCATAAACTACAAATAAAAACTAATCTACAACAAGGTTCAAGAGAACATTCTATCAATTTTCATTCAATGTGCAGCAAGAATGTCCGTACTAAACACATCAATTATCGGATCGGGCGAGTCGTGAACCGGGCTCGAGGGGTTGAGGAACAGAACGGACTTGGACGCCGCGAGTTTCTTTCTC